ACACACACACACCACACACACACACACCCACACACACACACACCCACACACACACATATGCATACATATAAATTCAATTAAGGAATAGAAAAAAAGAGAGTCGCCTCCTCCTCTATCTATCTATCCCGACCGCAGCACGTAACACCACACGACACCCCTATGCGTGTGCTGTGCTTATGTACTTCCCCCTGTTCCTCCTCCTCCTCCTCCTCCTCCTTCTCCTCCTCCACCTGGTGCTGGCTCGCCTCTAGGCCAAGTTGTCGCCCACAAACTGGGCATTGACCTGACTCTGACTCGCAACAAAGCCTCTCTTTTCGCTTTCGGTTTTCTTGCCATCGTTGTTCTTCTCACTTTCCACCTCGTCGTCCCCGCCACCACCTCCTCCGGGCAACATCCCCGTAGTGATCTCTGGGTCGAGGCCATCGACCAAATACAGCTTCCCTAAATCCTCGTCGTCGGTCTCGACGGGAACCGGCGAGAGGGTGGTCAATCCCAGATACAACAATCCCGAGAAGGTGACCACGAGGACATAGTTCCAGGAATACAGGTTCAGGATCCCCCGGTTGGTGATGGTCACCCCCATAGTCTGGAGCATACCCGGCAGTAAGGGCGCCAGGGCCACGAACCAAGCCACCAGGGCACGCCAGTTGACTCCGTAGTCGTACCAGTAAATGCCGTGCGGCTTGAAGAGGTGCGAGATGTTAATCCCGTGTCCGCGCCGCACCCAGAAGTAATCGGTCATCATGACGCCGGTGGTGGCGCCCAGGAACAGCGTGTACGCGCCCATGAACGCCAGGAACGTCGTAGCTTTGGCCTGGATCTGCCACGGACAGATGGCGAAGCCGACCACGGCGCAAATAAACTGACCCCGGCGGATGTTGATGTATTTCGGGAACAGACCCGTCAGGTCGTTCGCGAACGGGATCGAGTTGCCCGTCACGTTGGTCATGATGTTGAAGAAGACAAACAGGATGCCGGCGAAGAACTTGCCTCCGCGCGCTTCGAAATTGTTGATGGTCACCAGCGGGTTCCACTGCACCTCGCCGTAGACGACCGATGCCGCCACAGCCATGGTGCAGCCGAGCAGCTCGGTCAGTGTGACAAAGACCGGCAGTGCGACGAGCTGCGTCAGCCAGGCGGCTTTATCGCTCTTGGAGTGGCGCGAAATGTCCATGATATTGACGGCGAACGTAGCGTTGCCCGAGATAGCGGCGTTCACGCAGATACCGAAGAGATAGCCGACCGACATGCCATCGGTCGGGAGACTCGGCTTCGTCCAGACCTTGGGCCACCCCCCGGCAGCCGTGACGGACCAGGTGAACAGCGCAGTCCAGTAGAGCGGCACCATGATGCTCTTCACCACGAACAGGAACCGCAGAGTCCGGATGGGCAGGTACAGGAAGGGCAGCGAGATGAGCCAGAAGATGACGAAGCAGAGCAGCTGCTGGGCAGTGATGTTGGCGGACGGCGGAAAAGCGTCGACGTGCCAGTGGCGGAACGAGGGCCAGATGGCCGTGATGCACGCCTGGACGGCCTGGCCGGCGAGACTGGTCTGGATGCCGTAGTAGATCAGACAGGGGACGGCGCGGACGACCATGGCCCACTTGGAGCCCCAGAGGCCGAACGAGGCGCGCACGGTGCCGGGGAAGTTGGTGCCCAGCTTGCTGCCCAGGTAGCCCGAGGCGGCGCACGGGATCGACACGATGATGTTGCCCAAGAGGCAGGCCACGACGCACAGGCCCGGGTTGAGGCCCAGCGAAAAGGCCGAGCTGGAGACCTGCAGCTGGGCGGCGTTGAACCCCTCGGCGATCCAGAACAGACCCATCTGGTACCACTGGTACGTACGGTCCTTGCGCCTGATGGGGTCCATGTCTTCATTGGTGTAGACGATGGCATCGGCGTCGTCGGCCCCAAAGGACCCGGGCTTCGGCTTGAGGACTACATAGTCTTGCCAGAAGTGCTGCCAATTCATTGTGGCGGAGAGGTGAGAAGGGACGAGGCGGAAGTGAAGTGACAGCAGTGGAAGTCGGACGGATCAGATGACTGATGTTGATGTTTGGATAAACTGGATCCTTCAATCTCAGCGGGGACCAATTTCAGACAAGTCGCATGGATGTTCTTTTATATACTCCTCGGGCGACTGTGAGAGGGAGTATACAACAGCCCTCGCTCCAGTGGAAGAGAGACGTCTGTCTGTCTGTCTGTCTGTCGGAACACCTCCGACACGGTGCAGATAGAGACAGAGAGAGAGAGTCTAAGCCTGTAGCAGCGTGAGTGAGCGCCATGGCGGCCGTGGTTGCAAATTGATATTGGTCGGTGTATGCTGTGTTGATAAGAGATGTGAGTGTGTCCAACAGGGACGATGAGATATGACCTGGAGAGTCTAACAATGTCTTTTGAAAGAGCCAGTTGCAAGAGGAGATAAGAAACCCCTGGCAAGCCATTGAATACGAATAGGAGGTCCAATCGCGGGAGCGGAAGGACGGGATGCTCAAGGGATGCTAGTCTGGTGAGCCTAGTCACCATTCATTCCCCCCTCGGGACAACTGAGCCTCTCGGGACGACTCCGAAGATGTGGCCTTGGGTCGAAGCTATGTCTATGCGGAGGAAGGGAGAAGAAGGGAGAAGACAACTGAACCATCTCGGTCTGTAAATGCAATCATTGAGCACATGGTTGACTGCCGGGGTATATGTGTATGCTCCATATATTTTTGGCTGAACGCGCATATACCACATATGAATGTACTTGCTTGTCCTCCAACTTCCATCAACAATGTTGGAACAGCACCCCCCAGCCCTGGATCGACCTCGTATCCACGCCCGCGATGCGGCACATATCCCACAGCACCGTCGCCACCGTGTCCAACACCGTGACACCACCACCAGCTTTGGCCTCCCACCGGTCCACCAAGTGGGCCGCCTTGAGACCCGTGCAGAAGACGCTGATGGTCCCGACTCCCTTCTGTGCGAGCTGCCAGAACCCGTCGTCGAGCGTCTTCTCTGAAACGGCGGCAAATCCCCGATTGTCAGACTGGCCTAGATGATGTTCCAGTGAGCAGTCCACGCCCAGCCCACGGTAATTCTCGATGATCGCCGACTGCACGTCGTCGGTGTACGGGGTCAGCAGGCCCATCTGTGTAACCCCCAGCCGCTTGATGAGTCGATTGAGGCCGAGCACCGACGTCGTGGCAGGGATGCCGGTGGCGGCCGTAATCTCCTCGCAGAGCTTCACGTCGGCGTCGAAGCCGAGCCACCCTGAGGAGGTGCCGCTCCAGCCGATCACGTCGACTTTGGCGTCCGCGAGCAGGCGGGCGGCCTCGATGATGGCGCTGTTGTCGAATTGTGCCAGGGCGTCGGGGTCCAGGGCGATTTTGAGCACTCGAAAGCGCGCGAAATGGGCCGAGACATTCTCCAGCTGAGAGATGATCTGTTGCGAGAGAGGCTCCAGCACCGTGTTGGAGGACGGCACTAGGATGCCGAAGCAAATGCGATTTGGGGCCTGCTTGATCATGGCTACTTCTTCGGAGCACACCTAGTTGATGCAGAAATAGTCTCGACGGCCGTCCTGATGGCAGGGCCTTTTATTCAAGTTGGAAGAACCTCTTGAGGGTTAACAATTAGAGCAATCTGTAACGTAACGGGAAGAGGAGTCTGCTGCTTCGGAGTGTTGAAGGGGATGTCACAAAAAACACCCCGGGCTGAGGAACGGGGGTCAACCTCGAGTCTCGTTCGCAGATCCTGAACATGAAGTACGCATTCGGGAACTCCTGGACGAGTCATCTGCCATGTTGCCTGAAATACCACAAGTCTGGAGGCGATAGCAAGACGACCAAGTCCGATAGTTGGTGGATCTTTTCTGTGTTTCTAGACCCATTTTGTCGGATAGGCCCCGATCCGACGTCAATATAAACGGAAACGCCGAAAATTGGTGGCGACAACATTGGAACATCCTCCTCCTTATCAGCTGGACGGGCACGAATAATACGGAGATTGGTATTTGAACATGACAAAATAGCTAGCAGGAGGAATCAGAAGCTCGTGCCCGTGCCCCCGTTGAACCATCCCAAACCCTCTTCCGTCAGAAAAGCCTCGATCTCTCTAAAGTTGACAGGGTCGCACTCGTAGTCGCTGTCCTGCGTTTGCACGAACTCGGTCATCATCTGCCAGACGTCGAAGCTATCTTTGGTCCAGCCATCACTACCGGATCGATCTATATCATGAGAAGTCGGATGTGGTGGCATCGTACCGCTCAGGGCCGTGTCGCTGGGGGCAACTGATTCGCGCGCCAGTGGGTGGACACTAACGGGGACCGATTGCTGATGGCTGCTCGTCTGTGGCCGCCTTGGGCTGAGGACGTACTCTGCCGTCTTGCCCGCAATGAGCTCGAAGGCGTCCCGGTACTTCTTCGCCCCTTCGCCCCACTGTTCGGCAATCAAATACAGGACAGTTGAGCAAGCACCCAAGTCAGCCGCCATTTCAGCGTCGTAGAGACTGGGATCAGACCACGCGCAGTAGATCATGGAGAACCCAGCGACAAAGACCGAGTGCAGATCGAGCAGCGTGAAGGGCACAGATCGTATACGGTGAAGTCGCCGATTCAGCTGGCAGACTTCGCCCGATGATTTGGCAAAGGAAGCATACGGAAATGGCCGATTGAGCAGCTGGATTTCAGTGAGGATGGTCTGGAGGAACACGCGGCGAGCTCGATGATAGTTGAGCAGCAACGCAAGACGTTGTGCTTCTGGCAGGGCAGGCCGCGACACCGGGGTTTGAACAGGAGTTCTGAAAGTGGACGACATCAAGTCCGCTGAGGCATCCCCTCCGACAGAGTGTCCAAACATGGCGGTTTTCCAATCCTCAAGTTCTTGAAATCGTTTGGCAATTTTTTGCTCGACCTTGATCCCACGACCCGACTTCGCGAGACGGGAGAATGCGAGACGGGTTTTCGCGTTGATTTGATCGAGCCGGATATTATGCACGTGGAACAGGATGTCGGTCCTCGCACCTGCAGAACATCTTCGTGGCTGGCTATTTGGGTCCAAGGCTGAGTGATCACGACTGATCCCTGGAAGCTCTGCGGCGTCCTGGAAATGGTCGTCTTCAATCTCGCTCGGCAGTGGGTTGTCGATCTCATCATCGGCTATCGTCAACGGCCTTCCCAGAACGAGAACGATTCTCCGCTCCAGGTGATAGATACTCCAAAATAGCCGCCTTTTAAATTCGTCTGAATGTGCTGTGTTGTCGTCTTTTCGTAGCTGCCGGTGAAGTCCTAGTTCGATACATTGCCTGATCATCAAACCACACAGGTGCCATATGCTAGAGCCTATCGAAAGAGTTAGCAGCTGGGTCTTCGAGACCTGACCTCGAAGAGGCAGTTCAAGGTCCTTTTGGATAAGGGAGAGAACGGATAAAATCGAATGAAAAGGTGAAAACCAATCAGCCAAACGGGTTGTACTAGAAACACACCTGATGGGGAACGTAATGCGTAGATGGCCACCAGGAGGATAACTTGGATGTTCTGAACGCTTGGCACGTTGAGTTGATCTTGAAGCTTCGCCATGGCTGAATGATAAAGGCTTTCTGGCTCAGATTCGGCGACCTGGTCTGATCCCACGAGTTTCAAACAGCGAGCACCTATCGCACACACCAGCAGCAACACCACATGATCATGTCGTGCTTCATTGGAGTTAGAATTCTCCATCTCGTGCCGACTGTGGTGGGCCTTCCATAGTTGACGCTTGGAGAGAAATGGGAAATTAGGGTGAATATAGGATAGATAAGCAGCCAGGAAAGACGTTGCCTTCTCTACCGGCAGCAAGGGAGCTGTGGCGGTTGGAATAGCACCCCGGCTACTGCTCGCGAATGGACTTTCAACCGTCTCTGCAGGTAAACTCAAGCTGGAAAGAGGGCGTGCTTTCTCGTAGACGGCCGACTCAATCATCAAGGCTAGGGACACCCCAGATGACACTCCAAAGTATTGAGGTTCGGCTGCCGCTTGTAGAGACAATAAGCCAACACTGCTCGCCAGATTTGGAGTGCTAGGCGGGGAAGCCATTCGCCCTTCTGAGCTTGTTGCTGCAGCATCGTTGCTGTCGCCAATGGAGAGATGGCCTCCTGGTCGAGTCGTCTGTGACGAGTCCAGCTGTGCTTCCAGCCACGCAACCCGGGTTTGTAGTGCTTTGACATAAGATGTCGGATACTCATTCTCTGGGAAGACACAGTTCAGCTTCGCCCTGGCGCAATTGGAGCATGCCGGTAATTTGTTGTCGCACTAAGACGTCTTTAACCTTGCTGTCGCTTCATCTACTCGGTGGGACCGTACCTTTTGACGTCTTGTTTTACACCTCAAACAAGCAACCACAACCCGGGAACGCTTGTTCGGCCTCTGGAAGAATGGCTCAGGGGGTGTCTCTGGTGGCATTGAGCCGTTTTCAGGTCCAGTCATACTGAATACCAGATTTCCTCGATCTGATATGTCCGCTAGAAATGGTGTTGCAGGATACGTATTCTCAGAGATGGCATCTGCAGGAGAACATCCAGCTCGGTCCGTGCATCTTATGGCCTTTGGGTCAACACCCCCACCGCCCCCGATCTCATCGTTCATCACAAAGACGGACTTCGCAACCTGCTTGTCTGCCGAGCCACTCCTTATCTTCAGCCTCGTGATAACAGACACACTAGCTCGTTCCATCAAGATCGCAACGCCGCTTTAGTGCAACAGCTGCTGACAGCTGTAAAAGCGGCGTGCTTGCGCTTCCCCAGCTTTCCCCAAGACAATCTGCAATGGTCAGGGCAATGTGTCCATTTGGTACACAGAAGCAGACCAACTAACTGTACGTGGTGTCTGCACTGCTCCGGCTCTCTCGAGTCCTTAACATACATCTAAGATGTCTTCATCCTCTCCGCAGAAAGTCTCGCTCTACTCCACCAATGGTACGGGTGAATCCTCGTGCACCCGTTGTTCTCACTAACCCCGAGTTGCAGATCTCAAAAATGCAACCGACGATGCTCTGGCCCCCTACCTCACCACCCTCCCCAAACCTTACGCCTTTAGACAAGAACACTTCACGACAAATGTCAAGCTTGCCCTGGGGTACGCGGCCGTCGTGATAGCTGGGGTGCTGTTCTACGCAGATTGGAAACTCGGGTGGGACGCGACGAAGGCGTATACTGGCCCTGCATGTGTCGCATATTTTGTGCTCAATGGTGCATTGACGTACTGGATCTGGGCGGTGGAGGCAGGGACAGTGTTTGTGGGTGTCAGAGAGGGAGGGCAGAAGGTTTGTCACCCGTGACCTATTGCATTTCTCTTCTCCTCGGATATGGGGGGCAATCCGACTGACCGCGTCCCTTTGTCAGATCACGCTTCGTTCCTCTGCGAAGAAACACTCTCCGGAGTACAAACTAAAAGTCACCTACTCTGCCCCGTCGACCGGCAAGAAATGGGAAGACAAGGAGATCACCGGAAACTACACGCAGTGGTTTAATATCCATGGCCACCTGCAACACAAGGAACTCCAGGCGTGGCTCAACGCCAATATCGACGTGTTGCGGAATGCACAGGAGGAGACCACAAAGAAGGACAGGGCCGACAGAATCCCCGTCATGATGCCCGCGGTGCAAGCCGACCAAATACTGGGGTCGACGCTTTCGTCCGGGGCAGAAACGAGTCCAATGCCGACGAGTACGAAGAAGGGACGGTCGAAGAAAAAGGCTTGATCCATTTGACACAATAGAGCAATCACAGCAATCTGCATATTCCCCCGCCGTACCCATGGTCTCATGCTTCTCCGGCACACTGACGAAGGACAATTGGCGGTGAAAGGCCTCGAACTCGAATGGGTGGAGGAGGACGATGCCTCGCTATGTTCATGATGCCACCCATACCGGAATCTTTTGAGGGAGGGGACGTGACTGTCTGCCATGACGAAAGACACCATGCAATCGATCGACGCCATCAGGTCACAGGCATCGACTCGTTCGCCAGTTTCCCGGTCACCCAAAAGCTCGCTCTATATAGCGTCAAATTTCCAGCTGACCAGTCCATCTCACACCAACACTAACATAAGAGAGCGGCCATCCACACCTCCCAATCGATAGTCAGGTATAATCGGCATTCCCTCAGACCTCCGATACCATGTGACGAAGCAAAGAGGCGGGGCATCACATCCGGACGGAGATGGCGAGGAGAATTGCTGCAAAAGGCGAGGCGGCAAGGCAGGACTCTATAGAACCCCCCCAGCCCAGCCTGCACGGTCAGGGGCAGGGCATGGCGGGATGAGATACATAGCTGAATGCATCCGCACCATTCAGGACCACTGAAAAGAGCAGCATCCCTTCGTGGTATACTACTACTATTACTATACGTAGAGATCACAAGCCTTGCGCAACTACTCTCTACTCTCTCATGACCGACGAGCAAAGCATGAGGATGAGGAGGGTTGGGTTGTCTTTTCTCGTTTTCGTTTGTTTTTTCAATCTCATGAACTTGAATTTCGTTTTCTCTCCCTCCCTCCCAATCGGTCTGGGAGATTGCTAAATACCACGTAAACTTGAAGCGACAACAAAACACCCCCCAGGGATCGTGTGCAATGTACCATATGATTCTGATTTCTCGCCCGCCGCTTCAATCGTGGAAAATTGGACATCCGATTCATTTCTGTTCTATGGCGCACCGCACCGCCCTGGCTCTCTCCAAGCGTGGGCCAGACTCCATGCACTTTTGCCCTGCCTTTTGACATCCAGAAGGGTGACTGTAGCTATTTTCCTTCCCATCCGCACGCCGTATGGTTCAAGCTTTGGTTGCTTAGGAGAGCGCACCAATGATGCCTTGCGCAAGGCCTCCTCCGGTCTCATCAGTCCTTATACTAACTTTGACAGTGACACCAGTCTTCGCCGAAAACACCATCTTCACCAGGGCTGCCACTCGCCCACCAGAGACAGACTTGCCGTACAACTTCAGGGTGTGGGTTGTGTTGGATAGAACCACGTCGGTGCCGTCGAGGGGTTGCAGAGACATGGCTTGCGAGAGTTGTTCTGTGGCGTCTTCAATGTCATGCGTGTTAGCACTGATACGGGAAAAACACATGAAAATGGTCGAATGCTTACCAGCCAACGACTTGACACTGCCCAACACCAGTGTCTCGCCAACTTCCTCTCCGTTCGCTCCTGTGCCCTCCCAAATGTGATCGAAATTTCCCGCGAATGCGGGACTGACGAAATCCGCGCCGGTCAATTCCAGATTCTCGACTTCATATTCATCTTCATAGCCACCTTCTTCGGCGTCGCCCGTGGTGGGATCAATTTCTTTACTCGTAAACCTGAGGACGTTCGTAAATGTGGTGATTGGAAAGGCGGATGCACCACCGAGTTTGCGGAACGCGACGTACACGACGCCTGGTTCGTTAGTTTTCAAGGCGGTCGCGGGAATAATGAATTCTTCCTCGAGTGTAGGCTCTTCGTCGGAAGGTGAAGCTAAGACGGTCACATTCTCCAGGACAGTCTGATCGAGGGTATTTTTGATGTCGTACTGTACCACGACATGTTCTTTGAAGACATGCTTGACAGCTGACACGACGTACTCCGTTTCGCTTTCTGTGAGTTCAACCACTGCACTCGATTTCAGCACTGGGCCATAGGCTGCAAGCTCGGGTATCCTCGAGAAGATCTGCGTATATTTCTGTGCAGCGACTACACCAGCTCCCGGGTCTGCGGCTCCGTTCACCTTAGGCTTCGCTGGTCCGGTACTTGGTGCTTTCAAGGTGGGGGTTGCGGTGTTGAGTTTCTTCGTGCGCTCTTCAGCCAACGCCTGTTCATGAGACACCACTGGCACCGAATTGATATCGAATGCCTTAGCAAACACTGACTTGTTGTCGGACGTTACATACATGACCAGTTTGTGTTCAAAGGTTGACAGGGAGAACATCGAGTCGTTTTTGATGAAACGGTCTGCAATGTCGTCTTCTTCGTGCATTAACCGTAGATTGAGCGCCGCTCTATCACGCACCTCGTCATCCGTGTCGTCAAGACATCTCGTCAATAGAACCTCAACACTCTTTTTGACCTCAGGGTCCTTCTGTCCGACACCAAATTTTGCCAGGGCGGTTACTGCTGCGGCGCGGACCAATGCATTCTCCAACACGACTCGGTTGTAGATATACCGGATATATTTTGTAGGTTGCGGCGTCTTGGGTCCTTCCACGCCGATAAGATGCAGAATCCGCACCGCAAGCTTGGTGAACTCGCAATCTTCAATGAACTCGCACAGGTGTGAGAGCGTCTCCTCTTTGCTTCCCGGAACAAACTTGATCAAATCGAACATACTCTCCACCACAGCACGTTTGAATTCATAACCCCCTTCGTCCCGCAGGATACCACTCAAGAAGGTGAGCATGCCGGCCTGTTTGCTGGGGAACTTCATGCAGAGCGTTCGGATAGCCTCGACGATGGTGATCTTGAACTCGTCTGTAATCTCGGTCATGAAACCAGATATTTGCTTCATGAGCCGGTCAACGCTCGCTTCATTGCCCGTCTTCAATAATGTGGTGATTGCAAAAGTGGCGATCGACCGATTACTGTTGGAAATTAGAGCTTCGATATCTGGATTCGCGGAGTGAACGGCTTGGGGTTTGAAGGAGGCAAATGAGTGAAGGATACGAATGGCCGCGAATTTCGTCACTGCTCTCGGGGATGTCAAGTAGGATTGCAGAACGTGGATCGCTTGCGCAGCCTCGGCATCGGTCACGTCTGGCATATTGCAGATGGCTTTTGCGGCTTCAAAGTTGACCATCTCGCTCTTGTGCCGTAGCCAGGTGTCCAACATCTGCATCATGGGTTTTCTGAGACTGGGATCCTCCTCCGCGAGGCGGGCCGCTAGTCGGACCAACATCATGACTCCGGCCGGACTCTTGACCGCTCCTGCTGCGCCGTATTGCTGCACCATCTTGACCAGAGCCATGCGGTCATGCGACCGCATCTGATATAGCAGTCCAATTGCGTGGTATTGGTTCATATAATTCGTGTTTGAAGCGGCCAGGGAATGCTGGGAGCTACCCCCAAAGCTCAGAAATCCTCCGCTGGGTTTGTACGAGGAAGCGGCTTCCTGTGTCTCACTCTGCCACCTCCTGACCACATCTCTGGCAATTGGAAGTAGATGATACGAGGAGACCAGCGCCGCCGAGGACACAGCGGGGGATTTATCGACAATGGCGGTTTTGATGAGTCTCTCAATGCCCTGAACAGTCGTGGCATCTATGATTCTGCAGAGTGCCCGGATGGCGTTGGCCTTGTAAATGATCTCGCTGCCCACCGTCATATCCTTCATGATGATACTCGTAGACATGATGACATCTTCAGCGGTGTGTGCCAGCTCTTTCAGGATCAAGTAGACCATTTGACGTAGCGAGGGGTCCTTGTTCTGAAACAACTTTGAGATGCCAAAGAAGAGAGTAGTTGCTTCGTTTGTCGGGAATCTCTCTCCCGTGAAGAGGAGGACGGCGATCTTGGTGAGCAGTGTCCGGCATTTTCGGGGTGATATAGGCGAAGAGTTGAACAGCCGAGCTGAGGGAAACTTGGGTTAGTCTTTTGCAGTTGGGATGTCGAGTAATGAGGCCGCAAGGGGGAAATACCATCTTGGAAGACAGATGTGCGATCCAGCTTGAAGCCGGAGTGCTCGGCATCCTCGTCCTTTTTGGCGTAACTCATATTGAACGACAGTACCACGCACGCATTCAATCGACGGTTGGTAGGGATTCAGGATGACAGCGAGGGCCCCCTAGTGCGAGCGAGGACGAGCTGGGACGAGATTTGGTGTGCTACTACCGTGGAATCATCTCGCAAGGATCAATGGTCAAAGAAAAGAACGCTGTGAAAAGAAGGTAAGGAGATGTCAAGCGGAGGGAGGAGGAGGAGGACGCTGGCGTGTTGCCAATTGCTGTCGATGGGCATCCGACGTGGGCTGGAGTTGTCGACGGTGTCCTCCTCCATTGCCAAGAGAAATAAAATCGACCCCGGGCTCCCCCTTCCCTGGGACTAGGGTGATGCCGCCCTGTACTCGCCCCCCAGCTCGGGGGTTGGGTCTAACTAATATGGGGACGAATAATACCTAACTAACGGATCTCTATGTCATCTGGACAGATCTGAACACAGAGGGGGCAGAGGTCCTCCGAGGCACGCCGCATCACTTCTGGGCGCAAGGGTTGGTCGGAAGCCATCTGCTGTGCGAGTCGCCCTCGTTTAGGAACCGAGAGATAAATACTCTGGACGAAGTCTGTCCTGTACTTGATCGGGAGGGTTTAAAGCGGCATGAGCAACAACCGGCCGCCACACTGTGGCTTTTCACTTCTTCACGCCACTTGCTTGGAAGGTCGCTGATGAGAATGGAAAACTTAGGTATTATTATTGTCTCATCTCGTTGCCGTCCTCACGAGACTCTTACTGTATTCTACCTTCGGTTTTCATTGCCAAACCCACCCCCTCTTGATGCACAATGGATATGCCAGTGAACGTCCCTGTCGATGATCCCAACGCAGATACAGAATGGTTTGTTTCTACCCGGTTTTCCCGCCCTGTGCTTTCACTTTCCTGGTCCGTCTAATATGCTTTGCGTGGCACATACAGGAACGACATTCTTCGCAAGCATGGCATCATTCCCGAAAAACAACCCGATCCAGAACCCATTATCCAGGAAGCTTTACTCGAAGCCGTCAAGAAGGCCCACGAGAACCGGCTGGAGGATAAAGACTTGGATGAACTCCATGACTTGGAAGACGACGAAGATGAAGCCTTTCTCGAGAGTTACCGCCAGAAACGCCTCGCCGAAATTGCAAGCCTGCAGAAGAAGGCCCTTTACGGCCAAGTCTTTCCGCTCCAGAAGCCAGACTACGCTCGCGATGTTACAGAAGAGTCGTCCAAGGCATTTGTCTTGGTCAATATGACGTCTTCCCTGGGCACCAATGTCGAGTCTCGGGTCCTGTCTGAGATCTGGAGACAGGCGGCGAGAAAATTTGGAGATGTAAAGTTCTGCGAGATCCGCGCTGATCTTTGCATTGAAGGCTATCCCGAGAAGAACACGCCTACCATTCTGGTCTACAAGGACGGCGACATCAAGCGCCAAATTGTCACCCTGACACAGCTTAATGGTGTGAGGACGAAGCTGGGAGATCTTGAGCGACTTTTGGTTGAAGTTGGTGCGGTCAGGGAGAACGACATGCGACTCAGACGAAAGGATGATGACGACGAAGATGAGAAAAACAACAATCAAGACGACGATGATGATTGGGACTGATACAATGATTCCTTCAATTGGGTTGCAGTCTTCAACCTTAGCCATGCTGATGACTATGAACCCTGGCCATCGGCCAAGGGGGAATGGCGACGTGGATACCTATACGGCAGAACACAAGCATGCATCATTCCAGAGTTGCTGAGCCCTCCGTTTTCGCAATGACATTATTGGTTGCCCAACAAATTCCAAGACACGGCCACCGTAAACTGACCGCAGCTTCCAGGACTGCCACACTTATAAGGCTGGACTTTCTCCTGGCCGGGCTCGCTCACAGCGGTGGGGCTCTGCGATACCAAATAACACCATGGGATTTGCCGAAGCTCGCCGGCGCCGTGAACCACAAGGGGCGCTCAGAAGAGATACTCCGCCCGGCACATGTATCCCAGATCCTGAAGAACTTAGGAGGGTGCAAATCGTCGTCCAATGGGCGGTGATTGACGACTCGCATGCAACCCAGATGGGGCATCTTTAGCCACATGGGGCATCGTTTTGATGAGAACCAAGGGTTGGAGGCTCGCACATCTCCTCAGGTAATCAGATCCACCAGATCAGGCTCGTATCTGCCAAAGATCGTCATGGGTCTCTCGGAAAGAAGCAGCCTTTGCAGCAGGTACGCGGCAGGGTCCCAAGCCTATGTATACTTGTGTCACTCGTGGCGCCCACGTTGGGTGAAATGGGGTGAAAGGGTTCAGCTGACATAATGTCGCCAAGGCCCAAGGCCCATTTGTCAGAAAGACTTTGATCCACTTAAGTAAAAGGCTGAAGAGCGTTGCATGTAAATCTCCCCCCCTCCCCTTGCAGAACTGCATGCCCAGATAGCTGCGGCGATTCGGGGCATTACTTTGTGATAAAGGATCCTCACCACCCAAGAAAGTCGACACGTACACCTTCGGGTAGTATGTATGTCATTCCGTTATAGCTGGAGTGTTGAACATTTTGCACAAGTGACGCTGACAGAATCCCTCCAAATGCTTTGCAATTCGCTTGAGAGCTTAGTAAACCAAAACTCCAGGGCGCCAACGCTTGATCATAGCAAGTTTGAACATAGAAGGTCGACGGATAGGACAGAGGTGAGGCACCAGTTGCGGTGCGAAAGACGAGAGGAAAGCCTCATATCAGCTCGTCCCGCCCTCCGGCAACGGCGCTCTCGGCAATCGCTCGCCGGACATCACTCTCGAGGAAGATTGGCCCTTGGCCGTCACACCTTGCCATTTTTTTTAAACGCTCACAAACGTCGCCGACGTCCACCAGGCCCTTGCGGAAGAGCTCATGAGCTTGGATGTAGTCCCAAGTAGCGCCAGCCCCAAGCAGCGGCTCGCCAGTATCGTTGTCCAATGTGATGGTCCTTAGCGTGCCAAAGTGGGCATATTTGGAACCGATGTCGAAGGAGGAACCACTGCTGCTAGCCGGCGAGCGGTCTTTCGGGTGTCGATCGGTGGGCACAAACCCCAGCGGGCCGACCAACTCATCTGGCTCTTCCATAAATGGTGTCGGACCATTCGATGCCGCACCAGATGTGGCACGAAGAATCTCGTTCTCGGTTGCAATTTTTGCGAGCTCGCGCCGGAGCCGCTCGTTTTCGCCGTTCAGGGTCACAGACTGGTGTTGCAGGCTTGTCAGCTTGGCCTCGAGATCCTTCACGTGCTTCTCCTTTCGCTCGCGAAACGCTCTCTGACTGATGGTCACTGGTTAGAATTCATCTTACTCCCTCAGAGATCTACTAGTCAGTGGGTCTTACGCAGCTCTGTTTTGTGCCTTCCTTCGACTCTGCTGAGGTGTCAAGGTATCCTTCTCTTCGCTGCTACTTCTTGCGGCGGCTGGTTCGTCGGGCGTCATGTCTATCGCCGACGTAGTAAGACTGGTCATGTCGACTTCCGGCATAGATACCATCGAGTCATGGCGACCTTGGATCGGGGGAGATTGGGTGGATGATTGATGCGGCTGCGCGAGGAAAGTGGCAGGGTCATAGTGGAAGCTCTGCTGAAACGCCGCGAAGGCAGCGTCATATTGATCCTACAGCAACGGTTAGCAACCTTCTTGACAAGTCTCGTGGGCTGGGAGCAGCTAACGGTCGAAGGAGCGGTCCTGAACTCGTCCAGATGACCCGTTTGAGTTGTGGAAGGCGTATGAGGCAAGCCAAAGAACTGATATGGTTGCGGGGCTGAGGTGAAGTATGAGAAGTCCATGGTTCGACTAATTCGAGGCTGGGAACGTAGAATTGAAGTTGGGAAAACGTCGAGTCTGCGTCCTGTGGCGTCCCTGCAGATACCTTCCTTCTCTTGTATCTTAAAGGCAGTTGAACCAGATCTCCCCGCTGACAGCCGTGGCGGCGAGACTCAGTTATCGCTTTATGAAAGAGGGCTAGATCGAGGCAAAGGCCGACCACCTGCACATGCGTAGAGTCGCAATAATGGAGATGGCCGCGAGACGGGTGGAGGAAACAGCAGAGTGGCAATGGTACGCAGGCGTTTCACGGGAAGGACCAGAGGCGCAGTTGGGAGTATTCAACGAATTGTCGACGGAAGATGCATCGTGCGAGTTCAGGGGTATCGAGGACAGGCGCGAAGTCAAGACTGACAACCTTTCTAATCGGCGGGGTGGGCAGCAGCTGAACAGAGCTCCTTGTAGCTCTCCTCTGCTCTCTGCAGGAAACGGAGCAGGTGTGAGGCGACTGTCAGGGGACGATATGGAGAGTATTAGGATTCCAAGGGATTGGGGGAATGGGGAGAAAGGGGACCGTTGTGAGACTGACGACGAGATGGAAGGATTTGAGGGCGATCGCGCAAGGGAATCTGCAGGGCAAGTCTCTTGACTCTTGGGAGGAACATCTGTGGCATCCGGATTGGCCTTGTTGCACAGTGGGAGATGCCCGTGGCCGGGCGTGGAGGGGCACCGGGCCCGCCTAGTGGCCTAGCTGACTTAGTTAAAGGCCCTGTCCATGGCGCCAGCACGGTTTGGGTACTCGGTATACTGTGCTGGTAGAGGGGGTGCATGGTTTGGGCGGCCACCCCTTTTGGCTGAACCCGGGCCAATAGGTGCTTATCGGCGGGCGGCGACCGGTGGCAGCTCGTACCTAGTACCTAGTAGTACTTGTTGGACTGCGTACTCACCTACCTAACTACCTACCTACCTACAACTTTCCCATTCACCAAGTCATTATTTGGGCACACGCAGCCGTCCATTCTTTTCGACTCAAGAGCTAGGGCACCGGGCAGGGCAGGACGGCTCGGGGACTAGAACCGGGCATGGGATCTGCTAGAGGCCGAGGTGATCGGGGAGATGGACTTTCACGACCTCTAGGATTGCGACAGTTTGGAGAAGCCAGATGCCAAATGGGCGAGATGGGCCTGTACTGTACAGGGCTCCCTCATGGGGTGCTCATGGGTGCACTTGGTACACCACAGGCATGACTAAGGCAGCAATTAGCCACGCCTCACAGAATCCAGGGCCACCCGAGCGACCAGTGAGAAGAACCCCAAAGCAACGAGGGGAGGAAACTAATTCCCGGGCGAATACTACAAAACATGTCGAGGGGCCACCCGTGCTCGGTTGGCCTTCTCTGTGTCCTACGACCTGACCAGCAGCCCACCGTCCACCATACGCCACCCCTGCACCTAACGCCAACGGCTGCCGCCCAACCAAAGATAATCGAATGCAGAGACCAGGGGGATTGCAGACTGACTCAGCAAGAGTCTACGGCCGACAGATGGCGTGCCCTGCGACCCTGCACCCTGCTTGAAAGTCCTAGAAAATTGCCAGCCACCCACGGCGCGACGAAGCCTAACGATGGCTGTCTCCAGGACGAGACAATCGCTACTTGGTACTTCCGGAGGACAGAGAGACCCCCTACGGAGATTTCTTCAAACGAGGGACGAGGTCTCGAGTGCTCGTATGCTCTGATCCCGCCGTCGCGACTCCAGCCGGGCCGTCTACGAGAGGGACAGTGGTCGGTGAAGGGATCGTATTCATGGCGGTCCAGTCCTGCCGCACAGAGGCGACACTCTGCTACTAACTACTTGACTTGAAACGGATGCAGATCGTGATCCAAAGTCCCACTCCCCCTTTGAGGGTTCTTGTTACAGAACTGACTGATATAACCGTAGCCTTCAGGATCCTTCCAGCCAACGGCAGTTGAAATGTGCCCGTAAGCACTGCTCTTTTTCCCAGTCTCCTTCCCGGGTCTATTAAAGCCGAGACAGAGGAAGCTCAGGGGCCACTTCTTCAGCTTCCTGACGACGTGGGCGACAGTCAGATAGTGGTCGAGGATCATCGTGTTACTTGGCCCTTGCAAGCGAGAGGACCAAAAGCTGGGGGCGAAACAACGTGGAAAGCGGGACGGCCAGTCGCTGAAGTAAGCTTTCTTCTCACAGACGGTCACCTGGGTAGGCAGGACACATCTGGTGGCCGCTGTTCTGTCGAGATATCGTTAATTTTTTCCTTTTTCTCTGTTTTCTTCTTCTTGTTTCTCAGTGGCAAACGCAAGGCAGGTCATCGTTGGATAATATCTATCCCGAGTCCCTCGCGACACTTTTGTGCGGCTCCAGACGCACTGGTGACAAAGCACGGGCAAACTGGAGATGACAGTGCTCCGAGCATGGCCGAACGTCCCCAGAACTCCGAACAACAATATAAGTCTCTGCCCCCGCTCAACATTCCGACGGGCCTGCAATTTTGCGAAGGAGTATTGCCCGGAGGACCAACCCTATTTCTGCCGCTGGACAATTCCATCCAGTTATTACAACCAGAAATGCTTAGGCAGGAATAAGCCCCGGATCGCTGTCTGATGACAAGAGATGGTGTGCTCTAGTTGGAAGATCATCCGTTCATCGAATGAAGGCTCTGTTCCCAATCAATCAGCACTTGCCATCTCGCTTCGATAGACGAAGCGAAACTCGGGCCCGAGATACGGCGTCCAATTTCTCTTCTTTTGGACGTTGGGGATAACTCGAGACCTGACCGTGGAGGAGCAGCGCTCTTAGCATTATTGTATCCCTAGAGCTTCTTGACCGTTGGTGCCGCTTCTTCTTGCCGCAAGGGGAAAGAAAAAAAAGAACAGAGTGGTACATCTATCTTGGGAGGCATATCTGCTGGGGACCTGCAGCTCAGTGCAACAACGACGCCGTTGACATCATTTGAGGCTGCGGGGTCAGCTCTACCTGCTGCTTCTGCGTTGGCCGGGCTGCTGGAGAGGATGTTGTGGGTAGTTTTGTTGGCTATTCTGGTATCACCTGACAGGAACAAGCTGAATAGACATGCAGCGTTCAAGCAGGTGGCACTCGGGACTTTGCTTGTAATGGTCAAAACCCGCCACAGCCCCAACGTGCTCCCCCTGGTTGAACAGCGCTTGGTCATGCCTACAGCTGCAGGCTAGACTTTAGTCTGTGTCGACCGGATCCCAGTCAGTCACCAAGTATTCGTCTAAACCGTCCATGGTCTGCATGTCGTCGCTGGATATGTCGAAATGACCAACATTGCCATTTGCCTTGATTCGATCTCGCGATACACTTTTAGGCAGTGGAATATAGCCGTGTTGGAGACTCCACCGGACCATCAGTTGGGCAGGGGTGCATTTGTATTTCTGGGACAGTGAGACAATGGTCGGGTGGCCCATGCGGAGGGCTCGTGCAAGAGGGGCGTAGGCTTCTATCAGAATTCCATATTTGCGACACGTTTCGACGATCTCTGTCCGCGTATTGAATGCTAAATCCATGAGTTCTGTCAGTGTGGTCACTCCCCATTGTGTTCAGCCAACATCCATCTCTTATCTACTGAGGGGTCACCGGCGATATGGGGGACAAGATCAACTCACGGTGAACTTCGATCTGATTTACACAGGGCATGATGCGCGGCTTCGCGGCGACCAGCTCGTCCAAATGCTTGGTTCCAAAATTACTGACCCCTCCCAGCTTGACCTCGCCGTCCTGGATAGCATCTTCGACAGCTCTCCAGCAAGAGAGCCGAGCGTTTTTCCCGCCGTAAGGGCTGTGAAGAAGGAACAAGTCAATGTAACCTAGGCCGCTTGTTTCGACGGATCTTCTGATGGAGCGACGAGCAGTGTCATAGCTAGTGTTTGTGGCCAATTTAGAGGTGAAGAAGATGTCCTCACGGGTCAGGCCTGTGGTATTAAGAGACTTGTCATCGAGGAAGGATAAGATGGCCTGACCGCAGGCTCGTTCATTGTGGTACATCTGAGCACTGTCGACCCCACGATAGCCGGCTTCGAGGGCCCATTTGACTGCCTCAAATGCCTCTCGTTCTGACATCAAGTAGACGCCCAACTGTATCTGAGGAATAGAGAGACCATTGGAAAGAGGGAGGCGGGTGGCTAGTGAAAAGGTGTTGGACGCCATTGACGGTGGTGGTGGTGGAAGCTGTCTTATCCACAACCGACCGCTGCCGACGAGGTGCCCGGTTGAGAATTAGGTGGGCGCCGTGGTGGTGGTGGTGGTGGTGGTGGTGGTGGTGTGTGTGTGTATATATGTTTTCCTTCTCTTTCTCTGGGTTCTGAAATTGGCAGGACACCAACTCGTGGCGGATTCTTTTGCCGGCCAGGAAATTATTTGAATCGCTTGGAGGATCATCAGGATGTGATTCGTCTCGCAGGTCGCGAGGTGGTTCGTGTGGGTGGGAGGCTCTCTCGTGTTAATGCCAATGCCAATCCGACCTTCCCCGGCCCAGCATCCAAGACACGACATCAAAACGCCCTCAATGCCCGTTATCTAGGTGCACGCCCACACCTTGCTCTGCTAAGAGCATCAATTTCACTCAACCTGGAGACCAACAAGCCCATTTTTATCACTGACCATTCTGATTGAATCTACTGTTTCTCTGTTGTAGCGAGAGAAATCCGTCGTTCAACCCCCCTCCTCCCCGGAGCACATTCCCGCGCCTCTTCAGCTGGTGCTTGGACATCTTCACCGCTCCCCGTTTCCGCATGTCAACAACCCTGTGGTCTCGGCACGTAGCATGGAGGCATAGTTCCGTCGAACGTGTCAACATTCTGGTTGTCTGATATATCGACGCTGCGTGTCTCATGATGCGCCCATTGGATACGTTTGAGCTTGAGCCTGATGCCACTTCATCCACGACTGATCGCGGGAGGGAGACTTGCATGCCTCTCTTTTCCTCTGCAAAGCGCCCTCGACTTTGACGGAGCATTTGGCACAATCCTTGTGGCTTGCTAGCCAAGATGGCGTTCTCGTCGTCTTCATCCGAAAGTAATTTCAGCGGCCCGAGATCTGTTCGTGATGCAGCGTTTACCGGCATCAGTAGCCCTTCGGAGGCCGGAAGTCAAGGCAGACGCGGGGGCGGAGGATTCCAGTTCGACATCATTACATGGTTTCCCAAATATCAGAGCTGTCAGCGCTATTTTATAGACCATGCTCAACACGAGCCACTTGTCCAGGCATTTGCATCCTTCATCAACATCCTGCTCCCATTTCAGCGTCAGCCACACCCAGTCTTCAGCACATCCGGATCTCGGAGTGGCAAAGCGAGGCTGGATAGAGATCCAGGGAGAGCGTCTGCTTCCGAGGCAGCAGCAGCCACCTCTGCCGTGTCCCTCGTCCCATACCTGCGGCGTCTTGTGGTCACTGGTATGGATGTGCCCCAAGTATTACACGGTTTTTTCGGTGACGACTGGCGAGCAGGGGTCGGGCCGCAACGAGAGCAAGAAAGGCGGAACTACCTCTTTGCCGCCAAAAGTGGCGGCTGGGCATCGGTCAAAAGAGACTATGATATGCTCCCCTTGGAGACGGTACCCTTCATGCGGCCACTGTATGACCCGACTGACGCTGAGATTGACGCTGCCGAGAGGACCTGGAGTGAATGGCTGGCTCTCGAAGATTGGATGGTGGGCTCGCGTGCACCAGATGGCGATACAAATGAAATCTCATAGGGAGAGAGGATACCACGACTTTACCACAGATGTGTTTACTGAGCTAGCCCAGTCAGCGTTTAGGAAGAGGGAGAAATACGGGATCGTCATTATCAGGAACCATGACATTTATCATAGCGTTGCTGTCTGTGTTTTTAGCATTTCCTTTACCGGATTTTGCCTCAGCCTCGCCAACCATAGTTTGTTTTTTTTAGCGCAAGGCTGCAGCCGTTTTGGTCCGAGCGCGTCTTGAATCTCAGAATCTCAGAACCTGATAAAACTCGATCCATCACTGCATCCCTTTCGTTATGTTTCTTTCACGCCGGTGTTTCTAATTGTTCTCGTCTCTTGCAGTCCAACCAATTTGTCGCCCCATTCTCAGTCTCGTTTGCCACTCACTTTCGTGAACATATTTTGTGATTGTGGCCACGACATGATTCGCCACCATCTTCACCTGATCCGATCTGCTGTCACTATTTTCATATAGAAGTGACACGCCTCCAAGAGGGAAACACATGAGATGGCGAGCAACGCTCATATGTTGTTGGACCCAAAGTCGATAAAGAAGATGGCTAAGACGTCAGGTAAGAATGAACGCATTGCTCTTGATATCCCCAAACCCCGCGACAAACCTTGACCAGCATCAAGTTGTCTGCCTGGGTTCGGATAGACCACATGATGGTGAACCCAGATCAATGCGTTCTGTATTGTTGTTTAGAAGGGGGGAGGGGGGCGGGTCGGCGGGGGAGGAAACAAAGGACGAGGCTCAAAAAGAAGACTATCAAGTTTGTCAAGCGCAAGCACTTAAAGAAGAGTTCAGCCCAAAGTTATCTGAAACTACTGACAAACTGACACTCCTTCGCATTCAGGGATTCATGGCAGTCGTACGGCTAAGGGCACTCATACCTCCCACGAAGGGTCGCAGACTCTACAGAAAGCAGGCTCTACAACATCACGCTCAGTGTCTCCTTTAAACCCATCCAACAACATCTCAAAGCTGCCCAACGCATTTCATCCTAGAGCTCTCCTCGACCCCGGTAAATCACATCAGACTTCAAAGTCAGCGACATCTGCTTCAACTTCGATGGACCCTTCGTCTCAAGGAGGAACTGGTCAGATGGGTGGTCCCAAAAAATCCATGCTCGAAAGCCTGTACGGCATCGAAGATCGCCTCAACAACCCACGGAAAAAGTTGAAACTGAGTGTTGAGGACCAGCACGAGCAAGCACCAAAGATGGGCACCTCCTCTCACCGTAATGGCAACGGAATTGTCGGTGCATATATGCGACCAGATCCTGAACAGGCGATTGAAATGACGAGAAGTCTGGTGGATCTCACAAACGACGAAGAGGATGTCGATGACGATGAGGTACAAATTGTTTCCTCTCGGTCTCTCGCTGATCAAGAAGTATGCTATGGCCACGTCGCAACAGCCGCACAAGCCTACCTCCTCCCTAAACCCAAGACATCCGCAAACGCCTTCCACCAAGAACGAGAGTGGCCCGTTATGAGGTGTACGCTCATCCGCATACCGTCGAAGGACACAGTAATTGACGTTCAGGATCCGTGGGAGACGGCATTTGCTAGAGTCCACCCCGACTTTGCTGTAGTGCTTGCAATGCTGATGGACAACATGAGAGGGTTTCGGACGCAGGCGAAACTAATCAATCGGCGCAAGAAACCAGACGAATGGCCGCATCAGCCCTGCTCCGAGCAGCTCAAGATGGTAGTGAACCTCTACGGCCGACGTGGAGATGCCAATAGAGTCGGCCAGCTTCTCGGCCAGAACAACTATTTCCTCCGCTCACCAATGGCGTCGGAGCCTGGTATACCGATTGTCAACCCGCACGCCCAGAACAAGCCACTATTCAACAATACTCGAATCTCGGGCCAAGCGAGAACTTTGGCGGACACGCGAACTCTCGAGGAAGCGACAGAGGCGGTCTCGAAGCTCTTTGATTCTTTTGCCAATGCGAGTGGTCCGCTGGTTGAAACCAGTCCGCCAGAGTCTATCATTACTACCGCTCTGCTCTCCCACCAGAAACAGGCTCTGACATTTCTGCTGCGGCACGAGCAGCCACGTACCTTTGGCAGCGATGAAGCAGACAATTCCTCACTCTGGCGGCGGAAACAACGCAGAAACGGGGATGTCGCTTACCACGAAGTTGTCACCGGCATCTCTGTCAAGGACGAGCCCGATCAAGTACTTGGTGGTCTTCTTGCAGATGTCATGGGTCTTGGAAAGACGCTGGAAGCTCTTTCACTTATTGCAAGCACGTTGGAAGAAGCCGAATCTTTTGCGAATGAGAAAGTAGTCCGCGACAATGAGGACATGCGGCACATCATATTATCAAACACAAAAGCGACACTGATAGTCTGTCCGACCAGCACTGTCAAAAACTGGGAGGACCAGATCGCACAGCACATCAAACCTGGAACTATGAATTACCACGTCTATCACGGCTCCAATCGCGAGAGGAATCCGTACAGGTTGCTAGGGTACGAAATGATCATCACGACGTACGGTGTAGTAGCGTCCGAGTTCTCCAAGACCACTCTAACACAGAGCCCATTGAGACAGCTGAAATGGTTCAGGGTAGTGCTCGACGAGGCGCATACGATTCGAGAACAAAAGGCTCTCCAGTCTCAAGCCTGCTACAGTCTGGAAGCCCAACGCCGCTGGTGCCTAACCGGGACACCGATTCAAAATCGATTAGACGACCTGGGATCTCTGACGAGGTTCCTCCGCATGTATCCATACGACACAGCAGGTCGATTTAATCAGTACATTCGAGGGCCAGCCCAAGCGGGCGATCCGGCTTTCTTGAAGGCGTTGCGTGTGTTTGTGGACTCGTTCACTCTCCGTCGTCTTCGAGATCGGATTGACCTCCCGGAGAGAAAAGACTATGTTGACAAATTGGTTTTTTCGGATGCAGAGAGAAGGCTGTACGACTTCTTCAAAAGCATTGCTCACGTCCAAATCGAAGAGCTCACTCGTGCCAGGGAGAAGAACAGTGGTGTTCAGCATCACGTGCTTCGTGGCATTATGACCTTACGGCTAATTTGCGCCCATGGTCGGGAGTTACTCAAGGAGAAAGATCTAACACTGCTGAAAGGGATTAGCGCTAATGATGCCATTGACGTCGACGAAGATGTCGCACTGCCGACCATTTCAAGAAAAGCGGCCTACGAATCGTTGAACTTGAGGACCGAAGCTGAGCTGGATGTGTGCCGAAACTGTGACCGGAGTATAACCAAGGATATTATAAGGACTGAAGTGGACGACGAGGAGCAGGCGCTGCGATGCTTCATCCTCCCATGCTTCGACCTAGTTTGCGCCGACTGTTTTAATCCAGCAAAAGCATCCTTCGACAGTGTACCGGACAAGGAAGCTGTCACCTGTCCGTTCTGTTCCGCCCAGATTGCTGCGCAATACGTCGGATTTAGTGGATCCACGGCACAGGAGATTCTCGTGGCGCCAGACGACACCATTGCCGAACAGGAAGAGGAGGAGTGCGTGCAGACATATTCTGGACCTCATACCAAGACGCAAGCGCTTTTGGCAGACATTGAGCAGATGAACCAAGACAGTCAAGCGTTTGAAGCCGCCGGAGAAGCTCCTCTGAAATGTGTTATCTTTTCCGAATTTACATCGCACCTGGATCTCATTGGGAGGGCTTTGACCGATCAAGGTCACTCATTTGTACGCATTGACGGCACGATGTCTCTTAGCAACCGCAAGAAGTCGATGGATGCCCTCGCATCGGACAACAACATCAGAATCCTCTTGGCATCGATCAAAGCTGCCGGCCAGGGACTAAATTTGACGACGGCATCGCGCGCGTTCATCATGGAGCCGATGTGGAACCCAGCAGCCGAAGCGCAAGCAGTGGATCGAATCTATCGTATCGGACAGAAGCGGCCCGTTCTCGTCAAACGATACCAAATGGAAGACAGCATCGAGGGCAAGATCGTGGAATTGCAGAGACGAAAACAACAATTGGCTGACGTGTCGGTGAATCAAAATTACAAACAGCTGAGCAAGCAGGAGGTGCGAGAGCAGCATATGAAGGAGATTTTGGCGCTGTTCAAATGATGACGGGTCTCCTCGCAGCACTGAGTCTTGGGGCGAGTTGGAAGTACACCGCAGTTGCCTCCAGACACTGTATCACAACATGGCTGATGGAGTTGCCATGCAGGCGGAAAAGGAGATTTTGACAATACCACAAGGCGTCGATATTGATTCGCATAGGCGTTAGACACTGGAAACATCACATGGCTGGTCCAAGGCCCCAGTGAGCGGTTATGAAGCATGCAAGAGATGTACCCAGGCAGCATTTTGCAGCAGAGAGGCATGAACTCGATGACAGTTTTTTTTTTCTTTCTCTCTTCTGCAGACAGTGTTCGCTAGCATGTGGCTTGCAGGAATGGAAGTAGTGCGAGAGGTACTGTATGCTCGGTACCTGGTAGTTAGCGCTGAGGCCAGACCCGGTGGTTAACCAAACTACGCATGAGAGACCCCAAATTACGTCGATAGGTACCTCGATAGCTACGGGTCGTGGAGCGGTAGGCGAGGTTCCGGGTGTATGGCAAGGTGGAAAACCTGTTGCGCCCCAGCCATTCCAGTGGCAGACGCCCCCGTGGGATCGGATACCGAGCCTATCACTGCCCCTGGAGCCACCGTTCAATGGGCCTGACGCCACTGACGATTGCCCATGACCAGGTTCCTGCCCAGATTCTAGCCCCCGAGCCACCTAACCACGATTAGGCAGTGGGTATTAATGGTGAATGGGAGTGGGATGCAAACAACAGCCACCGACACCGCCGGCTGCCAATTCCCATTAAGAATTCGATTTCGCCGATCGTCATTGCGGCTAAGGACACCACGCTGGTGCGACTGGGGAAATTTTCTGTTCCCCTACCTCTCGCTCTTCATTTATTTACCTGCTTCTCTGTCGTTGCAAGAAGCTGCAGCTCTCCCTTCTCGCCACATTTCCCTCTCCGTTGCAGGTGCTGATCTGCGTGAACAGCAACCCTCCGATCACAAGATGGTTGTTGTAGACCACCATGAGTATCTCTGCGAGGAAGAGAAACGGCTGAAAGAGGACCGTGAGCGCACGAAATACTGGAAGAAATGGGGCCCTTACGTGGCTGAACGTCAATGGGCAACTGTGCGCGAGGACTACTCGGACAATGGTGACGCCTGGAGTCATTTCTCTCACGACCAGGCCAGGTCGAGAGCCTACCGCTGGGGTGAAGATGGTATTGCGGGTGTGTCCGACACTCATGGGCTCCAGAACGTTGCCTTCGCGTTTTGGAACGAGAAGGACGACTTTCTGAAGGAGAGGCTCTTTGGCCTCAGCAATCCCCAGGGCAACCACGGTGAAAGTATCAAGGAGGCACACTTCCATCTGGATAACGTTCCCACGCATTGTGAGTCGGACTGGCCGTAAATTCGAGCAACAATAAGCTGACTTCTTCTCAGCATACATGAAATACCTCTACAAGCTCCCTCAGAGGCGGTTTCCCTACGAGGAGTTGATCAAGGAAAATGCGAAACGTGGGAAGCTTGAGCGCGAGTTCAACATCATCGACTCGGACGCTTTCAAGGATAATCGCTACTTCGACATCTTTATTGAAACTGCAAAAGAGACGGACGATCCAGAAGAGTTGCTTTTTCGAGTGACCGCATACAACCGTGGCCCGGAACCAGCTCCGTTACATATCATCCCTCATATGTGGTTCAGGAACACTTGGTCTTGGGGCCGCGAGCCTGAAAAGCTCAAACCCAATATTCGCATGGTGGGACCGATGACCGCACAGTCCAAACATCACAAGCTGGGTCATCGCTTCTTCCAGCTGTCTCCGTCACCGGGCTGCGGTCCAAATGCTGATGATGTTCATCCACAACTCATGTTCACGGAGAATGACACCAATCTTCAAAAGCTCTACGGTGTTAAGAACAAGCAACCCTATGTTAAGGATGCTTTCCACCGGTGGATCGTCGATGAAGAGAAGGGAGCCATCAATCCTCGCTGCTCGGGCACGAAATGTGCTGCTTGGTATGACTTCGGCCAAGGCGACGGAGTCCCTCCTGGGGAGTGCGCTGTTGTCAGATTCCGCCTGTCGCGCAAATACGACGGCTACCTTAACGAGGAGCTTCTGGACGACATTATGGAGCAACGGCGGCAAGAGGCCGACGAGTTCTACTACAGAATCAGCCCCCTTCCCATGGCCGAAGATCTGAGGAACATCCAGCGCCAGGCCCTTGCCGGCATGCTCTGGTGCAAACAGCACTATTACTTCATCTGGGATCAGTGGGCGAACGGCGACCCTAACATGCCACCTCCCCCGGAGAACCGCAAGAACATCCGGAATCAGCATTGGAAGCACATGTACCTCGACGACATCCTGTCGATGCCCGATTCCTGGGAGTATCCATTCTTTGCAGCTTGGGACTCAGCTTTTCATTGTATCCCACTTGCGATGGTCGACCCAGAATTTGCCAAGAAGCAGCTCGATCTATTCACCCGCGAATGGTACATGCACCCCAACGGGCAGCTTCCGGCCTACGAGTGGAACTTTGGCGACGTCAACCCTCCTGTGCATGCATGGTCCGTTTTTCGGACCTTCAAAATTGAACGGAAAATGTATGGGCGACAGGATCTAGATTTCCTCGAACGCGTTTTCCAGAAATTGCTGCTCAACTTTACATGGTGGGTCAATCGTAAGGATTATGAAGGCAAAAATGTGTTTGAAGGTGGATTTCTGGGCCTTGACAACATTGGCCTGTTCAACCGTTCCGAGCCTCTACCTACCGGCGGAGTCCTGGAGCAAGCCGACAGCACAGGGTGGATGGCATTCTACTGCCTCTGCATGTTGAACATTGCCCTGGAACTCGCCAAGCATAGACGAACATACGAGGACATTGCGTCGAAGTTCTTCGAGCACTTTCTTTTGATCTCCGACGCCATGACATTCCGTGCGGGAGGTGAAGAAAACAGCTTGTGGAATGAGGAGGACGGATTCTACTACGACGCCATCTCGTGGGGCGGACCGTGGACCCAGCAAATGCGTGTACGGTCTCTCGTCGGCCTCATCCCGCTCTACGCGGTCCTGACCTTGGAGCCGGAGCTGATCAACAGATTTCCCAACTTCAAACGGCGAATGGATTGGTTCATTGAAAATCGACACGACGTTGCAGAACGTAACATTGCTTCCATGCGCAAAAGAGGCAAGGACGAACGTCTCCTTTTGTCTCTAGTCAGCAAGGAGCGGCTCGAGAAGATCTTGAAGCGAATGCTCGACGAGACGGAGTTCCTGTCTGAGCACGGAATCCGCAGCTTGTCCAAGTACCACGAAGAGCATCCCGTTAGCATGGATGTCAACGGCCAACAGTTCAAGGTTAGCTACGTGCCCGGTGACTCTGACTCTGGTCTCTTCGGCGGCAACTCGAACTGGCGCGGCCCCATCTGGATTGCCGTGAACTTCTTGCTGGTCGAATCACTCCTGCGGTACTACATGTTCTATGGAACCTCCCTCCAGATCGAGTGTCCCACAGGCTCAGGCGAATATATGCACCTCGGACACGTTGCCGAGGAGATCCAACATCGACTTCAGCATCTCATGGTGCGGGACACTGAAGGCCGTCGCGCCGTCAATGCAGGAAATGATACCCTCGACTTCGACCCGCACTGGAAAGACTATCTCTGGTTCTTTGAATTCTTCGATGGTGACACTGGACGCGGTCTGGGTGCAAGCCATCAATGCGGGTGGACGGGTTTAATGGCGAAAATGATCCACGACACAGGTATCAACTGTCGCTTACCGCAGACGCCCCGTACACCGTCCACTGCCGCCGCACACTATTTCGACGACATTCTTTCCAGAGGACTTAGCAGGAAAGGTACCTTTGTTGGCACACCCAATCCGATGCGGCGTTCCTCGACTTCACGCTCGATCGGCAACCGCAGCTCATTTGTCTCCATTACCAACGGCGACCACGCCAGTCGAGGCGCTGCGACCCCTGCCGTGATTCACGACGTGGATGCTCCCAACTCTTATTTCGAGGGGGCTGAAACTACTGCGACGGACTCCGACGCTTGGGGACAAGAGGACAAGCTGGAGAAAGAACGCAGAAAGAGCATTGCGGACAGTCACTACGACAAGTATGTCAGCGAGCAGTTGACCAAGATCAAGACGGATGAAAGCACCGCAGTGTACGAGGACGAGTTTGAGGCACAGTTGGATTAGATGAGTTTGAAACTCACGAGATTCTCGCTCAGACTTAGAGGGGACGCGAAAAGACTATGAGGAAGATGACAGGAGAGAGCGACTACGTGGCATTGTGCTGTGGACTATATATGTCTCCAGAGAATGAAGGTTTTTTTTACGTTAGAGCATAGATAGACGCAGAGCATTGATGTATAGGGCATGATCATGAGCGGGCATATAATAATACAGACCTTAATACATGAATACCCAAGCGCTGTTTCTTTCCTTTGGCTTGTAATGAAGATCCTATCGAGATGGATAGATTGAGGTTCGCATGAACATTCGCGTCAGGCTGGCTCTGGCCGGTGTGTTGGGCGTCTCAGACAATTACTTACTTCTTTGGCCACCTGCTCTATCCGTCCGTCCATCAATCATCCAACTCGTCTTCAGCACAGCTAGGGTGAAGCGGATGAAAGAAAACCTGGTCTACACAAGTTTTACGTATCCGTTGCGTTCGTTCGCATTCTCGTCTCATGTCACCTCATCTCATCGGCTGTCCACCCGATCTGTGGTACGTCGTATTCGTATCTGGGCTGTGGGTATAGTTCTCGTTATCTTGCGCGATGTCCATCCCTGCCATGACGGTGTCGGTGTCGTCGTGCTGTGGTGCCATTCCGTGCCGCAGCGCTGCTTCAGAGCCTCCTTCTGCCGTGAGCGGCCAGCTCGCATCGGCAGCATGGTTGAAGGGGTGGTGGACTTCGACTCCATGGACTGCTTGTGCGGTGGTGGGATTGTTGTTGTCGTCGCTCACACGGCTTTGCGCCGATACCTTCTCAAAGACACCATTGCCGGTGCCGGGCTCCACGAGGATGACTCGACTGTGGTCGTCGTCGTGCTGCTGGCCGCCGTTGTAGTACTCGGCAAAGACGCTTTCGATGCCGCCGCTCTTGCGTCCCTTGGAGCGAGTTGCCCGGCCTGCGCCATTGGGCTCTAGCAAGGCAGCGACCAATCCGGCAATGCTCAGCCGTGCTTGCACGTCCCGTGTCTTCCTGGGCTGACTTGCGATGGCCATGCCGGCGAGCATGATGCCCAGCAGTGCGTACAGCAGATTCAAGACGACCAACGTGAAGAAGGGGGCTTTCGGGAGCCGGGCGACGAGTCGACTTCGTCTCGTTTGCTCGGCGACGTTCCGTCTCCCGACCGTGATCCCGGCAATCATGCTCACCGCGGACTTGCTGAACTGCTGGGCAAAGTAATCTGCGAAAGCCTGAGACGTATTGACCTGCTGAGCCCCGCTGAAGAAGGCCGACTCGAGCGAGTTCTGAACGAGGGCGCGGCTCTCGAGCAGGGCCCAGCCCACATTGTTGGACAAGGACTCGTTCGCCATGGAGTAATTGCCCTCCCCAACGTTGCCGTCGATGGATGCGTACTCCAGCTCGTAGACCGCAGAGGTGCATTGGAAAATGAAGGCGTAATTGTATTGATCGTCGTCTTCCACGGCTTCGGGATCCTGAGAGAGCGCATCTGAAGTGGCGACCCGGCCGCCGGCAGCGAAGTAGAATGGATTGGGCGTCGCTAACTCCCCGTCTACAGTCCCGATGGGGTCCGCAAATCCGTGTTTTCGGAACATTTGTAGGAAGAAGCCGATGTTACTGCTGGTCCCGAACGAACTGCCGTTTCCAGCCTCGTAGGTGAAGCCGGTGTTGTTGTTGATGTCTCCATAGAGGCTGGGGCTGCAGTTGTAGGTCATCCCCAGTGTCATCTGGACTTCCCCGAGGGCACAACCGCCGTTGTATTGGCACCACTGGATCTGCTGAAGGTCGCAAGCTTTGCTGGCTGGGGAACATGTGGTACTCATGGCGTACGTGCGGGCCCTAAAGTCAAGACTGGAGTCACGTTGTGCCGACGTGAGAAAGGCGAAGTGCATGTTGTCTATTGTGGTGGTCAACACGCTGTTGGTCGTGGACAGATTCATGGAGGTGCGAGTTGCCTCTGAAACACTATCGAAGTGGATGGATCCCGGCAGTTGTAAGCCTCCTATACATTGGTTAAGGTCCCCAGGCGTCCATGTTTGGTTATAGCAGAGGGGTATGAGACCACGGCCGTAGCTGGCGGACGGCGTAGATGCGGGTGGTGAAAGGATGTCTAATTCCACCGTCGAGGTAGTGACATGGAGCCACGTATCGACCGCAACGATCGCGATGCTGCCCATAAAAATTAGCGCGTGTAGCTCTGGCCTGATAGACATATTGTTCTTGTCTCTACCTCAAAACAGTGGCTGCCAATAGACTCACGACAGTCATCCACAAGAGTTTGGTCTGCTTGTTTCGCCGCTTCCAGAAACAGTACTGTAGCCATGACCAGAGCGGTCCGATCCCTCCTCCAAGTAGACCTATGATCAACTTGAACTGATAGACCGTAGGAAGTGTGTCGACTTGTCCCAAGTTCGATCTCTTGATATAATCCTTTGCAAGAGGATAGGAGGTCAGAACCATAACAAACGCCGACGTGAGCGACGTGACAGTGCTGGTCCAAGACGAGACCGTGATCAGTCGTGTAGCACTGAAATCAACGTAGTATGCTGACTTGTTTCGTGCGGACGAAATGCCTAGCAAGTTCGCAGCATCCTCGGGGCTGTTGGATACCTCATAGCCATACACAAGGCCGATGAAGATGCCTGTCAACACAAGCATAGGAAGGCTGAGGCACATAAGAGCCCAAATTATGTCGGCGATTGCCCCTTCAAGTCTTTTTGGAGGCTCTCCAGATGCTGGTACCTTCTCAGAGTGCATGGGTGGATCATAACTCTCTCGCAATTCTCCAGCGCCTTCCTGGGTGCGAGTCTGATGTTCTCGAACATCTGCCGTCAAGTTATCGCCATCGTCGCTTTGTCGTAGCAGCGGCGCTGAGACCTGAGAAGCCATGTAACGAGATCCTCCCAACGACGGGGCTGCGGCTCTCTTGCCAGGAACTCAGACCTTGCACATGATAGAGTAAGACGCAGATGAGGCTCCTAATTGATGGTTCTCAACCGCTGGTTCGGCTGTGAACAGCAAGAGATGAAGAAATCCAGGTTGTTATGAGGGACGAGGACACCAGATGTAGGGTCTAGGTAGTGCCCATGCCGACAGTTAGGCTGAATCTGTAAGTAGATGTATAAAATGGCTAACCGCTGCGAGAAGGCTGTGTCCAGGCATCTTCGAAATCAAGGGTTATGCTTCACTCGGCCCTAGCAATGTTTCACTTACGCTCTGGTTGGTTTTCCGCCCCCAAGTACGGATGATCTGTTACACCCGCAAGGGAGTGTAGGTATCACACAAACCTCTGGCTCATCACTGGCGATCAGGCAGCCCATCCTCGAGGGGCCAAATCTGCTAGGCAGCCAACCAAAGTGCAGTGAAACCCGTCTGGCAAGCTTTTGGTTCTGCGGTGGTAAGTTTCGTGGGCTGGTATGTATTCTGCTTGGAAAGGCCCGGGACGCAGGTCATATTCGTTTCTCAAATCATCGAAGGCGATATGAACTTGAGCTCGGGATGCACCCGTTGATGGCGACATAGGGATGGCCAGCAGTCCATGCTTTGCCTAGCCAATGTTGCTCTATCTGGCATTCTCGAGGTTCGGATCCGCTCCCCAGTATCGATACATACCGTCTGAGGTGGGTGGACGAGATCCAGACCTGGGATCTGGCTGTTGCTAACTGTCTTCCATGGTCTTGCCAGCTTCTCGTGTTAAAGGGAGCTTGGATCTTGCTGAGGGTTCGCCTTGGCGGACATTGGATCTTTCTCGCCATAGACAGACACGGCATTGATCATGTTGAAGGGCTGAAATGGCTTTTCGGCGAATGGGGACTTCTTGGCCATTTGAATCCCAGTTCTCGACAACGAAGACGCCCGTGTCAAACACACCCTGCAGAGTCAGTGCTAGTGACGCTATACGAAGTCCTCCCGCATGTTTTGGCCAGGCTAGCTCGATGGTACCGTGGACCGTAAGAAACCGACTTGAGGACACTTAAAAAGGGTTCGAAGAGGTGAGCAACAAGCCGAGTCCTTGATCCCGACAGTAGGAAAAGCCGCCTTTGGCAGATCCTTGGATAAAGTAGAAGCTGGATGCTTTCAGTATGGCCAGGACGAAAGAACTGGATTGGTTATATACATGACCGGCCCTTCAGCATGTCTAGTGTCTCTGGTTCTCGCCTTCAAGAAGGTGTTATTGTGATCATCCCAGAGCGTGCCCGTCCACCAGTCAAGCCCTCGGCTTTGTCTCACATGCCACAAATCCCAATAACGAAGGATAATTTTACACAGTCTCCGTGAGCATCTTGTTCAACCGGGCAATCTTGCTTGACACACTGAGGTCAATGGTTCGCTCGCCGATCTCGACTACAAGACCGCCGAGGATATCTGGATTAACTTTCGTGACGACCTTCAGTTTCTTGCCCTGGCTGTATTCCGATTTCGCAAGGGCGGCTTCGAGGCGACGAAGGAGTTTATCGTCAAGTTTCTGTGGATCACCAGAATTAGTTCTTCTGCGCGCAACAGTGTTTCAGGGTCCAGATCTGAGGCTGGGTCGTGGGAAGCATGTTGCATAATGCGTTGGGTAGACATACAGAGGCGCTCGTTACGGTCAATTCTATCTCTCCTCTTGCTGCACTCATCAGAGTGCCAAATTTCTCGCAGACTCCCTCGAGCAAGCCCAGCCGGTTGTTCTCCGCGAGCGTTTGTAGGAAATTCTTGACGGTGTTGGCCTTGTCGGACCCCCCGGTGTGCTTTTCCAGTTCTGCAATGATCTGTGACTTGTCGGTATCAGAGAGCGTGGGAGCGGCGAGAATTTGGGGGAGTTTGGCATCGGTCTTGAAGATCTGTTCTAGACTGCTGAGAGCCTTGGCTGTGGGCTCCAAGGAGCCTTGTTTGGCAGCGGCCGTATACTGTTGAGCATGAACGTGTCAGCTTGAGATTCGCGCCCAGAGACGTCCCTGCATCCCTGATCTTTTGACAATGTATGGAAGCCGTGACGCTCCACAGCTGCGTCCAGATCCAAAATCCGCCTCTTGCAAGGAAACAGTCGACTGATCATACCAGGGCATTTGCGTAGGTTCCATCGAGTCCGAACAAAGGCACTGGAGGTTTCGTGTCAACGGCGGCCGGCGCAGCATAAGTTCGGACAGCTGTTCTGGGGACTGTGCGACGAGCAGCGGCGAAAGCTGGCCGCATCAGCTTGGAGGACATCATCTTGCCGGAGGGAAGTGGGATGCAAAGTGAGTTGAACTTGCAAAGGAAAAGACCGACGACCGAGAGCGGAGAGTCAAGACGAGCTCAGGACTTGTTGGAGCTTCAGATTGAACGATGAGGTTTGAAAAGCAAGCTCGTCCATCGCAGGATGGAACTAGTCCCGATGGGGAAACGCGGGACTGGGCAACATTATTTACTGTATAATAGATAGCTTTCGCTTTATTACATATAGTATAACCACGACTCTCCTTCCATTTCCATAGTGAGGAGATATCATGACGAGACGACGGATACCAATAGGGCAATTTCCATTCTGGCAGTCTATATCCCACATGTGACGACCGAAACTTCAACCTTGAACCACCTCGACGCACCACGCATCCGCTCCAAAACCCCAGGCACCTCCGCTTCCCAAGGAGTCATTCTTAATTCCGGACCTGATCCCATCTGTCTTCTTTCGAGGACATCAAGCGTACGATGAAAACACCCAGCTTGTCGCGTCGTCTTCGATCGTGAAGCGTAGCCCTTTCACGTCAATTTCGTCGTACATGCTGGAAATAGCGGCCCGAGCTTGTTTGTGCCATGGCCCTCGACCACCGTTGACTGCATCTTCTTTATTCCGCCAGAAGCCTAGGGATAATTAGCCTCCTGTTCGTGAAGGCCTTCGTCGTGCTTACTCACAGGTTGCCAGATTTCTCCTATCAGCGTCAGGCACTCCATACCAGTACTTCAGAAGCCCTCCACTCTGTGTGGCTTCGACATGGGACTGTTTGTCCAATTTGAACAATAGGTCCACGTCGATGTTCTTCTTGAGTTTCGACCTGAACTCGACGACGTAGAACTCCTGCCGTGTCCACCTATAACCCTCTTTGGCTGCCAAGGCCTTCAATGTTGCCATGAAATTGCTCCAGTCGAAGGCCTCTTCGTACGGGACAGTGGCATAGTCTCCCGAAGCTGGTTCCAGTTGTGTCGATGCGAGAGCAAGAAGCCGATTTGGTGTGTCGACAGTGTTCAGATCCAAAAGATGTTCCGGTTCGAGGTATGGTGAAACTGTGAGCCAGTGAGCGGATTCCGGGTCGACGTCGGACTCTATTTGATTCGCATGATGCTCCACGGAGACTCCAGAGAAGGAGCCATGTATCTTGGTCGAGGCGCGAGAGCCAGGTGCATTTTTATTGCTGTCCTCACTCGTCTCTGGCTTTTGTCTCGGCTGGGTGGCTGCCATTTGGAACTGGATCAAACCCTCCTTCACCGAGATGCGGATATTGTTGGAAGAACAAAGATATGGTCGTAATTGTAGCAGGAGCTTAGGGAGGTGGAAAAAATGACTGAGTGTTCGAACCTGTCCTGGAGATGGTATTGTGTGAAATGCGGAACTGATCACGCAATTGAGGCTTGTGGCAGAGGAAGGCACCACCGCTGTCAAAGAGTGTGACGCGAAAGAATCAGAGCAAGAAGAACACAAACATGGGCATCTGAGCTGGGGGAGAGTATATGGCGGTCAGAGGAATCAAGTACAGGCCCGTTCACTTGCTAGAGTCCATCTGCAGTGAGATGCATTTTGCCGCGCACGACTCCAGCACACGTGTCCAGCGCATTGCCGTCTCCTGCCGCCAGACTCAAGCCCCCTCGGACAGCTTCCTCTCGCCCACTGGACACTGGACACCGGACAGGACAAGCAATTGTTGACAAACGGCACGCGTGGAAGAGCGGACCATGGTGCCCGCTGCAGACACGATCAGAGCATGAAATGACAATGCCTTTTCGTTTCCTAATCGAGGCAAAAAATCACGGGAGGCCTCCAGTTATCAGAACACTCACCGATAGCGATAGCGGCAAGACAACCAGAAAACCCGCCGTTTGGCGTATGCTGGTAGCTCGCGAGACAGACAAAGAGAAGGTTGATAGCGTCCATCGATATCAGGAAGGAAACCAGTGCATTATATATATGGGGAAGAGATCCCATGCAGATAGACTGATGCCGTGATCATGCCATCTTAGGCGGGTTGTTTGGCTGCTGTTGACTGGGACCGCCATGGCACCAATGGGGGGGTCGCTAAGCATCCCATCATGCTGCTGCTATCTCTGAGCAAGCTGCGGCAGTTGAAATCTTGCCGGGCTGACTTCTTCCCCACGATGCAGAGATTGATGGGTGATTGGTGGGTGTTGGTGGGAAGTGGGATGAAAGTGCGTTGCTTCGGAGGCGCTTTTTCCGCCCTTGAGATTTTGCAGGTCGAAGGAGGAAAAAATGTCACCGACAAATTCGCCCTCACCAACCTTCGCCTTCACCTCTACCTTCACCTTCATCCTCACTCTTCTTTAACCACCAGCACGTCCTCAGCAACCTCTGTCACTCCAACTCCTCTTCTCCCCCATTGATATCCGTCATCATGAGTGGTGCTCCCGCCCAGAAGTTCAAGGTCGCCGACATCTCGTTGGCGGCCTTTGGCCGACGTGAGATCGACCTCGCAGAAATCGAGATGCCAGGTCTGATGGCAATCAGAAAGAAGTATGCTGCAGACCAACCTCTTGCCGGTGCTCGCATCGCAGGCTGCCTCCACATGACCATCCAGACCGCCGTCCTCATCGAAACCCTCAAAGCCCTCGGTGCTGAGGTCACTTGGTCCTCCTGCAACATCTTCTCCACCCAAGATCACGCCGCAGCGGCCATTGCAGCTGGAGGCACTCCCGTCTTCGCATGGAAGGGTGAGACGGAAGAAGAATACGAATGGTGCTTGGAACAACAGCTGAAGGCTTTCCCCTCTGGAAAAACACTGAACCTCATCCTCGACGATGGTGGTGATTTGACCGCCCTGGTCCACAACAAATACCCAGAGATGCTGAAAGACTGCTATGGCGTGTCGGAAGAGACCACCACCGGAGTCCATCACCTCTACCGCATGTTGAAGGGCAAGAAGCTCCTGGTCCCCGCCATCAACGTCAACGACAGCGTCACAAAATCCAAGTTCGACAACCTCTACGGATGCAGGGAATCCCTGGTGGACGGTATCAAGCGTGCCACGGATGTCATGATCGCCGGCAAGATTGCCGTTGTGGCCGGCTTCGGTGATGTTGGAAAGGGCTGCGCTCAGGCGCTCCACAGCATGGGTGCCCGTGTTCTCGTCACCGAGGTGGATCCTATCAACGCTCTCCAGGCTGCGGTCTCTGGCTACCAAGTTGTCACCATGGACGATGCCGCTTCGCAGGGCCAAATCTTTGTCACCACCACCGGCTGCCGTGACATCATTGTCGGAAAACACTTTGAGGTGATGCGCAACGACGCCATCGTCTGCAACATCGGACACTTCGACATCGAAATCGATGTTGCCTGGCTCAAGAAGAATGCCAAATCCGTCCAAAACATCAAGCCGCAGGTTGATCGCTACACGATGGCCAATGGACGCAACATCATCCTGCTGGCCGAGGGTCGTCTCGTCAACCTGGGCTGTGCCACCGGCCACTCTTCCTTCGTCATGTCCTGCTCTTTCTCCAACCAAGTTCTCGCTCAGATCATGCTGTACAAGGCCGAAGACGAGCAATTTGGCAAGAAATACGTCGAATTCGGAAAGACCGGCAAGAAGGAGGTTGGTGTCTACGTTCTTCCCAAGATTTTGGACGAACAAGTCGCACTGCTTCACTTGGAGCATGTCAACGCCAAGTTGACCAAGCTGACTCCAGTTCAGGCCGAGTACTTGGGATTGACTGTGGAAGGCCCCTTCAAGTCTGATATCTACCGCTACTAGATGGTGGGATGTTGGTCGAGGGTTGCCTCACTGGCTTTTGACTGATTGCATATGTATCGGCGCTGAGGTTCTTTTTTTCGGGAAAGAATGTTTTCTAATGCTCAACGCATAGAAATTGGAGGGCCTAGCGGTATGGTCATATTGACCTTCTTGTCCAAAACGGAACTTACGCACGAAGCTCAACGACCTTGGGACGAAATTGATGAGGCAGGAAAAGTTCGGGACACGATCGGGCCCTTGAAATGATATGGTGCTTCGAGTTCCTTGTTTCGAGAGGAAGAAATCTCGGATGAGAGATGGGACGGAGAGAATGTCCTTCAACGGACAATTGCAGAAGCTTCATCAGCTTCTTCAACAGCTAGATACCCCGAATAGATGCACAAAAGAATATGAGAAGGTAGAACTGAACGAAAGCTGAGAGAGTGTACTTTTTGGTGGCATGACAGTGGTATTCACGTGGTATTCACATGGTATTCAATGTCCCCGTCGTTGTCGCTGGAGTTTCATACAGTATACGAGATACACACAGTCCTGGCCACTCGATCCCCTATACCGTATACATACAATACCGCTTCGACCTCTAGCACGCTCCTCAGGATGCAGCTTCTCGCCAGTCGCATCCATCCTAGCCGTTACCATGTGAGCCGAGACAATACGAAGCTGTTTCTGCCTCAACCAGACCAGACAGCCTTGTGCCGGCCGCAGTCAGGACTAGGCACCTGCATGGAGCGGCTGAGCGTCTCCTGAAGCTCATTCGTGGATGGGTGCGCCTGATTTGTTCGCAGAGGCGGCGGTGTCTTGGACCTCACGCATTCACTCACGGCGACAATCAGGGCTATAACCCTCTCTCACCGTCACATGGAAGCCAGCCCAAGCTTACAATCATATCAGAGCTACGACTGCCGGCCTCTCACGGTAACAGTATACTTTTTTTCCTGCTAAGTCACTCATATGGCATCTCAAGCTGACGAATCGATGGATGGTGGTCGCGGGCGCCAGCACTATTCTGACCAGCCTGATCTAGAGAGAAAAGGGGCGCAGCCTGAAGTTGCTTCGATTACCAAGACGTTGAAGAGGCTTTTCCGGCAGATACTCGCGCAGTGTCGCAGAGACTATGGCTCCGGGGAAATAACGGCAACAGCATCTCTGAACGGCGCCAGCCGACTTTCAGAAAAAGATACCTCGCTCGACAAACGAGCAAGACAATGCTGCTTTTTGTGCGTGCGCAACCGAGACAAAGTGTTTGCCATCATTGTTCCCTGCCTCAGACCGACCAGCTTGTTGCGACAAGCTGTGAAAAACCGCCTTGAAGATGCGGGCCTGATGGCTATTGAGAGCGATGCTGCGGTCTTCGAGAGATTGCACCTGGCATGCTTCAAGTACTACGGTGCATGGAAGAGGTACCTCCCCTACTACGGAGTTACTAAGGTGGAAGAAATTCAAGTGAGTTACTCATCCACCATGGCAAGGTCTTACTAATTATCTGATACTACAGTTCCGAGTTGCTGGAAGGGTTGGGAGGGACAGGGCTTTCCCAATTGTCGCGTCTCTGCTAGACATTGGAAGAATTCAAGAAGTGCTAAATGACATGATTCTTGAGAAACGAGATAACGATGATTATGATCCGTGCCTTCTTTGCAGCGCCGGCTTCGGCCACAGCCACAGCGTCTTCTGCAGACGTGCAATGAAGTCGAGGGGGGACTCACTGTGTATTATGGATCTGTCGCCGCTAGCTCACCGTTACAACAAGAAACTCCGCATGCTCGACCTCCTGACAAAGTGCGGACGCAGGCCATGGGAGGCCAATGGCTTGCAACTGGTTGACGGAATGGCTGGGGGGAATTTGATATACCAACTCAAGTAAGCCGTGATGTCTGCTCTTACCGTAATGTGCCCGCTAAATTTTTGCAGGGGATCATGTGGCGTTGAGAAATCTCTCGAACGTCATTTGTTTGACCAGACTGAGGAGTTTCGTGGCCTGATGTACACAGTGGGATGGCAGACCGATCGGCTGAAATATGAGCTACTACCCCGTGCGGCTCACTGTTGGCTCGTGTTTGCGGTTGTCTGGCTGTGCATCGCGCTCTGGGGGGGATTGGGAGGAGAATGGAGTCTTTCATTTGCTTTCGGGCAGCTGGTTTTTGCCAGTCTTGCATGTCTCTTTGCCCACACGAGAAACGGGGCTTAAGGATGAGAGTTCCATGGCAAGAATGCTCAAATGTGCTGGAGAAAAAGAGCACGCCTAGTAGGAGCATTGCCAAAGCCAACCGGATTGCAGAATAACAAGGCTGGAATGCAAAAGGGGCGCCAAGAATGGGGGAGGTTGAACAAAGCTATGCACACAAGACAAGTGATTGAAACAAGATGATGGACTCGAAGCTCTCGTGAAGAGACGTTGCCCTCCTTTTGACAAGATAGCGCGGTTGTCAAACCACAATAATGGCCCTTTACTACTTGCTATCCAAGGTGGTGGCTGAGGGTGTCGTTGTCTCTGGACCAATCAGAGGTCTGCCCCATTATGTACTGTCACAATATTTCTTCCTCCTTTTGTCTGCCTCCATCATGGAATGCTTCATGCTCAACCACCAACTACCATGGAACCATCTGTTATTCCAGGCACCATCGTGGAATATCCCTGACGGAGAAATTTCTGCTCGATCCAATCTGCAGAAAGATCTGGACTTCGGGAATCCGATCCAAGTGTTGTGGTGTATGGTGTCGGAGGGAGAGGTCCTCGTTTTCTTGACAGGATAGGCATCTGACGGTCTATGATAATCTCAATGCGCGTCGACCTTCTGCTTCGAGCATTAGATCGTCGAGCCATAGCACGGACTGGCAGATTCAAATATTCAGTGTCGACATCACTATCAGGCTTAGCCGTCAACATGACTGGGCAAACACATCTAGAACATGAACTTAGCGAACCTGTATCAACACCAGAGGCACCAGGGACGCCAGAGAAACCGACATTGGGAAAGGTAACAGCGAAAATCCAACACAACAGGCGTCCCACGCACTTTGTCTGCTTCCCACTCGTTACCGATCAATCAGTCACACAGCTCTCTAAATCCCTGGCCTACTTCAGGTCGATCACCACGCCTTTGCCTTTGGCAGATCGTGATGCGACTCCCGAGCGAGATGATGGACACCAGACTCGTCGAGACTCCGCAGCACCTGGGCAATCCAGCAGTGAAGTACGGGGTCAATATGCCCATGAAGCATTGAGAGTCATTCCAGAGCCGGCGCATCGCCCGCCTGGAACGTTCCACTTGACACTGGGTGTCATGTACCTTCCCCACGAGGAGGACTTGGAACGTGCGGCGTCGCTGCTGCAGAATATTGACTACGTGGAACTACTGAGGCGAGCGGAATCCGCCGAGAGGGACGAGGCGCAAATGTCTGTGCCGGGGGAAAGGACCAAAAAGACCTCGAGACGTGGAGCACGCGAGGACGCCAACGACGTGAGCCCAGACAAGGAGACGCAATTGGAGGGGCAAAGAGGACCTCGAGGACTCCCACCTGGAGCGGCCCAGACGCCCTCAATGGAACCACCGAAGGCAGAAAACTCATCGTCTATAGCAGAAGAGGGAGGTCAGAGCAGTGAGGCGCAACACGATGCCAGGAATCCGCAACCTATCGGCACAGGCCAGTCCGATACCCAACAACGACAACCAACCAGAAACCCAGACACCTCAAGCCACGGGCCAGACGAGAAAGGAACGCTGTACCAGGCAGCCCAAGAAGTCGGGGCGATTCTGTCTTCCCCAGTCCAACCACTCAAATCCCTCAGCCGAGACATCTCACCACCACGGCGGGTTTCTGCACGACTACTCCAAGACGACGACTCTCGAAAACAAGCCCTGCCGCATCCCCTAACCATATCCCTGACCTCTCTGGGCACCTTTCCCTCGCCGCGCTCGGCCCGCGTCTTCTACGCACATCCCCACGACCCGACGTCTCGCCTGCACCGATTCGGAAACCTGGTGCGCGACATCTTCCGGGAGGCAGGGCTGATCACCGAGACGAGACCATTGGTTCTGCACGCCACGGTGGCGAACATGATCTACGTCAAGGGCAAAGGGGGGAGAGGCAGAGGAGGCAGAGGAGGGAGACGAGGTGGGAAGGGCAGAAATGGCGACGGCGGCAACGTGGATGCACGGGAGATTCTGAGGCTGTTTAACCAGGGAACTGATACGAATGCGAGGCCCGTGGGAGTGACAGCAGCAGCAGTAGCAGCATCATCATCGTCGTCGTCGTCACGATCAAGCGTCCGTGCTGGGTTCCGTGACGGGCTCAACGAATCCGACCACAACAACGGGGACGTGGACGAGGAATCATCAGCAGCAGCTACCATGTCCACCACAACCACAACCACTCCCGACAGGCCCTTCACGTGGGCGAGGGACATCACAATCCGCAGCATCCGCATCTGCAAGATGGGCGCGGAACCCTCGACCCTGCCGGGCTGGGGTCTCGAGTACCGCCCCGTGGCGGAGAAGGTGTTTATGCCGGAGACGCGGACTTTGGGGAAAGGGGAAGGAGAAGGAGAAGAAGGAGAAGAAGAAGAGGGACAGGACTGACTGACTGACTATATGTGGGAAAGGGGGGAAAGGGGGACCAAAACCCCCATCATCATCATTATCATCAATCATCCGCGGGTGAAGGACCGGTCGGACATGATATCTATCTATCTATCTATCCATCCATCCATTCGTCCATCCATCCGTCCATCCATCCCTCTATCTATCTGTAGACAGGTCTGTTCTAGATTTGAAGCCAAGGAATGTGCCCACAGTCAGGGAAAAACAGACAGGTTTGTGAATATCTATGGTCCGTCAGTAGGCAAGTAAGTGAAGGAAGTAGGAAGTAGGAAGGAGGTAGAAAGGAAAAGGGGAAGGGCGCAGGGGCAAATGGGAGAACGGTATATGTCCCATCATCATCAAGCCGTCAAGCCATCAAGCCATCAAGCCATCATTGTCGGGGAGGAAGATCAGAGAAATAAATAAATGAGTGTTGTTGGAGATATCAAAAACCCAAAACCAAATAAAAAAACCAATTAAAAACATATTAATTATATCCGCATTGATCTCTCGGACGGACTATGGAAGGAGAAACATACCTCCCGTCCGTGCGACAGCACAGGCAGGAGGGTACATATACATATATATATATATATATATGATGGTAACAATATGTCGTATCAACGAACGTGTCATGCATGCATGCTTGCAGCTGGCGGAGTCTGTCTGTCTGCCTGGTCTGCATGGTCTGTTTCCTTCGTTCATCCGTTCCTCTGTTCGATCATTGCGTTGCGTTGCGGTGCAGGTTCACAGATTCACAAATTCAGTTCTGATCTGGTTCGTTCATTCGTTCGTTCGTTCCAGCGTGGATTATCCTCCAAAAAAACACTGATTGGCGACGAGGACCAGAGAGGGCGAGGCGAGTCCGGCTGGCTCGACAGAATGTCGAGAGAGTTCGCGTGCATCGTGTCGTCCGTTACATCGATTGAGGGATGGATAGCTAATAGGAGGACGTCTCTGAATCCCCCCAGCTCCCTTACTTGGGTGGTCCTCCCTCAGACCCCTCGTCCGCTTGAGCGAGTGATTGGGATATAGACCCGAATCGGCGTTCCTGGACTCGTCACTATGGCGTTTTAGGAGTGACTTCTCAGAGTGAGCAGTTCCGAATGGTGTTTCCCGGACTTGGTGAGCACATATGTCTTCGTGCATCAAGGCGAAGGGAAATCAGGACAAGAATCGTCCCCCTTCCCCCGAAAGGAAAACGCCCGCGGGAGTAAAGAAAGCGCCTTCGATCCTGTAGTCTTCCTGCGTCGTTGTAGTCGAGTTCAGGGAGGAGCACGACCCGTCTCCGTATCTGGCAATGTCTGAACTTTGATTCACAGGGCGTGTCGTCGTGGTCGAGCACACAGTCGCAAACCTCCAGAGTATCCTGGCTGCGGCTGCGGCGACTCCAGCACCTCTCATCGCATGATCACCCCACACAGCTTGGTCTGTTACTATCACCCAGCGCTCTTTTCTCCTCAGCACAGGATTATTGATCCTTCGGATCCGGGCTGTCACTTGTGGTTCTTCTTGTTCTTCTTCTCCTCCGCGCCGACCAGGTCTTCCAGGTCAAAAATGACGCGCACCATCAAACTGCAGCTGGGACAGACGGCGATGTCCTCGCCCTCCTGCAGACTGCCCAGGGAGATCTCGAAGCGGTCACCACAGGGGCACGGGTAGTGGTAGAGCTGCAGGGTGGCGTCGTAGGTCATGTCCTCGATCTCGATTTCGTCGTACATGTCGAGGTCCTCGGCCTGCTTCGCGGCGGACGACGAGGAGCTGCCGCCGCTGAGTTTGAGCGTGGTCGAGGCCGCGGCGGCGGTGGTCGTGGCAGCAGGCATGATATTGGTCGATAGAGTGCTGGTAATGGTATCACCTGAGAATGGTAAGGGAGGGAGTTGGGAACAGTGATCTCGTTGGAACTGGACTCGTTCTCTTCAAAGGTCCGTGGCAAGCCGAGCGTGGAGGAGTTGACCGTGTGATACAATGAGGAACAGCAAAGGGGACACAGGGAGGTAACTGTCGCTACGTGGAAGTATTTGGTGACGAGGAGTGCCGGAGACAACGGATATGATGCTATCCTGACGGCTGCAAGGACAGTCATCGAGCATACAGAGTAGAGAGACGAAAAGTCACGAGGGGGACCAGACGAAAAAAAAGTCTGCGGGGAAAGAAATTGCGGGGAATTTATTGGGTGTGAATTTGCGAACGGTGTCTAGTACCTCGTTGTGCTCCTACAGCAGTGTGCGCAGTGTGCAGGCAAGGAGAAAGTTTCGTGTGCATGAAGGTTCATTTCCCGTCCTTCTTCACTCGCTTGATTTGAACGACTCGTTCACACCTACACCATGCAGGCATGCATTTGGATTTTTCTTGAGAACGCGGTACCTTGCCAAATCCCTTTCTGCAAGGACAGACTTCAATCCCGTAGGCGGAATGGTTCTCCCTTTCTCGCTCTCGTAGCTTTTGACAAATCTCATTGCCAGGATCAACTCCAGAGCCTCAGAATCCGTGATCGCCATCTGCAACATATTGCAATTTTTTTGGCCTGGTCTTGATGCCCTAACCAGCAGCTAACACGGCGTACGAACTCCATCCACAACTCGCGAACCATCGTGTCAAGAACCTCAAGCAGTCCTCCTTCAGCGGTATCTCCAGAGCGAGAGCGTGTTGTGTCTCTTCCAGGTCTTTCTCCGTCCAGAGGTGGTCTTGGTGTAACCGTGGCCCTTGCCCAAGCCGCGGGACTTCTTGCCTGTGGCGGTGAGACCTCGGGATTCGCGGTGCTAATCGAGAAAAAGTCAGCCACACCAATATCCTTTGTCGGATGCATTGATCGATCCTCTGCAGGATAGGTCGGGTTTCCTTACCTTGTGGACGGGGTTCACAATCCAGTTGATCCGGGGATCGCGACGAATGGCCTTGTGGCTGGGGTCCACGAGAATAATTTCGTAGTACTTGTAGGTCGAGTCCTGGTTGATCCAGTACGAGTTGAGGACGCGCAGGTTGGCACAGCGGCGGCCGACTCGCTCTTCGGCAGTGGAGCGAAGAGAACGCTGGTACTTGAGTTGGTTCACACCCTGGTTGGTGGGTTTGCCTGCACATGACGCCCGTCAGCAATTGGATTCTGCGCCCTGTTACCTCACCGGCGGGGTTTCTCACCATAAGTAGCACCCTTGGGCACGGGTCGCTTGCGACCTCCGCGGCGCACACGGATTCGGTAGATGACATAGCCTTGCTTGGCCTTGTAACCCAGACGACGGGCCTTGTCCGGTCGGGAGGGACGAGAGGCGCGGTGGATGACGTTCAATTGTCGGAGCTATATTATGCACTCTCAGCAACCGTGTTCAACGAGTGTATAGCAAGACACGTCTCCAAAACGAGAATGTGCCACAGACACGAGACAGAGCAAAGAGGTTGTGTTTGTGTGTGTATGTGTGTGTGTCCACCAAACACCTCCTCTTGTCTCTGCCCCATTGTCATCTCAGGGAGTCTCTTACCTCCCAGCAGCGGACTCGGAGAAGGAATCGAAGGACATCGGATTGCTTCTTCTTTTGAAGTTCTTCGACGTATTTGAGGGCACCCATCTGGAAAGAAAGGACTGTTAGTTGTTGATACGACGGACCACCCGCACAGGACCTGGTTTACCTTGACTGTCGCACCTCGCAAAGGACGGTTATGGTGGGAAAAGAAAGCGTCGGGAGAATGAGAATTGAGGACTAGATCGGCTCTCATTTTCGACGGCGAAGTTTCGTGCGCAGGCTTGGCGGAGTTGCAATCTTGGCACTGTGTCCCACCAATCAGAGGCCGGCCCAGAATATGTATGTATTATTCGTTCCTCAGCTCCTCCTCCATACAAACTACACCTCTCGACCTCTACCGGGGACGTATTATTACATTATTACCTCGTGCGCCCCTGATGCATACTCGACTGATAGCAGACCCCTCCCTCCCACCTCCGTAGTAGTTACCAGACTCCAGAATCAACGATCACTCGCTTGTCCGTGTCCCGCAAAGCAGAGTCTCTCAATAGCCATTTCTGTGTCTCGGGCGATATTTCCCCATCCTGGCGTCTGCTTCGACACAGCAGCCTCTTGCTGATCCGTTCCGTGTGACAAGAGCATTCTGCCCTTTTGTTCCTCCTCGATTGTGAGGCCATGCAAATCCCTGACCTCGTGAAACTTGTCGGCCAGAAGCTTCTCGATCTCCATGCCTGTGATCTTTTTGCCCGCCTCGATGCTACTCACGCTAACTCCCTTGTCCTTCTCAAAGGATGTCCTGGTCTCCTGCAGTCGGGATGTGTAGGCCGGCCGGCCGGCGAGCTCGTCGTAGGCGAACAGGAGGGCCCCCGATTGCTTCAAGAGATTGACCATGGCGTCGCAGTACATCTGCCCTTCCGCCCCCAGAAACTGAACGTGAATGGGCGTAGGCTTGTCAGGAGGATCGCTGGGGAGACCACTTGCGAAACCTCCAAGGGCGGATTGGAGAAGCGGTGCAATCTCTGCCTCGAATGACTGCTTGTCCCAGGCGCTGAAAACATTAGCTGACATCGCTCTACGCAGTCCGAGATATGAAGTCGAACCTCTCCTCCTTGATCGCCGTCAACTTCTTGTTCAGCCCGGACTGCCTCTCTCTGATCACATTCGCAAATTGGATTGGCCACGGGTCGGCTGTATTGAGCTTCTCCCATATCTTGTCTATCTTCTCTTGGTCGAACCTTCACGGCCAGTGGTCAATTGACAGCTGCCACGTCGATCGAACTGATCAGTCACCTACGGTCCATCTTCCGCGTGGCTCTCTGGCCGATTCTTGTTGTCCTCCGCTGACGATGATCCCTCTGATGGCGGCACGATCTCGTCGTCGAACTTGACGGATCTCTGATTGGACCTGGAGCTCTTTCTCCGCGAACTTGAACGGGAGGTGGTCTGCCCTGGGTTGTGTTAGGCGCCGTGTGCCTGGACTGAGAATGCGAAGGATGAAGCTACCTGACTTTGCTAAACCGCCAGCCATGTCCCTGGGGTCTAGTGTCTACGGAGGCGAGCGTTGTGAGTCGACTGGAGGGGATATTAGGTGATGGGGGGGTTATGTTCATGTCATGGGAGCAAGTGGTGGCAAAGTCACATACAACTGTGCAGAAGCAAAGAGAGATGTCAAAACTCGAACCAGCAACAAGGCAACTGTCGCAGACACGAGCAGCCTCTCATATTCTCTTCTCCATGCATGTCATTGAGCATTGATTATAATCTCCATCATGTTGTCATGGACCTCCATAGCACTCTGGTGTTGGTATTATACACAAGCCAACCTGCAATGTAGAAATGGTACTCTCTCTTCCTCCCCTATGGTCAACATCCAGCTCACTCTGCACTCAGCTCCATCTCAATTTCCGCCTCACACACAAGCACCACCGTCATGTAAGTTTTGGTCTCTCCACCCAGCTCGGTATTATCTCATCTTTCTGTATCCGGCCATCCATAAACAATCTGGTTTTTTCAAGGTCTTTTTGTCCAATCCAGCCTGACCAACAAATTTTTGATGTACGAAGCAAAAAAAAAAAAGCAAAATCTTCAGTCACCGTCCAACAAAATGGAGTGCAATGCGTGTCCCAGCATAGAAGCCCGTTCATCAACAAGTCTTATCTTTCAGCCATTTCCTCCCCTTCCCAAAGCGCAGGTCTAGTTGCCTCCCCGTGAAATTCCTTGAACCTCGTCTTGCTGAACACCCACTTCTACGTTTTTGTCATCCGGTCATCATATGCAAGAATTCGTCCGAAATAAGTCGCAAGACAAGCGTCGTTGTCCGTTGCGTTCGCGCCGAGGACGCATGTCCGGACTCAAGAACCAAGCGAGAGCCCTTGGAATCGTCCCATCCAATTAACATCCCCGGGCGGATTGGAAGCTCTTCCTCTAAAGTCGGGCCGGCTGCTGGCGAAATTAGGCGCATTAGGGTTGAGAGAAGGGAAGGGTTGACCGTAGAAAGACATGAAGGGGTCCATTTGGCCTTGCATGTTTGGAGCATACGGCGATACCCCCGGTTGCAGTTGTTGAGGTCCTGCCCCAACATCGTGGAACTGATTATAAAAAGCGTTCCGCATGCCCGGATTCTGGTGGTTGTTGAAGTTTCGATCCGCGTCAAACGTATCTCCGAATGGCGTCGTGACGGCCTGGTGGCCCAGGTTGCCGGGCTGCTGTGCCTGTTGCTGCCGTCTGCGATGGCGTTCATCACCGGGAGCCGTGCTGTAGACGGGGTGGATACCAAGCGAAGCGGTTGGGGTCTGGAAGGACGCAGGGTTAATGGCGGACATCCAGATTCGCGTCTTGTAGATCTTGAAGAGATCAGTGACCAAGTGATTGAAGTTGATGTAGTTGTCGGCAAAGTAGTAGAAGGTGAGCTTCTTGCTGTCCCTATTGGGCGTTAGTCAAGGCGTCCACACGGGTCCGGTTTGGTAGGGGGCAGGGGGGATGTACATCTGGAACTCTGCATCAAGAATTTCCATATTCAACCGATGCTCAGCAACCTTTTGCTGACATACCCGCTTGGCTTTGGCTTCATTGCCTTCTTTGTCCTTCAAGGCTTGGATCTCGTGGTTTTGCGCCAGTCGCTTGATCATCTTTGGCTTGAGGTCGGGGCCTGCGGAGTCGTGAGGGCCATGATGTCCTTGAGGGCCCATGCCTCCGACCGCACTGCCATGTCTCCCAGGAATGCCGTTGGGGTTGACGACATTGGGGCCGCCGTTTCGGCTCTGCATGGAAAACATCATCAACCATTTATAATGTTCCTCGGCGTAGTATTCTTTGTAACGGCGAGCGTCCTCCCACGTCACATTTGTATGTTGGACCGTGCCCAGATCGGTGCCACGGTCCGCCTCAACAATGACCAGGTCCCCCACGTTCACGTGGAGACCAGTCCCCTCTTGGATGTAGAAGACATCTGAGCGACAACATTTGAAGTTGACGATGAAGAGCGGTTGCGCCGCGGGTTCGAGGTACGGGCCAACCCCCAGAGGTTGCCCGTAAAGTTGCGGATCGCGGTGGTGCTGATGGACTCGGGCGTCCGCAGCACGTCGGGTGGACTCGGTCGTGTTGAAATATGCGGCTGCAAAGTAACGGTCACGTAAGTACGTGTTATTCATTTGATCCTCGTTCGGATTCACGAGCGCCACGGTTAAATCCTGGGAAAACTTACGATCATCTCCTTGGGATAGTGCTTGGGATCCGCTTTCATACGCCGTCGCATCGTCTTCGCGACCTAACCAATTAGCCCCGGGAATTGCTAAAAGCAACAGTTGCAGCATGTGCTCACCGTTCGAGCTGAAGGATCCGTGGCGAGTTGGCACGTCAGCGAACGAGTGTCGGCGGCTCTGAGGAGCTTCTGGGATCGGGCCAAATCCAAGGGAAGTCTGCCAATGTGCCTTCTTCATTCCATCAAAATTACGATTCTCGGTCGGGGAGAGCGACTGTCTGTCGGCGAATCCGAGGGGTTGTTCACTCATGCGACGGGCGTTGTGCTCACGACCAGGAAATCCGGCGAGGTCTTCTCTATCATCGATGGCAGTCTCAGTCTCCTCTGGGACAGCGTTCCGGAGGCGCGTATTTCGAAACCCCGGGGGCTGAAGCGGGGCCGTCGTGGTGGTGGTGGCTGTTGTCGGGAAACCACGGTCACGATTCTGAGCGGCGTGACGAAGCTGGGCGTTCTCCTTCTCCAGCCTCTCAATCATTCGCGCCTGTTCCGCACTGATGGCTTCGGGGGTGATGTTGCCGCGGTGATCTTCTTCGTCGTCTTCAACCTCTCGCAACCGACCAAGACCACCGGCCTCCAACACGCCCAGCCCACTGGTCCTCGACGTCCGTCGCTGCAACGGATATTGACTTCCAAGTCTGTTGCGCGTCGCTTCAACCGAGGTCGATATAGGATTAGTCGGCGGCGCCGTGGTGGTGTCGAGTTGGCCCACAGAGTATGACTGTGAGCGGTAGGTCTTGGGCGTCGGCTGGAGAGGAATCGAGAACGGAATGCCGCCTTCACCATTCGTGGGCAGGACCTCCTGGAGTCGGGCCGGTGGATCTTTGCGACCATCTTGACTCCAAATGGTGGGCCAGGGATACGACGTCGTCGGGTTAGGCCACGCTCCGGGACCTGTAGCGTTCGGATTTCCCCAGGGCAAGGGCTCTGCTCCAGGGGTTCCTGGATGGGAGGTGGAAGGGCTGTAGGGACCAGTGATAGAAGGTTTGCGATTCGCGTTGGCCGACGACACATCGTTGAGCCATGAGGTTCTTCGCACGTTTCTGTTGGACTTGACATTGCTGCCCGGGCCAGACTTTACGTGGTCAGGCTCATCGTCTGACGAGGCCAACGCCTCGGAATCGGGAGTCGACCTGCCCAGGCCGGGATTAGATTTTTGCAGGAGAAGCGACGCAGATGCCTGGTGCGTGCCAAAATTTCCGAACGCCGGCATAGGCGCGCGAGTCGTCAGACCCGATTTATTAGGTGCGTTACTCATGATGGGTGAGGATGGCAACGCCGGAATAGACGTGGGATGGCACTGCTCTCCTCTCGGTCAGCAAACAGGTATCACTATCCAAGGACGACTTTTGGGATCCAAAATGGGCCTAAAATGGTGCTCGAGGAGAAGTGGTCATACAACAACAGCCTGATTCGTGTAAGGAAAATTGTGAGGTGGATTGAGGAGGATGAATAGCTCGAGTCCTGGGCGATCTCACCCACCAAAAATCCAGATGGTAGTTCTGACCACTTCCACCAACAAAGGGACAAGATCATTTCAAGATGGATTTGATGATGAATGATGAAGACTTGAAAACTCCAACTCACCTCGTGGTTACAGCAGAGACATGGAGAGGCTGGCGGTCTGACTTAACATGTCGGGGTACGGGTACGGCTGAGTAGGGGCGCGGGCGCGCCTCGGAACCAAGCCTCCGTCGTGGAGGAGCTGTGGGACCTTCTGGGACAAGCCGCACAGAGCAGAGATGTGCAGAGAGGGGATTGATGAAGAGCGTGCAGAAAGATCTAGCGGCGTGGGCGACGACACTGGTCGTCGCTATCTCGCTGTCGTCGGCGAATAGTTCGGGATTTGGGCCTAACAGCAAACGACCGGCCCGCGCCCAGAGCAAATGGCTGGAAAAGTCAGGTGATTGTCTGAGGCCTGTTGGCGAAGCTGTCAGAGACAAAGACAGGCAAGGAACTATGTCACCAGAAAGTGGGAACGATTGATGGGGATGGAAAGAGATGGAAAGGAGGAAAGAAAGGGCGTGCCTGATGGAGGTGGAAAGATGATGGTAGTATTGGGTGGTGATGAGTGAGGTGTGTGTGTGTGTGTTTGTGTGTGTGTGTGTGTGCGCAAGAGTGAGTTATTGAGGCGGAGAAGGTCGTGAGGGTGTGAGGAAGGGTGATGAATGGGCCCTTTGAACTTACGACGAACACCAAGGCGGAGGGAACCGACAGACAAGGAGAATGTAGAGAGAGGGACGGAGGGGACAGATGGACAGAACAAGATTGAACAAGGACGGGGGGCTTTTTCACCACAACTAAGAACAGAGAGATGTGCCGCCTTCCCCGGATTATGATGAACAGGCTTTTTCGCTTAGTTTCTCACGCGACCACTTCGTTTCGGGAGTGTTGCTTCGAGGGTCTGCGAGGGCGAGGGCTGAGGAGTTCATCTCTTGGGAAAGGGGAATGGAATGGGACAGAGAGCTAAAAGTCTGGAGCCCGAAAAGGCGGGAACGGGAACTGGGAACTGCTGATGGTCGACGGTTTGATGGCCCAAGCGGGGGAAGAAGGGTTGGCTTTCTCTCACTGGCTCGCTGGAGGGAGGGGGAAACCGCGATGATCAACTGGATCGAACGGGATGGATCGAATAATAATGGCGTTCGAGATACTTTGTTCGACGGTGGCAGCACGTGGTGGCAGCCAGCAGGAAAGGCACTAGGCAAACAAGCACACCGAAACGACACAGGCACCCAGACAGGTGATAGTCACATCGGCTTCAACAGTCAAACAAGAAAACCAGTCCTGGCAAACGATGAATAGGGCACAAGCCCACAGAGCAGAGAGCGTTCTAGCTTCTGGAGAGAAAAGAAGTTTCAAAAGTTTCAAGCTGTGTGGCCCTCGTGGCCCTGGTGGCTCTGTGCTTGCCTGGGGGCGGTTCTGTTAGTCAAGTTTAGCTGGGGCCCGAGGGTAGTAGCGGGTGCCAAAGGATGCCAATGGGGCATGGGCCAATTCAACCACGCGGTTGACCCCCTTGCGGCGTTGACGCCTGTAACCTGGAGCTTGGAGCTTGGAACCCTGGATGGCAGGTGCTCCAAAAGTCACGCCATTATTGAGATGCGGGCTCTGCGTAACAAAGTAGCCTTTTCCCCCAGCCGGGGGGCCAGGATTGAAGAAGCTTTGAGTTTTTTGGGACGCCAGGAGCGGGGGGTGGGCCAGTGGCGGTTTGCGGAGTCAAGCCAGAGGGAGAGAAAGAGGACGAGGTTGACAAAAACGCAAATAGGAACGAAAGATGAAGAAAGAGAGGGAGGGGAGACGGAAGATGGTGTAGACGCTGGGCGTCACTTGGGCAGAGATTCGTCACTTACGCACAGTCAAAACCCCACCCAGGCGACCTGGCAGGGGACACTGGCCCTGGCACTATCACTGTCACTGTCACTGGGGACCTGGCACCTAGCCACTCCCCCGCTAAACTGGATGACCGGGGCTTTGGCTTGAGCACCTCCCGCCCGGTTGCCGTGCAGGTCTTGGCCCTCGACAAACCCAAACAGCAGCTGAGGCTGTCACGTTGTGTAACCACGAGAGAAACATTGTCGGGCAGGTGCATCATCAATGGCAGAGACACAAGTGGACAGGCACCAAACAGAACTCGTATTGAGCAGTGATTAACAGCAGATCATGGACTTCAATGGAATATCCCATGAATAATATCAATCAACTCCAGGGGTCTCTCTCTTCCTCTTCCATCCTTCTCCTCTCCTCGTCCTGCGTCCTGGCACTTCCCACCTCGTCCTCCGTAACTCTAACGGACGCCATGATGAACAGGGTAGCGGGTTGTGTTGTTCAACACTGGCCAGAACGGGTTGGCTTCGACATCCCTTGATCGAGATGCGTCCTCTCCCCTCAACACAACCAACTGCCACCCTTGATTGACGCTGACTTGCATCAAGCCACCGGAATTCAATTCAGCATTTTGCGGGGAAATCAGTCACTCGTCCGAATTGCGTGCCCTTCACAGAGCCCGGAAGCCAACCAAACACGCCGGGCGTCAAAGCGCTCAAAAGCATGTGCGCCCTGATCGATGCTACTTTTTGACTATCAACCACACCAGATGTACTGTACTTCGTACTTGGTTCTCATGACCAGGCAGACTTGCCTCGGTTGGTCCCCCTCGTCGTTGATGCTCATCTCACCCACGGCGCCACGTCCCAACGACGAATGGGATCATCTCTGTACATAGGTGGGCGACATATATCCCTCAAAACGTATAGGCCAGCCGTGTCCACCTGACATGTCTCTTCCCCCCATGACAGCTGCCCAGATACCCTATCTCGATCCTTCAACCAACGCCTCGGAGATCTTGGTTCAGTGCACCGTTGCCACCATGATGACCTCCCCACTGGGTGCGCGGAACGTGTCGGACGGTCTCGCTAGCACTGGCGGAACAATATTCCCTGTAGGACAACTCCTCTTCTGTCTTGGAGACAGGGACAAGGCGTAGATCGCCAGACACTGAAACTCATTCTGGTCAATCGTTCCCGGTGAGATGCCAGTTGATTGGTGATCACACATTCAGCAAAACGGTCGTCCATCTCAGAGACACCAAACTTCATTCAGCGAAATCGAGACTGCCCTTGCCCACCGTCGAAGGAGCGGCATCGATGCCCTTTTGCTGCCGGAGCTTCTCCTCGAACCTGGCAAACTCCTTCATGGCAATCTCTTCCTCTTCATCCAGCACCTGGTTGACGCCCTTGACTTCTTCAATGTAGTGCATCAGCATTGACTCGATGCCATTCTTCAACGTGACCGTGCTCGAGTCGCACGTTCGGCACGCCCCCCTCAGTTTCAGATTCACCATCCCGTTTTCAAATCCGCGGAACTCGATGTCCCCACCGTCTTCTTGGATCGCTGGCCGAATGCGCGTCTCCAGCAGCTCTTTGATCATGGCAACCACCTCGTCATCCTCGTCGTTGGGAGCCAACGAGTCCTCGCCGAGTCCTCCTTGGCCATCTTCTGCAGACGTAGTTTTCTCTACCGTATTGACTAGTGCCTCTCCCGATGTGATTGCCTCGGTGATCAACGCAAAGATCTCGGGCTTGACGTGCGCCCAGTTGACATCCTCAGCTTTTGTCACCGTGATAAAATCGGGGCCGTAGAAGACCGACGTAACTCCGTCGACGTCGAGCAATCGGGCCGCGAGGGGAGACGGGTGAGGGGCAGCCACTGTCGACCGAGGAGAGTTGTATTCCAGAAATGTCGAGGGGAAACCCTCCGGCAGGACAGGATGGTTGGGGAGGAACTTCAACGCCGAGGCATTGGGCGTTGGCTGCGTCTGTATATAGATTGATCGAGTTGCGCCAATAATAGAGGTGGATGTTTTCTGGCCTGGCCGCAAAAGAGGCCGTCGACGAGCCTGCGACGAGGTGATAGGGGGAATGCGGACGGAGTGATGGGCGTGGCGGACACAAGCCGCATGGGAGGCTGCGCTCAATGGCGGTTTTGCACTCCATGCACGTAGTGACCGAGAAGGTAGAAAACCGCGCATTGTATCGGAGTCAAGGATATGTACACGTTCGAGTATAACAAAGCGCCAGAATTGTTGCAGATATGGTATGTTTGTGTAGGTATTGATGGCGGTTTCTAGCTCCAAGATTCCAGCAACCCGATTTTCTTTACGGAAGGGAAAACCTTTGAATGACGCAACGGGGGGAGGCCATTGTCACGTGCCACAGCCCCGGCATTTGTCATCCTCGAACGCCATATCATCACCACCCAATCAATCACGTGGAGAGCAAATTCGTGGTATTCGAGGTCTCTTTTCCCATATCAAAGAGGAAATATCATATTCCAACGACCAGGACTGACGAGCACCATGTCGCTAAAGCCTTGCAGTGTATGTCAAAACCCAGCCTCCAAATATCATTGCCCCTCATGTAGGGCTACAAGGTGCGCTATTTCATACTTAGGATTACATTACTTGTCATTAACCTTTTTGTGAACCAGCTGTTCCTTGCCATGTTTCAAGACACATAAGAGCCAATGTGACCAACCCGTGACCAAGAGTGACATTTCAACCCCTAGAAATGCACCTCCGAAGACAGAAGCAGCTTCAGTTGAGGATACGCCTCTTGCCGATCTTCTGATCGAGGATCCTAGGCTGCAGAATCTGTTTCAACAGTACCCGGCCCTGCGTGCAAAACTTAAATTCATCTTCGAAACCACCATTGCCGACAATCGTGAAGGGGATCAGCCGACATCCTATAACCCGCAAGGACATAGGTCTCAAGATACTCCGCAGAAACGCATTGGTCGTGCTATGAGGCTTCTCGAACGCCAGTTGGACTCAGATACAGCCGAAGCATCAGGGATAATGGCATTCGCAGAGCTTGTGGCAGATCTGGAGTCGAGAAAGTCGGAGAAAGATTCGAGCCACGCCAGGGCCCCTCTTTAAAGTGAGGTCTGCTTCCAATGGATGTGGGCTTAGACAGCGGGGGCGTTGCTGGACTTTTGGGTATCTTCTCTCGAACAAGTGATCATTTCCTGGATCGAGCAGATGCTTTCGAAGGGGCCACCTTCTCCTCAGGCTCGTCGTCGAAATACATGTCAATCAGCTTTTCAACAGGCGATCTCCTCTGGAAAATGCTGAAAATACTTCTGCGCCGCCGCCGGGGTGGGACGCTGCGGTCATCATTCGCGTCCAGTAAGCTCGAATTGTCCAGCTCCAGTGTGGTGGACACCGACTGCTGGTCTTCCTCGTCGTCCGAATCAAACAAATTTAGCAGAGGAGGCCTGCGCTTTTTGTATCGGTGCTCGAGTGTCTCAGGGCCGTCCTGAATGGCAAAACTTTCCATCTCTCGGCGTGCTTGGTCTTCTCTAGGGTCGCTCAGTAACAGTGGCGTCATAGGAGGATTGGAATTTAAAGTCGCGATCGAGGTGGACTGGGATAACGCAGGAACAGGCGGTTCGTCGCCTTGGGCGAAAAGCTCTGCCGCTTGGCTGGACCAGAGCCCACCGTTTCTTATCGACGGGCGTGCGTCGCTGGTTGTCATCCTCCTGCGGGCCATCGGTCTGGGAGGAGAGGTCGCTTCTTCTTCTCGCCTCGTCTCTTTATTTGGTTGTTTCATGCTTGAAGTTCTTGGCGGCGCTGTCCAAGATCTCGGAATTGCTGGACCGGGTTCGTCATCTTCGGAGAAGTCGTATTGGTGATAATCACTATGGTCTTCGATTAGACGTTCGGGCAGCTGGGCCAAGTCCTGATTCTTGTGGGGACTTGATGCATGAAGACTTCCTTCCGTCGGGGGCGATGGTGATTGACGCTTGAAAGCAAATATCTGGTGGGAATGTTCCGCGTAGGATTCTCCTCTCTCCGAATATCTGCTGCTGCTGCGCTTTAAGGCTAGTTTTGTGGGCAAAATCTGCTGTCCTGCCGGTTGTTTCCAATTTCCATACACTGGTGTCTGCGAAGCCTCTCGGAATGCGTCCTGGTCGGGCGGCGGGGTTCTGGTTCGTAAGGAGTTCTGAGGCGCTGCGCGGGCGAGGGGAGCTGTCAAGGCCTGTTCTGAGGAAGTCGTGATGCTTGTGATCTGTCCCGGTTTCCACTCGTAGGCAGGATATGATGTGGACGGCACCTCGAATGTGGGCAAAGGTTCGGTCGCTTCCAGAGAAGGACTGCCTTCAAAAGAGAACCTCTTGATATTGATGCCTTCGGATTTCTCGGAAACGCTCCTCGCTCGCTTCAGACGGTCCTCCACTTCCTGCATTTCGGCCGTGTACCTGTCCAGACGCCTGAAAAGTGAATCGAGATCCAGATCATCATTTTGGTTGGTAAATGGCGAATGTGATGAGTTTGATGCGGTCAAGTCGCCGGATCCCGTCTGATAAGCCGCCATCCATTCCCGAGTCCGCTGCATCGCCTGGCCGATGGATTTGCTGCTTGCCCTGGCACTACCTCCTTCCCCGTGGTCGCCAGAGTATAAGGACGACATCTCTTAGGTTGAGAGGATGCGTTAAAATTTGGCGAGAAGTCGAATCCACGCGCTCATAGTAGCTGATGCCAGGCAACAATAACAACCGTTCGTTGGTTTATGTTGGAATATACTTGACGCGTCGAAAGGAGGTTGGCGCGCTCAACTGCCACGTTTTTTCTCACCCACTTTTTTGAGCTCGAGCGAAAGTAAGCGAAAGGGGGGGTGCGGACATTTGTATGAAGCGAGGCTCGACCAAAAGCGATGGACAAATCTCGTTCCAGCTCGGATCATTCGAAGCCACCAACGGCTGGAAAGGAGAGAGTTCCTACATAGTAAGAGTATAACACCAAATCGGGCATAGTGGGCGCCATAGAGGAGGAGAGCTGAATGTCCCTTCTAAAACGGTGAACGGGTGGCTTAAAAATTGGTGATAGACTTGTTGGCGCTGCGGGGCGGCGCAGAGACATGAATCACACTGCACTGAGCACTTGATCAAGCATGAGTAGAAAACTGGTGGCAGAGACAACTTACTCGTGTTAGCTGGTATGTGGCATTGAAGTCTTTCAGAGTGACATCAACCAAGCCCATGAGGGGCATGCAGTCTTCGGAACACCCATGGCATTCGGAGTATTCGCTTGTCTAGGAGTGATAGGGGGATGCCTAGAACTGATGGAGAACAAGTTCTTCGACAGCTTTCGCTCAATGGGTTAGTGAGCAAGGAAAATGGCCATCACCGCGTTGAGTCGAGAGGAGACGTCACGCATCAGACGCCCTCATGAGATTGGAACGAGGCTTGTTCAGCGTGATCTTCAAGAGTCATGGTTTGTGTCTGAGTACCGAGTACGGAAACCATCGTGATCAGCTGTCGTCTGGGAAATTGCAGCACACGGACAAGAAGCGTAGGTGTGGCAGAGGCAGAAGACACTGCTTAACGCCGGGCAGACGAAGATTGAGAGGCTGCAGCAGCCAAAGCCAAAGCCCAAGCCTCAAAGCTTTTTCGGGGAGGGCTCTGAGCAGGGAAGAGGGGGAGGTGGAGACGATGGTTGCAGGGCTTGTAAGTCGAAAGCCCCCTGACCAGGATGGACTCACAGCTACTGCAGCATGGCACGCATGGACACCGAATAGCAGAGGGGTGAGTAATCGTGAAGCTGTGACATCGAGAAGGGTGTCCTGTATGTGTGTAGATGAAGCACACACAAGGTAGAGAGGAAGGGAAGTGAAAATGACCTGATAAGTCGTGCAATGAAGGGGAGTTGGAACGTGACGGTGACGGTGACGGTGATGATGGTAGGTACATAAAGTAGTAGGAGGGAGGATGGAGGGGTGACTGCGGCTGCTCCAGCACCACCACCAGCACCGCCAGCACCACCACTTACTCCAACCTCCAAGTTGTGGTGATTTGTGCTGATTCTCCGGAGACCAGAGAAGAATTGCAATTGTAGATCACGGAGCACAGCCTTTTAATATGTATGTCGCTCACACCTCTTTAATATCCGCCCATGTAGGCACAGAATAGGCTCACGTCGGAAGTCAAGTCCCTTCCTATCTCGAAAAATTTCCTGCTGGAGCAATCTCAAACAACTGGTCGCTGGGCGCAGGATGGCATTCTTGCCAATATTCTGATCGTGCATAGTGGCGGCGGGTGGGAGCAGAACAAGTGGTTCTGACTAGAGCCGCAACTGGGGGGTTGCTTGCATGTCGGCGGCCTAAACACCCTAGGGAGCCCTTAAAAGAGGCCGCACTAGCCCCAAGCCGGCCCCATCCCAGCGGCTTAACCAGCATTAACCGACTCCCCCGCCAATGGCCTCACCCATGGTCCTGCCGCGGAACCACCAGCCTACAGCGACCTACAGCAGCCCGCAGCAGCCCGGCAGCTTTGGCTGCATCCTCTAAGCAGGCGATGTGGCCTCTATTGCTGGCTCCCGGTCGCCTACTACTGCGTAGTTCCTGCATCGACCAGCATTGACTGGTGCAGTACCTGACGGTCGTAACCAAAAACTTGACTACTGAACTTGTGCTTTTTTACATGGGGCCGAGCTTCTCATCAACCCTCCCAAAACTGAAAGGCTTCTTTTCTCTGCACCCGACACTTTTCCTCGCAGCAACAGCAAGCAGGCAGGCAGTTTCATGCTCCCCTTTGCAACCGAACCTCGCAATCCAGCGTTACTTCCAAACTCTTCTTCTTCCCCTTCTTCTTCTCCTTCTGGGACTCTTCTATCTTCCTCCCCAACCTCGACTTCCACCCACAGCTTCGGCCTCAATCTCATCTTTGTCCTTCCTCCAAGGTCTCACCCACTCTCCCAAAAACTCGGGTCCATCTACCCGCCTGGTGTCTCCTCCTCTTGTTGGGCCCAGAACCAAATCGGATTGAAGTCGACGGGCTAGATTGCCCTCTCCACTGAGCCAGCCTCGGGCCCTCTCAGATATCCACCCCTCTCCGCCGATACCTGACGAGAACGGACCCTCCTCTGCTAGACCTCACCTGCTCCTTCTCAATCCTCCCTCGATCGACCCTCGCTTCTGCTCTCATATACCCTGACTTCCTTGACGCTCGTTCCTCTGCCCGAACCTGGTTGTTGGGACCACGCTCACTACCCTCACCTGAAACCGACAGACGATCACCACCAGCCGAATCCCGCCTCCCACCTGCTGGATTCGTCTAGTCCCCTTTACCATATCTTTCCTCGACACGGAGCTCTGCTGGCACTGCTAACCAGATTCGTCTCCTCCCGACTCCCGCTAGCCCATCACAAAGACCCATTGACTTGGTGTCTTGATGTCCCAGAAATCCATGACCTCCACCAGTTTCCAGCTCTCTGGTCGTCAATCATCTGCAACGTGTGGTTTGTCAGAGGTCCAACCTGAGCTTGTCAACCACTTCGGTACCAGTAGTTATGCAGTGATTTGAACCTGACCCCCTCCCAACCCCGATCCATGGATTCCCGTTCCACAAGGTATCGATCACTCGATGCAAAGGCTGTTGAGCCGCCTCCCAGAGTCAGGGAACGGCACAATTCGGCCCCCACAGTTGATCGACGCAAAGACCAGCACCAAAGGCGTCCCTCCGCCGTTATCAAACCCTCAGATGCCAGCCACCGAAGCTCGAAACCCCATGCCCGGGTCGACTCTTTGACTTCTCCAGACCGTGGCACAAACAACCGACGCTCAGATCGCTCCCAACTTTCTGGCTATTCCCTCGAGGCGAAGCTCCCGAACAAGGTACGTCTGGCTGATCTTGTTTCGCCTCTCCGACTAGTTCCCATGGTGGTACCAGTCCTCGGCAGCTATATTGACCTCGGGTTGTCTCCAGGCAAGTGACTCGGAGTCGACCTCGTCCATCAACTTGCTGGTGCTGGGCTCTCGCAACTCGGGAAAAACCACCTTTATTCGAAACTCCATTGGTAAAGATCGGTCTCGTACCTCGATTGAAGTTCGCATCAGAGACAGGAGCTATCAGATCCAATTCTTCGAGTTGCTCTTCGACGATGTCGACTTCAGTAGCGAGCGAAGAATCGAATGGCCTACATACATAAACGGGGCTCCTCTGCCCGAGATTGATGGTGTATTTTGCCTATACGACGTCTCTGACAAGGAAAGCGTCGCCGACGTCCCGGCCGCACTGAGTAAGTACCATCCCCCAACAGTATACCCGTCCTAAGCAGACATATCTTCCCCGACCAAGTCTGATCTCCTGCTCACGACGTCGCTAAAGCTTCCATGACCAATACCGGTGTGCCTTGTATGCTTGTTGCCGCCAAATGCGACGTCAAGAACGAAGCCCGTCAAATCAGTCCACGTTTCCACGAGACCATCCGTCACAATCTTGCCAAGGTTGCCATTGCCGAGATTTCCATCAGATCCCCAGAGAACACCAAGCAGTGTTTTCTTGCAATGATTCATCGAGTCATTGCATCTCCTCGAGGTAAGTTTTGCTCCGCATTTGAGCAACACTATTCTTCCTCAAACCCCCACCCCGATTTCATCGTTCCCGCTTTACCTTTCTATAATCCTTCATGGGCAGACTTCCCAAGGACGGCTGCTATGCAATGTATTCCCATGGGCCGATCATCAATCCTATGCATGATTCGACACGAACAGAGCCCTCATAGCTGATAATGGATGCAGCGTCTATTCGAGCAAGCAAGTCATCATACACTTCCACCGAGTCTGCAAACAGTCAGCGCGTCCTCTCAAGGGACCCTTCACCAAAGTCGGCTCGAAGCAGAAGCCGATCCAATAGTCGATTGCAAATCTCCAAGTCCAAGGAGCTACTGCTGAATCTTTCAGTGCGACAAGCACTTGTCGAGTCCGAGAACGAATATAGTCAATCTTCTGAGACGGAGGATGTAGCTCCAGCCAGTCGCAAGGCCAAACTCAGACTGGACACGACAGCTGTTTCCCAACCTCAGCGCCGTCCAGCAGGACCCCACACGCCAATATCTTCTGGTGATTTTACCGGCAAACTCGTATCTTCTCTTGAGACTTCAACGACAGCAGTTCCCGAAACGCCCGATTCCTACTATGTAAAATCAATGCTGCGTCCCGAATCGACATCTACCGTTGACAGCCGGGCGTATCAAACCTTCCTCAACATGGACGAAGACTCACATGACCTCTCACCTCGGACGGAAGTGGAAGCTTTGTGCCCTCCTTTGGGCGGTCTCAAAGTTGAGGAAGGTTCAAACGTAGAGCGCGGGGTCCCCTTCCAGGAACTGGTCGACAAACTCCTCTTGTTGCCTGCGAGCAAAACGGATTCCAAATTTGTCCCGTCTTTTTTGTGTCTGTACCGAGCCTTTGCCACTCCACAAAAACTGCTCACCGCCATTATCGACCAATTCATGAAGGTGGAACAGAGTAAGATGGTTCACTTCTCCAAAGTCGCAGAGATGCTTCGATACCTGCAGGTATTGGCTCAATGGACTGCCACCTACCCCGGGGATTTTTCTCCTGGCCCTGCTCGTGATATCGCCATCCCCTTTGTGCAAAGTATTGAAAAGAGCAAGGTGTTCGCCCCAGCTGCCAGAGAGATTAGTAACAACCTGGACACCATCATTCCTGACGAAGACTTGGATTGGGCATTTGATGATTTACCCTCCTCATCAAGTAAGAAGAGTGGCGCAACTATTCACCACAAAGCAAGTATATTGTCGTCCGCTTCAACCCTGGTTCCTTCGCCGAGCACGGAGAATATGACGAGGTCAAGTCGTAAGGGACGACGAGAAGAAGACGACAGTGAGGACGATCGTGACGGGACAACTTCATCTGCACGCGGATCCAATGTGCCTTCAACGTCTTCCAGCATGATGAGATCAAGTAATCCCTCCAGTCAATCCTATGCAAACTTTGTACAATTGGAAAATGCAAAACTGGAAGCAGAAAGATACAGGCCCGTACCCCGTTTTCGTCTCAGCAAATTTCAGTGGCATCTCTTTATGGAAAGCACCCTCGATGACCTTGCTAGGGAAATTACACGGATCGATTGGACAGTGTACTCGGCAATCAGGCCCCGGGATTTTGTTCGGCACGTCTCTATTTCCACCTCGCAGAAAAGGAAATCCAGCTCGTCCGACAACATCGGCGCCATGGTGAAAAATTTCAATCATTTGGCGTTATTTGTGTCCGGCATGATCCTACTCCGGGACAAGCCAAAGCATCGAGCAAGAGCTTTGGAGAAATTTATGGCACTCGCGTGGAAAGTGAGGCAACTGAACAATTACAACTCCCTTGGCGCTATCGTGGCGGGTATCAATGGTCATGAGATTGCTCGTTTGGGTGCCACCCGAGATCTGATACCGGCAGAGGTCCAGAAGCAATTTCTGAGACTGACCATTCTTATGGGGATATCAAGATCTCACGCCGCATATCGCATGGCTTGGGACAATTCTCCGGGTGAACGGATTCCGTTTCTCCCCCTTGTACGACAAGATCTTACCATGGCGGCTTCAGCAAACCAGACATTTATCGGGACCAACGTCAACTGGAAGAAATTTGAGATCATGGGAGACGTCATTGTTGGCATCCAACGAAGTCTCGAAAATCCCTACAGCTTCCCGCCAAGATCCGTTCGTACTGATGAGATAACGAAATTGATCTTGGAAACCAAGATCGTTGAAGAATCAGAGGTGAGACACCTTGACCGCGTTCAATGCGCGGCGCCCCGTTCTGATTGATGACTACAGGATTCTGCAGACCCACGCAGCGAGCTATACGACCGAAGTGTACAGGTTGAACCACAACAGGCTGGGGGGGATCCTAGAAAAAAGTTCGAATGGTTACGGCGTTAATACCGGGAAAGATCACCGTCGCATCAAGCGACGGCCTGTGAAAAGTTATGACCAACAAGTCAAATATTGGTGTACAGAGAATTTGGTACGAAGATAGAAAGGGAGGCTCGGAGCTCTGAACAAATCTCTTGAAGGTGCGGGCGCACTGTTGGCACTATGAGATCATGATTTACGACAGAAGACTTATGATGTTACAAGCTATTGGTTATGGAGTTTAGACCACAAAGGGGAGGACATGGTTGTCAAGACCTTTCAGGTTGCTTTATGGAGAGGCGTTTTGAGCAAGTTTATATCAAGAGCAGGGACGGAGGCGGAATACTCAACGCTTGAGCGTGGAAACGAAAAGTTGGCCATCATCTTGCAAGGGCTGCACACCTTTCAGACTGCCTGATATCTGTTTGAAGGAATCCTTTGCGCAACGGGATTTGCACAAGGTTGACATCTTCCCGAATCCTTGTGATACTAGAAAGAGAAGGAATACGGAAATCAGGTGTGCAAGGCTTGATCTCGATGCATGGACGAGCTGGTGGGAACAGCAATGAGGCCGTCCTTTGGAGGGACTGGTGCACGGGCAAGGCGAATTGCTTTGGCACTGGGATGCATGAGCTCTCCATGGACAACGAGCTTAAACTTCCTCGCTCAGAGTACCGGAGTGGTGGTATTCCATTGCTGACTCGTGCTGCTTCTGGTGACGATGAGAAGACTGCAGGGTCTCAATCCGAGGGGACCAGCACCACAGGACTTCTGCAGAGCTTTTATGCATGCGATTCCCTTTAGCATTGCCTCTGGCCGTCTGTTGTTGCAGAAAATATAGCCTCGATGTCAAACACGTCCCAAACATGGACTACAATTTTGCGACGTTTATTAAGCAAACTCCAAGACACACACTCCTCGTGGCAGAAGAGGAAGAAGCTGTATATCATTCCATCATGAGTGTCAATGATACTCTTCCACATGTTACATATTATACCAGTGACGTCCACCTTTTTTAGTTGCCAGGAGGGCATCTCGCAGCACAAGACAGATTAAATCATATATCCTTTCCCACTGTTGTGTGACACAAACAATACGGCCAGCCAGTTTCCTTCCTGGCCCCTTTCCTTTTCCCTTCCTTTTTTTTGTGCCTGTCTCCCGTCCCATATGGAGCCCTCATGAAACAGCCATGTGAAAATCACATCATTCCCGTTCCGTGAGCTAGTCAGCCCTTCTTGCCTGTGCTCAAGGCCCCATCTCCTCGTCCCTGCTCTTCTCCTCAGGGCTGACGGCGTCCTGGCCCGGATTCGCCTCCTCGTAGCGGAGATACTTGACGAAGGCGTAGTAGCCGGACGCCATAAGGGAGCCCATGACGGGTCCGAACCAGTAAATGTAGTGGTAGCCCGGGAAATAGGGCGTGGCAACGGCGGGGCCGAAGCTGCGCGCCGGGTTCATCGAGGCTCCCGTGTAGGGGAGGCCGGCCATCATGCCCACGAACAGCGCGAGGCCGATGCCCACGGGAGCCATGAAGGTGGCGTAGTGCTTCTCGGCGGCAAGCATGAGGATGGTGAACACCAGGAGCGAGGTCAGGAACATTTCGATGAAGACGCCTTGGGCGGGCGTGGTGTCGTTGCTCAACGTGGTGCCCACGACCAGGGGGCCGGGCAACATGCATCTGACAAGAGCTGCCGCGACGATCCCGCCGAGGATTTGGGACGGGAACAGGAGAAGTCCACGAACCCAAGGGAGGTTCTTGGTAAGCACGAGACCCAGGGTGACCTGATTTCACGGTTCGGTTCCTCGGTCAGTTTTCTGAGAGAGACACACACAAGCAGAAATCGCCGCCAGGTAATGCAGAGAGCACATACAGCGGGATTGAACAATCCTCCGGAGATTCTGTAGAATGCCCACACCGTGACGAGCAGCGAAAAGCCAAATGCCAGACTGGTCAAGGTTACCTGGGTCGGGGTATTTGCTACACCTCCGCCCGTGATGGCCGCGGATTGAGTGCCAGCAAAGGCGAACCAGAGGAAGAGCGTGGTGCCCACGAATTCACCGACCATGGCAATGACATGGTTTTTGGCGCGGGCACGACGAGAGAGGAAGTCTCGATCGGGGTCATTGTTGTGGGGGAGGTGGTGGTGATGGGTGTTTTGAGTGTTGGAAGCCGACGCCGTGGCTGCGCCTGAACTGGACATGTTGTGCCGTCGAGCAGAGAAATGAGGGAATTGGCGGGGCATGTTGGAAGGGATGAAGGGATCAGGAAATCCTCTGCAAGGATAACAGAAAGAGTACTGGTTGCATTTGTAGGGAGCATAGGTTGAGAGGAGGAGGAGAAGGAGGAGGAAGGGGGATGATGTCAACGATTTACCTGCTGTATACGGGGAAAAAGCTAGCGGTGAAAATGGAACACGGCTCAAGCAAAAATGGCCTATGTGCAAAGATGGACAAGTATCTCGATTTTCCCTTTCATGTGGACTTCACTGTCAAAGCTCCTTGTCGATCGCCTGCGGGGCGACACAGGGCCCAAGGGCTGATCGCGAGTCAAGTGGACACCAGAAATGGCTCCGAGGGGACGGAAGGCCTTAGGACGATGTCTCGCCGACCGTCGTGGCGCCCCAGGCCGGTCGGCGGGAGCCGTAGTTGTCATTGAATTTTTGATGTTGTCACCGGCTGCCACTGGAGATGCCATCCGTCCTGTTGGACCCTGGTAGGCAAAACTGCAGGTTTGTTGGGAGCCGCTGACATGGCGCCAAGCGGCTGGAATGACATCAAAATCTTGTCAGTCAACAGTGTGTCCTGGCACAGCTGGCAATGTCAAAAAACCCGGCTGCACACTCGGGGACGGCCTTCAGTTTGACGCGGATAACAAAAGCAGTGGCAGGTAAGGGGTGCAAAATGTCGAGGAGAGAGAGAAGAGAGTAAAGAGAGAAGACGAAAAGGGGAGCGGAAGTGCCAAGACCAAATGCTAGTGCCAAGACCCCACAGTGGGATTCTAGGGCGCTGATTAATAAATTACGTCATGCATCCCTACTTTGACAGCCTCGTTGTCGACAACAATCAGGCTAGACAAGTTCCTCTCAATACTCAACACCAGGTTGTTAGGCTGACTCGATGCCATGGGGCCCAGTCTGACTCCCCATGCAAGGCGACCAAGCCTTGCCCGAGTTGGGAAATTGCCCAACCTCGAGCTCGACCTCGACCTGAACCTCGATAAAGACTGTCTTCCAACGGTGCCGGGTCTCAGAAATGATTCCTAGGCTATTCTGAGCTTCTGGACTTCCTTTCAACGGTAGCAAGCGAGAATCTGAGCCAAATGGCGCCCGTGTCAAGTGCTGCTACCTTGTCGCCGGTCCCTCCATTCACTTCTGCTCCTACTTGTGGGGCTGGCGATTCTTCTGGATGTCTATGACATCGCAGACAGCTTTTTGGTTCCGCTGATGATCTTCAGCTTGTTGCTAGCCTCGGGGCTGCCGACTTACTTTCACCTTTGTTACGGTCAAGTCAGGCTGTGTTATGCTTACTGCCCACTGTGTACAGCCCCTTGCACATGCCCACCAAATCTCGATATCTCGAACCTCAACGCCGTTGAGATGTGTACACGCCTCCGTCACAGGAACCAAGAAGCTGTGCGCAGTTCAGATGTTGAAAGCGATATTGGTAACAACTAAGGGGTATCTTCAAGTCAGATCTACAATCACTCTGCTCAGTCCACGTCCAAGTCATAAGTTTTTTGGTGCTCAATCAGCATGCAATCACATTCACATCAAAATAGCCTCCTCGACCACCACGCTCAGAATCCAAATCGCCCTGATCCCCATCCTCCAACCCCTCCATCCCAGCCCAGAGGGACTGAAAATGTTGTCTCTCAGATGTCAACCTGATCTTGTTCTCCGTCGTTGGCGAAGTAACTCTGATCGATCTTCAGAATCCACTCAAGTTTCTGACTCTCACTTCTCGCTGCAAACAAGAAGGTATTCTGCTCACCATACACAGCAAATACGTGAGCCAGACCATGGAGTTCCGCGTTGCTACCGGTTCTTCTGTGACCACGCTGCTCTGCTGACGAGAAATCGGCCCCGTCGTGCGAAACAGATGAACCCCCACCAAGTAAGCGTTTGAAGTCCGGATCATGATCAATTCGTGCGTGTGTGAGGTTGACCGCGTTGATTCCCTCGCCGTCAGGGACGGACTGAATGTGAAGATAAGGAGGTCGCAGATCGACAAATCGTCGTTTCCATTGCATGGTGCTGGCGTGATTGCCAGCGGGAGAGGACTCGTAGGTTTCCGAAGGCATGAGCAGATAGCCCGATTTGAGGGAAACCGTGTTCTTGGGCACGTGGTTGACAGTGGCTCGGTAACGGGTCGACAGTGATGCCGATGTCTCAGGAACCGCTGTTGCCGATGGTTGGGGACGTGTGCTCTCGTCGCCTTCATCAAAGATAGGGTTCTTCATCTCCACACTCGGTTTCATCCAAATCGCGAGGTATTTGCGTAGAAGTTCCTCCTCCCGAGAATCCAGCTGAGACGGTGATACTGCGCGAGACCGTGCTTTGTTTGCGGTTACACTCAGTCTGCGCAACCCCAATGCAGCTTTCGCGGATTCTATATCCTCCAATTGACGCCTTTTCCTTCGGGCAATCAAGTAATCTTTCACCAACGAAATCCCTCTCGGTTGCCAATTGCCGAGCAGTTCTTCCCCGTTGATGTAATTCTTCGAAGTATCTAGACGCCATAGATCGGCTGCTCTCTTGGCGCTAACTGGTCGCACGACAATCGAGAACAACCCGTCTGTAGCGTGGGTCACCCGTGTTTGATTCCAAAAGGACTTGAACATAGACTGGGGACGAACGTAGGATCGTGGCAGAATTTGTAGCTGTTGGTCGATAGAGAACGTCATCGGATGATCATGTCCAAGACGGCTGGAGACAATGTCCCAACGCAAAGAAATCTGAACTCTACAGTTTTCGTTGGTGGCACGGTCGAGGAGGAGGGTTTTGTGTAATGAGCTGTCCCATTGTCCAACGATCGTGATATTCGAGGTACCGTCGGCATTGTCTTTGATCATAGGTTCTTGGATTTGTTTAAGGGGAATGTCTGGCGTGATGGACGCAATGTCGGTCACACGCCCGGACGAATCTAATTGATGAACTTCCCCAACTCGCAAAGACTTCAGGTCGTCCCATGGTAGACCCTCGGTAAGGACATGCGTTAGATTGACAGAAACTCGACGTTGCAGCCCCTGATGCAGCTGGAATGCGCCGCAATCGTTTGGGTTGCTTTGAATGACTTCCACTGGCATGTACTGGCCGTTTTCTGCAAGCTCGAGGATCTGGACTTTTGCAAAGACGTCATGTCGTTCTTCAACGGTGTATTCAGACTCGGCCAAACGAGGAGCAGGTTGTTGATCGGCAGGGTGTTCATTCATTTCACGAAGCTCATCCCAGCTGATCAGCTTATCTAGATGCGTCGAGCTGACTTGAGCAAAAATGGCGATCTTCAAAATCGCAGATTTCTCACCCGAGCGACGAATACTCAGGTTGTGGATGCTCTCAAAACGTACGGGACCGTCGCCAAACCCGTGAATAGGCTGGGTGGTCGCCACGCTCTCGTCGTCAGTTCCTAGCACCGTCATCTGGGCATGGACTTGTGTGCCCTCGTGCTCAGCGAAGCCCACAAAGTCACGCATCACAATGTTGAATTTGATGGTGGAAGGTGGAGACTCGGCCAATGATGGTTCCAGGGACATCCTAACCTTGCCAACAATTTGTCTCGTCGATGGCGAAGTTATCTCCACCACAAAATCTTGCACGCGAGTTTCGAAGACAGCGGTCAGAGGAATGCTCCCATCGCCAATAAGCGAAAACAAGGGCTGGTCAGAGTCACGGAACGGGTTGTCCATTCGGAAATGCTGCAGGTATTCTGGCTGGTTCTGGTACTGGCGCATTTGGCGCATTTTAGCCACTCGTAGTCGAAGTTTTTCCAGCGACCAAAGGTGAATGCAGCTGAGCTCGTTGTCAATAACCCTCACGGCGAGACACGGCTTGCGCGCAGTCGCCAGAGCATCATCGTCGTCTCCAGATATATCTTGAAGGATGAGATCATAGGAAGAGCCCCGTTCTTGTCCGTTGTCCAGAATCACAAACTGGAAGTTGGTATCGTGATCCAACAACTTGCTCATGACCTGTGCTTCCTTGAGAAGACCGGCGTTTTGCAATACCTCCTCTGCTATCAAGATGTAGTTTCTTTGTTGCCACTTTTCCACGACGTTCCGGGCAATGGCTATCTCAGAAGCTTCCAGAGGCAGGAACCCAGCCGGCGTTCGAGCAGCTTCTCGTATGCGGACGTCTTGATCCATTTTCTTGATCTGTGCTTCGTACTCTTCTTTTTGTTTTCGAAGTTCTTCTTCAAACTCCAGCCTCGCCCGTTCCAGTTCTTGCAGCATCCGAGCCGCCTGGGCTTCCCGTTCAGCGTCTTTGGATGCGTTCTCGGCGGCTCCTTGTTTCTCCTCATCTCCGTTTTTCTGCGTCTCGTGCTGAGCTTGGTGTCCAAACTGGCCGGGGGTCAAGGTCGGTTCGCCATCTCCTTGTGAACTGCCATGTACAGAAGGCGTGCCTGGGAGTGTTAGGGCCGTGTCGAGAGAAAAGTTGTCGATGGTACCATTCGACATGTACTTGTCGCGCACAAGAAAGGAGCTGAGATCGTCCGAATCTTCATCATGCTCAAAGCTTTTGTTGTCGGAACGTCCTCGTCGTTCTTCCCGTGCTCTCTGAATATTCTCAAAGAGATTGTCCAGCTCCTCATCAGTGAGTTGCATGATTTTGGGGTCTGACCCAAGCAGAGCGCCAGCGGCCTCACGACGAGCGAAGAACCAGTCCGAGTCCTTGTTACTGCCTAATCCTGGAGACTGGGCTCGACTTAATTCACCGTCGAATTCCGATCCCACCGTGCTCCAGCTCCTTTCGTGTCCAGGACGGAATGGCGTTGGGGAGCTCAACTGGCTGGCTGTGACAGATTGTCGGAGCAGACTTCTTTCGGCACGTTCGGCTTTGGCCTCCAACGGGTTGTTAAACCTGAAGATGTGGAAGTCCCCCAAGATGATACGATTCCCACTTTTCAGCCTTTTGGGCTTGTCGACACGGACGCCATTGACCATGACCGCGGCGCCCTCCTGTGGGATGATTGTCACCACATTGTCGACATGCTCGAGCTTGCAATGGTGATCCAGGATTTTGGACCCATTCAATCTGATTTCGGAAGCTTCTGACGAGTCAACATTACCAACCGTGGTAACCCCTGGCTTCAGGTTGTAGACGAGGCATTCAGCCAGCAGAGGATCGTCGCTCAGGTTGACCAAATGAGGCATCTTCTTGGGGGTGCTCATCCCCACGTTTCCCTTCTCAATGCTGATACCCAGTTCTTCTAGCGCAGCTTCCCTCTCTTTGTGAATCTGTTCCGTCTTTTGAAGCTTCTCTTCCCAAGTTTGATTGAGGTCCTGGTACAACTTCTCACTTTGGCTCAGCTGATCCATAATTTCGGCTTTGCTGACTCGCTTGACTGAGCCGTCCGTCTGCACAATTGAGACCATCTGTTTATCAAGCGGGGTGCCTTCAGGATACGTCTCCTCGGCACCTGCAGCAGTGGTCCCCCCCAACTGGCTCCTGAGTTTGGCAAGTTCTTCCTTGAGCTCGCGAATCATACGTGCGTTGGGATCCTCGTTAATAACAGCATGGTTCTTGATTCTCTTGGCCGAGTCGGCATATCGGAGAGTGCTCAGTGTCTCCTCAAAGTTGATATCTGCTGGTGAGATCGCAGCAATCATCGCAGTCATGCTGTTTCCACCAAGTGAGTCTTTAAGAAGCCAAGTCAGAACCGAGTCTCGATATGGCACTTTCAAGCTCTTTTTGCCGGAGGAAAGGTCGGCGAGTGCTGCGATCACCCGACCAAGGGTCGAGAGTGACCTATTGATCTCTGCGCCTTCCTTGAGGCGAGCACCGGTAGCACCGGTGGAGGTCGCACGTTCGGAACCAGCCAAATCGACCAAGCTGATCTTTGCGACTTTCTCAGTGTCCATATTTGTCTCGGCGTCGTGGCGCTTTTGCGTGAGGGTGAGGGTAAAGACGGCATGAGAACGACTAGAGGTTTCGTTCATATTTGTCGCCGCCACTGTCCGTGCCTTGTTACCTTCATCCATCAGGTTCTCGATCTCACTGAAGGAGCGGACGGCCAACTTGGCCAGATCCTCCACATAAGGACCTGTCGAGGGATGCTCTCTGACCCGAAGATTGCCCTTGGTCGCCGGGTTCAAAAGATCTCTGACCCGTTCGTTGTAGATTTCCAGATAGGAGACTTCGACAGTGCAAGTCAGGTGTGGATCAGACTGCAATCCATTGATCCGTTCAAACATTTCTCGACAAATTCGAGGGATTACACCAGCCTCCTCGCCGTAGCCCATCATGCTGTATGACTTCCCGGAGCCTGTTTGTCCATATGCAAAGATGCAGTTGTTATAGCCCTGGAAGGCGTTGTCGAGTAACGGAACGCCCAGGTCGTTGAACAGATTGTCCTGACCAGCATAGTTTGGATCTGCCTTGTTGAAAGACCAGTAGGATTTGTCGAATTTGAAAGTCCGTTGTGCGCCTCCGCCGTCCTTTCCACCTTTTCGAAGACGATCCTCTGCCTCTGGAGGTGGTTGCAGGATGGTCTGGGCATTCTGCATCTGAACAATACATTTCGCATTGCGATCGATCTCGCGACTGTTGAACGGTCGCACCCTGACCACGACCTTAATGTTCCCCCCTCCACCAAGGCCGCCGATGCTTCCTGCTCCTCCTCCTGCTCCTCCTCCTCCTCCACCGCCCGTAGGCGCCATGGTTGTACCTATGTTATAAGTCTGGGAAAATGGGTGTTTGGATGACCATCATTCGGGTGGACGAAGAGCTGTTCGGCTCGTGACGGAACTGTCGGTGTGCGCACGTTTCTGTAAGGTAGGGCAGGTCGCGAGTATGTAATCGTCAATGTCAAGGAACGGCCTCGTGAAACGTTCAGGTAAGCCGGCCGCTGTGTGTCGAGAGGCGTTGGAAGAGGAGCGTGTCGCGTTGGGGATACCGGTGTAAAGATGGCATGGGAGTTGGAGATTGAATTAAGTAAGGAATCCCCTATTGGCGCCACTGGGGAAGCGAGGACTGGCAATGGGTACCTCGAGCACCGACGTCGTGCCTGGCATTTCGGCTGCTGGTGGCTGAACGGCAACCCTAGCATGCCCAGCACGCCCAGTGAGCCCACCAAACTCACAGGCTCAACGGGCGTGACCCGTGCCGAGAACCCCCACTTCGATCATTTCCTTACCCATCTGCCACTGCGTCATGGCGTCAACAAAGCAACCTGCGACCTCATTGTTGTGTCCGTGGTTTGGTGACCTGCTGCCAGCCGCCCCAACATATGGTATCGAAAAACATCATCTACAGCAACGAGACAGCCATGCTGCAACATCATATGACAAGACAGTCGCCACCAAGGGAAGCCGTCGTGTGACAGAGACGCCAGAGATGACCAACTCCTACACCACGAGGAATGGCCGCACCGCCAAAAGAGGGGTCTTCCTCGACGGTGTCTGGCATTGCGACTGTGAGCCACGGATGCCAGCCGATAAGTTTCAGGTGAAGAATGGCGGAAAAAATCATGGAAGATGGTGTAGGTGAAATCTGTCTGCACATTGGTCGCTGGTATTGATGCATGGCGATAGTCTACACCTGCCAAAAGCCGCAGCACAAACGATGCAAGTTCTTCCTGTGGAACGATGATGCCAAAGTCCGCGAAGAAGCTGCAGTTCTCGGCAATTCTCGAACAGAGCCAGATGCGCCAGCTCCAGTCACTCCTCGAAAGAAAGAACCTTTCGCTCTACCCCCCACGCCGCAAACAAGAAACGACGTCCCGGACAGACGAAACACGAAAGAGCCTGCGAACATTAAACATGAAGACAGCTTCGATTGGTCGTCCAGCAATGACGAAGAACTCCTCAAGGCTGAGCAAGACATGTTGGAGTTGCCGCCATTCAAGACCCCGAAGAAAGCTCCTCGGACAGATAGTCTGACATCGCCAGGCAAAAGGAGATTTTCTCAGACGACAGCACAGACTGCCACCGCTGACGAGACATGGCCTCTCAGCGACGATGTCTTCACCACTCCCAGCGCAACCCACAAATCCATGAGTAGCGGTTTGCTCTCACCATCCACTACTCCAGCTAATAGAGCTACGCAGCATTTTCTGCCTGAACCAGAGCCATCCACACTTGCTTCTGAAGTCCTCGACATCTTGAGAGGCTCACGGATCGATCCAGCTGTCGAGAGAGAACTGGTGGATCTTCTCAACAGGCACGACCTGCGTACTCAGGGGATCATCAAAGGCCGGGACATCACTCGTTTGGCTGTTCAGGCGAAGGATAAGAAGATTGCAGAGCTGCAAGCTCGAATCGCGACACTTGAAGCAGAAAAGGAGACAAACAAGAGAGTCATATCACACCTAAAACATGACATGGCTGCCTCTCCAAGGAAGGGTCAAGGCAGGAATGCACCCCGCAGACAACAGCCAGAAGCTTGAGGATTTGGCGAAGAAAAAGCAATATATCCATGCGATTGGACGCCGCCCCTGTGAGATCTAACGTCTGGTTCGTCTATGCCGTTCAACGGCGGCAAGGTCACGCCACCCTCTTGGACGCAAAACGGACATCCCGACCTGCAGAGCATAGAAAGACTATTCCATTTGGCGTGTGACGTGGCCATTCATTGGACGAAGACAAGAGACGGCATTCGACTTCCTTCCTGGTTCTGGGCTGGACGAAAACTTCGGCCCTTTAGCATCACGACCATGATAGACTTCTGCCAGAAGGAGTCGTCGGGTTCACACACTCAGGAATGGATACCATGCCCCTTGCTGCACTCGCCATGTCGACCCGAGTAAAGGGGAAGATGGTTATATGTTGATACGATAAGTTTGTTGGCTACACTTAAGACCAATCTGGAAGAGGGCAATCTCCTCCACGGAGTGGAAGGCTTGGAAGAGAGAACTTCGGTACAGCCTTTCAATCGTCAGAATCTTCGGCTCCACTCCTCAACGAGACGTATTACTACGGTACTTTTGATCGAGCTCAATCCTCTGCCCACCACCTACATTGCGACACGGCACGGCAGTTGGGATTGTAGACTCTGCCATTTCGCTTACGTTGCAGATGCATCCAAGCGATTACGGCCCCCTGAGGCCACTGTTTCCGTTTTAAGGAGTGGTATCTTCCATCTGCCAAAATGCTGAGATGCCTTGTTGGGGAAGCGAACGACGGCATTTGCCTCATTTGAAGCCTCGACGAGGGCTCCTTCGGCCCCTGTTGCTTTTCTGGGGGTGTATGGTCGCTTGTTTCCCGTTTTGCCGGCAAGGGCTGGAGTGGGCTTCGCATGCAATGTTGTGAACTCGGTCTTTGAATTCCCTGCTTTCACCCTCGCGGGAAAGTGTGACACCAGCCTCTGTACCACACACCTTCCCCTCCAACGGCAGCAGCCTTACCGAGTACCGGCGACATATGGGGCAGTGTTGCGTTGCTAAGGGTCACTCTGGACAGGCTAACGATGCAAGGCGGTAGTCTTCTGAAGTGCGCTCAGTTCTCTGTTTGCGTATACCCGCGGTCCCATGGCGACACAAGGATCATCAGTTCAACTGGAATCGAGGTCAGGGATCACCTTCAGCTCGAAGGTCAAATGTATACAATCGCATTAATGATCGTGCATATCCGCTGGATTGACGTATCCATCTTTGCAGTAACGGTGCCGGAGAATGGTAGAGCCCGGTCTTCTGTGAAACTACGACTGGTTCTGTCCCCGAAGGGTGCATGTGAAGAAGACGCTGCCTCACGAGTCCTGGCGTGGAATGTTACCATCAAGCGTCACCATTTCATCTCAACACTTTACGCAGCCTTGCCGGCTTCAGACACAACATGGCACCTTTTTGGCGTTCTCGCTATTCACTATAGGAGCTTCCGTGTCATGATGGACACAGCCGGATCCTTGGACCCATTAGTGAACATCAGCCATCTAATATATAGGCTACATCGTCGCTATTGGGCACCCCTGGGCTGGGTAATGGTGAATCTACTGAGGTCGGCTTGTCGCGGCCTGGAATAACCAATGCCGACACAGCGGACAAACGCCGTATGCAGGTCCCTATGTAGAAGCCACATGGGATCTGCAACGTGTGTGTGGGCAGCGGCAATGGCACATGGTTCACACACCACCAGAACGCACTTTGATGGCTTGATGGATGGGATGGAACGCGGATCTTTTCCCTTGCGGTCTGTGCACCGATCTGTGCACATGCAAATGCACAAGTCCCTGGGTGCCCCAACGACAACAACGGCAGCCGGCTGGGTTGGTTGGCTGGCTGGCTGGCGTGCTCCATACGTCCAAAAAGGGGAAAGGGATTATCTCTTGCCGGTAGTAGTTGTTATAGTTGCAACGTCGAGAACAACGGACTACCACCAGGGACCACAAACTAAGGGCCAACAGACACGAGAAAGAATGGGGCACCATCACCACCAGGGGTGCAGTGGGGCCTGAGGTAGGAGAATATATCCAGGTTTCTTTGCACCCTTAAGAACGGACTTGCAGGGGAATGATCATCAAGAGAACGGAGGGAGGAGAAGAGCGGAGGAAAGAGGCACAAGCAGTAGCGGCGGCAGATATTGCCCCAAATACGAGTACCTACATTCGTGGTAATACTATTAGGTGGTGGATGCTCTCTCCTCCTCTCGAAATAAATATTATTACCAGCATGTGGCTGATCAATTACAGTACCCGAGCCTCCCCCCTCACTCTAGTCATTATCTACCCAGAAGACTGACTGACTGACTCAACAATGTTTCATGTGATATGGTATGCTATGTATGCCATTACCAAGTCCTCGTCACTCTCGGTTCGAATGTACTTCCAGCAGCAGGAGGAGGAGGAGGAGTTTCAGAGCCACACACATGGCTTTCCTTCTCGATCCTCTCCGCCTCGGTTGCTTGATTCGTTTCTTTGGTCCGTTGAGAACTTTCAAGCCACCACCACCATCACAACCATCACTATGCTTGGCTAGCTGGTTGGTCGGATGGTTGATCTACCCCCCGCCCTGCTTTCAGACCCTTTTCCACCTAATATTATTACCAGTAATACCGTAGCGAGACTCGCTGGTCCGCGAATGGGGGGAAATGGATGTTGTCGGCGGTCGAGTGGACATGGGAATTGGAATTGGAATTCCTTCGCTCTCGTGTCCTCATTCTTTCGCAAAGTGGGAGAATAAGTGAGTGTCAATGTGGTCTTTTATTATTAGAGTATTACTGTTTGTCAACTAAGGTGAAAGTACCTCTCCTACCTCCCCGCCTACATACCTAACTACAGTACCTGACTACTACCTAACGCGTCATCCTCGTAATAGTGGTAGTAATAATAAATAATACATACCTAGGTATGTAGTGACCAATGTTGTCTTGCTTCCTCCCCCTCTTCACTCGTCTGTCCATGCTTCGGAGAGAAAGCTTCCACGCCGGCTTTCGAGGGAATATACATACCGTACGAGTACTTCGGTACATACGAGCTGGCGCCTCCCCCCTCCCCACTCCCCGTCCCCTCCCTCCTCCTCCGCTTCCGGTCCCGGCCTGTCGGCGCTGGTCGTGGCTCATTCGGCTGTCGCCGTTACTGGGCCGTCCTCCTAGGGGAGCCGATGGCGTTGGGCGTTGAGTGTTGGGGATCAGACGGAAATGACCCAGGGCGTTTTAAGTTTTTGATAGCACGCGACGACTGTCCCTTGCTTGTCTATGTACAGTATAACGACAATTGTTCCGTCTAGCTAGCTGCAAGTACAATAGCCTACAACAAGTTTTGTGCCCGGCTTTTTTCTGGTCCCACAAAAACCAAATCAATTCCTGGAGACCTGATTGATCCCCGTCCCTTCTAGTCCCGAGCACAAACCATACGATGTCCCCTGCCATGCATGTATCGTAGATATCACGTCCCCCTTTCGTGCCCACACAACTTGATACCAGGTCAAACACGGCCTCGGCTTCAATTGGGCATCTCGAAATCTGAGGGCCGCGCCACATTTGTCGTCGCCCCGACACCATTCCAGGTAGCCATACCGGATGGAGCTGTTATGCCGACGTCGTGGGGAGGGTGGCAGTCGTCAATCCCGAACTATGACAACCACCGTTCCCAACCCAAAGATTCTTTGTCTGTTCCTACTCCACGAAGAGCGGTCGTATGGAGCTGAAGCCTCAGAAATGCAGGTTTGCTCACAGCTAAGCAGGGCATGGAGAGCTTCTGACATTCTGACATATTCCTTTCTAGTATCTTAGGCGTGAATATATTGTACACTGGAGTTTGATAACTGGTGCTGCTGTACTATACGGTATTCTCCAATAGAAACAGGTCTGGTCGCTGGTTCTAAGCTTTCTTCGGGCCGATGGTCCCTCTCAAGCCAGCCAAGGCGAGTGGGAGACACAAGTGGCCGTCGAGGTATGTAGCAGGAGAAGAGGAGCGAGCGACAATGACGCCGTGTGGACAACAACTGCCGAGGATGTCCCTGTCCCGACAGATTTGGATTTCTTTCTTACCACATGGGTAAGGGGTGTGTGGTATATGTCCTTCGAGGAAGACGGCTGTAGAGCTCCGGGGGATGACCAGGAAGTTTTTTGATTGTACCACAGGTCCTGACAGTTTTACATGTCGCCAGCTCTGGACATGAATGACTCATAGCTTCATATCAAGCACCGATCCCTGGGGTTGTCGGTTAAGCCTGGTCACATTCATAGAATAACACATTTGGTACCGCGCTTCTTGTTGTGATCGCGATATATCCGTTGATGATCGGAATCAAAGTTGTTCCGTGGAGTGGGTTGGGACAGGTAGTTTGTGCCTTTCCGGTCAATTGCTTTCATAGGCGACTGTCGCTGTCTCCTCAACTGTCTCACGACATCATAGAAGGCCTTTTCGACGTTGATGCAATTTTTGGCCGACGCCTCCACAAACTCGCACCCAAGATCTTTGGCCAGCGCTTGGCCTTCCTGAAAGGGCACCTCGCGTTCATGATGCTGATCGCTCTTATTGCCAACCAGCATAATGATGGGGGGCCCATTGTACGTGGACTGTCCAGGCATCTGAGACTGGAGATAGTTCGCGCCGGTAGGAGAATTCGGATGGCCTGACTCCTTGACTCGCTGCACCTGGGAATAGAACTTTTGGATTCTGCTGAAAGAATTTCTCGAGGTGATGCTGTAGACGAGGATAAATCCTTCACCATCCCGGATCCATTGGTCGCGCAGAGCAGTATATTCTTCCTGTCCAGCAGTATCAAGAACTTCAAGCATGCAGGCCTGCTGATCTATCATGACTTGTTTCCGATAGGAGTCCTCAATGGTAGGGTCGTAGGTCTCGACAAAGTGGTTCAGACATAACTGCAAGGGGCGCTCAGTAATCCACTCGAAGCAAGGGGGTTCTGTGCAGAACAAACCTGAATGGTCAGAGCCGTTTTCCCAACACCACCATCTCCCAGCACCACCAATTTATAAAGGGTCATTTTCCCCGTCATGATGTATGCCGGTCCTCGATGTCGACTGGGGGTGGGCTTATGGTAAAGTCTGACAATCCGTGCTTGGAGCGTCTCACAAAGATATTGACACACTTGACAGGTAAGACTGGCACATCCGCTCGTGCGAACTGCGTTGGGTTGTAGACTGTATATTAGTACAGGTCACCCGCTGCAGGAGGGTGTTGTATAAGGGTCTGGCCTAGACCTCGACAGAACCGAGTGTCCAAAGACCAGTCGAAAGAAGGCAAGCCAATGCGGTCGGCTGGTAATACGGCGGAGTTCCTTTTGTGAATGTTGTTCTGACTCGAAATGCAGTCAAATAATGTCCGACACAAGCTATACGCAGACCAGAGAGTCGTCAGTCGCTACGAATTGGCTGGAGGTATTGACCGGCAAGCAGCAAGTTTAACAGCAATGCAAGGGACTGCAACTTGCACAGGGATCGGGAAGGAGAAAGGGTGGTGATCTCTGAAGGTCGGCAGTCGATCAACGGAAAACGAGACGCAGGGGAGGATTCTGCTGATGGGAGACCTGGCGTCGGGAAAGAGGTCGCTGATCAGTCCTGCAGTTCGGGGTATTTGAGGGGTGACTCTGGGAGAAAGCAAACCTTACAGGAGCCGATGTTGTTTTTACCGATTGTTCGGAAGAATTGCAAGTTGCTTCGAGTCAGAGGGGCGGGAACTCGAGGCCCTTCTTTTGTGAATGACAGCGGGATCGTCTCGACCCTGAGAGGTCGGGTTGTGTCTCGAAGATGTCTCGAGGCTGAGATGACTTTTTCGAGGAGTACCCTGCGATGGGTTGCTTCTTTGGGGCGAATGTGGTGGGAGCGACGGGGGTTTGCGGGCCAATGGGGGGGGGGAGGGCGCTGGCAGTGGCAGAGAGGCCTAAGTAAGATGTCGATATGGGCGATCAGACATATGTATGCGAGGCGTTGAAGGGCGTCCCTGGGACTGAGGGTGTGGTTTGCTTCAGACAGATGATTGCTCAGAAAAAGGTGGGAAAAGCAAGAAAAGAAAACAGGCACTGGACCACACTCACAAGGGACAATTTTTTCTCTGCAGATTTACGGCTTGGGGATGGTGCGGGTGTGCAATATGACAGCTGCAGGGCCACGAGCATTGGGATATCCTTTTCGGTAAGGCTTTACTTGGAGGTCCACCCTTTGGTTGTACAATAGGCAGGTAGAGGACGCTGGACGGGGATGGAGAAGCATACCTAGGCTAGACGGCGGCGGTGCCAGTGGTGCCAGTGGTGTCATTCACAACCGGGTGTCCGAGTAAGTGCACACCTACTCTACCCATCCCAAGCGGCCCCCCTTCTCGCCCCCCAAAAAGCCTCAAGGGCATCTACATGGATCACCCCCTCGCCTGCAGAACCTGCATTACTAGTTAAAGCCTACTCGAATTGTTGCCGGAGGCTTGCACCTGCAGCTGCAACCTGTGCCTGTCCTATGCCTGTCCTGTCCTGTGCCTGTGCCTGCGCCTACCTCCGCCAACACCAGGCGCCGCACCTTCATGGCCATGGGAGTTATAACCTGCAACTACCCGAAGACATTCGTCTCTAGGTATGTATGACGGCGTAGTAGCCATTCGAGTCGTTGCAACCAGTCGTCTCGATAGGTCATAGTCACTGTCCCGAGGATCGTGTACTTGGCCATAAGTAGATACAGGTAGTGATGGCTGCAGTTAGCTAGGCACCAACCTACCTCTTCTCGTTACTTGGCCTCTCGTCTCGTCTCGTCTCGAACCTCTCCCTCTACCTTCTCTATCTCCCTCGGGCTTCTCTCGCTGCCACCTGCTGATATGCGTCCTCGGGTCTGCCTCCGGCACCGGATACCACCGAACAACAGATTGAGAGGAGCCAAAGTCACTGTCGCCAACACCCCAAGTCAAGCACTTTGGGCACCGAACCTTCTCTCCCCGTCGGTCTAACCAGCAGATGAAACATGGCTATACACCCTCTAACCTGTCCACCGGAATAACATCCGTACACCCCCGACCTCATTCCAATCTTGAGGGACCACTATTGGGTCCATTCCGGGAGGAGGGCCCTGCCTAGGGAGCCACAGTTCCACCGCCCTCGATCCCCAGTTGCCCCAGATCCCTGCCACGGTTGCATCATTTTGTTGGAGGGAGGTCATCATTACCCGAATCTCGGAACTCCAGCAACCCTGTGAGAAGAGTCTGTGTCAGAACCTGCAGGACAAGAAAAGAGCAAACAGGGAATGCGACGGCGGGAGAAATAATCGAGGACGGATCCGGTTGGCAACTCAGAGGGCTCGTGAAGCCAGGCGAATGCCCGGATTGGGTAGTCAGACTCAGGCCACGCGCAACCCGCCCACCTTGTCGGTGACTTGCACAAGCGGAGGGGGTTTCAGGTATCAAGGCCATGTTTTGCAGATCATGTCGGTTTGCGTGATTGACGAGTACGGTGAAGCTATGACAATCCTTCGCCAACTCATCGCTTGATGCAAGAATCTTCAGCTTGCGCGTCAGGATCCGCCAGAAGCCAATCCCCCAGCACCAGGGACACAACTCGTCAGTGGGAAAGCTTTTCCCGCATGATGCAGGCGCCACATGATGACGGGGTTGGCCACAAACACGAACGTTTTGGGGCTCTAAAGGAAACTCCAAGCAAACAAATGGAAAAGAGCAGCGAATAACGATGCGTGCGAGACTCCTGGCCCAGGCCTATTATTCTTCTTCCGCAGCAGGCAAATCAGAATTGTTAAGGATTCTTCAAGGTTAACACCACCTCTTCCGCGGATATTTTCAACGGCTGATGCCTTCTTCAGCGAAATAGGGTCCCCGCTCTTGCCTGCCCTTATCTCCATGCGCGCAGAAGCAACTTCGTCGGGGGTTGATGGTGAACAGCACTCCCTTCATCCCAACGTCCCCAAACAATCCGAAACCCTTGATGCTGATTTAAGCTCGACGTCTCGCCATCTTGCAGGACGGGCCACCGTTCTTATCGGATAAGATAGCTCTCTATCAAGCCGGCTCGGAGGGTCGATAACGTGGTTTCTTTGACAAATCCAAACCAGGTCAACAAAGGTTTCGGGTGCTGCGAGACTTTGATACTGCATGTCCTGCGGCTAGACAGATTTGGATTTGTTTCTGGGACGTGGGGTCGCATCTTCCTCTCACTCTCCCTTCCACAGGCTATCACAGCCGATGTTCCATGCAGAGTCATCAATGCGAGGCGTTGCCGATCGCCATATCTTGGCCATCCGTGGTCAGACGATTCATGTAAAATGGTCATCCACCTTCTTCTTTTATTGGCCCTAGGCATTTGTTTCAGGCTTGGGACTCTTGCGCTATGAGACTCTCAATCAGCACACACATACACCCGCGCAATAGACCCGATTCCGGACTTTAGCGAAGGCAGAAGTGACAGCAAAGTAGAGCCACAGGAGAGGAGAGAAGGCAGTTCTTGAGCTGAATGAGTGGCTCAACCTCACCGCCATCGTTGCATCTAGCGCACTTCGGATGAGGCGGCCAGCAGACTCGGTAGGCACAAATCGAGGCCTCGAGTCAAGCATACGTCCAAGAGGCCGAAGGAATATCCTGTGGAGCAATAATTACCTGGAATCGTAGGGACACCGAGTGACACAGCGTGGGATATCTTTAGATTGTACCTGCTCAGTGATCATTGCCGTTGCTTGTCCAGAATTTCTTCTTCACTGGTCAAGCTTACACAGCGACCCTCTGCCATCCGAACGTAGGCGGGCATACAAGGTCTCGGTGCAGCTGAGGTTGGTCGTCCGAAGATTTCACATTCCAACACCTGCAATCCTCGAGCCAAATTCAAGTCACAAGATATTGTGTGTGTGTGTGTGTGTGTGTGTGTTCTTGACGTTAGGGAGACTGGCATTTCTGCCTTCTGTTTTCTGACATCTTTCATATTCACATCAATCGGCAATGGGAAACGGCAGCGGAATATTCGGCGCCTATTATTCATCTCCGTGGTGGCGATGTGTGAGGGTGTTGGGTAAAGGATCCTTCACCCCGCTATCTCAAAGACGCCTTGAGAGAACAGACGGCATTGATTATTGTCTGATGGACGAAGTTGTCGTGGTTGTGCCCACCATGTGATATGTCAGATTGTGGCTCGAGATTCGGCCGATATAGACGACCAACGGTCTGCCTCGACAATTGGCGTCTATCTGTAAGCTCAGCCTCTGCCTCGATCCCTCGAGAGTCGGCCCCTGGGGTGCCCGGCCATGACGTCGGTGATATTTCCCCATGCCCACTGGTGCCACTCTTGCCTCTATTGCCCTGTATCGGATGAAGCTCCAACACAACCAGCCATGGACCGACAAAACAAGCTCCCCTTGGCCCCCCAAAATGGCTCGGATGAAGGTCTATCAGCCACTTGCATCTTGTGCCATGTCCAGAGACTCGAACGAGAAGTACGGACTCCGAACGGCTCTCCCAGCCTCCTGCACGTGTAGGCTCCCAGCTAACTCACGCCCGTTTGCGGGGCGGAATTGGGCGCCGATCGCCTGAAAGCATCGAGTAAGCACCGTGTCCGAAGCTGAGACGGTCGAGATCCAGCTGAACAATTGCCCTGCGGAAGGGCTCGAGTCGGGTTTGAAATCATCTCATTCGTGTTCTCTTTCTCCTGCCGTGGCCGCCTGCATATATTGAAGCTGTCGTGTGCTGGATGGTGTGACCGAGTTTATTGCACATCACTTATCTCCCCCCAGTCGAAACACAAAAGGGTCCTATAAGCTGGAGAATATCCCGTCTGTCTTGATCGGCGCACCTGGAGTCCTGACGTTTGGACATTCCGCTTGCACCTCCTCTACATCCTCAAGATCAAGTTCCAGTACGAAACCATGGGAGATTCGGTAAGCTTGGCCATATGTGTCCGTTCTGACTTCAACTGACATCATGCCAGCGACCGACACATCAACATGCTGACGCCGATGGCCACTTTCGCCGGAAGGATAGCCAGTTCCGGAACTGGATATCCAAGGAGCCAGGTTCCAAATTCACTCCCGAGAAGGGCAGATACGCCCTCTATGGCAACTACGGCTGCCCCTGGGTAAGTTCCCACCAACACCCCCGTGTGCGCGGGAGTTACAGACTGACATCTCGTTCAAGGCACACCGAACCATCCTTGTCCGTGGACTGAAATCGCTCGAGCCCGTCATCCAGCTCATCACCACCGACTTCGACCTGACCGAGAACGGCTGGACCTTCAGCGGACGAAACGGCAGCCAGGGTGCAGATCCTCTATACGGCTTCACAGGCTTGAAGCAGCTCTACTTGAAAGCCGATCCCAGCTATGTCGGCCGTTACACCGTGCCCGTGCTATGGGACAAGAAGACGGAGACAATAGTGAACAACGAGTCGTCCGAGATCATCCGCATGCTGTACGATCAATTCGACGACTTCCTCGAACCCCACCAGAGGGAAGCCAACAAACCCGGTGGAGGGTTTTACCCCCCGCATCTAAGGGACGAGATTGATGCTATGAACGAGTGGGTGTATACTACGGTCAACAATGGTGTGTACAAGACAGGGTTCGCGGCAACGCAGGAGGCCTACGATGCCAACGTCTACCCTCTGTTCAAATCACTTGACCGTCTTGAAGAACACTTAAAGGATCCCTCACACCAACCATACCTGTTTGGCGAATACATCACCGAGGCGGACGTCAGGCTATACACCACCCTTGCACGCTTCGACGTGGCATACTACAACATTTTCAACTGCAACCTGAAGATGATCCGGCACGACTACCCCCGCCTTTCGAAATGGCTGCGCAATCTCTACTGGGACACGTCCGACCGCACAAACGGCGGGGTATTCAAAAACACCACTTTCTTCGAAGTCTACAAGTATGGCTACCTCCGGGCCAAAGGTCGCCAGATGCACGGAGGAAGTGACCATGGATGGCCAGTCATCATCCCCCGCGGGCCGGTCCCAGATATCGAGCCACTGACAGATGAGGAGGAAAAGGAACTGATCGAGGGCACCGCTCGAAAACTGAACGGCTTGAATCTCGAGAGCTTGCCGTCTGGGTTCAACGCTGGCGCCTCGGCAAACCCGTTCAGCGCCCATGGAGACAAGGCAGGCATGGGCGCCATCTTCGGCGCGGAGGTGGATTCCCCGAACGGCGGTGATGAGGGTGTCGGCAGCCCCTCCAGTACCAGGGACGGAGAGGACGAGGTCGAAGAAGACGCGGGCTTTGACGAGAACGGTGATTTCCACCCGCGGAGGGTGATCAAGAGGAGGACGACGTACAGCGACGCCAATGCCAAGTGGTACAAGGCGGCCAAGAAGGCCGAGAAGAAGATGGGAGCCCCGAGCATGCATCTGGCTCTATAGGGGGCGGGCGGGCATGAAGCTGGAGGATTGATGGCGCTGACGCGAGGAGATCGGGAAGAGACCTGGCTTCATGGGAAGTGAACGGAGTACCTGTGAAGTCTGGATTAATGTCGACCACCCGCGAGCAGGTCGGAAGGAAAAGCGTTCTTTTAACCACGGGCGATATAAAGAGTCAGAATAATATACTAAATCACCATGGCCATATATCTTTTTTTGTTTTTTGTTTAAGTTACTTCTTGTGAGCTTTTGTGGCAATCGTACCCGAAACTGCGTGATGGATAATACCACATACTGTCAATATCCGATTTTTTAGTAGTGTCTCAGGGGAAGACGATCCCTCCCCAAGAATACCGGCACCAGCATGCATAGTCATCGTCACGTCGGTAGTCATTCATCATTACTGAATGCCAAACCTCCTGGCAATCTCCAGGAAGCCTCCGTCGTCGAGGCCGATCCACATGTCCACCCAGCCCTGATGCCTGGCCTGTTCCTTCTCGTCCTTGGACCAACTCTCTTCTTGCGGCCGGTCGATGTAGATGGTCTGATAGCCACAGGCCCTGGCGGCTTTGAGGTCGCCCAGGTGGGCGGCCACGAGCGCACACTCACCGGGATCCAGACCCAGCCTCTTGGCCGCGCCGAGGTAGACGCTGGGATGGGGCTTGTAGGCGCCAAAGTCCTCGCCGGACAGGACATGTTTGTAGGGTAGGTTGCCGTGCTTGGCCAGGTCCTGCAGCAGGGCCGTGTTGCCGTTGCTGAGGGTGGCCGTCTCGAAGCGGCTGTTCAGCTTGGCCAGGCCCGGCGACGAGTCGGGCCACGGGTCCAGGAAGTGCCAGATCAGGCTCATCTTCTGCACCTCTTCGTCCGTCCACAGGCCCTCGAGGCTGTGATCGACCAGGATCTTGTGCAGCGCCTCGACGTGGTGCTGGTCCACCGTCTTGAACTTGGACGGGTCCCTCTGCGCCTCGGCGGGGTCGTACGTCCGCGTGAAGTTGTAGTAGGAGATGCGCCACTCCATGGCGATGTCACCCCAGGAAATCTGTGCCGCCGCAGCGCGCACGCCGCTGGGAATGGAAGCAGTGGGGGAATTGAGGGCTTCCGAGGCCGAGATGGTTAAGTACTTGGTCACGGTTGAGCGCCAGTCGACCACGGTGCCAAAGACGTCGGTAAGGAGGGCTTTGGGGGGATTGGTGGTGGACATGTTTTGTTTTGTTTTCCCTTCTCTTCTTGATTTCCAGGATAAAAGGTGGTGACTGAGTGGTGAGAATAACTTTGAGTTAGCTGGATCGTCTCAATGCATGCACTGCCTGTGGACTGGTGTTGTGAACCTATCTGTGTGTGTCTGTGTCAGTGTTAGCCTAAGCACAGATACTCGGTACAAGCAGAGGCATGGGGAAGTCGAAACATAGATGGATGACGACGAAAGATGGCGTCTTTTGCCGGGCATATCGCATGAACTGTGGTTCGAATGTTTGGAGATGGTGGTTGGAGACTCCGACCCTCGGCATGCGATGGAACGAAGACCGGTGGCTTGCTTGGTTGTCGTCTTCCTATCTGTCTTCAATTACTGTTATTGACGTCGGACATTCTCCGAGCTACAGTGTGGGAGGACTCCATTTCTCCTTATCGTGATCCTGTGTCACTGTGAAGGTAATGTCGAGGTGTTAAGCGGACATGAGATGGTGGATGAACCAGCTACTAGAAAAAGAGAGGGAATCTTGCGGAGTTGTTCAGCCCCATTCCTTCTGTTCAATCTTTGAAGACTGACTACAAGCATCCTTGGGGTGGTCAACTCACTCCAGTTTGATCGACAGCAGGGGCAAGAACCCGTGGGCAATCAAATAACGGGCACGATACCCAACGAGTCGTGGATCAACCTGGTAGATGGCAAGACAAAGTGAAACAACATCACACACACGACATGATAGCAGTACCTAGTTCCGTGGCACTTTGACGTGAAGCGAAGACAAGGAGGGAACGTTGACCAGGTCTCGTCGAGGCGAGCAAGCCGGAGGGAAGCCACCAAGAAAGCCACCAAAAGGAGGGGAAGCAGATGGCATGTGGACCTGGGGGGGGAAGGATAGGGAAGGACGTATTAAATGGTGGCAGCCAGGTCAGTTGAGTTTCGATTTCAGGATGTGATGGACAGGGCCACACGTGCAGACAACTATTGCTGATGGACGTGACAGACCAATGTCAAAAGTGTGATGAAAAAAGCAGTCCGACCATCCTGCCACTATGCGACTATGTGACGTTGGGCGCCAGGCTGGGTCCCCGGAAACAAGTAGGAAAACAGGGCCAAGGCGCAAACCTTGAGGTCGGAGAATTTGCTGCAAAGAAGATTTGCACAGGATTGAAGCCTAAATATGGGCTTCGCAGCTGAATCTCTCCAGGAGTGCTGGGATGATAGACACAGCGGCCGGCGGAAGCGAGAGTGAGAAGCAGAGCACGGACGTGACCCTCAGCCAAGCCCAACACCAGCCCAACCGGTGTGGTCCAGTAGTGGGCGTCACTGCATCAGACAGTTCATGCCGCAGGCCGGTGACGGTGACGGTGGTTGTTCCCCGTGCATTATTACTAGGTAGGTACCTAGTAGCAGGTATTGACCAGGGTAAGGGACGGGGAGGGCAATGCAGCAACTAACCGGTGCCTGTAGGGAGTGGCTAGTGGACCTCTGCAAACAAACATACAGGACGCATGTACGAGTATATTTTGCATACTCATGTACCTACCTATGCTAGTATGTACGTACACTGGCACAATCACAGCCAATCTATGGCCAGTCTCCCCCGTCATCATTTCTTTCCTGGTGTTCCATCCCCCTTCCATCATCCACGAGGTGCACCAGCTGGGTGCCAACGGCCAGGAAATTGTCAATTTGGTACCTCGATCAAATCGCAAGCTTCAGGTCCGAGCTCAACTAGCCCCCAGGACGGATTAGCTAGTGGCCATCTACTGGTGAGAATCTTCCGGGCGGTGGCAGCCTAGCATGCGCGGTGGGAACGTGGTGGGGAACATGAAACACACTAGACATGCCACCAGGAACTTGACTCCAGACCGGCCCGTTACTGCTGAAAGACTCTAAAACCACTCTACGAGAAAGACTAGCTCAATCGGACCTGCAGTGGCTTGAAGCCTGGAACTCCGATCTTACGAAGGAGGGTCAAGATAGTCTTGGTCTTGCCCAGGAATGGGTTCTGGGAGTACGAGGTATTGTTTGAGTAATGGTAGAGAGAGCTTCTGTGCATTGGATATCTGTCCGTCACACGTCGCCGTGACTATGTATGACCAGCTACTACTGCCCACGAGGACGAGGTCCAGGCATGAGGATGCCCGTAAAAAGCTGCGTGGTTCCTCCAGGCTAGGGCGGATGCCCCCGTCGCCAGCAGCCCTGGTCAGTGGCTAGCCCCGCGCCCGCTGGCCGAAGCTCGAGCCTCACGCCCCTACGAGTCGGGTTGGTCTCCACCATGCAGTCCCTGGTCAGAAAAGACATGCTCGCCTGCGTCCAGTGATGCCCCTGAGCAATGATTTTCCCGCGATTCATGCCCCCAGGCCCAATCAATGCCACGCCCAATTTTGTGCCTAAGCCGGCCGATCATTCCTAGCAGTTGCAGCATCCCAGGAGAGGCTATGGCTCCGCTCCCAGACGCGACTGTGGGCGACATGACCTTTCCCTCTGAGCAAAAAACTCGAGCATCACTGTCAGTCGAGCGGGCTTCGCTCGTCCCAAATCAGAGGATCAGGCCTGACCTCGTCGGTCCCTTTTCGACTCTGTTCGCTTCAAAGCAGTTATTCCTCGTCAATCGTTACCCTGGTCCCCCCCCCATTCCTTACACTAGGCTGGAACCAGATCAGCGAGCTTTCTCCTGTTCATCTGTCAATCCTATCGCAGGCGTTCATTGCTTTGACCGCGCTTGCATGAGCCTTGCTGTTGTTCTGTCTGTCTCGTCAATCTTGCATGACCCTTCTTTGTTCGAGAACCCTCCCGAGTCCGCTGTGCGAATTCACGACGCCCTGTTGGTTCTAACCGTTGCTGCGTTCGATTTGTATCTTTCCTCCCGTCATGTGTTTCAGGGTTCGCTGAGTAGTGATTCATGTCACTATTCGTTGCAGAGAAGAACCCGTTCAATCAGCCCCAGAGTTATGTGTATGCCCTGAGCGGGCTGCATTGAAATCTGGGCCTCAAGAGCACCGCGACTGTCGACGAATAATGGACCCCGAGGTCAGCTACTCGCTACCTTCGCCGACAGATACTCCATATCGAACACCGTCCAGTTCTCAATCCCTCCGTTCCCGCCGGTACGAAGACATGTCGCCCTCATCTACGCCTCCCCCCATGCCCGAGGATCGAGCCAGCAAGAGACGAAGCAATGATTCCATTCACTCCAACCCTGCCCTGGATGAGAACATTTCTCCTCTCGACCCTCGACGATTTACGCCCACGCTGCATGCCTCGTTGGTCTCGGAAATCCTGTCGTTACGGCGAGACCTGGAGAGTCGCACTAATGACATTGAAAAGTTGGAAATCAGCCTCCATGCCGCGCAGACACAGAACGAGGCCCTCAATAACAACCTCTTGCAGGCCAACAAGGAGACGAGATCAGTCAAGCGGCAGATGCAAATGCTCGAAGGGGGCACTCTGTCAGCCCTCAACGACCTCGCCAAAGAACGAGATGATGCCTTGAGCGACGTCACCGATTTGCGAAAGCGTCTCGAACAAACCCAGAAGAAAGCCAAAAGCCAGGAGGAAACCGCGGACAAGACCCAGGCCTTGTGGGAGAAGGACAAGGAGGCGTGGCTCACTGAAAAGCGTGGCCTCGAAACCAAGGTCCACATTGCTGAAGGCCGCCTGAAAGTCGTGCTGAGTGAACTCGCCAATGCTCAGCAGCATCCGGTGCCTGCTTCACCCACCGAACGCGCACACAGCCGCAACAGTATCATGGACTCTCCAAGTAAAGGCTCCATCATTGCTCGGAGAGGGCGGAGGCACAGTGCGACGTCGGTTAACAGTGACACTCACGGGGGTCGAGTGTCAGTGTTGAGTTTCCACAATGGCATTTCGATCAACTTGGCAGACGAATTGGCCTTTGATGAAATGGAAGAAGACATGCTGAATGCACTAGACAACGACGATGGGAGGGTCTCGCCCGACGCACTCCCCGAGGAACACGTTCGACCCGCCTCCAGCTTGTCTATCAAAGCGAGGAGGGTCTTGGGTCTACCTGTCGACTTCGAGGACATGGAACGTAATGACAGTGTCGAGCATGACCGTTCGGGAGCCATGTCGGCCGATGGGAACCGTCGTCGACCAAGCGTCAAATATGTAGACACTGCCATTCAGTTCTCCCCACCGCCGTCTCCGTGGCCGATGACAGATCCACGACCCAAGGCCAATGGCCACCGACCCTTGGAAATTTCGATCGCAAATGCCAGACAAATTAATGTTACTCCAAGCCCCGTCAGTCCGCAAGACAGCATTGATATCGCTTGGGAAAAACAACGACCGGTCATGGTATCTTCGGGTTGTCAGACCGTCGAGGCTCTCCCGAGTCCCCCCCTTACACCTGACAAGCGCGACACAGGGCTGGCTACCATTCCCGAAAGTGCTTTGGAAAGAGTCGAAACCGCCACCATTGGAACCCAGACCGAACCGACACAACCGATCTTCGACCAATACAGCCACAAGCATACAGGAAGTGATGAGACTTTAGATCTGAAGGTTCCCCTGATTGCCATCATCCCTCCCGCGTCAAGGCCTGCCACACCTGAAACTAATGTTGTGCTACCACCCCGAACCAAGAACGCAGGTACCCAGGTCGCTACTCACTTACTGGGAGGATACAAGTCGTCTTCTATGCAGACGGAAGAAATTCGAGTCGACATAAGAGCCATCGTCCCACCCTCCGAAATGCCACCCGTTCCATTGTCAAGCCATTACAGGCCACCAATTTCTTCCAGGGCCATACCTCCTCCAATCCCTCGAAGCAGAGTATCTCCCGGTACCTCCATGTTTGCGTCGAGGCGGTCGGCGATGGCTGGACCGTCCAAGATACCTCCTGTGAACGACAATGGACCCCTCACGAGAGATTTTGCTTCAAATATGCCCCGACCTGTCCGGTCAAGTAGTCTCTTCGCCGGGTTTGAGGACGATGCCGACAACCGTGATGACTATATCGAAGAAGACACCTTTGCGGAAGACGATATCTTTAGCCGCCCCACTGCCAAATTTGTTCTCAAATCTGGAAAAATGGTCTCCCAGGACCTTCGCCTGGAAGATGTCAACGAGAGCGCGGCTATATCTGCAGGCGAAGCCGCTGCTCTGGAGAATCTCCGGCTGTCTGAAGACAGCTTACCGCCGGAAATGAAGGCCATCCTCTTCCAAACTCGGACGAGCCCGCGCAGAGGTTCTCAACGGCAGAATATGGGACTCAAATTGAAGAGAGTCCCGTCTGCCAGATCCAACAACATGAGGAGAGCGGCCTTGATATCGAGCGGGGCCGCCGCCCACCAGTCTTCACACTCGCAATCCACCACCGGATCTCTGGAAAGCAACAACCCGCCGCCCTTCCCCGTTCCCTTACGGTATAGCTCGGCCAAGGTCGGCAAGTCTATCAGTGAAGGCGGAAGAAGTTCACCCGGCAGCAGCAACGCATCGCCCACCAAGAGACCGAGGAACAGCAAGTATGCGAAACCTATGTTGCGAAAGGCGAGGTCAGGACCTGCGATTTCACCTCACTCGCAAGCCCGAAAATCACGCAGCCGATCACCACCCCTAGAACCAAGGGTATCCATTGTGCCAGAGATGCCCAGTTTCCAGATGCCTACGACGACCCCGGCGCCCGTTGCTGAGCGGTACGGCAATCCACGGGAAGCGAGTGCGCCGCGACCGTCCATCGCGACCGGACCTAGTCGACAACGCAGCCACACGAAACAGAATTCCGACGTCTTGTCGATGCAGCAGACGTCGGTGGTGGACTCTATCGCACAGACCATGGTCGGGGAATGGATGTACAAATATGTCAGGAGACGGAAGTCTTTTGGAGTGACCGAGAAGGCGGATTGGGATGCCAATAAGAGCGTTGAGGAGATTTCTCAGAGTGTGACCAACAACGGTGTCCGTCACAAACGATGGGTCTGGCTTGCGCCGTATGAACGTGCCGTCATGTGGAGCAGTAAGCAGCCGACATCTGGGACAGCCTTGATGGGCAAGAGTGGTCGAAAATGTAAGTTCGATACGAGCAATTGGGGCGTATGTGGAAGCTAACTGTCGTCAACCAGTGATGATCAAGTCCGTGCTCGACGTCAAAGACGACAACCCCATGCCCAAGGGGGCAGTAACTGGACCGAACTTCAACAGATCCATTCTCATCCTGACTCCTCAGCGTGCGTTGAAGTTCACAGCAACATCTCAAGAGCGACATTATATATGGTTGACTGCGTTGTCATTCTTGTCACACTCTCCTCTCAGTGTCAACGACCTTACTGCTATCCCTCCTCCGCCGCCCCTTCCCGAACACGAAGCATCGTCTGCGCCAGCACCATCACTTGCGGGGTCGCTTCGCCGACGACCAATTCGGGACTCGATCAGATTGACGAAGGGGCTTGCGAAGTCAACACCAGGAACGAGATCTTTCACGACCGATGGTTCGTTGCCAGTACAAGACTCGCGGCCCCCCACACGCGACTACTATGATCCGTTGACGGACCCTGCTCTACCACCCACCATCCCCCGCCATTCTCGAAAGCGAAGCAACACGGCACCGCGGGCGCCGCCCAGCTCTTTCAGGAGCTTCTCCACCAACGGTGTGACCCCGAGTCTACCCGGACCGGGGTCAAATTATTCGCAAAGCGTGCACTCCACCGCAGTGTATTCCTCCGACCGCGGCTTATATACGCCCAGCCTGGGAATGCAAAGCGTGATCAGCAGTCGGAGAGGCAGTGAAGCAAGTGCTTCGGGAAGGCCTCCCCTTCCGACCTTTATGGATAACAACCATACGACGACCATGAGGATGGACGCCTTCATCGAACATGAGCAAGGCACATCCTCCGGCCGGCCTTCTTTTAATTTCTTCCGATCAGGGCCGGTCAAAAGAAAAGACATGGGCTACTGGGGCGCCGAACAGGGAAGAGAGAGCATCAGCCCCGTGGACTCGTTGCTCCACAGCGAGATGATGGCAGCAAGCTCCTCCACGCGGGGAAGCTACGAGTCGAGAGATCCATGGCGCGGGTTCTGAATGCTCCCGCCTGACCTGCTCCCTCCTGACATTGACCCCCACCCATTGAAAGAGGATTTTTTAGTCATAATGTGTACAAGTGACAATGATGGAAAAAGAATCAGATTTCTGCGCAAGCAGTGGATGACAGGACGAAATCCAGCGACCCAGCTTGGAATATCGTATTTTGGCTGCTCTGAATCAATCTCACCCTCCCTTTTCCGGCAAACGGGAGATGGCGTTTTTCTTTGACTGGACCTGTGGGATTGGGTATGGGCCAAAAGGGAATTTGGTGGCATAAGAATGGGTAGGACGAATAGGCCCACGCCTGGGTATGGGAGGAAGCTTTTGCTGCATCTGTACCTATATCTTTCTCTCTCTCTCTCTCTCTCTCTCTCACACATACACCCCGTGTTTTGTGCGTGTAGGCTATTGTGCTCTCTGGCGTTCAAGCGAGTTATCTTGTTGAATCGAGCTGTTTGGGTGCTCGGCGACGTTACAATGCAACTTTGAAGCGATTGCTACTTTCATGTGGCACCATCTTTGTCAGTTGAACAAGTCAATACCTTTCCTATACAAGACTGATGTGTATAGATGGATCACGTGACATATTTGATGGATGGGTTGATTATGTAAACAACAAGCCCCGCGAATTCACCCGTCGTCGTCAGGCTGCGGCCTCAAGTCACCAATTCACTCATTTATCCACCCCTCCATTGGTTTAATGTGGCGTTGACAAACGACAATCACCATTCTTTCTATCGTCTAAATAATACCCGTTGCGGTCCTTGCTCTTCTTCACCGATCCCTTTCTCTGCCAGTGTTTCTGACGTTCTCTTCTCCCAAAGTTAGAAGCATCTCGCCTCCTCTCCGATCACGGCCTGCTCTCCCCTTCCGACATCCATCTGTCGCCTGCCTTGAATTTCTCCCTCCGGCTCGAGCACGACGCCAACATGCTGATCAAGTAATCCATCCTCCTCACACTTATACACGCACACACTCCTCCTCCTTTACCCCCATCCTTTTCTGGGCTTGCTGGGAACAGCGCATGCCGCAGTAAATGAATCCGGAGGGCTGACGCGGGCATGTTTTGTCAAACAGAGTGCGGACGTTGACGGGCAAGGAGATCGAGTTGGACATTGAGCCAGACTACAAGGTAGGTGTGCTTTGGCCCATATCACGCTACAACGATCGTTTCCTACCTTCCTTTCCACCACCGACCCACGCTTTGGGAGACAGGCGGTCGCGATGATGAATGAAAGAGTGAATGGGTTCTGACAAGACGCCGTGCGGCGGCACACGGTTAAACAGGTGTACCGGATCAAAGAGCGCGTTGAAGAGAAAGAAGGCATCCCGCCCGTCCAGCAGCGGTTGATCTACGGTGGAAAACAGATGTACGTTGTTGGGTCCCCCCTTCCCCCCGCTTTCCATCCTCCTCCGCACGGATACACAAAACATCTGGGCTGGACCGGGCTCTGGGGATGGTGGCGGTAGTTTGCGAAGTAAGCTAATGTTGGGCGTGTGTGGGGTTGGAAAACAGGGCCGATGAGAAAACCGCCGAGGATTACGGACTCGAAGGTGGCAATACGTTACACTTGGTGCTGGCACTGAGAGGAGGAAGGTGACCGGACTCAGGCTGTGCGAGGCGGAAACGGGGCAGCGAGGGGGCATGAGGAGCTGATGTGTTATGTGCGGCTCGATGGAAGACGAGACGAGACGAGACGAGGCAGGATGCGACAACATCAGATGGCACATTTCGTGAGGTGGCACGAACCATGACAAGGCCCTCCTGCTTTGATTCATCACCACATTGATTGATAGCCGGAGGAAATTAAGCGACAACCACCGCGAAGGCCATTTGGCAAGAGCCAAAGGCAGAACCAGATCAGACGATACAACCACAACCAGAATATCATTTCGCATCAGTGTCTTGAGCTCACGACAGGCGCGAGACACGCTACAGGGACATTCCATCAATATATTTCATGCTTTCCCCTTGAACGATTGCAACCCCTGTGTTCGGGGTCTCGGCAACGGGGAGAGCCTCAGGGGAGTCCTCGCTCGAGGCATGAGTTCGTCGAGTCGAGCGTTGTTGGGTTTCAGCCTCTTTTGCGGCGTTTCTGTATCGTCTCCCTGGTCCCGTGTTCGCTTTGGCGGGTGGTCCCGATTATAGTCATCATCATCATCATCATCATCACCACCGTCGTCATTGTCGTCTGAATCTTCGAGGAAATCGAGGGTCAAGCTGTCTCCCCCAACTTGAGACCTCCGCCGGGCACCATTGGGAGAAGATGGCATGCCTCTCGTCGAGTTCGAGGTCGGAGAAGCGACTTTGCTGACCGACCCTCCCGACTTCAAGGCCCGTAACCTTGACTCCCGGTCGCTCATTAGATCGTAAGGCTTCCCACCATTTGCGACGGCAGGCTGAGGCTGAGGCTTCGGTTTCGGTGTCTGCGTAGAGGGTGCAAACATCGGTGGCCTCGATGTCCCCGCAGTCCCGGTTGTTCCCATCCCCGACGCTGGTCTCTTGGGCGGCGGACTCAGAGCTGTCTTTGCCTCTGTCGCCTGCAGGACCTTCATCTTCTTCACCTCCTCGACGAACTGCGTCGGCGCCTTGACCACTCCCGTCTGCCTCTTCTGTAGCTCGTGCATGGGCCGATTCATCTTGCTCGATTTTGCGTCTTTTGCCTCTTTGCGGATCTTCTGCATCAGGGTCATTTTATGGGCGCCCTTCGCCCCGGTCTTGCCAGAGATATAGTTCCACCCGACTCTGGCCCGTCGCGACGGCCCGGGGGCGTTGCTGCTCGAATACAAGCCCGCACTGCGTGACGTGCTCGCGATCTCGGCGGTGTTCTGCTCCTTTCCCTTCTGGATGTCCGCCAGCGCGGCTTTCAGCATAGCCTCGTCGTTCGAGGAGTCCTTGGTCGCCTCCGCCTTCAACTTTCGGTACACCTTGTACCAGTTCTTCGGGTTGGACGGCTCGTGGCGCTTCCGATCCCAGTCGGGGATGTCGCGCTTGATGAAGTTGAGCCAGATTTCGGCGTCGTGGCCGATGATTTGCGGCGACGAGAGTTCGAGTTGGTGCTAGCAAGCCGCAGACGATCAGCATTAGTATCGGGAATCACATATTTACGCTGACCCCAAGCTGCAGACAGGACGTGCGGAGGTTGGTTGGGTGAGGATGGAGTGTTGCAAGACTGGCAGGACTTACGAGTTTCTCGGGGCTCTCGATCTTCAGCAGGATGGGTCGGATCAGTTCATAGTCGAGATCCCCAATGTCGGTGATCCGGTGGACGTTGCGGGCGCAGGCTCTCCGGGCCATGTCGAGGAGGCTGTCGGCAGGCATGGTGGGAAGAGGGGGAGGATTCTTGACGACGTTGAAGACCAAAAAGAGGAAGAAGCAGAAGAAGCAGAAGAGGTCCTTGTGGTATATGCAGATAAAGATCACGACGAAAGGATGTCACTGTTGGTTATCTTTGTGTGCATGTTGGTCACCCTTAGTCCCGTAACAATGGAAAGAGGTGAATCGTGTGAAGCCTGGATCGTGACAGACGACGAACCTGCGGCCTCCCGATTCCGCTTCCGGACACAGTTTAGTTCCGCCTCACGATCATCTTGATTCTCCCTTGACAGCGCAGCAATACAGCAAACACAACTCTGCTCCTTCCAAGTGACCCAAGAATCAAGACAAGATGGCGACATTCACGGTATTAGATCAAGCTGAAGAAGGTAAGAAAGAATTGTTGTTGTTGTTGTCGTTGTCGTTGTCGCCGTCGTCGCCCGATTGAGACTTTTAAAACCACCCCAACGGCCCTGACTTTTTCTTCTTGCAGACAAACTCCACGCGACCCGGCTGTTAGGTATCGAAGAACGGCCCTTCAAACGAGTCTCCAAACGCCTTCTTGCGCCCACCACTCCCATCAACGCGTTCCTGGCCCGACCGAGCCCGTCAGCCGACGACGACAACGACAACGACAACGACGACCCCCCCGCGCCAGAGTCGTCGTCTGCCGAGCAACACGAGCAATTCCTCCAATCCCTGACCCGCTTCCGCGAGGACATCATTCTCGACTTCGCGGCCTTCGAGTCCTCGATCGCGCGCACCGCCTTCCTCCGCGCCGCCAACACCCGGGAACGCGAGCGCTACGCCACGGAAAAGCTCAAGATCGAACAGACCGCCAACGACGTGCGGGCGAACCTGTCGCATCTGCGGGTGCAGCTGGACGCGGCACAGAAGACGCTCGCGGTCCGGAAAACCTACGACGTGCTGGCGGAGAAGATCACGCGCGACGAGAAGTTGAGGGTCACGCGGGCCGAGCAGCATGTCAACCTGGAGAAACTCAAGGCGGAAATCGAGGAGCTGGAACGGGAGAGTGCCGAGTTGAAGGTCGCGTGGGGTGAGAGGCGGGAACAGTTCGACCGGGTCATGCAGGAGGGCACGAGGTTGAGGAGGGTCATGAGAGACGAGAAGGAGCCAGACCCAGAGGGCGAGAAGGATGACGCTGACCATGAGAGGGAACGAGATGGCGATGACGGGGAGAGGGAAAGAGACGGCCTGTCGACGGCCGGCACACCCCGACCTGGAGACGATGCGCCGACCCCCTTCCCCGCCGGGCTCAGAGGCAGCGGCGCGCTGACACCTCGGTCACATATGCAGGAAGGACCTGCTAGTACTGGAGGGGCTACACCGCGGCGGACAGACGAAGACGTTGATATGCACGGCAACACTGGAGTATCTTCTGCGGGAGAAGACGGGATCAAGGAGGCCGCGGCGGCTGCCCTTGAGAACGCTGCAGACGACATGGACACAACATAGCCACGTGGCACGCCCCTTTTCGTTCGACGACGATGGCTCGTACATGACAGCATTCAACGATATCGGTTTTATGGGCGAGGACGAGATGAGAACTCGAACACGTCCCAGAACGACTTATTTCTCGGTTGGTTGGCACCGACCTCGAGGATCCTCGTGCCTGTATGAGACAGGGCACTCTGTTACAAAGAGCTTGTCGATATGTGGATGCTGATCTCCCTCTCGTACGTCAACGTCAACGTCAACGTCAACGGCGACGAGAGGGGGATGAGAGCAAAGAAGTAGGCATCGGTGACCAAGGAGCGGAGAATGTCATGCCTCCAATGCTCATTTCAGTCGTTCCATAATTGAAGCCAGCTAGCTGTAACTCAATGCAGCTTTCACATCCCATCTCCCATCTCCACAGCCCGTCTTCAAGACAGTGAATGCCGAAGTAAGGCTAGCGAGCGATCACGACATGGTTCTCGGTTCTCCCGCGATGGGATCGTCTTTCTGTGCTTCCTTCGCCGCCTTGAGCACTTCCACTGCTGCATTCCGTTCGTCTTCGTTGGTAGCTGTATCCTATATCCCCCACAAACGGGTTACCAACCACTGTTAGCGACTCAGCCTGGCTGGCATGTCAGCGCCGACAAAGTCCTGAAAACTCACCAGGAGGTTCTCCAGCTTCTCTCTCGCGTTTGTGATGCGATCACGCAGCGTCGGGATGACTACCTTGGTTTCCTCGAGGGCTTTGCGCTGTCGAAGCCCATGGGCAGGGGATGTTAGCCTCCACTCCCAACAGTTGCGCCAAAAAGGGGCAGGGCCATCATGGTGGAATTATGGACTCACCTCTTGTCTCAAGGTATAGTCATGATTCTCGTCACTGCCGTTAGCCTCGTTCTCCAACTTGTAGATACGAGCCTCCTGCTGCTCCTGTTCCTTGTAGTAGGAGGCTTCTTCCTTCAGCAGCCGCTGGAGCGAGGACGTGGCGATCTGGATCTGGGAGGGCGGCATCTTTTCCGTTCTGGCTTTTTTTTTTCTCTGTGAGTTTGAGGATTGGTCTGTACAGAGGAACTGGTATGGCGGTATGGCAGTATGGCAGGATGTACATCCGGTACAGACATAGGCTGCGGGACGCGAGATCATGTGGGGAAAAGAAACACGGCCGAGAAAGATCAGAGGCACGCGGAAGAAAATGAAATGACGTCACCCGGCTCAGCCGCCTCGGTGGCTCCTTCGCACAGTCTTGGCAGCGACTAGGCAATATTCGGCTCTACTGTAATCCTCCTTTATGTCTTTTACGAGGTCCAGACGACACTGCAGCTGTCCCCCCTGGCTATCACGAATCTCCGTGTCTCCTTGCGGCCTTATCCTCGCTCCTGAAAAGGCCCTGTCCGCCCATCAACACACCATCCCGCCCCATACGGAGCGGGGGCCGGCCCTGGTCACCCACTGGTGACCCTGCCACGTTGATGACAAAGTTCAAGGCGGAATATTCAGCAGCCCGCCAGTCTGCACGTGAAAGCAGACTTCCGTTTCCAGCGGCGAGCAGCGAGCCTGGCCTATCATTACTCTACGCTTGATAAGACTCGTGGGAGGTTTACCTAAGGAGCTCCTTCATGCTCTCGTCGCCAGAACTAGGAATACTTTCGCCATATTATACCTAGTACGAACGAGAAAAAAAAGTCAACGGGTATAAGTATCAATATCTCCCGTCTCGTTGGTTTCCTTTCTTCTCTTCCCCTCCACTTAGCCCTCATCTCTATCTGTCCTCATCCAGCCCGGAGCTACGAACTCACGCCACCAGCACCACCCCCACCGAGTAAGAATATGCGTGCTATCGCCGTTGATTCCTGGGGCACTGCTCCTCACTTCACCTCGTCCCACCCCGATCCGGCACCTGCATCTGCCGACACGGTCACTCTTAAAGTTCTCGCGAGCGGCCTACATCAGCTCGTCCGCTCTCAAGCCGAGGGTGGTCACTACAGCACCAAAAATGCACCCATCCCCTATGTCCCCGGTGCTGACGGCGTCGGTGAAACCCCTGATGGTCAACGCGTGTATTTCACCAGTATCGCCGTGGGCGGCGGGTTTGCCGAATACATCACGGTGCCGAAAGCCACGATTTCGCCGCTTCCTGAAGGTGCAGACCCCGTTGCGATTGCGGGACTGATGAACCCGGGCATGTCGAGCTGGATGGCGCTTGCGGCTCGCGTCGACCCCCCGCTACCGAAGGACTTTACCGTCGTGATCACGGGGGTGACCGCGATCAGTGCCAAAGTGGCCGTACATTTTGCGCGGGTGAAGGGTGCTGCGAAGATCATTGGTGTGGCACGGAATGCAAAGGAGTTGGCGTCGATTCCCGGCCTGGACGAACGCATCGTGCTGGCCAACGACCCCGGTCAGACGGATTTCTCATCCTTGACGGACGTCGACTTGATCCTTGACTATCTCTACGGTCCCGCCGTCGCCGCCCTTTTCGCCCAACTCAAATCTACCGTCCCTACACAGTTTGTACAGATCGGTACGGTGGGCGGGAATGACATCGCATTGCCCGGCGCCATCTTGCGGAGTAAGAACATCACACTCCGCGGCGCGGGGCCCGGCTCGTGGACTATGCCTCAGTATGCGAAGGAGGTGCCGTATTTGCTTGCCGCCGTGGCCGACTTGCCTGACATGGACCTGAAGGTGAGGAAATTGGAAGAGGCCGAGGCTGCGTGGGCGGCCAAGAAGGAGAGAACGGTGTTTGTGCCATGACTGGCCGACCCTCGGCCACAGGCTGTGAGGGCGAACCTTTAAACAACGATTCGATGTGTCTATTATGGTATTGCCATTTGACCATGCTATAAGCCAACCTCGATTTCTATCCATATGCACTTGATCGTGGTCGTCTCCCAAAGCCCCATCTCGTTCTCTGTCCGAAAACTCACACCATGTAATCGTGTTTGCACGGCCACCTCATCGGTCTGGAGGAGCCTCCTGCTCCCTTGACGTCGTCTCGACGGCATGGCATCAATACTGTCTCCGAAGCTCGATTCAGAGAATCCCGGGCTGCGCCATCCCAGATTCCATTTGCCCGTTTCACCGGTGGGATCGTGGTCAGGCCCGGGAAGAGCAAAGGCTCGTTTGAACCACGACGTCTTGGCGGGACGGGGTGGTAATGGAGCTCCTGGTGCCGATTGGACTTCGAACTGTGGCAGCAATTGTGACTGTGACCGTGATGGAGGTTGAGGTTGAGGTTGAGATTGAGATTTCTCATCCGCCGGCCTTGCAAACCCTGTCTCCTCGGGCGCGGACGGGTTGGCCAGCTCCCTCCGGAGCAAGAGATCCAGTTCTTCCACCACGGCTTGTTGCGTCCAGAAGGAGGAGTGGTTCTCCGGTCCGGGAAGCGTGATGACGACCCCCGTGGTCTGGTGGCTGGGTAGGGAGGGAGAGACCACGTTCTGGGCAGTCAGAGTTCTTGTTTCTCGCAGGACGTCGGCTGGGACGACAATGATGGTGAGATGGTTGCACAGGTTGGATACGTGAGTTGCGAAACAGGGGATGAGAGATTCGACGACCAGCTCGTAGATGCGTCGCGTACGCTGTTGACGGATCGACGAGGCACTACTCGACGCTGTTCTCTGTCTTGAGCCTTTGGGCGAGCCAGCGACCGCCTCTTCATACGTAGGGATGCGATCGTTGGCATCTATGTCGACGGGTGTTTTGGACATGGTCTGTCAATAGGAGACCGGTCTTGGGCAAGATTGAGGTCGGTCGGGTGGATATTGGTATGGGTTGTGCTCGGTCTGTCTGTGGCACGGCGGGTGGGTGGGTGTATGTGTGAGCAGCAAGTCGAGGACCGGGGGGGTGGAACTGAGTAAGTGGCATGAGGAACCTGCTGGATCAGCCTGACCATCACTGCCCGCCCGGGAGAGGCAATGGTTCGCTCAAGAAAGAAGTAGTAGGAGAAGAAGAAGTGTTAGTGCCGTGCTATCTGGAGAGGCCGAACCTGGCATTCTTGACCGGTCAGGGCTGATTCGCAAATAATATCACCATCGAACCGTCCAGAGACGATTTGCCCGACTTTAGTGGCAACAGTAAACGGATAGTCGGCTTCTAGAAGGTTGAGAAGAGAAGCGAACGAAGGACGTGGGGGACTGGAGACGGTGTGCTTTGGGGCCAGGCAGACACAGACCGAGAGACAGACAGACAGACAGATAGACGGGCAGCAGAAAAGCCTCACTCACTAATACTCTTGGAAAAAGCATGCCCCGTCCCCTGCCAGTTCCAGACGAGAGATGCAATAATTAATTGGTGAGTGAATATGCAGTACAACATAGCAGTAATAGCGAGTTGGTCGCGGGTGTTGTTGTGTTGTTTGGTGCATCTAACTAATATTATTATTATTATTATCTATCGACTGATGTCTGTCTGCGGTGCCCCGGTGCCTTGCCTGCGCCCTACCAACTTGTGACACCACATTGACCATCTCCATCACCACCACTACCATCACTGCCATCACCACCATCTCCTCCTCCTCCTCTTCCTTCTCCTCCTCAATCCATCATGCCATCTTCAAAATGCCAAATGCTAACCCCCCCCGTATCCCCCTCCCTGCCCCCTGTTCTGTCGTATTCGGTTGCAATGCAAAACCAAGAAACTTGTCCCAACGCCAATCCTGTCCTTGTGACCCTCTCTCTCCATCTATCTGCCTCGTGGCTCCACATACATTGAAACTCTCCACCGACCGTTTCGGGCGAAATCCAAGACAAGGGTCGTGGCAGTACATGGCAGACCGGTTGCCGTCAGGCAGTAAACGAGGTACCGACATCTCTCTCCCACGCCATGTACCTTTGAGTAACAGTGCATCACATTGGCAAACACCGCCCAGCATACGAGGCGGCAGACAGAGTCCTGGTATTTATTTATTCCACCTTCTCACCTTCCTTCAGTCTGTATCCGGTCACTCATTTCTCCTTACATCCCTGCCAAATAAAGCTCTTCCCGTGACAACGTTCTTGTATCACTTGGTTGCGTCTCTCTGTGACACCCTACTTCCTCTCTTTTCAACCACACCACCAACAACAACAGCAACAACATCGGCCTGGCAGCTTGATACCATCTTGTTAGTCCACATCATTTACTGATACGTTAGTTTAACCCAATTACCACTTCAACGTTCATGCCCGGCATGTGGTATCACATCTCCAATGCGAACGAGTACCTCGTCGTCACCGGCGCTGGCGTCGATGATGTCCGGATTGTCAAGAAAGCGCTCGTCTACCCGTGGCAGCGCGTCGCTCGCATCTCCGTCTCCCCCTTCGACTTCTCCCTCAACCTGCAGGCCATGACCATCGAGAAGTTGCAATTTGCCCTACCTGCCGTTTTCACCATTGGCCCGGACAACAAGCCTGAAGCCCTCAAGAAGTACGCCTTGCTCCTCAGCGGGAACCCAGATGGCACGCCTTCCGCAGGCAGGAAGCCGGGGATGGCCATTGTGCCGACCCAGAGAGGCCATGTGCAAGACATCGTGAAGGGCATCATTGAAGGTGAGACCCGTGTCATCGTCTCGAGCATGACCATGGAGGAAATTTTCAAGGAGCGACAGGTCTTCAAGCAGAAGGTATGCCTCCCATCGGATCTGATGCAAGACCACGGCCACTAACTGGAGTTCTAGGTTATTGAGAATGTCCAGAACGAATTGGACCAGTTTGGTCTCCGAATCTACAATGCCAACGTCAAGGAACTTCAAGACACACCAGGCTCCGAGTACTTTGCCTTTCTCTCCCGCAAAGCCCACGAAGGAGCATCCAATCAAGCCCGTATCGATGTGGCTGAAGCTCGCATGCGAGGTGAAATCGGCGAGGCGGGGAAGCGTGGTCATACGAAGCAGGAAATCTCCAAGATTGAGGCAGAGACTGCTGTTCTCGAGACCAAGAGGAGAGGTGAGACAACCGCGCCGTCCCAACGTATCAAATGCTGACACGACCACCACAGCCGACAAGGCACAAGCAGACGCCGAGCTCACGAATCGACAAACGGAACTGGACATGACCATCCAGATCAATCAAATCCAAGCTCGGAGAGCGGCCGAGGCCCGCGACGCTGAATTGCAGAAGGAGGTCGAGACGAAGAAGGCGGCGACGGAGCTGGAGCGTCTTCGGGCCAAAGACCTCGTCCGTGCCCAGATCTCAAAGGAAACCACCCAACAGGAGGCTGATGCCGACCTCTACCGTGCGTCCAAGCAAGCCGATGCCAAGGCCTACGCCGAAAAGCAGGATGCCGATGCTCAGCTGTTCAAGCAGCAGCGTCAAATCCAAGCCAGCGTGGAACGCCAAACGAAAGAAGCCGATGCAATGTACCACGCCAAGATGCGTGAGGCGGAAGCCACAAAGGCACAAGCAGAAGCGTACAGAGAGTTGGCCGACGCGTTCGGCGGACCACAGGGTCTGCTGCAATTCATGATGCTGAAGGAGAACGTCTACGAGAAGCTGGCCCTGGCCAACGCAAAAGCCATTCAAGGTCTTCAGCCCAAGATCACCGTGTGGAACACCGGCAGCGGAGACGCCAGTGGCGCCATGGGCGAAGGCATCGCGCCCATCAAGAATATCATGCAGTCACTGCCCCCTCTGCTCAGCACGATCCAGGAACAAACCGGCATGACTCCGCCAAGCTGGATGGTGCAAATGCCCAAGGACGTCAACGGACACCTGCAGCCCGAGGAGCGGAGAAAGGTCCTGCGTCAGAGCGCCGACGAGCAGAAGGCATGAGCAGCCCCGATGGTTACTTGATCTGAGCGGTGCCGCAAGGGATGAGAGATTCTCCCCACAACGTGCAGACAGCTTTCCTTTGTTTGTGTGACACACATGGCGCATTTGGGAGATCTGGGTTCCGCTGGGGGGCCGGGGGTCGCGGGAACGTATTACTTCTTCTACTACTCCAGTACTTACTGTAATGTACGCGGCGCTTAGACATCGTATTATCCCATAGGTTTGCTTTAGCTTACATAGCTCTTTGTTGTTCATAAACCCTCGTTGCATATCGAGAATGTATGTATGTCCTGTATATATGTCACATGTCATATTATTATGTACCAAGAAAACTCGAGCCGGCCCTCCTCTCTGTCGAGCTTGCTTCCTCGGGCCTCAATCAATCAAATACCCCCTCCCTCGCAAACTTTCACTTTCACTCACATGCATTGATATTATTACCCTGGACGGGAGCCTCCTACTATCCCGCTTCCGTTAAGCGACGATTACAGCCTTCTTCTACTCGAGAAAGCGTGACGGAGGGGACAGGGCACGTTCCTTTTTCCTTGAGGGTTCATGTCATCATTCATCTTTTCATTTCTGGAATGCTGGCAGTAGTATACTTGAGGACTGGCTGCAGCTCTGCTACCTATTTTCGCCTTTCATTTTCCCTTCCCCTTTCCCAATGAGTTCTCCTTCCAGGGGACATTGGCCAAGAGAGCACCATGCAGTCAGCTGTATTTCCGTCTGATGTCCTCGTCGACCTGCCACCTGTCTGTGTTTCGGCGATGATCGGGCCTCCTCCCGAGTTAGATATCATATCTTCCCAAACCAAAAAGTATTGGAAGAGGCCTTGTCCTCTCCCTGCCTTGCGCTGTGGCTAATCGTCTTTCACTGTCGAGTGATCGTGGTCCGACATGTATTCCATGTCAATGTCGATGTCGAAATCAAACCTGTGTCAGATGACCAAACAATCCATAGCTGACCGATACCAACAAAATCCTGCTTGCCCGCTCTGGTGTACAAAACGATTGAAAACTGGTCTCTAAACCATAACAACATGCTGTGGTACTTGCTGGGATGTCGTTTCGATCGTTGAAAATAAAAGGACGGAAATCCACCAGAATCAATGCTTCCTCTGCGTCAAATAGCCTCGCCCATTGGCCCCCCCCCCAACCCCCCGCTTGTCCAAAACGATTTGTGTTTGGGTATCCAGGGGTTTGAATCACCTGGCTGAATAGATGGCTTTTAGACATCGATCATTTCCGCATCTTCAGCAAGTACTTCGTCGGCAGGCCCCCAGTTGCCTTCAAAGACAGTCGCTCCTGCGCGCCGCCTCGTTTCTGCCCACCGAACACCTTCGGTGTTGAGCACCTCGCTGGCAAGAGGGCGGTCATTTGGATCTGGGGATATCATCCAGCGCACAACTCGGTCGAGAGCTTGTTCGTGAGCAGGATCCACCATAAACTGAGGCGGATCGACAAGCTCGCCGCTTCGTTCGAACCGTGGGGGTTTTTGGTAAGGCTCCGGCGTAGTCGACTCGAAATCGTCGCCGTCCATCACTTCCACGTCATGCTGGTCGTTGTCCAGCCGGAATTCAAAGGAATGTTCTCTGGACACAGGGTTACCGGACGAGTCCCTTAAAATCCCGCTGGTTCCAGAACTCCACGTCAAACTGGGGACGTCGCTCATATCCCCATTCCGCAGCTTCTGCCAGGATACACCATTGTCCGGTAGTTCAACATTTCCAGCCGTCTCCAACATGATCAGACCGAGTGCAAAGATATCGGCAGGTTTATCGTATCGACCCATCAGGATCTCGGGTCCGATATATTCGCGGTCCCCTTCGCCTTCTATACCCGCTTTTGCCGGCCATCGGGTTGCCATACCGAAGTCAGCAATCTTGAGGACGCCCTCAAATGTAATGAGGACGTTGGCCGGCTTGAGGTCGAGATGGATGAATCCTGAATCGTGGATGTGCTTCAAACCCTAGTGGCTGTCAGCTTGGACGAGAGCATGGAGGGGATTGGACCTACCATGGCAAGCTCAAGAAGGATCTTCCAGATGCGGAAATCGTCCAACCTCGCTTTCAGGCCGACTTGCGCAAGGAAGACGTCAAGTGTACCTTCTTCGCAGAACTCTGTTTGAATATAAAGATGACCGTTTTCCTCCCAGCTGTCGACAAAAGTCACAATGTGATCTGAATGACCCAGGGCTTTGAGCACGTCCACCTCGTGAATCTTCCTCTGACGGTCTCGGGTACCAGTGTAAGGATGCCGGGATCTCTTGACGGCCCAGATTCTTTCAGGAACAGAACTTCTTGAGGACGGGCGGCTGGTGGACACTGAATAGATCTTATGGAATGGAGATGCCTCTGGGGGCTGCGAAACCCGGTATACTTGCGAGAACTCTCCCGAGCCAATAAGGTCAACCTTGTCAAATCTTGATGTCAGGCTGCTATCAATATTTGCCGCGTCTAACGAGGCAAGGTTCAGACTTGGGCGGTTGGAGAAGTTCGTAAAGTACTCTCGCGGCCCAGTTGGTGTCGCTGGAATGATAGGTGCCATGTTACTCTGTCTCGTCGGCGGGCGTTCGGCGCGTCCCGATATGGTCAAGCCGCTCGGATCAGGAGGAAAGAAGCTGTCGAGAGGTGTGTGAGGAGATCCACGGTCCGTCCGTTCGACTCTTGGGCTTACTGGTGGCACAGAGATTCTTTTAGCACGTTCCAAAGCAGGGGGATACATGGCCAGGATCGAAAGTGCCCTCCTTGTCGAAAGAGGATCTCTGAGACCTTTCGAAGCTCGTCCTTGGGTAAAAGAGGGGCCCGGCAGGTTGACGACATTCAGCGCCGACTTTGGTCTCAGGTTGGCGGACGGAGAATCTTCCATCGCGCTGTCACTGTCCACATCGGTGCATCCTGACGATGCCACAATAGGAGATAACTTACTGCTTGCCAAACGAGTTACATGGGTCGGAGGAGCGACAGCTCGGTTGGTGGACAAGGCTGAGTGATGGGGTGATGGAGAAACTGAACTCCTATCATGAGGCTCTGTCAAGTGCTTGGTCGGTGTCGGGGGATAGTCAGAGTCTGTCGACTGACTATTCGCGCGACTTAATGGGGAACGACCGACCGCTTTGTCGTCGGGGTCGATGGATGCGAAACTTCCGTCCCGAAGCAAATTGTGTCGACTGGGGCGAGGTCCGAATATGCCAACGCTCTTGGAGAAGGGAAAGGCCGAGACCTTGGAAGCTCCGTGGCTCACCTCGAGTGGACTCGGGGGGACACCAAAAGATTGTCGAGAGATTCTGTTGACAGCACTCTTGGCGGGCGCAAACTTCTCCTCGGTTTGGAAAATGGCAGGTTGTTTCTTGCAGGGAGTATCTGGCATGTGGGCTTTTGGTAGGCCCGCGTTTGGATCGTCCACATTACGGTTCTTCTTCGAGATGAGCCCAGTCGACATGAAAGCCGCCGGCAAGGGTTTGGCAGCTTTGTAGTTGCCTGGCGTGGCGAAAGAAGCCTGGGAGGAGAATTCGTTGTCTCCAGGCGATGGAATTGGCCTTGACGAGCCGACTGGCAAGGATTTCGAAAAATCATGAGAACGAGGCCTGTTCGGGCGGTGCATCGGTTCATGAGTCGGCGAATCGTCTTGCTCGTCTTGCAGCGACGATGATTGGGTCATGGTTCGAGAAAGGGGATGTCGAGGCTGATAGGATGAGCCATTCTGGCTGGCATTCACCGGGTGGATAGACGCGCTCAAGAGATTCCCTTGGCTTGGAAAGGGACTATCGCGTGGGAACGGATTCATGTGGTTATCCAGCGATATTCGTATCTCCTTTTTGGGGTTTGCTGCTGGAGAAAAGTCCAACCAAGACTTGTCCGCCTCGTTGGCATGTTGTGTTTTGAAATTGCTTGACCGGTCGACCTGTCTTTGCTGAATGGTCGACTTCCTCAATGACGACGACCGCTTCGGAATTGTGGAAAATCGTGACGATGACAGTAAAGAGTTGCCCACACACCAATCGTTGTCATCCTGCGCTCGTCTGTCACCGAACATTCCGTTCTCCAGACCGTCGGACTCGAACACGCTGAAATCGAGGCCCGGTCCGTGAAGACTTCTTCTCTTGGCTGAAGGACTCTCACAACCTGGTGTTTCGTCGGCCCTCGAGCCATCCGATCTTTTCATAGGACTCAGAGGGGCAACCGCTGTAATCAACATACCACCACTTCGTCTTTTCTCTTGTCGAGAATGGACACTCTTCCAGCTCAGTGGTTCATTGGTTGACTTGTCGTTCTCCTTTTCCTCCCCTCCGATTAGGCTCTTTAATGCCAGTTCGCGCTCTGCCTCTGCCGAACTCCTCTTGCGAAGTGGCATGGGAGATGAATTCCCGCTGTCGCTCGAATCCGCCAGAACACGTTTTGTAGGACTCCTGGGTGACGTTCGGAGGCGAGATACCCCATGAGATTGGTTGGTACGACGAAGCGGAGGGCGTGAGAAGCGCGAAGCTGAGGTGCCTCGATTTGACTGGGAGGCCATGCTGTTCAGGTGCAGAAAGGTCTCAGCTGCCGGGTTTCTCGATGGTGACAGTGGAGAAGGTGAGAAAGGCAAACTGCCTGGTCCCGGGGATCGTAGTGACTGTTGGCGAAACTCCGAACTTTTGGAGGGTGAGCGAGACAGTGAACGGCGTATCTCGCGTATAGCCGAATGGGGGTCGAAGTGTGAGAAGGGACTCTTTGGTGAGTGCTCCTCACGATGAGGAGAGTATGTTGCCATCATGGCTGGCCCAACGTCACTCTGTTTCAACACAGCACACTAAACCGATTCTCTGCCAAACAGTCTGCCATGAACCTGAAGATTCAACGAGACGAGGCTCTTTTTGACTTGTGCACACTCTTGGGTGTAGGATAGTTGCTGCGGGGATCGTTGACAGAACGGATCTACCGGAGATCTCGCATTCTCATCGCGCGAGGAGTGGCATGAGTCTAGAGAAGGGGGTGCCGGGTGCCAGCGGAGGCCCAAGAAGACAGAGGTCCAGGCGCAGCCACGATAATATGGGGATAATGGTCCGTTTCGGAGAGTAATATTTCGTGGATAGTTGGTAAAGTGAGGGTGGTAGGACAGGATCGGAGGACTTGAGAGGTTGCAGCTGTCTGTCAACGCGATATGGACGGAAGACCAAGTGTCAGGAGGATGAGGTGGTGGAATGTAGTCGGGGACGAGAGGGAGCTAGCAACAGTTGAATGCTGGCTGTTGACTGTATGTATGTAGGTAGCAGAGAAGGATGCTCGCTGATCCCCTCTAGTCCTCTGGTCGCCGGGGAGGTCGGGTGGCAATCGGTGGTGAGTCTATCCTCTCAGGGTTCACGGTCTCGAAGCGATCGCGTGCGCTGCGCAATGGGAAGGAAGCAGGCGCGGATGACGAATATTGTTTGTGGCGAAGAGGACTGGGGGAAGGAGGTCGTGCCAATTGGAGGAGGAGGGGTTTGATAGGAGGCAAGCAAGAGAGTTGCAGCAAAAGGCGCTGGATGCGCGTTGTAAGTGGGCGAATCGCAAGATCTGTCGTGGTCGAGTTTCGGGTCATGTCGTCGGACAGAAGATTCAGAGGCCACGACACGCTTTTTTTTGGTGGGTGTCAGGCGCAGGACGCGTCCACGGTGCCAGGCGGTGGGTTGCAGGCGCCAAGGATAAACAAAGCCCAAAACAGACTAGGGGCGTGGCTCGGCTGGGCGCCACCGACGCCGCCATGGATCGTCATTTTTTCAGGGCGACAATCTGGGATCGAGGAGGAGACAAGGAGGATTCCTCCCACAGGCTCCCGAGCAGGGTACTCTGAACGGTGTACCTTGTGGGTGCCTTGTACTCAGTACTGTGTACCGAGTACTGAGCAAGTCGACCAGCTGACTTCACTCCGGCACCTCCACCCCCAGAGCAATTTGTCTCTGGCCTCTACGCGAAATCAGGTATTTTCCCTCCAGCTGTGCAATTTCTACCCTTGTGCAACGTCGGAGATCCTTACCTGGAATTGTCTGGTGTCCTACATAAGTCCAGCACGAATGCCACTCCTCTCCCACGAGCTTGATCTGCTCTCAAGCATCAGCCTGGCGGAGTCTAGCGGAAAGTATGTAAACAATGCCCCTAACTGGCGGTGCAGCGGGATCCGAGGGGTCTGTCAGCGGGTCATATATGCCTAAGGTACCGAGTACGCAGTAGAATCTATGAGGATGACCAGGTCACACTAATCACTCTGCTATTATTGTGTCGGTAGCCTTGCATCCATCCCGCTGCCACGTCCGAATCCCCAAAAGTGAGGCTCCCAGACCCTTGCAGGACCCTTACCGTTTTCAGCGCTAGATTTTGCTTCCCTGACAGGTGTCTGTCCACTTTGATCTAAGAGGCCCACGTTGCAACGGTCGAGTCGTCCATTGTCGCGATGGTGGCATCTTCATGCCCAACCTGCTGACTCGGTTCTCGTGTGCTTAGCCTACCCGACGCTCATATGCCTCCCAGCCCGCCTTTTGATACTCCTGCACTGCACTCACCGGATCAGTGGCAGCATATATCCCCCTTCCGGCAATAAGGAAGTCAGACCCGCCCTCCACGGCCGTTGTAGGCGTTTGGTATTGCTGACCCAGCGTGTCTCCTTTACTGGACATATTGACACCCGTGGTGAACACTACGAAATCCTCATCCCGCGTGGCGCCAGGAGAATGGCTGGACAACTCCCTCGTTGACACGAAGCCCAGGACACTTTGGGGGTACTTTCTTGCAATCTCGACCGATATTCGAGTGTAGTCTCCCACTGCCAGGGATCCCTTTGAGGTCATCTCGGCCAGAATCAGAATGCCTCGCTCAGGGATCCCACCATCACGGATGGACTGGTCCAGCGCCTGGATGATGCCTTCCCCGGGAAGAATCGTGGCATTGACGATATGAGCCCATTCGTGGATCCGGAGTGCTCCCCCCCGATATTGCTTCTGGACGGTGTTGCCAATGTCCACAAACTTCCTGTCCTCGAACAGAAGAAAGTCGTGGCGTTGGGCAATTTGGCTCAGTCCCTCCACGGTGGCAGGGCCGAAGTCTGAGACAATGTCGATGTGCGTCTTGAGGACAGCAATATGCGGACCCAAACCTACGAGACGAACCAGAAGTGTTAGATAGTGTTCGATCGGTGCCTTCCATGTTTTATATCTCCCAAAGTGCACAGTTGATATATGGGAGACAGAGCCTGGAATATCGCTCCCTCGATCCACTTACTGTCGGCAATGGCAAGAAGTTCTTTGGTCGTAGTCAGGTCTGCTGACAGCACCACATTGGTCTTTTTCCGCTCGGCTATTTCAAAGAGTCGCCTGACGAGAGGATGGGGGTGTTTCTGAGCACGCTGGCTGAAGGACAGCTGGCTCTGGGAAGCCATAGCCGCAGTTTCCGTTCACGGGATGTTGCCTCGTCGGAATTTTTTCTGTCAGCGAAACGTGTCCAAGACTCTAAGCGACCTAAGAATCCCCAGGTCAGGGACAACAGGTACCGGAGGCCAACTCCGTGGATGCGGTGGGTGCCAGCTGAGGATCGGACGATGTGGTTGGACCCAAATCCGAGGCTGATGGGGGACAACGGTGGCAGCAGGGATGATGGTGGTGGTGAGAACGGAGGAGCGAAAACACAAACCCAGCACTAGCCCTCGCTACGCCTAGAAGCTGCAGCCGGAGGCACGTGTTCAAGGGTGTGACTGCCACCGAGACTCGGACCCGGTGGGCTTACAACCATGCTAACCTGCGGCCCCAACAGACGAACACCTGTACTCCGGACTTGATAGTTGTTCTTGTTAATTATGGCAAATACTCAAGGATGCATCTGGCTGCAGCCTGACTTTTCACTCCTCAGTGACTCTCTTCATACTACTGCTCAAGAACTCGGTAAATTCAGGAATCCTCCTGCCATCGACTCTGGAGCCCGAATCATTCAAGCTTTAATAAATTCAAGAAAGTCTCAATAGTCTCCTCCGAGCTCTATGACGATCAATTGACGGAGAAATCGATGACCGAAAGAACCGGCTCGGAACTCATATTAGTCTATCAGCAGATCCTGCATGAAGGGAAAGATAGCCGGGGTACAAGGTTCAACGTCAGACTAAACACCTGGTCGACAATATCAGGGTTGATGTTGAATGTGAGAAGATCATCAGCAAGTTCATTGTGAGCGGTAGAGGCGCGAGAAGAGGGGACGGATGGTGGCACCAGCGGCAACCCAGGCAGGGCTCGCCAGCACAAAATGCCACGTTGAAACCAAAAGCCGTGCAGCAGCCGGAGGGAGCCTAGACCATGCGTAAAACTGAGCGGACGGGGGCGCCAGCCACCAATTGCAGCCACATCTGAGCAACGGTGGCCGCCGCCTACGCCCAAGCAGCAAAGACCAAAGATGACGCTGTGCAGATGCGAGTCCACTCGTAACCGCTTCCCCGTTCCCTTTCCCATCCGCCATTTGCCCATTTACCATTACGTTGCTGTTGGTGCATCCCGTCCACCTGCGATCCCCATTATTCTTTCTTTCCCCTGTTTCTAACCACCATTTACATCCTCTCAACTCTTAGAACCTCACGCAATCTATTTCCCCATCAAAACCCGCCTCGCTGTTTCGCCGTTGCCTCCGAACCCCGACTCGATTTGCTGTTGTTCTTCGTCAGCAGTGCTTTTCAACGGTCCCAGGACCACCTGTTCGGGTTCTTCTCGCCCAATCTTCCCCAATGAATCGCCCAGTATAGCCGTCGAACGACCATCGTACGATCTGCCACTTTGACGCCCCTGCCCTCGTTGATCCCTATAGACATTCTTCCGCCTCTGCGAACGGCGTTGTCCTGCACCTCGGGGCTTCCCCATCAATTCACCCTTTCTCGATTTTAGGGCACCTTGGCCGCGATGATCCCACAGATCCGACTTGTCGATTAGACCCTTCCAGAACGCCGCAGTCAGTGGAGGAGTAAACGACATAGAAAAACAGATATACTCGTCAAATCATGTCAGAGCCGGCATCAGAGAATATTCCGACGTTGGGACCTGGTCAACCTGACCCATCCAAAACATCTCGCGAGACGTCTCCAGCGCGCACTTCTCGCAGCGCGTCTCACATCCCTCAGCTCTCGCGGTCGCGCAAGGGAAGCCAGGAGTTCAGTCCGACACGGAACAGTGGGATAGCAGGATCCCTGTCAACCGTACCTTCAGCCGCTGCCGTCCAGCGAGCATTGTCTGCCCAGAGGCCGATTTTACAACCTCCCAGCGTTGACTCCGTGCTTGAGGGTGGCCGCCCATCTGAACGACAAATGAAGACAGGTCAGAATCCGCCATCATGGCCCACGTCGCCCCGGTTGAAGTCTCCTCCGCCTTCGAAGGCTGGCGCGAAGGCGCCGTCAGTCAAGCGGAATGATTCAGACCAGACGCCGTCAAACACTTCGCTGAAAAGGCTGGCACCTCCCTCTCACCCTGACCAAGCCGCTGCCATGCAGATACCTGACGTCCATGAACAAACCGGCCCTCATTCCAACTCGAGGGTATCAGGCCGCGGCCCAAGCACTACCCTCGAAACGGTGGCAGAAAATAGTGTCCCCACGACTCCTGCAATCGGTCCGATCTCGACTTCGCCACTGGAACACAAGATGGATGTAGCATCCCTTGACCAGCGATTAGAGTCGCGGCCTGATCTACCTTCCGCCAAGGATGGGGAAGGCAGTGGTGGTGACGGCCCTTCGAAAGTCACAGCCGCCAAAACAGAAAGTGGTCGGAGGTCAAGGGCTCCAAGCAATTCCCGCTCAGCTTCAGATTTAGCAAAACGCTCTTTTACCAGCTTGACGGTGGCCAAGCCCAAGCCCGCGGGTGACCCCCCTCGAACCATGACCGTGGAGACGGAGACTGTCACTTCCATGCCTCAATTGCTGGGTCCCGACCGAGGTGCTTCAGGCAGGGATGGTAATGGTAGTGTAAGGACCAAACCGAGCAATGAGACCATTCGGCCGAGAAAGGAGAAGAAAAAATCCCGCAAGACTCCTTCGCTCCATGCGGGCACAGTAACTTCCAAAGCCGACCTGTTCGAGGCCAAAGTTGCCAGCGCGGTGGACGAAGCGGATTCCTCTGATTCAGACGAGACTTTTGTCTACGAGTCGAACCCACCAGACAGCAGGCCTGCACGACATCACTCTCGAACACCTAGCGCGACGTCCCTGGCTAGCCAAGAACAATTTGGAAACCGCAGTAAACATGGCCTCCGCAGTGGCAGTCAAGCAATCACGGGGAAGAAGAGCATGAAGTTCTCGAGTAGCACCTACAACAATCTTTTGGATGGCGAGTCTGGACCCGAAGGACGAGGAAGCCAACGCAATTCTAGTTCAACGCCTCGTCATCATCACATCAGTCGGCATGGACGACCTCACCACACCTCGATCTTGGACACGGAGTCACCTTTTACACAGGCTAACAAGACGAATTCTTCGCGTTCGACGACCAACAATCCTTCCCGATTTTCTCGGCCTAATAGCCCACGAACCTCCAACGGACGAGTGACGGGCACCCTGCGTAAGGGGGAACCGTTTGATGCCTATGAGGATGCTGTCGCCGACGACGAGAGGGCCCCGTTACTTGGATCAGTCCGCATTAATCGCACGCGACACAGTCGTCGTCCGCACAGTGTGAGTCTTCGGCATCTCGAGTACAACGACATCCACGACCGCAGTTGGTGTGGCGGGTACAGTGGCTGCATTCTCCTTGGGCTTGTTATTCTCCTGATCTGTGTTGGTATTACAACGTTTGTGATGGCGCTCAACCGCCCGTTGGTAGATGTCTCCATCAAACATATCCAAAACGTGCTTGCATCGGAGCAGGAGCTTATGCTGGATCTGGATGTGCTGGCGATCAACACGAATCTTTTCCCGATCACGGTGAACGATCTCGACGTCAACCTCTTTGCCGAGAGCCCTTATGTTGGCTCGACATCTGACTGGGATGGGTCTGACCAAAGGAGTGCGCTCCGATGGGTCACACGAGGGAGCGCAGACACCCTGGGATTCGAGTGGCCGCCGTGGCATTCTGATGATGGGGTAGATGAAGGTACCGATCCGATCGACGACCCTGAGCCAGGCACACAGAAAATGTTGCTCGGAAGAGTTCTCGTCTTCGATTCGCCGCTAGTCTTTGATGCATCACCACTGCGACACAGCCACACTTCTTCTGTTGGTGAGATCCGGCTCGCGAGGCCGGGCAACAAGACTGAAGTCGGCGGATCTGCACGTTGGGAGAGAGTGCTGCAACATCCGTTTGATCTTATTGTTAGAGGCGTGATCAAGTATCAATTACCTCTGAGCTCTAAATCGAGGTCTGCCAAGATTGGCAGCCGGGTCAAGGTGTTACCCAACGACGACAAATCTGGAGATGATCCTGGGGGAGATCCGACGGAACCAAAGGCATAAGACGTTTTGAGACCATTTTGGGAGTTATGATTGGGACGAATCTCCTTTGTGCATGCAAAAAAGACCCGCCTACTATTGCGAGGGGGCATTTAACGACCGCGATACCCAAAGGACCGTGTCCCGGAAAGAGAAAAGCATTGGGATTGCAAGCTTATGCTTGGCTATACAATGGTCGGCGAAGAAACAGGCGAAGCAAACACGCGTAAGGGCAATGGAAAACTGGGTGGAAAAAGGAATCGATCGAGCCTTGTGTCAGCGCAACCGTCAGTTGCATGTTGTTTTTCCTTGGTGACGGCCGCCTTTTTTTTGATATATATATATGGATGGCATCTACATGCCGGTGACCCTCTCTGCAAAGAGACAATCAAAAGCCCAAATGAAAAGTGCCAATAGAGTATGCGTTGCACTTCTTTCTCCTTGACCGGTTTCGCACTGCAGGTTGGGCCGCAGCATAACGTGGACTCCCCCGAGCAAATGTGATGGTCTCTGGCTTTGGTCATTACAAACTTACTGTTGACACCCAGTGGTGCCAGTTGCATTGACGGGGGCCGACTGGCCCCGGTGTCAGACATGTCAGACCGAGGCGGTTTCTTCTGGGCGAAGTGCAGCGGCAGCCTGTTCACACTGGGACTGGGCGGGCCCCAAGCAGGTCAACCGTTGGGCTGGCGTGGCTGGACAGGGGGGCCATCCCATCTGCCATGTACGTCACGCCTGACTTTGCCCGTTGTTTTCTCTCTCAGGGCCTCCAAAACGGGAGGCTGGTTGGCTGGTTAGTTGGGCGGTTTAGGCCTGGTGGCCCTTAGGCTGCTGGCTGCTGGCTGCTGGCGCACTCTTCTTCCACCTTCCACCTGCCACTATAATTCTCCTCTACTCTCTTTCACCACTTCTGCCCCCCTCCATTCCTCTATTTCCCTCTCTCCATTCGCCGACTCAATCCCCTCCAAGCCCACTTTTCGCATGACCGTTGCGGCTGCCCAAGCCTGCTTTCGAACCTCGTATCGTCCAGAGTTTCCGGCTTTCTGGCGCAGTCGGCCTCTGTGGGAAAGGGGACAAGATAAATCTGGACACGCGCACACACCCTTGGGAGGTCCGGCTCGTCCGTCCCCCGTCTCAACCATCCGCAGCCCGGCTACATGCCACCATCTGATCCTTCCAACTCTGCAGTGAATTGTCACCTGCTGCCACCTCAACTCGACCGCTCATCCTTCTTCTTGTCTTCTGTCTCCGGCTCTTGCATTTGTCTCACTTGTCCCTCTTCACCTCTGGGCACCATCTTCGACGTCTGAGTACACGGTTGAAGTCCCTTACGCAACATTCATTGTTCTCTTCCCCCACGCCACTCTGACAAACCGTGCATGTGAAAACCCCTCCTGACTGCACCCGAATAGTCATTTCAACTGCTGCAACCTCTGCAGCCTCCAGCCTCCAGCCCAAGCCCACAATGGGCTCCGTATACCGCGAGCGGTTCGACGACTCCCGAACATCAGTCTCGTCAAGCCGACGTGATGGCGGGTACACAACGGTGAAGCGATATGTGGTGAAAGAAGATGACAGTCGCTCCTCTGTGAGCCGGGACCGGCGGTTTGTCCCCGAACGTGCAGGTGAACGGGTCGAGGAGACCCGAATCGTTCGCCGCGAGATTGACGAACCCGTGCGCCGTGAAGAACCCCGCTACACAGAGCGTGAGTTGGTTATCAAGCGCGAAAGAGATGAGGAACCTCGGCGAGACTATGCCTATGACACAAGACGGGAGGAGCCTGTCGCAGAGCGGGAACTCGTCATCAGACGCACCACTGAACGCGAGGACCCCCGTCGCGATGATTTCGAGGTGACTCGGTACGACGACCGCAAAGTCGTCGACACCCGCTTCCGGGACGACTACGAGGTGCTTTCGCCGCGTGGTTATGACGACCGTGATCTGCAACGATACACCCGTACTACCGACTACTTCGCTCCCCCTCCCCCACAGACCATCATCATTCGTCAAGAACCCATCATCATTCGAGAGAGAGTGCGCGACGACGACTATCAGATCGTCCGCAAGTCGGACATTGACGAAGAACGCAGCATTGTCCGGCGAGACCCCCCACCTCGCTCGCCTCGTGGAGAAGAGGACTTTTTCTACGAGAAGAAAGTCAGAGAGCGCATTGACGACCGACGCGACGATGATGACTACTATGAACGCCGAAGCCGACGACGATCCGTGAGTCCTCATGACTCGGTGTCCCAACGAGGCCGCGACCGTGGCTACAGCAGTGATGACAGCATGGTTTATGTCCGCAAAGAGGTCCGCGAGGAAAGCCCTAGTCCTGAGCGTAAACGGGGCCTCGCTGCCGGCGTCCTCGCTGGCGTTGGTGCTGCAGAACTTCTCCGAAATCATAACAAGAAGGAAGGTCGCGACGTCTCCCACGGTGTCGGCCGTGTCGGGCGTGATATTGGTGCTGGCGCTCTGGGCGCTCTTGCCGCCGAAGGCATCCACCGTGCGAGGTCAATGCACCGTAGTCGGAGCCGACACCGCTCTCGATCTGGCTCCCGACATCGCAGCAGGTCTCGGTCCTCATCCCCATCGAAGCTCAAGACCCTTGGAGCGGTCGGTCTCGGCGCTGCCGCCCTTGCGGCTGCCGCAACTATTGCTTCCAAGCGCATGAACAAGTCCAACGATGACGGCGACCGGGGGCGTTCTCGCAGTCGATCTCGCTCTCGACGCCGGAGGGAGTCTGTGTCAAGTCTCGAAAATGATCCTGATGCGCCATCTGACGATGCGCGGAACCCCAAGCATCGTAGAAACACCATTGCAAAGGCTGGTGCGGGTGGCGCCATCGTTGCAGCCTTGATTGAACATGCTAGGAGCAAGTCCAGGGCTCGAGATGGCAAGGAGCGTTCCCGGAGCCGCATCAGACAGGCACTTCCCGTTGTCGCTGCTGGGTTGGGTAGTGCCGCGGTCGCCGGGCTGTATGAGAAACACAAAGCGAAGAAGGAAGCTGAAGAGATCGCGGACGAGCGGCGTCGTACTCGCTCCAGGTCCAGAAGCAGGGCCAGGTCTGAGCATGCGTACTACGACGGGCCACCCCAGGGTGCCGTCAATGATCCTGGGCTGATCGAATACGGAAATGGACCAATGTATGGGAACAATTTTGGCCCCGATTACTATGGGCGACCGCCGCCGCAAGATGGATACTATTCGAATGCTGTTGTGCCGGCTGCCGCCGGCGCTGCAGCCGGCTACGGGGCCCAACGCGGGACGAGAAGCAGAAGCCGGAGTTTGAGTCGTGAACGAGGTGGTCGACGATCATCCCGCAGCTCGAGTTCCTCGCCAGACCGGAGCAGACGCAGGCATTCGCGGGACGCGGCAAAGATGACAGCGGCTGCCGCAGCGGGAGCAATCGGTGCCAGCGAGTATGAAAAGAGGAAGCAAGAGAGACGTGAACGCCGCGCCAGAAAACGTAAGTGATTCGACCCTGACGGCTTGTGAGTTACTGACACGACTTAGGCCGAGAAGAGGAAGGATATGGCCGTGATCCCTACGAGGAGAACTATAACCCCGGTGCCCAATATGCTCCTACGCCGCCACCGCCTGCTCCCGTTATCGATCCTTATGCTACTCAACAAGGGTTCTACCCTCAGACAAGCCAGTTCCCGCCGCCACCAGGAGCAGTACCTCAACAGTATCCTCCGCAAGCGGGCCCCGGTGTATCTCCAGCTGGGGCTGCCCCGTACCCTCCACAGAACTATCCTCCCCCACCGCCTCCTCCTGGTGCTCCGCCGGCTCCTGCTCAACCATACGACGCGTATGCTTCTGGTGCGAACCCTTACGCACCACGTGGTCCTGAAAATGTGAGTGCTGAGCCGAATCCTATATTTGGCGATCCTTTTGCACGTACTGTTCCCAGTAATGACCAGACCCATGTCCCAGATGGTACGTCAGAGTCATGTACCTTTTGAATTCGTCCCCCTTTAGACAACACAGTTCCTCCTGGCTAACAGTTTGGGTCATTAGGTGTAAACCGTTCGGCGCCGGCTCCGGCTCCACCCTTCTCAAGTACACAGGCCCCTTCCTCCAACGACCCGACCATCCCTCCGCCTCCGCCCCCCAACCCTCCGCGTCAGGAAACGTATCCTCCGCCGACCGGACGAGGTGTGTCTCCTCCCCGTTCTCAATCCCAGCCGGCGCCGTCCAACCGTAAAAGCGTTCAATTCGTCGAGACGCCGGAGGTTTCTGATGCCGCAGCGGTCGAGTCTGAAGCGTCAAGTCCCGAACGTCACCGTCATCGACACAAGTACTCACGCTCGCGTGGCTACGAAGCAGAGGACGACACAGACTCAACCCCAGACGAACAACGCCGAAGAAGCCGAGAACACTCCTCGCGATCGTATCCAGATTCTGGCGAAAATGGAGATCGACGGCGGCATCACCATCGCCGGCGCTCCTATGAACCAAGCTCATCTCGAGGAGGCCCAGAACTCGAACGCGTAACAAGTCCCACTGATTCTGATGCCACGATCGAGCTACCTCCTAGATTCGATGAGAAGGGGCGGAAGAAACCCGAGCCTGGTGAAGATCCCCTCGCGGAACGATTAACTGAGATCCTTTCTGGGAAGGGGGCAGCAGGCAAGGTGTTTGGCAATTTCTTAGATGGGTTGCTTGGGCCCGATGGCCGGAGGAAGCGAGGCAGATAAGCATGAGGATGTTTCAGACGGAGCCCCTGTTGAGCATTTTAGAGAGAAATAAGGAACACAGACACATAACGAGTCTCCTTGGATTTGTGAAGAGCAGGATTTTGGAGTTCGGCTTTCTTGACGGATCATGAAGTGATGACGGCCACTCAAGCGTTGGGAAATTTCTCGATCATGATCACGAATGTCTTACGAAGGGATTGAATCAGATGAACACGACGACACTTGCCAACCGGTAAGATGAAATATTCCACGACGTGGGACAGACGGGATATGGAGGTGATGATTAATTATCATGCCAGTCTCTCACGATTTCGGATTGTTGTCCTTGGGAATATGGAGGAATGGCTGATTAATTAGATAATTTCTCACAAGGTTTATTTTTGCCAATGAAGAATAAGAAAGAAAGATCTTTCTCCAGCGTCTGCTTCTTTTCTATTTCTGGTTGTGATCACGGTCCAGGTGTGAAATGATGTGAGGGAGGACATCAGATTAATGTGTCGCTCATGGTGGTCATACATGATGGTCCCTTTCGACGACGAATCAACTGAATCAAACGGCAATGGTAAGAAAGAGAAAGACAATTAATGTATGAACAGCACTGGCTGACTGACTTGACACGCTCGTCCTGCCTTGCCTTGCCCTGTCATGTCATCGACGGTTTCCCTCCCTCCCTCCCTTATCAGATCAACGCAGCAATAAGAGAAAATACCCCCCAGCATCATCCCCTTTTTGAGGTACAGAACTAATTAGAAAGCTCATGGAAGTCATAACTCATCACAATACCTCGTACTGGGTATCTTTGGGTAGGTATGTAGGTCGGTCGGTTCCTAATGGTTTACCAGCGTTCCTGCTTCCTGGTGTACCCGGTCGCCGCGTCCGCCAGCCACCGCCCGATCTTGCCCGCCGTGCTCTTGCGCCGTGCTGGTTGCTTGCCCTTGCTCCCGGCCTGTTCCTGGTCCTCCTCCGACTCCTCCTGGGCAGAAAGGGTCTGGGCGAGCGCCGCGTCCGACTGGATCTGTTGGCGCTGCTCCTCGAGGTGGCGCAGGCGGGATTTCTCTTCTTCGGCGGAGAAAAGTGAGGCGTCGGCCGCAGTGTCAGATTGTCCCGTCGATGCGCCGTACGAAGGGAGGGGGTCGTCTTGCCCAGCCGATCCCTGGCGTCCTGGTCGAGCCAACGAGCCCTCAACGGCCCCTTCCTCGGCGCCCGCGTCGGCGTCGTGACGGTAAGCCGGTGGCCCGCTCGTGGCGCGGTGAGCGTAGGAATCCGTGCTGCTGGGACCAAACGCCGGGCCCATGGGCCGGAACCCCTTGCTGCGGAGTTTGGCTTCCTCGATGCGCTGCTCGCGGAGGGCTTTCTCCTCCTGGTTCCGCTCCTTCCAGTACTGGTACAGGGGGCCCCGCGAGTACTCGTTGGTGAAAATAGTGGGCATTCTGTTCTTCGATTTGTGTGTGTGAGAGAGAGAGACAGAGAGTGGGAGGGGAGATCTTGAGGTTGGTGTGTTTGTGATGATGTTTAGAGGCGACAAGTATTACTTGTTGGTCTCGTCCAGGAAGGAGTTTGAGAAATGGCTCTGTGCTCGGACTAGAAGTAATGTCGGCGATATTCGAGCCTCTTCGGTTGCGATGATGGTTGGGACTCCAGCTGGGCCCTGGGGAAAAAGGGTGTTTTCTGTTGAAATCGATAGAGGCTGCCAAGTGGGGTGACCAACTTCTCCGTCCTCGTGTCTATGTACAGTATAGCCTTGTGATCACTGTATTAAGGGGGAAAGATGGCCTGTAGGAAAGGGAGGCTGGTAAGTTGGATTGATCAAATCGATCGAGTCAACGAGTTGCCTGCTGCACCCTTCGCTCCTATTTAGAGGTGAGTCGTTTTCGCTCGTGGAATGCACAAACGACGTCGATCAAGTCGCGGTGAGTGAATTTGATAATAATAGAAGGGGATCGCCTCCTGGTTGAGGAGGAGAAGTTAGTATGATGCCGGAAGTGAGTGCTGTTCGACCTACTATTACCTGACGGAGCCTGTTTTCGCGGGGTAACAATATGTAAGCCACAAAAGTCACTCACTCACGCTGATCACCCGTTATTTGGGCTTCGTATTCGGGGCCACGTATTTGGGGGTGCCGACTTTTCCGCTGGGCCAGGCCCTGAGCATCAATCAGTTGGGTTGTCTTGGCTACCTGTGAGTTGGGCACCAGACCAGAAACCTACAGACTCTGCCATGAGGGTCTAAGTTTAGTGTGGTCGCATATGAGAACGTATTGATCCTTGGGGAAGAAATCTAGAGCCTTAGACGGCCGCCATTCTTCCAGAGGACAGGTTCGGGGCCGGGGGCTGGAAACACATGAAGCAACTCAAACCCTCAATGAGACCAAAACAGAACGGACGGTAGCATTCAATTGCGGACGCGGGCCATTAGATTGCAGGCTGCTCTTACAGAGCGCCAGTCCAGTCTATCATGACCCTCAGGCAATAAATTGGAACGGATGTGAGGACCTCACAAGCAGTCGTGCTGGATGGTCGTATCGCCATCTCGATTCCATCTGTCGAGTTGCATCGTGCTCTCTGATGTCCTCTGAGACGAATCTTCGATATTTGATCGCACTTGTGCCTTTATCTCGCCGTCCCACCGAAGCACTGCAAAATCTCCTCCACGTTTAGAACACAAGAGCCGCACCCTTCGTCTTCTTGTCACCACTGCAGAGAAATTCATGTCAGCCTTGATGCTTTCTGTCGAGGCAGAAGTTGGAAACATACCCCAATTCGAAGTGCTTGCATCGCTTCAACGATAATTGTGCCTTGGTCTTGCATACTGTGCATTCCAATCTCAACACGACTTTCTTGGTTGTCTTGGCCTTCTTGTGGAACACGGGCTTCGTTTGACCACCATAACCGGACTGCTTGCGGTCATATCGACGCTTTCCTTGCGCGAATAGCGAGGCCTATGCAAAGGCGTGTCAGTGTTTATCTCACCGAATGTCGTTATACACGGATCGGATCGGAGAAGGGGCAATCGTACTTTGCCGGCCTTGTACTGTGTGACCTTGTGTTGAGTGTGTTTTTTGCAGGTCTTGCCCTTGCAATAGGTGCGGCGGGTCTTGGGAACGTTGACCTGATGGTAAGAGACACCTATTAGCATTTCCAGAGCCACTAAGGTTTCGCAGTTTGGTCGAGATAGTCCAGTTCAAAGGGCCTCAAATTGCACGGCCCCAAAAGTCCCGCTGAGATCTGAATGGTAGAGTCCTTCATATCCTGGACCCGAATCTGAGCAACAGACTTGGCTTTCCATCTCTTCTCGCATTGTGACCCATCGCTTCCTCGGGCGTCTCATCGTTCGACTGCCGGCACCGTGTGTCGTCCGGGGGGGCAATCGTAACATAGCACATCACATATTGAGGACAGAAGAGCTACTCACCATCTTGACTGAGTGACTGGCCGCAAAGATTTGAGCGAGGGTTCGGTGGTTATTGTTGACTGAATTTGTCGACTGGCACCTCGAGGATTGAGCGCAAACCGCGGCCAGATGCCAAGACGCACAGTGCGAAAATGTGCGAACCGCCGAGATTTGGGGCAGGTGACCCGAAGTACGATCGCTTAGTAATGGGGGGGAGCGGACTTTTGTTTCTCCGAGACACACATGCCACTGCATAGACGTCACAACTAGGTGCTCTTCAACCTCGTCTTCGACCCCTCCATCTAGGTCAGGCCGACCATAGAACGGGCGGCAGGAGGAAGCCATGGCTAAAGTTGACTTTGAAGATCTGTCCGGAACGTCTACTCCTGTCACTGCAAACCCTTTCGACGGCCTGATCAATGCTTGTCATGGTGACCCTGTCAGCCGCACTCGCCCCTGTGTGTTCTGATTGTACCTAATGCATGGCCACAGAAGCAGATTCAGGAACGATACGCTGTACATCGGACAACACGGAATGCACAACAGCGAGAGAAGATCCTTGGCGATGACTTCAAAGGCTGGATCCTTGACGAGCATCTGGTCAAGCTTGATGGACCCAGGAAGGACACATCGTACATAGACCCTCGGCACTGTCTCGTCTTCTGGGGGAGACCGCCTCAGAGAGTCAAGACATTGGTCGACGTCATACAGTCCAAGCTGAAAGATGCTGCTCCAGGTATGGCTCCATACTGCTGGGAAATTCCCCTCTGCTCACTATACAGACCTCTGGCTTATGCCTCTGGACAATCTACATATGACCGTGATGGAAGTCGCTCACTCTAAAACCGAAGCTGAGATCACTGGCCTCATGAATACGCTCAAGGACCACTTCAAAGCGATTGCTGATCACACGTGCTCGCACCGAGCCAGACTTGTCAAGCCTCTCTTGAGCTACGACTCGGCGGCTCTTGCTCTGAGCTTTTTGCCCGCTGCCGGAGAGTCACCCTCAAATGGTCGGACGGCTGATGATGACCGTTACACATATCATCATTTGCGGCGCGATACTTATGCTACCATCACAGAGTCAGGAATTCAGGTTGGCTCCAGATATGTTGTGCCTTCGGCACATCTTACTATCGCCAGATTCAACTCTCCAAATGTGTTTGGAGGAGATCCGCTGGACGAGACCGTGACCCTTGACATCAAAATGCGAAGACACTGGGTCAATGAGCTCGAAATAATCAACAAGTGGCTTGAAGCAGAGTATTGGCCCCAGGAAGGACACCTGATCATGCCTGGAGGCGAATGGGTGGTCGGCGAGGAGAAGGGTCTGGACTTCCGCAACGGCACGCTATGGTACGGCGGAGGCTCTACTATTTATATTGGGGAGGGATTTGTCGATGGTGACGGGGCAACTGCACAAATACCATGACATTATGCCCGGGGGTTTTCAGATGGCCATCTCAAGACGCTTTTTCTTACCGGTTGTTGCTCTTCTCAAGAGGTAGTGCGGGATTTATGGCAATATACGCCAGTTTAATGTGGATTTCACACTTTGGGCCTCATTCATCGCTTCTTCATTGGCCAGCGCGCATACCAGACTGTCGGTCGGATATGTGATTCCAAGACCTTTACAGCTCGACTCTTTTTTTGGATTCTTGTGTTATGGCATTGTATATGACGCTGGAATAGCCAAAATTCCTTAGAGGTTCGAACACTTCTGGCTTTTTGATTAGCAAGCAATGGCTGATTTGTGGGACGCCTAGGTAAACATGCTATGGAGCATTTCCTTTATATATATATATATACCAATATACTGGGCTGGGTTTACTGGCTTAATTAACTGTCTCGCATACTTGAAACTTTTCATGTCTGTTCAATACGTCGAACTTACCCAACACATCTACCCATCCCATCAAAGTCTCTGGCCATGTCGCTCAAGTGCAATCCGGGGGCCAACAGATCCGAATCTACTACGTCGAGTCCGTTCCACACTAGCTCGGCCAAACTACTAAAGGCGCCATTCTACTCATCCACGGCTTCCCCCGAGACGTCCTACCGATTTAGACATGTGATGGAACCGTTCGCTGAAGCCGGACCACCGCGTTACCGCACCGGACAAGCCTGGCCACGGTTACACCAGCAAGCCCGTCGGCAACGTCCACCAGCAGGAGCCCTGCACAAAAAAATCTCTCGCGCGAGATCTGCACGGCCTCGTAACGAACCATATCGGTATCGAGGATAAGGTCCACGCCGTAGGGCATGGCATCGGGGTGATGGTCGCGCACCCCTACGTCTGCCAATTCCTCGCGCAGGTCGCAACCGTGGCCTGGGGCGAGTGCCACTTACCAGGCTCGAGCATAGTCGTCGGTGGAGGGCGGAGATGGGGAACCTCAGGACCAGAAGCATGATGTTGATCGGTGAGAAGAGCTTCCTGAGCAGAGAAGAGGCGGATGCCATGACGAGGGAGTTCTACGAAGACGTCAATGTAGGCGTGGTCCGGAATCCGGGACATTATCTCGCGGAGCAAAATCACCGGGGGTTCGTCGCGGAGGCGATGAGATTGATTACGAGTTGAAGCAACGAAAAGGCAGAGTCTCTTTCTCATGAACGAAATGGAGTCGGAAATGTGGCGTTTCCCACCGCCTCGAGCACCCATACCCACACGGTCTGATGGCTCTGATTTGGGGACCAGATGTCCAGTCATAACCAGGATGGGTTCGGGGTCGACTGGGATGTTGAACGCCCAGATCAAAAGCACCAATGACTTGCTTTCTCTACCCATTGCACTCATGCGCCTCAGGCCATGACCTGCGCCGTCACGCATACGGATCGCAGGCCTTGAAGGTATTGCGGACAATGTCTTATTGGTTCAGGAGGATGCAGCTAGCCCATAGAGACCCCATAGCGCCACCGCCACGTACATGTCGTGCACCTCCTCTGGTCCCTCTTACCAAACCCCACCAACCCCCTCCTGGAAGCTGCACCTCCTACGGCAGATCTATGTACTCGGACGTGTGGTTGGTCGCTTACGGGGGTGCTGATCCGGGGAGCCAGTCTTGCAGACCCTGGCCCAGAGATGGAAATGCGGCACTATCGCTCTCGAGATAGGTTGAGGCACACGTTGGGTAGATGGAGTCATCGGACATAGTAGTAGTGCTAGTAGGACCGTCGGCTTTATCACCCAGATAGGCTGGTGGATCTAGTGTTAGTTGCTTCTCCGGTGGCTGATTTTGTGACTGTCGTGTTCGCAGTACGTTAACCTCCATGGTAAGGTCGGCAGCCACTTCCCGGAGCAGGCTCAATCTCCGGTCCTGCGAGTAGTACGACTGCCACAGGTCGCGGTGTCGCAGGTGCAGGTCTACGATTTCCTTCTGGAGCTTGTGGATATAGTCCTCCTTGCGATGCCGGTACGCTTGCTGGGACTCTCTATTCTGCGCTCGACGACGCTGGAGTTCCTCATCAGCATTACTTTTCTTGACATACCGCTAGCATGGACGATTGGAGTGGGGGGCTTTTGCTTACCGATTGCGTCTCTTCATCGACCTCATTCATGCGTGCTTTCCGTCTCCGTGGCTTCGACAGTTTATTCTCAGCCTCTGTGGGGCTGCCGCCGTAGGAACCACTACTCCCTGTCTCATAGATTGCTGTAGTGCCTGCTTCGGTTACACATGGGAGAGACATTGGTGTTGAAAAGTCATAGAGGCGGAAATCCATATGCCCGGGGTCGAATGCCGCCGCCTCCTCTCCTAGAGCCTGCAAGTTGCCGCGTCAGCCTAATATTGCTGCAGTCGCCATCGGAGGCGAAGTAGCCCAAACATACGAATAATGAGGAGCATACTTCTGTCTCTGCGAACCATTCACCATCAAAAGCCATCGCCTTATCTGCTGGGCCTGTTGTTGGTTTTTGCGAAACGAATCGCCTAGATATGGGAAGAGATTCTTTGTTTGGAAAGAAGAGAAAGGGAGGTTTTTCGGCAGTAACGAGCTGTCTGCCCTTTCACACACTGTTTATACTCGTGTGCTTTCACCCAACGAGGATGCACCCACCTTCCACTACACTTCCCAGCCTTTTCCTAATCGAGATGGTGCGAATGCCTAACTGGGACTAGTAAGAAGCCACGCTCTGCAAGGCTCCGGGAGTGGCGCCGTGATTGGCCATGGCGGTGTCGTCGGCGTTTACTCAGCAAGGCTGTCGTGTCTTCATCGAATTTAGGACTCTCGCCACGGGTTTCGGGATTTGGATCGTCCATTGCTCACTCGCTGCTCATTTAGCCCCCATAGTTGCGAGAAGGTCGGTGGACGAATGGCAATGGTTCCGACAAAAATGTCTGTCTTACAAAGCGCTCCATCTCTGCTCATATATCATTGTTGCTTCGTTTCTTCCGCGTGCCGCCTTTATCCATCCATCACTAGTGCGGCTGGACACCCGAGTTTCTCATATGCAAAGGCAGTCGCAAATACACGCGCTGCGGATACTTGTGATTTATCAAAATCAATCATGCCACCATACAAAGATGAAGTGTTTTCCACAAGGCTGATAGCGTGGTACTATACCCAATTTGCTCATCCGCCACCGTTTCTTCTCAAATACTCGCCATTCCTGTGCACTCTGTGAGCAGACCTGTGAGACTATTGCCCTAAGCTTGAGATAATCGATGATTGATGGTTTGGCGCCAAGATTGTGGCGATGATGACTGCGTGTCGTTCTGATCAGATTGGTCCTCATCCACCGTCTTCACTCGGTAAATCTGCCGTGGTGCCGGGAGTGGAAGCGTCGCCGTGAATGAATTCTCCTTCCGACGCTCCTGAATGTGGGTGTTCTCAGCGGTACTTGACGATGAAGGGTCAATTCGCTTGACCAAATCGTGCAAACGAAGTACCACCGTCGATTCTATGACTTCCTCGGTATCGCCCGTCGGCTGGAGAGAGATGGCCCAAGGAGCATGCTAGAGGGTGTTCAGACCAACCTAGACTTATTGCGCAACCAACTGCATGCTATGTCAGTAGAAAAGTCAACGGCAAAGTTGAAAGTGGTGTTCCAAGAGAGGTGTCTTGGGATAAGCAACTGCCTGAGGATGGAAAGGCAGATTCACAGGTGGGCGACAGGGACAGAGGGTTGTGGCATTTGATACGTTCCGCTGTGACTCCTCGTCGACGACGACTCTGAGCGGTGGTGATATGAAGCCCTACCAACCATGTAATCAGACAGAGGTCCGGTGTGGGAGAAGCTCAAAGGTAAGAACTGTGAAGATACCCTGTCGGTGCCGGGGTAATGTCGACGACGACATGTTCCCAGGTACCACAAGGGTCAGCAAACATGATGTCGACGAGACTTGTGTATCCCTGTCTGATAAGTGTGGTGTTTCGTGGCAACGGCCAATGGTACGGCTCACAACTTGGCTGACCGGGCCGAGACAGTCGGAATCGGCCAGTCACTGAACCTCGGCATCTTTCCCGCCTTTTTGCCCATCGCTTGTTTCTCTTCAGATGCGATTAATATTCCCGCGGTGATCATCCTCGCACTGTTTGTTTCCTCATCCTCTGCTATAGAGACGTCTACGACACTTTCATCACCTTTGTACGCGATTGTATATATCGTCGATTTGTTTCCTGCGTCTCTCGTGGCTGTAAGCCGACCGTACCACCGTTGTCCCTCCTCCCGCATTGCGAACGCGCTCGGCACACGACCTATACCTTTTGAACAGAAGCTTTTGGAAAGAGTTGGCCTCAATCGAATAAGCAGGCCTTATCCTACCCATTAGAAGCTCCTTCTTGGAATATTGGTGGAAATAAGCCCGGCGAACGGTCCTCCTCTCTTCCCAAGTCAGCGAAGTGCTCGACCACCGCCGCAGGCATCCTCCAAAAGAACCCCATTGAGACTTCCGTCCGGAATAATTCTTCCATATTATTTTCAAGATGTCCAAGACATTCACCACTGCCGATGTGGCTAAACACACCGCCACCGCCAGTGATGGCATGTACATCATCATCGACGGGTCCGTCTATGATGTGACCAACTTTGTGGATGAGCACCCTGGCGGAGCAAAGATTCTGAAACGAGTCTGTGGGAAAGATGCCTCAAAGCAGTTCTGGAAGGTGAGTGCACGCACGTACAGACGATCTGAGCTGGACTCGAAAGCCACCCGCCCAATGGGTGTCAAGATACGATCGGTCGGGAATCGAAGTTGACGCCCATCTAGTACCACAACGAAAACGTCCTCAAGAAATATGGCGCTAAATTGAAGATCGGCTCGATTGGCGAAAAGGCCAAGCTGTGAGGGATCATGGTTTAGATGGAATTGAAGACCAGGAGACAGCGGTGCCGATGAGAAGAACGTTCCCGCTGATGTGAGGTGCAATTTCTCGAATGGCCATCATCTGCATATCTAGAGGTTCGCATGTTTGATCAACAATGGAGTGAACAAGATGACGAGAGCCAATACTTCAGCGGATCGAAGAAAGCCAGGATCAGAGTGGTCCTCAAGCAAGGCTCGGGTGGCGAGTGTACAGACTTTTGGATTTCGAGGTGTGGGCATCGTCTTATAGATGGCTTATCTTGCATCTCGGTAGAAAATCCCATAGACATCGTGCTGCATCTGAACCGGGTTCTGGGATCTGTGATTACCGCATGGAAAGCCACCACAGACTCTTTCTTCATTTTCAGTCACAGCCTGATCTGGTCGCACAACGTCGACTTCTTTTGTGGTAGGCCCTGTTCACGGATCAATGTCCTTGTCCTGCTCTTATATCATTACTCGAGAGGCCTCGGACACAGGCAAATGGAAATGGATCGTTGCCACCACCAGCACCACCACTTACCAACGCGCTGGTTACCGACGTACCGGGGGACGAGGCTATCCAATCACGGCCTGTCGCAGAGGAAGCGCGAAGTCAGCACAAAGTTGCCCAGAAGGGAATATGGTCCCATCGCAACGTGCCATCGTATAGCCAAAACGTCTATTGGTCCAGTGTTTTCACTTCTTTGCTTGCCACTTTGTTTCCCGTCGGATTGTACTCGATGATTTCCCCCTCAACGGCTTGTCATGGCCCACTATCTCGCACTGCATTCGCTGCGGCCACAGCTCGATCAAGGGTCCAATGCCACATCGCCCACGGCAAGATCCTGAGTCGGTCTGGTCGACGAACCTGCTCATTTTGCCCTTGCTTCCGCCAAGCATCCAATCGAGTGTTTGTGATGGCGGACGCTCTGGAGCATAGCTCTTCGCGCTCGAATTCCTCAGCGACAAAAGTACAGAAGGTTCGTGTCGCTGCCAACCCACTGCCAGCCCGGCGAATGCCCCATTTGCCCAATGCGGCAAATCGTGGCTCCCCCTTTTTGCGATCTGAAGGGGTGGTGGTGGCTGTGTTCTTGGTGTGTTGAAGCATATCCGTCCATCTTTTGCCGGTCGGCTAATGCTGCCAGCATTTGCAGCCGAGCTTCATCAGGACCCTTGGAAGACCCCACCTTACTCACTGTTCATGATGCTTTGCTCAGAGTCACGGGGGTGCATGTGATGGTCCGTGCGACGTTCTGGAAGACGTGCAGATATGCAAGTGAAAGGGTCTGCTGACGGGAGAAGGGTTACAGCTATGCTTTGCAAGGAGAGAGGACTGGTGCCACTTGCTGAGAACGGGAAGCCTGTAAGGCTGAACTGGATATCTGCCCTGGACCGACCCTGTACATATGCACCCAATATGCGCTCTACGAGGAGATTACTAAGTCTTGGAATTTGGAATGTGTGTGGTTCCAATGGCCCATGGTTCATGGTGCCGTGCTCGCATGCCGTGACGGAGCAATAAAGTCGCTCTTACTTCCTCCGTAGGGCAAAGCTACACAGAATGCGGCTGACCCTGTTTCTAGAAGACGTTGTAGAAACCCTCGGAAAACATGTACATACATCTAATAGGCCATGCATCCTCGTCTAGACTGAATCCGACCTCATTGGAACAGGGCTAAACCGGTTGTTCTCTTTGGTTCTTGAAATTAGTTTACCGAGTCACCTAAATGTTGATTGATGGCTTGGTCAAGAAGTAACCGAGCTTCTGCCGCTTTACTCCCCTGCCCCCAACCAAAGTCGGGCGTGATTTGTGACTCGATGATACTTGCTCAATGCAGTCCACAGTTACGCACGCAGAATGCAGTTCGGCCACATTAGTGATTGAGGATAAACGAGGGCCAGTCGTACTGGAAATTGGAACTGGAATATGAGTGTCGTGACAGAGACATTTTCAAGAGTATACAAATAGAACATGACGTTATGACTTCCTCTCGAGGTCAAGTTTCTCTGAAATCTATTTGCAACGAGACGAGACTGCAGCTAGTGCCCATTGCGTATATTCATACGTCCGTGGCGCATTTGCTGGATCAGAGAGTAGGGTTCTCATTGGGCTGCACTCGCCAGTCACTGGAAGTGCTCGTGCTCAAAACGTATACAGACACGCAGCGGAGCGCTTTCTGGGAGCGACCTGGATATCATTCTCTCTGGCCTTCGTGAAATAGTCAGAACGACGGGACGTTTTATTGGGCGGCACTTGCCAGTGCTGGAAGTTCTCTGGAAGCCAACTACTACTCCTTTGAGTAAATGGGGCGCCTTTAGCTCTTGGTACCCTCAGTTACTGCGTACTCCGGAAGCACTCGTATCGCTCCAAGCCACTGAAAATGCTCTCAGCAAGCCATAGTGGTCTCTCGCGCAGTGCCCTGCAGGACATTCAGTCCGGGCATGCAGTGTGGGTTGCAATGTCATGCCGCTATTCCTGATCGGGTAGACCAAAGCCCTTTTTCCATTGGCCAGTCGACCAAGCTAGTGCAGCCAAGCCTGGGCTAGCGCCGTCCCAAAACGGGAGCCTGACAAGGTTCACCAGGCAGTCCTGGTCAACGGCATCGTGCCAAAGTATGCGCATATCAACCACGAGAGAGACGCTCTCCAGATCCGCATCTGTAACTTATGTAAAGGACATATACTCGGCCACGGACCTGATTGAGCTTGTGTCTCGATCGTCGCTCAATTCCGATCTTCGTAAACATCTTCTCAGGCCCGGCACTCGGACCCAGGCCCGCCATCGATCTCTCCACAACCGGGGACATGGCCATCATGAACGCCTCACACATCGAGAACCTTTCGAATGCTTCGACATTGACCCCCGTGGATCTGTTTCTCGTAGACCCGGGGAGATATGGCGATCTCGAGGTAAGTCCACACAGCTTCTTCGCACGTGCTGGGCGGGAGACCCAGTGTTGACGGTCGGAATCAGCTACAGGACGAGTTCCGCCGGTTCACGAACGTGGACTCCCCAGAAGCGTTCAGTGGCGACGATGCCGGCGACTCCATCGGCATGAACGGGTTGAATTTGGTTGGTGACGTCGAGGTCTCTGCCACAGAGCAATCGACAATGTCCCCATCCACGGATTCGGAGCTACCTGCAGAGTCTAGGTCGAAGATGGTAAGTCAGTTGGCATTGCTGTTCAAGCAGATCAGGCATGGTATTGTCAAAGGGGGCCTGAGAGAACATTTTACGGCATTTTCACCACTGCGAGCACAAGTCTGACAGAATATGGCTGGCAGCGACGCCGAGCGCAAAACCGCGCTTCTCAGCGAGCATTTCGCGAACGCAAAGAGAAGCACCTCAGGAGTCTGAAGTCGACCTTAGAGAATCTCGCCGAAAAGCATCAGAAGCTCCTCGACTCATACTCACAGCAATCTGAAATAGTGGCAAAGTTGAAAGGGCGCGTTGCAGACCTGTACACACAGCTCGCAGCCTTGTCGACATACTCGGAACAAGACACAGACACAGCGATTTTCCGAATCCCAAGGCCTTTGACCACCGAGTTCCAGCAGTTTGACGCCTTTTCCTTTCCACCACTCTCTGCCCCAGCGGGCCGGCACAGCACCTTTCGCCAGAGCCAGGTCTTGGATAGTGCTGAACTTGACAGATTGTCCACCCTGGAGGCGAATGACCTCCTAGGGTTTGATGACCTGCTGAACATGCCTTGAGCTTTGAAACTAGGTGTAGTTCTTTCCACTCTGTCTCCATACTTTAGGCATTGGGTGTCCAGGATTTAGCATGGACTTCTTCGAAATTTGGTCCTTGGTCTCATGGTGACAGTCGGGGCGACAGTATTTGAGGTCGGTATTTGGTCTTTGCCGGAACTTCACATCTGTAGTGATTGAACGTCCAGGTACCATATTCTAACGCCCTTTCTGGTGCGTCAAAATTCATTCCAATTGAAGTATCAAGACCACGGTCGACGTTCTTCTCTTCGTGTCGTAACCACTTACTTCAGGAGCCCTATGCCCACCAGGAAAAGAGATGGAGGTGTGTCCCTACGCTTCGAGAAAGGAACCGATCTGAGAAACTCGCGAACACCAGATCCCCCGGCAGGCCAGCCCCTGAAATATAAATACGACTAGGCGACAAGTGACTAAGCTCTCGCCCTGGGGGCACCGATGTGGTCTCCACAAAATATGCATATCAGCTTGGTAGCTTCTCGTTCGACAGGATTTGCGCGATTGGGCCAACTCCACGCCCTCCTCTATCCAATCCTTCATGTCATGAGAGAATTCAAGAGTGGCAAACAGCCATGGCATTAGCCAGCCATGGCAACTGCAGTGCCCAATTTGGAGCGTGCCAGGAAGAGTGCTGCCAGAAGGGAATGGCCACAACCCTACCTAAGACCCCAAGGAGGTGCCAGTCGCCCTAAGTCTATTTCCCTGGAACAGAAGGCTCGGTGAAGCTGTCGCCGCTTCAGTGAACTGGCCACGGCGCCCGTGGTTCCCGGTCAATCGCCCCGGGGATCAACAGTAGCATCCTGGCGCCGATCAGTCTCCCTGCCTTCTTTCCACTTATTTTGCCATTCCAGAGCGAGCGTTTTGGGCCCGTCTTACTTCATTCACGTCGTGGCCATATTGGCATATGTTGCCATGTTCCAAGGGAATTTTTCCTTTGTCAATGTCGATGCGTCGAGCCTGAGCACCCTCCCACACCGCCAAAGAGTGACGCGCCATGTCCACGGCTACCGTCGCTGGAAGAAGGGACAAGACGCCCGCCGGCTTCTGGAATCGTCCAGGTTCCATGAGGTCTTTGATTCTCAATCCAAATCTCTCACACCGGTTTCCAGCCGCGCCACCCGCGAGGAGAGACCTTGCGAACCGGCCCCAGCACCTCCCTCGTCGAGATCCATTCGCAATCTGCCACCTTTGCTCGATATCGTCCTGCTTAACAGCCATGCAGATCCTTCCAGCGTCCTCCCCGAGCAGCTCGCAGTCACGACCAACTCACTGCTCGACTTCGAGAGGGATTGCGTCGTTCCCGCTGTCAAAGAACTCGAGCTGCGCCTGACCGCGAAAGAGAATGTCCCCAGCCGGACACCCTTCACCCAGACATGGATTGCTGACAGTAAAGCCTCACTGTACGACAGCATTGCGAACAACAGCTATTTGTCTCGCATCGCCGCCACCAGGTACATGGTGACGGCCAACCCAGAGCACCTGGACGCAGCGCACAAGTTCCGGCATAAGGGGGTAGCCTCCATCAGAGAATACATGACCACCACTCCTCGCATCAACATCCCCCGCCTCTATCGCGCCCTCCTGCTCCTCCTCTTCGCCGATAGCTGGTTGGGAGATAGACAAGCCTTCTATCAACATGTCACAGTCTTGCAGGACATCTTCGCGTCCCACCAGGACGAAGTCCTTACAGATCCATCTTTCAACATCCAGCACTGCATCAGTGTCATATGCCTCGAAGTTCAATTTGCGGTCATGAACTTCTCAGCGCCGTCTGTCGACCTCAGACCGAATGGGTGGGCCGAGAAACAGTTCTTACCGTTGTGGGAGGAAGTCTCCGCGTGCTTCTTGACATCGAGGCCAGAGACAGGTCAGAACCTAGATCCTTATTTGCAAGGCGACATCCGAACTCTGTTCCTAGATGCTCAAGAAGCTCTCGACGTCGTGGCGAATATTGGCAGACAGGCACCTCCATCTCCGTCTCCGAATTCTTCGCAGATACCGGTTTATGCCGTCTCAAAAACCATGCTGACAGTTGGGAGACTGATGAACCTTTATGCACATCTCGACGTCGATACCATACTTTGCCACGAGAACACCATGGCAATATCTTCCCGCGTGTTGCCGAAACTCGAAGTCGCTTCTGCCGCCCTTTGTGCGATATACTGGCTACGTGAGATGAGTGGCATTGAGAACATCCGGATGACAGAACACATAAGGCTGTTCACGTGGAACCCTTCCATGCTGAGCAAGCTTCGCCACATACTGACGGTTTATGAAGCGGCGGAAATGGACACTACCGGACCACAAGAAGATAACCTCGGACGAGAACGAGGACGACTCCCACTCCTGCTCTGGATTCTTTGGACGGCGGCCACGGTCGAACACTCAATCTCGACTCTGAATTTTTCGACAGCCACCACGAGCGAGACCTGGTTTACACAGCGATTTTCCCAACTGGCGAGAAATGCGGGGATTGAGTCCATGTCGCAGTGCCAAGTCATCCTGGACCGGATACTTCAGGTGCATGGGATGCGAATAATGAGCCCGGGTGGTGGATGGACTGCAAGCTGTTTCTCGCAGGCGGGAGAAGAGCCATGATCATTCGAAAATTATGTTTCTCTGGCACGAGACGAAAGCGTGAGCGTGCATGTGTGCTGATGACGCCCACGGCGTTTGTATAACGAATGACGAGCAGATGATGCTAATGACTGATGTTGGGATGCAGTGGAAGCAAAATTGGGAGTTCTCTGGAAGAAAGCAAGGAACCAAGTAAGCGGGAAACGTGTCTTTGCGATAGTTTTTGGAAGGTGATTCTATTGATTGTTTATCGTGCCGATTGTTCTATTGACGACAGGGAAGCGTTGTTGGCCCACATTCTCACCCCCAGGAGTACCTTGCCAGTCGCATCCACGCCACAGACCCACTGCTGGTAGTCGACGGGTAGTACACTGAGTGGGCAAGCAGCATCTTGTTTTTGAAGCACCGTTGACTCGATAGTTTTGTCCTGAGCGGGCACAACATACCAGGCAATCACATCCCACCTTTTAAGCATAGAGAGAGAGAGGGAGGGAGGCTCCTCTATACTTCCCAAATTCATGTAGTATTCAACCACTCCACTCATTCACTCACTCATACCATTCCTTCTTTCCTGTTTTTTTCTTGCCGCTGCAAGAAATCTAGAACACCCGCCCCGGATTTTATCGTCGTCCTTTTTTGTGTGTCGCGAAAGCGGAAGAGGATAGAGTGGGAATAATATTGATTGAGTGATTGATTGATGTTGTTGGCGCTTGCTTGCTTGTCTCCGAGGAGGAAGAAGCGGGGGGAGACAAAGTTGACCCATATGTATTAGGTGCGTGCGTGCGCTTCCGCGAACCCCAGACCCCGATCTCTGAAGATGTAGTAAAGCAGTTCTATCATCCAGCTGCGTGTCGTTTTGCGCATCGGGAAATGACAGACTGTGGGTCTGCCCCAAGCACACCGCGAACGGGTCGAGCATGAGCTAGCTAGATAGCTAACTGGCTAGCCAGTATGCAAGGCTACGTCGCAGCACCGTTTAGTGTCGCGTCTGATTTTGTGCCGTCTCCTCCGGCAGTGTTGTTGGTGGCCTCTGCCTGCGTAGCACTTCCGTGAGCAACGGCGGCGGCGGCGGCAGCGGAAGAGGAAGAAGCCCGGAGCTGGGATTGTTGGGCCTGTCGGTTCTGTACAATGCGCAGCAAGTTGCGCAGGAGCACGACGATGGTGACCTTGCCGATGGCGGGGACGTAGATGGACGCCTTTTCCTTGACCTCGGGCGGGAAGTTCTACAAGGTCAGCCACACACAGACACACGCACAAAATCAGTGAGGATTATGTTGCGAGCCAGATCACAGAATGGGGATTGGGTGGGAGGAGGAGGAGGAGGAGGAGGGACAAAAAAGAAAGGGCTTACCTTTTCACTGGAGAAATTGATACACACGGCTCCCTCCTTCAGCAAGTGGCACGGGAATTTGTAAGTCTCGCCAGGCACACCCGTAATGACGACGTCGCACAGCGGAGCGCAGTCCTCGATCGTCCACCCGTCCTTCTCCACCACTTCGTGTTTCCGCTTGCGGATGCCCTCTCCACGGGTGAACTGCTGCACGCCCGTGACGTCGACCGAGTAGACACACGCGCCGTCGTTGGCGAGCAGCGCGGCGAGCGGGCGGCCGACGACCTCGCTGCGGTTCACCACGCAGATGGTGCGGCCGAACAGTCGGTTGCCGTAGGGCAGGATGGTGTTGTAGATGTGCAGAAACTCGAGGATTTTAATGACCGCCAGCGGCGTGCACGGCAGGATGCTCTTCATCATCTGCGCCTCGTCCAGGAACCGGATGTTCTGGTACATGTTGAAGATGTACTGGTGGCTGAGCCCCTCGACGTCCTTAGACAGGGACACGATGTTCTGAATGTACTGGTCCTGGCCCCGGTTGTTGAAGATCGGGTAGTAGATGATGATGCCGTCGTAGGTCGGGTTGGCGTTGGCCGCCAGCAGCACCTCCTCGACCGAGTCCTTGGCGGCTTGTTGGAGGGTGTACGCGAAGCCACTTTGACCATGGGAGTTCACGTCAGGACGAATTCCGAGAACAAGAAGAAGAGACGCTTCCAGTTCCGCTCTACGGTTCCCTTTCACTCTTTCTTCGCAGGTATCCTTCCCCAATGCTGCATAGGCCTGGGGCGCTCCACTGTAGACAACGAAAAAGAGAGAAAAGGAGAAACTTACTTCTCACGGCACGTCTTCTCTGTCCAGTCTGCATAGACTCTCGCAGCGGGATCATTGTTCGCCAGTATGCCCAACAGGTGCGGCTTACGATCGAGTTCCTTCAGACCGGCTTGGACTTCGGCCAGGAGTCCCTTCGCGATGGTGCCGGCGAGGATGACTTTGCAGCTCGGATGCGGCGCGGATCCCGAGCCTTGCGACATTTTGGTTTGTTTTGGGCAAAAAGATGTATGTGTGGGCTGTCGTTCGAGATCCAAGTGAGATTTACTTACTTACATGGTCCATTATTCTCGGCCCAAGGCGGGAGCAAGAACCAAATAAAAATCAATTCGGACAAAATAAAAAATTTGTTCTGATAGAATCGGGAATAAATATTTGGCGGAACGGCACGTGTGTGGCTTGGCAGGGGACGAGGCTGGAGACGACAAGCAGAATATCAACTTCGTTCAACAGCCGGTCTTTGAGAAGAAGAAATAGCTCTTCATCTATTGACAGGTGCATATACCCATATCGTGTCTCATCTACATGATCTCCCGCTCCACCATTCATATCTTGCTTTGAGCCTTCCCCTCTCCCCGGGGCACTTTCCGCTCCACGCCCAGGCTCTCTAGATCCTGCTTCTTGTAATAATGCGGCGCCACTTCAATCAGCCACTCTGGCTTCAGCGGCATGCAACTGCGCATGTACTCCTTACTCGTCAGCACCAGTTCGTGGTAGATGAGCCACTTGGGCCGACTCTCGATGAGGACGCCTGAGGGGTGGATGTACACGACTTGACCGTTCTTGACCGTGCGATAACTCTGGCCGTCGCGCTGAAGTCGAGCAGAATGAGGAAAGAAGCCTGCAGTGATAGCTTTCTGGATCGGTTCAATGTTGGAAGCGCCGCCACAAGTCTTGCTGGCGTCCACCTCGACCCGGTCGCACAGTCTCGCCAGCTGGTCTCGAACGTCACGGGCTCGAGTCAAGCTTCGTTGCTGTAGAAAGTTTTCCTTGGCCCAGACATAACTGTAGTCGGAATCAACCCATTCATTGAAGATGTTCAGCAGTGAAAGGTGATCGCCACCGTCCTTGTTGGTGAATCTGGCCCGGGCACTGTCGGCGTGGATCTTCTTGTCTTTGGGTCGAAAGAAGAGTGCTGATGCTTCTCCAAGCATGGCGATGATCGACAAGACCTCCTCAACGCATCCGTATTTGTCTGCTGCAAGGATTGCTCGCGCCAGCATAGGGTCCGTAGGAAACTCCGCCATTTGGCGACCGATCTTGGTCAGCTCCCCAGCATTGTTCAGGGCGCCCAGCGCATACAACTGCTCGACGGCGCGGACGATGGTGTCAGTGGAAGGAGGATCCATAAAGTCGAAATCGAGAAGGTCGTTGATTCCAAGACTTTTTAACAGGAGAATGACGCCAGAAAGGTTTGTTCTCTGGATCTCCGGAGTTGTGTTCTCTTCGAGTTCATTTTTGTACGCTTGAGCGGTGTAAAGTCGAAAGCATTTGCCCGGGCCAACTCGACCAGCACGACCGGCGCGTTGGCCAGCGGAGGCCCGACTGCAGGGGACAACCACCAAGGATTCCATGCCCGTCCTTGGATTGTACTGGTTCTCTTTGACGAAGCCTGGATCGATCACATAGACGATGCCATCGATGGTCAATGAAGTTTCCGCGATGTTGGTGGCTAGCACCACTTTCCTTGCCCCTGCAGGTGTGGGCTCGAAAATCTTGGCTTGTAAGTCCGTTGGCAAGTTGGCATAAATGGGGCAGATGATCATCTCCTTGATTTTGCTCCCAAGCTTCCGAGCTGTCTCTTGTAGACTGGCCTCCATGGCTTCGATCTCCTCCTGCCCGGTTAGGAAAACAAGAATGTCTCCGGCTCCCTGTGTGATGTGAATTTGAAAGACCGTGGTGATGGCCGCAGCGAGATAGTTGGCTTCTGGTTGGGCTGTGTAATGGATATCAACTGCATATCTCCGCCCGGGAATATTAAAGATTGGGGCGTCGTCGAAGTATTTCTGAAACTTCCTCGCGTCCATTGTCGCAGACGATATCAGGAGTTTTAGATCGGGTCTCGCTCGTGCAATGTCTTTCAACAGCCCACATGCAATATCGGTACTCACGGTCCGTTCGTGCGCCTCGTCGATCATAAGTGCCGAATACTGAGACAGTTCAGGGTCCGTCAGAAGTTCTCTCAGCAACATACCGTCCGTCATGTACTTCAGCACGGTTTTCTCGCTGGTGTTGTCCTCGAATCGGATAGCGTAGCCGACTTCGTTTCCCAGTCGCTTGCCCATTTCCTCCGCTACTCTTGCCGCAACGGACATAGCAGCCACTCTCCGGGGTTGTGTGCACCCGATCTTCATGCCGCCTTTGGTGAAGCCGGCCTCGTGGAGGTACTGTGGAAGCTGTGTTGTCTTCCCGCTGCCTGTTTCTCCCACAATGATCAGAACCTGATGTTCTTTGACCGCCTCGATGATTTGATCCCGGAATTGATAGATGGGCAGACTCTTTCTCGTTTCTTCGATGCTCTTGGCCTTCGCTTCAGCCGCGTTGAGCCTCTGCTGCATCTCCCTCTGCTCCCTGCTCATGCCTTTGTCTCCTTCCATGGTGTCGGACAGAATGAACTTCATCTGTTGGCTTTCATCGAATACATAAGTGTACTCGCCCTCGTCGACAAATTCGGCCTTTTTAATCTGGGCTTCGGCCCTCTTGGTCTGCTCTTTCTCCCACTCCTCGTGCTCGGTCACATATCGTTCTCTCCCGGCCTCATCACGATCGACATACCGCTGGTACAAAGCCTGCTCCTTTTTCCGCCTGTCAATCTTGCCCTTTTCTGTGATGTAGTCCTCGGGAAGAGCATAGCCATCGAGGTGATCATCGATCGCCAGCCTCTCTTCCGCGAGGCGCAGAATTTCCTTGTTGCGCGCAAACTCCTCCTTTTCTCGCCGAGACAAGTCTGGGTTGTCCCTGAGTTCCGCTTGCTCCTCAGCGACTTGCTTGCGAAGGAGAGCCAACCTTTCCGCCTCTCTCTTCTTGAGATAGTCCTGTCTGGAGCGTAGTCTGAGATCTGGCATCGCCGCCTCTCTTGCCGCCGCATCCTCGGCCAGCGCCCGTCTCTGAGCGGTCGCACTGTCTTTGGCGGCGGACCGGTCCTCGACAATTTTCTTTGCCCGCTCTTCGTCCCGTTTCGCCAACCGCTTCGCGAACTCGTCCCGTTCCTTCGCATCTCTTTCCCTCTCCCTCTGCGCTCTCTCTTCGTCTGTTTCTAGAGGAGGTGTATGATCCCTGGATCGGTGCGATGCTGAGCCGTCAGAAAGTTTCACCCGTTTGGAAGAGGATTCCACGAAATCGCCGTCCGCAGCTTGTTGTTCGTCTTCCCCAATTTCCTCATCGCCCCATCGCTCGTCGAAGTCGTCATCGTCGCGACGTCTGCGGTGCGCGGTATTTCTCTTGTGAGGCCTGATGCGAGGTTCGCTGGACCGCTGTTCAGACATGTTGGAGAAGGTGGTAGGAATTCTAAAGGGAACGGAATTCACCTGGTAATGAGCACCGCGATTGAGTAAGGCCCTTCATCGACTAACAGTTCCACGGTCTTTTGAGGATGAGACACTTCTTGAATGACAGCCTGGCACTGCTATCAGATCATAGTCATCAGGGCATCGCGTGGAACATTGAACCTGGCAAAGAGGCTTTTGCCTGCGCCCTTGAAGAGCAAAAAAGTTTCTCCGCAAATCCACTTATGTAATCAACGTTGCAAGGCTACCGCGCAAGGCTTCGAACCCTGAGCGTGATGAATACTCTCCAGCAACAGGCGGGGGTTGTGTGTCGTATATCTTTCGCTACGTCTGGCGAAGGGATCGACATGGCAAGGGAGTTCGGTGTCAAAGTCAAATGCAAACTCTTGAGGAGAACCATCACGGAATAACTGCAGCCCCATACGAACACACACACTTATTTATCCTTGTGTTGTAATCGCTCTCTTTATGGTTTGAACGATCATTCCCATGTTTCTCTATTTCTGATCTGGAGCTGGTTCTATAGAGCCCTTTCTGTACCTGCTGCGCCACAGATTCATGTCTACATATCATCATCGTTGATATCGTCAACGTCTCTTAACCACGCGGCTCTGGCATCAACGGCTTCTTTTCTAACATCACGCTTGGGGTCATCCAGAATGTTCGTTAGCCCATGCAGGACTTCGCGTTTGAGTGGGATCAGAGGATTGGGTCGTGATGCACTTGCTGAGATATATTTTGGCATTAGGGCCAGACAACGTGTTGCCAGACGACGAGTTTTTGGAAGATTCGTTGGCGGCAAGGTTGCATGCCCCTTGTCTGGCGAGATTGGTTTCATAAGACTAGATGTCTTGGATTTCGTTACCGTCGCTACGGCGATAAGTCGCTTCACTAGTGCTGGTATGTGTCCACTTTCCTCGAGCACAGAGGGGTTGTTCGATAGGACAACTGCACACGTTTCCAAGGTAGCAATTTTGACAGTTTGGTCCGCAATGTCCAAAGACTGCAGGAGAAGGGGCAACAGCGTGGGAAGCTCCGGCATCACGATCTCCGAAGGGACGGACGCTATTATACCACTCATCGCCACGAGAAAATTCTCTTTTTCAAGTGTTGACTGTGAGGTTTTGAATTTGTCGGAAATCATTGGCGTGAGCGTCTGGAAGACACGCTGAGGCGCAAGCAACCTAATTTGCGCTCCATTGTGCTTGGACAAAATGTCGTCAGCCGCCAGAATGGTAATAAACCCCCGGGCTGCCTGCTGAGAAACTCGATGCGGATACTGCCTCGAGTCAAGGAGTTCGACAAGGTTGGCAAGATATTCATTCGTCCTCGGAGCAAGTCGAAGTATTAGAGCTTTGAAGAGGGCAAAGAGAAGACGAATGTCGAAGTCGGGCGTTGTAGTCTCGTCCATAGGTTCATCCTTGAGCGCTGACAGTTTCTCTGAGACTAGGTGGTCGACGAACCCAAGATCAGCAGTCGCAACATGCTTGTTGACATAAAGAGCAACTTGTGAAAGACAACTTTGGGTAACTGCCGGAATTCGAGTACGTGAAGCAAATGACACCAACTCTTGGATACTCTGGGTAAGTTGGTCCCTGGTAAGCAGTGAGGAGTTCGTGCCTCTGGGGATGGCTGCTAAAAGCCAGGTCGATAGGATTGTTCGTGTTGGCTGATTGACCAAGTTGACGAGGCTGTGCGACCCTTCACCGGTCGATGATTGAGCGAAAAAAGAATAAAAGCTTTCTGCGGTCTGCTGAATTGCCGGTTCCGCAGAGTGTCGGACGATCAGGTTCATGATCCGACCAAGCAGATACAGGACGTGTTCGTTCGCCAACGGACCATGCGTAACATCTGATATTCTTCGGGACAGTGTCACGACCACCCTTTCGAAGTAAGCATCCAATGTGGCATGCTGTTCTGTAACGCTGCGATTCAGAACGTAGAGAATTGTTCCCAAGACTTGGCAAGTGTAGGAAAACGGTGGGTCTGGACTGGAACTGAAAAGAACGTCCAGTTTATTCAGGAGACGTCTCATCAGCGTCCCTAGCAATTCCTTCTCGAGACTGATCTCCGCTAGCCCTTCGAGCACAGCGCTGGCGTCACTTGCGCGTGCCCCTTCTTCCGAGTCAGGTAAGCGTGCCATGAAAGCTGGGAATGTGATGTTGGAGATCAAATTAGGCTTGAATTGAGATATTTCGGCCAATGCCGTCATGGCTTTCCTTTTCAGTTCGTCTCGACCGTAGGACTCTTCTTTGAGGACAATGTCATCGAAGTATTGAACGAAAAGACCGATCTCGTCATCCGCAAGCACCGAGTTCATTTTCGAGACCAACAGCAGCCCATTTGCAGCCGTCAACCGGAATGAAACCTCTTCCTTGACCGTCCCCATCAGGGCTTGACTATATAAGGTCACAAAATTGTCCTTGAATTCTCCGACAAGATTCTGTCGGCCTTGAGGATTTTTAGGGCTTGGAGCTGTCCAAGACCCATAGACTTCAATGGAGGCTTCGAACAACTGGTTGGCAATCTCTAAGACCGCTCGCTGTTGCACCAAGCCCGCGGAAGACTGATAGATACCTAACAGTGCCGGTCCAACGGTCTGGACCACATTTTCAAAGGCTTGGACCGAGGCTGATGACACTGCTTTGAGGATGTCCCCGGATGCCTTTGCCTGCCGTGTCGCCGGCTCCTGCAGATGTTCCAGGCATTCTTTGGTGACAGGCGCCAAGTATTGGTGGAGCGGCGACGTTGTCGTGCTTTGAGAGTTGTTAACAGTGGTAGATAAGCAGGTAGCAATGCCTTTAAGGACTTGCAGTGCTTCTTCGGCGAGTTCTGGTTCCTGGGCTTGAAGTACCTCAAACTTGACAGCATCCCAGAGGGGTATTGAAAATTGGCTGAGCGTCTCAGGGTCATAGTTGGCGGCGCAGGCGGTCAGCGTCTGCAGGCAGTCTTTCTTGACGGTGGTGGAGGTGGAATCGAGACGATCCAGCATGTTGGGGAAAGTGTATGGTGCCAGCACTCCAGTAGAAGCTAGACATTCACGTAGTCTGTCTTTCAGATCCTGGGCTGTGATGCCGTAAGGATCATTGGGAGGAGGACGGAATGTGATGGGGAAATAGGCATATACAGAGTCGAACATGGTTTGTACATGGTCCCTGATGTCCCATTCAACCATGAGAACTCTCAGCATCGAGAAGATTAACATCAGATTTCTAGGGTCTTTTTCGCCCGCCACCAGATCTGTGATACCTAGAAGGGACTCATCCTTCATGTCCCTGACGGCTGCAATAGGTCAGCAGGAAGTCCGGCGCAAAGAACGCACTCAATCCTACCTTTGCGATGGTGGTCCAGGAGTTCATTCAGGAGCTGGAGGATCCGGTATCTGCCGGCCTGGTTACGTGTTTGCAGGTCTGTAAAGTGCTCAAATATCCTAAGGTGCTTGTCAGTCAAGCCCAAGCGCACAGTCTCGCCACCAGACTACCTCGGAGCACTTTCGAAGCAAGTCCCAAGATAGCTGGAGCGCAGTGGTCCGCACTCACGCTCTCACGACCGTTTGAGCCATCTCATTTGTAAATCTTTCGAGGCCCTGCAACTTGGACAGACCTTCGATCGCTCCTCCATCTTCGATGCGATCACAGAAGAACTGGCAAAGCACTTGGATTTGTTGCCTCGACAAGTATTTCGGAGGGAGGGCTGATATGACTGCAACCAGGTAGGAAACGGCTCTGGCACGGATCTTCTCGTCATCGTCATTTATGTACTCGCCCAGCGACTGGACGACCTCAATCAAGGTGGTCTGGCGACTCTCGAGTTCTGAGCTGTCAGTCCACAAACCACTGCGATCAGAGGCATATGCAGACTTACTCTGCGCCGCCGACTTTGCGATTTCCGCCGCTTCCTGCTTGTTATTTTCGACGGCAAGGACATAGTTGCGCGTGTCCGAGAGAGCCATGACACATATTGGACTCTCTCCCAGTGTCGTCCGAAGCTAGACAAGCAGAGCTCAAGACCATGAAAGAGTTGTTCGTCCTGGACTGCGCCGTCGGCCGGATTTCCTCGCTGCGTCAAAAAGTTTCGGCGCAGATTATCAATTCGCCTAAATTTCCCGTTTGGGCAAACCGGTGAATGGTGCAAGGCTGGCAGCTCACAGCCATGACCAACCATCCCTCAAAATGCATTTCGCCACAGTACCTGGTCTTGAGAAGTCCCAATCAAGGACTGAACACACATCCAGAATACTTCGGGAGCAGGGCGACGAAATTTCGTTGCTGAACCAGAGCTGTCACGGCACGAAGGAGAGATCCACAACATCCTCGCAGCCCGAAACGAACTCGTGTCATGGAGGAATGACATCTAGAGTATGGATACCTGCACCAGACAATACGAGACTGCTAGAAGGCTTGATCTTACAAAGAACTGTGGAGTCACTGGCAGCTTGCTACTAGACGGCGGTATCGACGAGCATCATCGTATTATGGTGCAAGTGTCTGGGACAAGCGCCGTGTAGCAGGGGCATCCTCCAATCGAAGTAACCCTATTTGAATGCTTCGTGTCAACTATTATTCCGCCCAATAACGATCCAAGAAGTCGGAACCCACCACTAGTCTCCATGACGGAAGCCAATCGAGTTCAAGTTCCTCGGAATGCCATATGATATCTCCGTCCGTCCAATTCTTGACACTATAGAATATCGACACTGCTCCGAAATGCACAGTACCAGTTCCTTTGGTCGCTATATTGGCGGAAGGATACTGATGCAAGGAGATGCATGTGTGATGCCAGTAAGATGGCCGACGACAAAAGTCTGAGTCGATACGCTGTAAGTCAACGGCGCTCTTCTCCCGGGGCCTCGCTAACCTCGCAGTGCGACTACTGTTGGAAGAAAAAGGCAAGTGGAAGACGATTCCAGTTCCGTTACATTACTCACATCAGGTAGCTCCGTTGTTCCCGAGAGAAACCCAAATGCAGAAACTGCAGCGTTTGGACGAGTGATTGCACATATTCTCGGGATCCATCTGACGACAAGCATGGCCCGACAGTCAAGTAGTGCCGATACTCAAGGCTTTAGCACTGCATCCAGCTGATTGTGTGCAGAGAGATCTCGCTAATCATTCCAACCGCTGAACAAACTGGTCAGCAGGGAGGCCCAAATACCGGGTTTGCTGTCCTTCAGAGTTGTTCAGGTTTCCAAACAATCCAAGATCAGCCGCCAGAGTTCGGCAACGACACTCTCTCCACCATTACGTCCGCCTTTTCCCACACTCGGGATGTGCTTGAATGCAATGGGATACGCCAGAATCTCACCGACATCACGGGTCAAGGTACGGGCATGCTTTCTCACCTCTACAACCAATTCAAAGATTCGACTTATGACTACGACAAGATCAAAGCTGCAGTCAGAATGAAGAGACGAGAGCATGAAGCCTTTTTCATCCCGACCGAACTAGTTGGGGAGATGTTTGTTCAATGTATGTCTCCCTTACTGTCACAAGACTCACAGAATTGGAGCTGATATCTTGAAGGTTTTCTTACAGCGGTCGACCGAGGATATCCGATCATCAGTCGGCCTCCCCAAGAGGTCTTACTTGACTTGGTCTTTCGTCCCTCTTCGGTGGACAACCGAGGGTGGCTACTAATGTTTAACACTGTCCTGGCAACGGCGTCAACACAAAGCCAGCAATTGTCCGAATATACCTTCCACTTGCGCTGGAATGCATGGGTAGCGGCGGATGAGGCCAGCATCTTTATGGAACCAACCATACTCAACATACAAGCATTGACCGTCTTTGCCGTCCACGGACAAGATCTTGTGACTCCCAGTCTTTGCTGGAATTTGGCGAGTCAGGCGTGCCGGATGGCCCAGATGATCAAGCTTCCACTTCCATCGGTATCTGAAACGAGGAACGGCGAGCTATATTCTCGCAATCTCTGCCTCTTCTGGAGCCTCTTCATCATCGACAAGTCATTGTCGCTCTCCTTCGGATGCCCTCCAGTGTTGCCTTCGGCGTTATATGGCAACCTCGAGCTTCCGTCTCCTCAGCAGCTCTCAGCATATAGACCCCATCTGACCACCTCTGGCGCCGTATCGGTACTTCCACCTCACGTGGAGTTCTTTGGAGCATTCTATTTTGTGCAATGCACGAAACTAGCAATGATCATGGGTGATATTTCAGATTTCTACCTTCTCGGCAGGCGTGACTCAAGCTGCCACGCAAGTCTCAGGAAGAGACTCGATCAATGGATATCTGTCGTCCAACAGGTGAGCGAATTCTGCCGAGACTGAATTAGTGGTAACGTCGATCCAAGAGTCAAACTTTGCACACCAACCTTGCAGATGCGGTCGACTCAGCCAGCCTCTCCATCAAGATTGGTTTCAGCTTTCTGAACTACCAATACCATCATCTCATTGTCTGCCTGACAAGAGGCGACGAATCTTGTCGCGAAAAGTGCCTTGGCTCTGCGAGAGCAGCAATATCGCTGCTTAAAGGCTTAGTTGCCCATTCTGAGGAAGTATTCAATGGCATTGTCTGGTATATCTGACGTTCCTTAGCCAGACGTTCTGAACGCTCACCCTGATGCAGGCAGCAGTTATACTACCCTTTCACTCCGTTCTTCGTACTGTTTGGGGAAGTGATCACCAATCCAACCGGGAAGACAACCGTGGAAGACCTGCAGCTCCTCCGGCAAACAGTGTTGTACTTTCTCGAGTTCCAAAAGTACCATACTTCAGCGGTCAAGCTTGAGAAAGTAGCAGAAACCTTTACAAAGATCGCCGAAGCCTATGTCCGCCACATCTTCAGAAAACAAAAGGGCCTGACCAGCAGCGAACTCTTTCGCACGACCAAGCCGGTGGTGTTCCGGGCCCAGCCTGGAAGTGGTCCCTCAAATACCTTCACTTCCTCGATAACCGCAACCTCGTCCTCGCAACAAGATGTGAACCCGGCCAGTTCTAACGTTGGGACAGCTGACCACATGGACTACCAGCTTCGGTTGGACGAGACCAGCAACTTAGACCCCACCTCGCTCCTGCGACTCTTTTCCTATCAAGGCAATGAAGCGAGCATCTTCCGAGATATCCATGTCACAGATATCCCAGCAGACAGCATGCAAGGGCTACAGGAGCGAGAAGGGGTTAATAGCAATAACCGAGCTCTTGACCACTGGCAAATTCCCGAGCCAAGCCAATACGTGTCACTCCACGACGTCGAAATGAACGGGAGAAACCAATTCTCGCAATGTACCTTCGACTGGTTTGCGCTTGAGAACTATGCCATGTAGAGAACCAGGGGGGTGACCCGGAGCATGGGGGCCTCTGCAGGCTTTTACTAATTCGCAATGCCCAAGGATTTGAGGTGGCGGTTTACGGCCTTATGGTCAACAGAGCCGTTGCATGGATGAAGTTCGTTTCGCACTAAACTGGCGTCACCATTTGATAATGATGAGGGCCAGCATAGCCGTTCCAGAGCACACCAAGATATGTTTCCTTTCCCGCAGTTAAGTCTGGCCGTAGGCGTCATGACTTAAAACAATCAAGGGTATCTGCGGAGAATAGGCGTCCATAGTCTACAACATCCTGAAGGTATCCCGACGAGGTCAACAACAAGTCTGCACAGCCACAGGCGGCTGGCTGAGTGGGGGCGAAGTGCGGGCTGACACCCACGACCTTCTTCTCCTCTGTTGTTCGCAAAACCTTCTTCTCGATACTTCAAAACCCAGTAACTGTCTATCGAGATGGCTCTGCTACTTGGGAAGTCGAAAGGTCGTCGCACTTTAAATAACCCCAAGTCAGAACCACCCGCAGCGCTCAGTGCCTACTATGAGCAGTACAAGACCCAGAACATTCAGACGGTGTACAAGGACTACTACCCTTCAGCGGAATCCAGCAAAGAAGAGACAAACCTTCTGGCGGAAAAGCGTCTGGAGGTTTCTAAGGCAGCCGAGCGTCTTAACACAGACAAAAAGTCCTTCACCGCAGCCAACCGTCAGGCGTCACAGGAACGGGAGGATGAAGGTGTCAGATGCTACGACTGGGCGTACGCGAGGCAAGAAAGCTCCCATAGCTTGGACATATAAACGTGATATGACGGTGGCGGATCTCTTTCTATCCCCGTTTTGCCATCACGGATTGTCCTATCGCTAGGGACGTGCTAAATTCCCGATCAAATCTGCATCGATTTGCCCCTGTTCCAAAGAGCAACGAGCCACTATCTTCTGAAGACATTCGAGCCCAGGCATTTTCAAACGAATACCATTATGGAAGCACCCCACCTGCGATTATGGAGGACTTTCACCGGGGTATGAGATTGCCTGGGGAGTCCTCCATAGCCGAAACTGGCCATCAAACAGGCGAAAAGCAGAAAACGCAACAAAAGATGGAATGTTGATAGGGTCCATCTCTGGTGATCGATACTGCTAGGTCTTGTATCTGTTCACGGTTTCGATTGAACGCACCTGGCGTTTTGGAGCTGAAAACACGCAAGCAAACCAGTGTGACAACCACGAGCAAACGACTCGAGCAGCTTTCTGCCTCATCCCAGTTGCTCTTTTCTACTTTCTCTTCAACCGCAACACACCAAAGAAACGACTTTCTACACAGCCTAATACTACCACTCACAGAAGATTATACACAAAGAGGCCAGGATGTCTTCAAGAGAGGAATACGACTACACCCAACACACCACCCCGAATACCCGGGAGAAGTACTCTTTCCTCTACCCTACGTCAGGTGCCTCCTCCCAGGACGTCGAGTTCTTAGATCGGCACCGCGAGAATGTCTCCATTCCTCCAGATAACTATTCCAGGCACATGGCAGAGAAGCAAGCTGCAAGCAAAGACAACGATCGAGCTGCGAGGGATCGTGAAGCGGCTGGCTCAGAGGGCAGGGACTGGGGATATGGTAGTTCGGACTCCAGGCATTGGGACTCGAAGCGCAATCACTAGATGGATATTGTTTAGGTTCGTGCTGCAAGCCTCCCGTAACCTGCCATGTGCTTCTCAGATGTTTGTACCCGGCGAGATCTATTCAATCATGTGGGGGTGAGCTTTGGAGCAGCGCCTGATGAGCTTCAAGCTTGGACTTGTCTCTTAAGCTTCGAGTTTTGGTCCATTTAAACCAGGATTTCTTTGGCTTGCATGACTATGTTACAGGCACATCACAGTTGACGTTTTTTGGCCATACGCAAGACTGCAGCAGGACTCCCCGTCGGAAAGGCTTCTCCAGAGGGGAATATGCTGCAGCATCGTCGGAGAATTCGATGGGTCACCCTGCATCACCATCAACTTCGGATATGAACTTACATGAACTATGCTTTGGCTCATGACAACTCAGTCAGTGATGCTCTTCCCTTCCTGAAATGATGCGATACCGGGCGTTACACTTTCACAACAGTGATATCAAGCACAATGCGTCGTGACCCCCTTTTGGCGAGCGCTGCGGGTTCCCGTGCCGGTACCAATTCACAGAGGCTTTTCAACAAGAAGCACAAACGGACCAAATGGGTGACATCGGGGAGAATACCCTTTAAATAACCCTTCTTTGGCGTTCTCATCTCGACCTATCTCCCATACCACACAGACAGCCCCGGTACGACTTCCACAGACATAAATCCATTCTCCATCCGAACACGAGAGACCAAGCACTAAGCGTAAACAGACACCAGACAACCAACAAACACTCTCGACCAAGAATACCATGCCTTCCGACAACTACGAGTTGAAGTTCTACTCCCTGGGGGCGCCGATTCACAATCACCCGAACTCGACGTACTCCTACCCAGACCGCACCCGCTTCAACGCCGACACGGGCACCTACGTGGCCCACCCGGCGTACTCGAACGATCTGGCCGCGCGCGATCGCGAGTCCTGGGGCTACTCCACGGGCCGCGACTTTGCGTACTCCAGCAGCGACTCGAGGCACTGGGATTCGAAGAACCATGGGAAATGAGGAAGTGACACCACCCGGTGGTCGGGCACTATGAATGCTTCAGCCCACACAAGTCCAGCCCAGCACAGCAAGTGCACCGTTGTGGATGCCGGATGGTGGAATTGTCTGTGCCTGAAGCCCAGCGGTGGTGGGGACCATAGATTTGTGCGAGTATAACCCCTGCCTTGCCAGGCAATGAAAGCATATGACTGCGTGCAGATTCAGCACCAGGGGCAATCAAGCGACCTAGATAGGCATCACTAATAACCATCTTTTCCTCACACATGCACTGCTTTGGTCTGAGAGTAGTAAACAATGAGACGAACGTAAATTCCTGGAGCTTACTTTTGCAATGGTCTTAGTGGTTTCTTCCTCTTACAATACTTTTCGGTGCAGTATTGACCTCATCTTCAGTGTCGCGAGTACCTGGCTAACCCCACGTATGGATGCACAGCATGTAGGTAGTCGAGAAAGGTAAACAAATTAGTTATTCTGTCATAGCGCTACAGAGCGCATTTCACATCAGGACTGTATCTGCGTATGACTTGATGATGAGCCAGTTGAAATGGCGTGGGGTCCAGATTCATCCGATGGCCGAAAACGGGTCTATCGAAATACCCAAAAGGGGTTAACATTAATCGTCTATGAGGCCGCCCAATCTTCCACCACACACTATTCGCTCCATGCAGTCCAAACTTCTCCGACATGACCACCCTGGTTCGAATGCTATGGTGTCGTTCAACAAGCGACCGCTCCCACCTGCATCACTTGCTCACGTGGTCAGTCCGCAACCATTTCTGCTCTCAGCTGTAAGACTAGTCGGAAAGAAGCTGGCCAGATCGATGCGGAGCCGTTTACCGAGAAGTAAAGATTGTTCATTGAGCAAGCGTGCTTGCCTAAGCAACGTGAAATATTGAGGCACATAGAACTATTTCCACGACCACCAAGGCTCAGGACTGCTAATTTGTTCTCAAAACCAAGAATGCCAACTCTCAGCAGGCGTGGACACGAAGTTGACAAACAGACGGACAGGCCAATTCTGGGCAAATTATAACTATTATATCGCGTTTCTTCATGACCAAATTATCACTCCCATCCTCAGTACCACCTCAGCGATGCAACAATGACAACCCTCCCATCCACAGAGGGTTTACCGGGATTTCGACATGGCCAATAAGGCCGACGGATTAGGCATCCAGCATTATACAGCCACCCGACCGTCCATTTTCCAAGCTGAAAGATTTGTCCCTCCTTCGTCTCAATAATATCAAGACATGTAGCTCTCCAAATACACCCCTAAGCAATTTTGTCTGGGTAGACACCGAGTCCCCTTGTTTGAGCCGCTTTCCATCGCAGAAATGTTGCTTCAGCCCCAGGCACCCGCGACTCCCGAGTTGGTTATGCAGACTTGTCCGTGGAGGCCGACACGCGTTCGTTGGTCCTTGAACGCCGTGTCAGCTCGTCGGACTGGCGCTGCAGTTCCTGAGACAGTTCCCTGGCAAGCTCGATATCCTCTTCCAGCGTCTTGCGTTGGCGAAGGGGGACGTTGTCGTCGTCATCCTCGGCGTCAAGAGTATCCTCGTCCCGCGAATCACGCCCGAGCGCCCGTTCCAGACTGTGGTGGATACGGACTACAGAGTCATCTCGATTCTCGCTCGAGGGCGGAGTTGATTCTTCTTCGTCTTCGGCCACATCGTCGCCGAATGGGTCGGCAGGAGTTGATGAATGTCGTTGGTTGGGTGGGCGGGAGGCGTGCCCTTCTGGACTTTTGCCTTTGAATACTGACAGAAGTTTCCCCCACATTCTGACTTATAGTCGATTCAAAGATGCGCTGATACAATTCTTTTCCTTGACAGTGTGATGAAGTGTAGGAGTCGACCTCGAGAGCCATGTTGCCTTATACGCAAATTAGTGAATGTAGGACGCATCGCTCGAGGGTTACTCGTGAGCTACTGATCATGAGACGCCGAGTTGTATATTTCCTATGCTCTCATAACGCGAAGGAACCTATGACCAGACTCAGGAAAGAGGTATGTCGCATCACGCCACTTGTCAGATGGTAGAGCACGTGCAGCAGGAGGCTAACGACGGCAGAGCGGCAGAGGGGCCATGGAAGAACTGATTAATCTACATTTCTTTTGCTATAGTCTAAATGATCTGCCTGATCATGCCAAGGTTGGGGACAAGCGATACCTGGGGACCGGAAGTACGGATGCACTAAGATCCTTCTGACAGTGTCGGGCGCTTTGCATACCACGGGTGATGTGGTTCGCAAATTCAGCGCGGATGTAGCGGCTCTTGGCTTTCTCTAGCACCATGTATATATCACAGTATAGTCAGACACCGATAGCTTAGAAATAGCTTGCTAGGGGATTTCCCCAGATTTGTGATCCCGCTGTAGCTGATTGCCGTTTCGGGATCTATACCACTTTCCACCAGGACCCGCACATAATCAACTTCTCTTTGACGCCGAGCCATTTCACAATCTGTGGTTGACGACTTACATTTAACGATTTCAATATTCGTCGGCGGGCAGTACGTGGCGCCTCCCGTAAAGCCCTCAACCCCATCTGAGCAGGTATCGATCACACGTTTCGAATGCTGGTCATTGCAGCCAGAATAGCGGTGGCCACTTCATACTTCCATAAGTTGATGAAGTGTGTCTCGTGGTTTCCGCGCCTAGGGAGCTCGATGTGGAACAGTTGAGTCTCGATGGGGTTCTAATTTTGTTTCGGACTGGGAAAGTGTAGGAGACTGACCAAGTCGTCTCCGTCCGCCCACTGACTTTTTGTATCGATGTGAATCGGAGACTTAACGCCTTCTGACGCGCCCTCTCATGGATTCCGAACACAGTCCCCTGCGGACGCATGCGCCACACTGAGCCTTCAGGAGCAGCACGGGTCGTCAGCAGGCGTTAAGTCGAGAGGTGATCATGGGTAAAGGTCCGTAAGCAGCGATAGAACAGTGATGCGTGGTCATGCGCTCGACGGTTCATCCGATGCTTCCTCTGGTGGCCCCGAGGCTCGTGGATCAGGGGCTCAACCATAAGACGTCAGACAAGCTGAGTGTACCCCCAAGACGAGGGTCAAGGTCAATCTATCGTGTTCATCCCGTCTAAGATTCCAAGCAGGCAAAAGCGTCTATAGCTCGTCTTTTACTGATACACGTGGCTCTGGCCTTCCACTGTCCTTCAACAAATCCACGCCTTTCTTCCTCCTCCACTTCTCCCAGACGGCCCAGAACTCCTTTTCCATCACCTTGTCCATCTGATCTGGCAGCACGACCACGTACTGCACGTACAGATTTCCAAACTCGGGGCCATCATGGTCATGCTCGTGAACGTGTCCTTCGTGATAAATGGGCATCCCTTCGCCCTTGATTGTGTCAGTCTGCCCGGGTTGAATGACTTGACCGCGCTTGCGGGACAACGGGACAATGTGCCCGTCCAGGTGCGTGATGTTGCGAGTCCATTCGCCCATCCACGCCTCTCGAAGTGAAAGGACCTCTTTCCAGTACAGATCGTTGTCCTTCCGACGAAAGAAGGCGCCGTCGGTTCGCGATGCTTCGTTTTCGTTGATGGCTGGCTCTGTCTCCATGAGGTATGCGTAGAGGTTTCCGGCGACGTGGTCAGGATGTTCATCCGCTTCACTTTCGAAGACGAGTCGGTGGCCCTTGGGCATTCCCTTCTCAATCACCGCAGTCAAGGTCGTCGGGCCTCGCACGACCCTGTTTCCTCCACATGCTTTGCATTTGTGTTTGATGCTCTTTCCCTGTCCCCCACACTGGTCGCAAGTCATCTGGACTTGTTGGAATATCCCCGGTGCGAGCATGTGTTTCTGGAGGATAATCCCCCGACCACTGCACTTGTGACATGTTTCGACTTGTCCGTCTGCTGAACCTGATCCTTCACATTCATCACAGATTTGTTGCTTTTCAATGGTAAACTCCGTTTCTCCGCCGTTGTAAAAGTCTCGCAGTGGAATGTGAAGTCGGACTTCCAGATCGGGACCTCTTCGTACTCCGCTGCCAGCTCCACGACCAAAATGGCCTCCGCCGCCGAAGAATCTGGAGAAAAGATCGAAAGCGTCATGAGGGTGGCCGCCTCCACCACCTCCTCGGTTGTGGTTCTCTAGCCCTTCATGGCCATATTGATCATATATTTTGCGTGTCGTAGGGTCCGACAGGGCTTCGTATGCTTCGGTAACTTCCAGGAACTTCTTCTCGTCTCCAGTAGCCTTGTCTGGATGGTACTTTTTGGATAGTTTCCGATAAGCCGTCTTGAGATCACGGTCTGAGCAAGATTTGTCCAGCCCAAGGATTTTGTAGAAGTCTTCGGCCGCAAGCGAACATGTGATGAGAGCGAACAAAGGGAGGAGATGGGAGATGAGGCGGAGGAAGAGCATGTTGGGCGGTGCTCGCCCTCACAAGGGCAGAAGACTGGTTCTATCAGGCGTTGGATGCGCGATAGGACAATCTCACAACGACGGCGCCATAGTGTTAACGGTCTTGACGGAATTCGAGGAACAACCCAAGACTAGGTTTGCGCTTTGGCACCGTGGCTGGAATGAAGTGTAGTGAAGGGCGATCCCTTTGCACATGCGGCCACCATGTCCATCTCGCGAACAGCGTGTTTGGCCGCATTGTCCGCCGGAGCACAAACTGCGTGATGCAGTGCCTTGGTCCGCCGGAAAGATGTTTGCTCCGAGACAAGAAGTCTTCTCACCCTCACACTCAGTTGAAAAGGTTACATGTCCCAGATCATCCTCGGAAAAGAGGACATATGTTGTCACCTGGCGAGATGCTCCCTTACTCTGGGCAGATGTCCAGAGATATGTGACTTTCTGTCTCTCATGACTGTGAAACTGGTCAAATTCATCTTCTGTAATCGATGTACCAGATTGTTTCCGAACCCAACAAAGAGGTCCACCATGGAACAGTACGAGGTAAGTCTATCAGAGTCCAAGAATGTCGTCGCGGATGGGATGTTACAGCATGTTGCGTCGACCTCGTGGGATAGCTCATGCCCGCCACATTTTGAACCGACCTAGCCTTCGGCAATCTACCTAGGTAAGTATCCTGCTTCCAGAACAAGAGGCTCTGGAAACTGCCGATCGAAACATGCATGTTCCCAGGTCATGGAGACCGCAGCCGCCTTGTCCTTCTTGTTGCTTGATAGGCAGTGGCTTTCCTTTGATACTGCAAAGGCAACAAGTAAATTGACCCAGAGAAGGTGTTTCCAAGCTGTCCCGGCCAACCAAAGACTTCTGCTGCACCCTCTCACTGCCAACACCCTTCCCTTGTTGATCTGTCTCACCGACTGATCAACCGAGAGGAGAAATATGACTGCTGCCAGGCTCTTGGTTGAGGCACTCGTCATATTGTGTTGCCCCAGGAGATGGCTGTCCCGCCACGAGTGTTTTCGCTGAGAACAAGGCGGTGTGGCCTCTTCTCGGTATTTGTATATTCCATTCCTTCGGCGAATCTGGTTGAACTTGCAATAACACGGTGTGCTGCTCCGTGGTCATTTCCTACCAGTTGAACGGGTGCACAAGCAGCTGTCAATGTATAAAAGACCCTCTCTCCGCTTCGACTTCCAAGGAAATCTCTGCGCTACCCTGCTTGCCCCTGTGCGGCTCCGAAGCCGCGAAACTCTTCATATAGCAGCACCTCGAAGGATTCTATCCATCTTCGTCAACTTACAGCAAAGGTCATTCAGCATCACTACCGCTATTACTATCGAAATGCGAACATACGAAACCTGCACTCTCTGGGGGCTGGGTCTTCTGTTGAGCAGCAAACTCGTCGTGACTGCGCTCCCAACCTTCGATTACATGTGGACCCACGTCAGGAGCGAACACTTCTACAGCAGCAGCAGCAGTGGCGTTCACGCCTCAGACAAGGAGGACTGCTTTTGGCCGGGGTATGCCTCGTTCCCAAATATGATTCTCTCCAAGTGACGCGTGCAAATTTGTCCAGCAGATTCATCCGCGCAGGAGTGGAATTCGACGAGGAGGGCGAACCGGCGGCGAAGCCCCCCGCGGCTGTGTATCCACATGACACAACATTGGCTGCGACCGCTACCGACGACGACACCGCTACTTCGTGCACACCCAGCACCCAGACCGCCCTCACCGCGGCCGCGGACCTGAGGTTCCAACGCCGCGACGAAGACGCCGGGGTCATTCCCACCGCCGTCCGGTCCCAGGAGACGGCGAGTGCGCCGGCCAACCCCACGCCCTACCCATGCAATGGGGCGGTCCAGCCCTGCGACCCTGGCTACAGAGTCTTGCTCTTCAACGGCATGTGCATCTGCTACTATCTCGGCAGTCGAGGGGACGCGAGGTGAGAGGTGGCAGTGTGTGTCCCAAAAGTCTGGGTGGGCTCTCACGCGGAGAATGGACATTACGGTTCCATTTTGGCGAGGTACATTCACCCTTGTGCGTGTGTTACCCCGGGGGTCTCGAATGAGTTTCTTTGGGGAGGGAGAGAAAGATTTGTGGCTAACTCCCTCCATCTCTCCGTTACCTGCAGCAGCACACGCGGCCATCATGCCGACGACAACAACACCAACAACAACGTACACTGCGATCCCTCGGGTTTAGCCGCCCATTTCCACCCCTGTGCTCCGGTTTTATTGTGGGAGCATCCATTTATCCATCATGGCGCTGGTTGAATTGCTTTGCTTAGCGTTGGCAGAGGCAGGAGGGACAGACTGAACTGCGAGTTTAGTGGTATCAGGTGCGCGGAAACAATCAGGACACACACATACCACGTTCACTATGATTACAAACAGGAAGAGCACTATAGTTTGGGGGAACACGGATGGCGGTAGCCCATGGGATCCCCCATCACGTCCTTTTTCTTACGGGTATATTGACACAGCGATCTATCTATGTATCTTGCTTTCGATGAGATAACGTTCTGGTGAAGAATAGAATGCCATTTTCCTCCAAGATGTGCCCTTGTCCACTACTTATTAACTTCGACTTCTAGTGATTCCACCGTCTACTCCGAAGATTTGAAAGGCTAATCAAGCTCGCACATGTCTGTCATCGTCCCCAACTCGGCCTATACTGTGTCAATGACACTCGCTGACGTCGTCGGAGAATTCCTCAGAGAACGTTCCTTGGAAATACTTTGTATTGTACAGAGAGGGCGTCTGCCCCTAAGCCTTGGATTTACAACTATTTATCTGCCCGACCGAGAGAAATCATTCAACGCTCGTAATGGAGATGACAGGAGATTCTCATGCACATCCACCCCGGATAATTCACATCTGGGAAGAGATTCCGATGCTCTTACACCGGCGAGGAAACCAGATGATCCTTCTTAGAGCAAATATATTTCGTTCTTCAAAGAGCTTCGTTCACACCCTTGCTCGTCTCCGCCACCAGCTGATGTACACGCTCTTGTTGGTATTGGTTGAACGCCCAGATCCCAGTCTGCGTGTTCAACGACCCGAGCAACTCGTCCAGCGTCAACAGACCGGCTCTCCTGACCGCCCTTCGTAGATACGCGACGACGAGAGACACCTTCTCCCAATCCACCTGTTCATCCGCACGAAATAAATTTCTCCATATCGCGCTAGCGAGAACCGCGTCTCCCTTAACGAGTCCCTCATCGTACGATGCCAGTATCCCTCGATATTGCAAAAAGAGGTCCTTGAGGTAGCGACTCCGGATTCCCTGGGCGGCGAGGTTGTGCAACAGAATCATCTTGTCTTCCGCTGTCCGCGAGAAATGCTCGATCAGGTAGCGATGAAAGTCCTGAAACTCGGCCTCGGATTCTAGGGATGCGCGCAGATGTGTGACGATCACATACATGTGTAGAAACGTAACTTGTGACCACGTCGAGAATGTAGGCTGCAAATCAATCGTGCTGAACCACCATGAATCCTTGTTTTCGGCCAGAGGTTGTCCCAGTTCAGCTCCCTCTTGTGCCGTGGCTTTCGGAGGACCCTTTCCCGTGAGAATGTTCATTCGTTGGTCCTGTGGGATGGTGTAGTCGGCGGGTGCCGCGCAGAATTTGAATATCGCTTCTGTTTGGCCATAGATGGTGTAGGTTCTTGTCGCGGCCGGGATGTTTCTCTTAAGTGATTCGGCAAGACGGGTCGGAAGGCTGAACTTGCTCGGGGGATTGCTGAGATGCGATTGGATTTGGTGCTGCATCTGTGACACGCTTACACCGGCGCCGGGGGAGGTGGGTTGTGCAGAAGATTTGTCTTCTCGTTCTGGTGGTGGTTCCGACTTGGATTTGGATTGGGGTTCGGTGCTGGGAAACGAGGCTGTCACATTCGACGTGACGGTGGGAGCTGTGGTGGGTGGAAGCAATTGGTCCATTGGAGCCTGGCTTCCGCTTCGAGGAGCTTCTTGTTGTTGCCATCTCGAAGAAGCAGCCGACAGATATCGTCGCCCCGAGACGGACGAGCTCTGAATTCGTAACGTCTGTGCAGAAGACTTAGTCAATGAGTCGTTGAAGATGCAAGGGCTTGACGAGGGAGTGCAACGGACATTTGATTCGATTCTGATGCTCTGCCTCAACGCTCTTAGGCATTGAGAGCATATACCGAAGGTACTCATTGTGCAAGGCTATGATGAGAAGAAAATGGTGAAGATAATGGGTAGGAGCATCATGTCCAGGTCTAGAATTTCTCCGCTTCGCGACCACGGAGCAGTGAACAGAGAGCGCGTCATAGAGCAAAAAGATGGGACATTGTCTGACGGTTGGCCAAGCGTACAGAATTCTGGAAAATGCACTAAAGCTATTTGTCAGACGACTGCCCATTTTCCATGAGGTCTGATTGGTTACATAGACTAGCTTAGTCAACTGTCTTGGTATTTTTGACGCATTTGCCATCCTTTAACATCTCAGCCCCAAGAACCGAATATCTCATCTTACATCCATGTTTTCGCCCCTTTCTTGTCCTCCAGGAATCGGTTGCTCTAAAAATGGACATGCTGACATAGTCGTACCCCTTCCCTTCTAGCTTTTAAGCTGAAGCTTTCCACTGCAAGTGCTTACCGAAGCTTGTCACCGAGAAACGCTCTCCATCAATCGCTTACAGACTGACAGCCCCCCGAGCTGAATGAAACCCTTCCACAGCGCCCCCGCCGCCGCCGCATCGTACCTGAGTATTTCCCTATCTGGTTATCGCTTGTTTCCGACGACTCTCAGACCGGTTCTCTTTGTTCAATGCCAGAGAACTGCAGAGAGGTCGAATGACACGGGTACATGTCCTCTGATACTTGAACAAAGAGATGTGCCATGTCACTCATTTGTTGAAGGCCAGTGTGCAATGAAAGCCTGCGGGCTTACCGTAGGACAGACAATTCATTATCGGTCCATGTGGCTGAGGATGATCCTTGACCGGGGGCAATGCCGCCCGTTTTTGGTAGTGCTTACTGCCCAGCAGATTGCCTCACGAACAGCCTCCGCCCGCTGGCGACAGTGGCCGTATAACACATGGCGGTCCCCTTCCAAACCCTCGATTTCTTACACTCTGCGCTCCATCTTCAATTCTTTCGTGCGGATTTCAAGCAATTAATTCTTTCCTTTCCTGCACAGTTGCAGCCATGTCGTCCCTTTTCCTTCCCGTCGCTCTTTCTTTCCTCGCCAATTCTGTTGTTGCGGCGCCTGCTCCAGTGGTGACTGGCACCAATTTACCTCCTAATATCGCCCAACAGGCAGGTGGTGGTCTGCCGAATCAACCTGTCCAGCCCAAAGTCTCCGCGTCTGGATTGAGCAATTTCCAACTGGCTAACTTCCTGGAGAACCTGGAGTCAGCTTTCTTTCAAGAGGGACTGATGAACTTTACGCAGTGGGGAACTGGAGGACAGACGAACGGCGTGAGCAATATGGTCGTCGTCTCTCACATTGCTGCTCAAGAGGAGGTGCACGTTGCTTCTATCGTGGGATTGCTGAAAGCAAATGGCGCCCAGGATGTCGCGCCCTGCCAATACGTCTTCCCTACCACGGACGAGACTAGCTTCATGGCACTGGGCAACATCATCACCACTGTCGGTATTGGCGCTTTGATTGCCCTTGCAGATGGACTTTCCGAATCAGACCCCGACCTGGAAGCTACAGTCGCCTCGATTCTTCCTGTGGAATCTCGGCACGACGCCTTTTTCCGTCTCTTTGCGAATGAGATCCCGAATCCCACCACCTTTGAGACGAAAATTAGTGCACCATGGGCCTACAACTTAGCTCTTGACTTCATTGTTGGAAACTCATGCCCTAACCTGCCTGCATCTCTCGCTGCTCTACCAGTCTTCCCTGACTTGGGGATTGTCGGCTATGGTGGCCCATCATTTGCGAACCCGAATGCTCCAGGGAAATTGATCTTCAAAGTCGGCCAACCCGATTTGCTCCCTCAGGGCTGGAACTCGGGTCCACTCTACATGGCGTGGGTCAACCAGAACAACGTTCCTGCATACACTGCGGTGACCCAGCAGGGCGATGAATTACATGCCGACGTGCAACCGGGAATGTTTGGCATTGCCTTCGCGGCGCTGACGAACCAAAACACGGCAACCAATGTCGATGACTTGACCAAGGCAACACTGGCGGGACCATTGCCAATCCCCCTTACTTAAGATTCGGTGTGAAAAAGCGGGGGCTATCGCGGATTCAATGAGCTTCATGAGAGTGGCAGTGGCGCCGAGGAGTTTGCGAGGATAAGAGGATGCTGGTTCATTACAATATCGTGCAGGAAGGGGAGATAAGCTTTGTATGCATTAGCCACAGAGTGGAAATCCATTTACAACCTTTGCCTACGCTCAAATCTTGGTCCGTGTCTTGTATTTCCTTTCTGATCTGCCGTGCTCTAACCTTCTAACTCTGATAATCGCTGTATCTCATGCAATGGCTGACGAGGCAACACTCACCACAGTCTCGTCACGGACACAAACTGTTTTATGTTCTGGCAACTAGCTCTCCGCCTTGACCAAAAGCAACTTAGGTAAAGTGACTTAAGTATACTCCTGCAGGCTGAATAAACCAACAGGAATGGTCTGTGAGAAGCTTGACGATAGTTGCAGGGGCCGGTTGTTCGCAATCACCTTCCTTTGCGAAACAATTGCAGTGTCTGCATATGGTGTCATTCTTGATCTTAGTTTCTTCGCTGAGGCGTGTTAGATGCACAAATTGACTGCAGAGTTTCGATAGATGTCCTTCACCCGTGGCCTCGTATTCGCCTTGCCAGCTCCGTTTCCGGCAGCCAAGATGGCCAGTTCTATCATCGACTTGCGACATTTCCACTTGATCTAATTGATCTTCCGAGCAACCATATCACGACTCTTATCTGCTCATCGTCGTCTTGACAAACTTGCTCATTCAGTGATAGCACACCGTTCAACACATCTCTCTGAAGAATTCAAATAGTGTCTCCCTCTCCGAAGATGCCGCAACGGGTTCTTGTCGTTGACATGTGCTGCTAACCACACCCCGGTCCCGTCGGATCACACTCGTTATCGCCATTGCACGCATGTGGAGGCATGCGATGCCTGCCAATCTCTGTTGATGACATTTGACTATGCCACCGCTCGTCTTCATCGACGTCCGAGACACGTCCGGGCTCAATCCAAACATAATCAGACGCCATGTCGCCGTGGGGATCCACCAGAAAAAGCGAATGACCGACGTATTCCGCCATCAAAATCATTCAGCTGCCCGAGAGCCACTGGTCTTACGGCCACAAAAGCAACAGCAAGCTGAAGAAGTGGAGGTTGTAGAGCCTCTATTGCCAAAGCAACAAGCTGGCGCTGTCACTCGCACCTACCCGCCACAAGCACGACGCAGAACGCACGCGCGGGATCCTAAGACCGCGTTGATGTTCCGGTGGAGAGCCGGAGGACCGACAGCCCTGAAGCCTCCGAGTGATGACATGAAGATCGAGTACGTTCTGAGCGAGTCCTTCAATTGGATGATGGGCCAATATACCTCGTCGTGGTCTTCGCTTGTCCAACGTGATCCGACAGTTTTTGATCTCAATGGCGAAGTAGAAATCTTCAGAGAGGCTTTTTACATTGTGACGGACCTCTTGGATCTCCAAAAGACAGACGCTGCATTTGCAGTTCTCAGGCACACCTTGGACGCCATCCCGTCCATATTTCGGAACCCCCATCCAGAATTGTTGTTTACACTTGTTGAGCTTGCCTATGGAATCAACATGGTCCATGCCTCTGATCTCCATACCAAGATCAGGCCACATGTGGCTGACCTCGCATCCACAATTTTGGGCACTAAACACCCTCTCACCATTTTACTGAAGTCGGAATTCAATACCTCTTTGAAGACTCATGTCACTGAGCTTGTGTTCAATTGCATCATCGATGCCTTGTCCAAAACCTTTGGACGTGATGCATATCAGACATTGGTCCAACAGATGGGCCGCTCCCAATTTTATTCGCGCACTGGTCGTGGCGAAGAAGGCCAAAAGCTGATTGCTGACATTCAAAATCGATGGATGCAGCAATACGGGGCAAACTCGGCGCTTGCAAGACTCGCGGAGCTCGAGTTATGCCTTATGCGAGTGGAGGAATCCCGATTACGAGAACAAAAATCTCACCTAGATCCAGCACTGGAGGCTCAGGCAAACAACGCCATGCTGAGGATCGAAGTCATGGCTGGGATCTACTCTAACAAGTTTACGGACAGCCCTTCGCACCATCACACCGTGCAGAGTCAGTCCCCCGGGACAATGGCGCTTGCGCAATGGTTCCTTCAAAACAAGCGTTACTCCTTTGCATTGCACTGTTACGAACGTGCAAAGCAACCTTTGGCGGATTGTCATCACACTTCAAACAGACCTCTTGCAGACCTCATCGCCGTCACGACAGAAAGTGCTCTGCGTGAAATGTTTTGGCAACCTAGTCCATTGTTGATACTTCCCTCCCAAGCTTCTGTGCAAGAAAACGTGATGGCATTATCATAGGCGCAGCACTGTGAGATGTTCTTGGCGAAGGCAACTCGCTAGCTCTCTAGCACACTGCTACAGCGATCACGGCAATGGCGACGGCATGCAAGTGTTATGTGCCTTACGACAGTAGCGATGGCGGGTTCCGGGTTACGGTGACCATTGATATGTCTGAGACCCTCGAGCACAACTCGTTCTATGTCGGAATACCTTTTTGTGGTATCATTGACCCTGTCCTTTACCACCCTGCTTCAGCATATGGGCCCATATTAAAATTAATCGGCTGCCGTTCCGTTGAGATTTATCATGTGTACAGCCAAACATGATAGAAGAAGGAAAGTCGTACCGTTGGACTCATGATGTGTCAATCTCACATATGGATAGCTGCATGGGCCGTGCCCTCGCAGCAGCAGAAGCCTTCGTGGGAGGTGACACGAAGCTAGGAGGATAGCTTCGGCCAAGTTCATTTAAACCAGCGATTTCAGCGATATGCATAGCTGCATGATGTGTGGTTACTAGGTGGTATCCCGTGCAGCCAAGCATCCTTCACGTTCATGTCTCAGCAACTCTGAGGGATGCCAGCATTTGAGGCAAGCCAAGTGCTGAAGGCCCCAAAATCCGCTTTTATTAGACCACTTTGTTCCTCTCTGTCACGAGGTCGTCCTACATCAACCCGAGGGGAAAGTGCACGACATCTTGCTGCTGTCAGGAACCGGTACAAGCTATCCGCGACCCCATGCAATTCGCCGATATCAAAAAACAACTACCTCCACAAGCGATGCGGTCAACATCCGAGTCTGCTCGTTCTATGCTCATTTCAATGTCACCGAGTGGCAATACTGGCAGTAGTTCCAGCCGCAATAGTGCCAATTTCGACTTTCAAATGAGTCCTTGAAGGGATCCCCATTGATATAACCAGAAGGACCTGGCGGTATGGTGCAGCCGATCCGCTACCGCTTTGCCGCTCGAAATGTGAGTCTCGTTGTCGTCTTTGAGTCTGAGCAGGAAGCACGTCGCCATCGTGAATATGACAGAAAAGAAGAGTGGGCTTTTTGGAATATATCTGCTCCACATGCGGACAAGAGCTTCCACGCGAGATTACGGATGGCTGTCGCCGTGTTTTCGATCACATCATGAGGATCCAGAGGAAGAGGTCCATATGACGGAAAAAACAGTGCAGCGATGAAACTCATGAACCATGTTGAAGAAGCTTTGAAGAACCTGGTCCTGGGAGCGATATAAAGCTGTCTGCTGGGAGCATGTTCCTTTCTTTCTAGAGGCAGCTTGAGGTCCGGATTATTGAAGTTGCTGTACACAATGAGGAGCGTTCTAGTCACTCTTTTTATCAGCCTTGCAGGCTTTGTGCTGATATCTGCAGAGCAGCATCCCGGTTTGTCTCCTTTGACATCTAACTCTATTGTCTGATCGCTAACAGAGAGTCAGTTGTGCACGACCGGCTCGTCCGCCGTTGTAATAATGAAACTCATCCGTGGTTCTATGGGAACGACACCAATGGGTCGCCACCAGGGGGGGTTGGTCACCCTGGGTCATGGATGGTTCCAAGTGCGACTGGCACCAGCGATAGCAGTTCTCGAAGCTTCAGAGTCAGTCCTGACCAGAGCACGACCTCGTTTCTCTCAAACGAGACGGCAATTTCGGCCATCAGCGGTATTCCAACTTCTTCGACGAGCTCGTCGCCCAGTAACGTAACGTCCAGTACTAGCAATATCACACCTACACCAACACCAACCAGCTCTCTGATCACCAACACAACACTGGCCTCCCATGAGAGTACTCTTGCAGCTTCTTCCTCTCAATCGACCACTTCTATAACATATGGAACCACCACGTCGAGCCTTTCCAACGTCTCTTCAACAACAACCACAACGCTTCGGTCCACTACAACGATCTGGTCCCCACCTCCTTTCAATGTCTCGTGTTCCTATTTAACGGGCTCAGGTTGCGGTCCATACAACGCCACGGCCCCGGCATGGGCGACAGGAAGGCCTAGTAATGGCCCATTATGGACCAATGTTTCCTCGCCAGCTTGGGGATACACCCTACCGCTTGAGACGGACACGTCGTCAGAAGGTGGTGGCACTGTGATTACTATCACTATTGAGGCTACACCAGCACCAATTACACCTTCTCCCATAACTCCACCACCAGAGGAGATCACAGTGACGGCTATCGTTCCGGAAAATTATAATCATACCTCATCCTCCACCTCTGGCCAAGGCACAACACTGCTGAGTGGCACAGGCTTCGAAACCTCTGCGATATGGCCAGCTGAGTCTGCACCCATCACCATGACAATTGTGATAGGCAGCAATGTGACAAGCGTAGTATCGGAGAGTCAACCATTGGTTTCAACGACGTCACCTTCCAATTCGTCTATCGTCTCGGCAGTATCAAATCCAGCTGCCACAAGTGGCTCCGGATCACAAGGAGCCTCTCTTACAGCCTCAGAATCATCTACTATTAATGCAACGACAACCAGCACAGGATCGTCTCCTAGCAATTCAACAGTGACAGGGTCATTCAACGCCACTACAGCGTCAGCTCCCGGCGGCAACTCGGGTCTTCCACCAGCAAGCATAACCTCGTCGCCATACTGGACCAATGCCACAAGCGGCACGCCGTGTTCCCTGACGCCTTCGTACCTGTGGCAGGACTGGAACTGGACGGCGCCTTCGGCTCCGACCTCCGCCGGCAATTCCGACACTGCAAACAGTACCTCCACGTCGACCGGGAGCCCAGCAAGAATGTCTCAACCAACCGCGGTCAGCTCTTCTAATGCTACTACCAATCAGCCAACACCTCCTTCCTCGACAGACACGTCGCCCACAGGGGACAACTCCACAATTACTTCTGCTGGTCCTCCCGTGGGCATACTACCTACACCCATCCCTCCAGCAAGCGGCCAGCAGACCAATGGCACGGCAATCCCGACGACAGGCGATTGGTTTGCGCTGAGTACCTTCGGCGACGGCAGTGTGTTGACGACATTCGTGACGCATTTTGGTCCCGCGTTCTCGACCTCGTCGGAGTTTGGCTACAATGCCGCGATCAGCTCTCCGTCACCGGTGGGACATCATATTGTCGTTCCTCCAAAGAAGATGGCCGCCTGGGCGAAGATGGACGACGTGTGATTATCGGGGATTGATGATCAGCGATACAAACAACCACAGGGAGGAGGAGAGCGCATCTACGGGGGTTTCTGTTGCCAGTAAGCTACCATTTGAATTCTGTCGAGTCGAGTCCTGTGGAAGGACAGTGCGAAGAGAGTCGAAGAGAGAAGCATAGTGTAATATCATGACCAGATACTCGTGGCCAAGTTTAATGATCCTCATTGTCAAGAATAGGTTTTGTGGAGGTCTGCTTTCAAATTATGCAGATCACTGTTTGATGGCACTCAGTGTGACCTGCCTCTTTCGGCTTTCGGCCGGTGGTTTCATGTATCTCATCTCGTCGGCTCGGATGCGGTGACTGCACCAGCTTTTGCGGCGTGATATGCTCTTCGTTGAATCCATTGTCTCCGCTAAATGTACTTTATCCATTCATCTTGAGCATTGACGTTGGAATCTGCTGCCTCTTTGAATGTCACTTCCTGACATATGTCTTTTCTGCCCGGACAGAAATGTTTGCGACCTCAGCATTTCGTGATACTGGTCCCCCAATTTGGGTATGTAGACTGGGGCCCTGGGCACGTGATTGTGCTCAGGTGTGTTGTGGGAGGTCGGACTCTTCTTAGAGATTCCACCGTTGGACAGTGAAGTGAGTGTTGTAAGTTTGGTCTCGGCGTTTGGATGAGGTTGTGGACGGCGTGCAGCCAATATCTCCCGATGATTTGTCTGCTGCACTTGAATGAATCCATCCTGGAATGGATGGCCATGGCGTTGTCCAATTCCCTTTTCACTCGGACTCAATCGGAGTGAGCGGTGCACTGCTGATGCCAGATGTCGCTGGGGTCGCACCCTCTTCTTGTACAGGGCGCAGGCTGGACGCAGTTCGCATGCTCTCCAAGGACTTTTGCGCCCACTCTGCAATTGAAGCAGGGCCGCCCACGATTGATACCGATTGCAATTCCGTATCCTTGCCGAGCACGGTGCCTTGGTAGCGAACTTCTTCGCCGGTCTTGCTGTGGCGCTTCTTCAACGCTGCTCAAGGCAAATGACGAGTCAGTTTACATGTCTGTCACTACCACCTGACTTTCGCACTTTCGCAATCAAAACTCGTCTTCCATGATTCCAAACAGATCATCAGAGCTGAGAACTTACCAGAAACATAATCTTCCTGCTCGTCCAACACTGCCGCAATCTCCTCCACGTTCGCATCATCTCCAAAGCCAGCAATCCGTCTGATCTCCTTATTGATTGGTCCATGCGCCCAGTTGACGAAAGCCTCGACTCCTCGTAAATCCTCAAACGGAACCCACACTCCCTCCACAATTTCCACGTCCCCTTTCAAGCTCTCCTCCACGGTGTTCATCTGGGGCACCAGCGCCCCGGCCTGGGCCAGTGCAAGTCTCACATCCTGAACAGTCGGCACGAAGGTGTTGTGTGTGTTGAACGCGTTCTGGGCAGTCGATGACGCCAGTAAGAGAAGGTAGCGAGCTGCGAGATCTGTGACGGTGTCGATCACCACAGGACGCGCAGAGCTGAAGCCAGCGGCGCGAAGAATCTGAAGAACTGCCGGGCGTAACAGTGCGGTGTGAAGGTCGGCTGAAGTCATTGTGACTGCCTTGCCTGATCCGGTGTTTCTGCTCAAAACATAGAACAGGAATTTGAATCGTGGCTCGAGCAGATTCTCACGAGAAAGATAGTCACTCGAGATGGCTAATTCATCACGGGAGAGAACAAATCCTGCACCCGTCGCGGTTCCAGTCCTTCGTGCCTATCCAAAACCAGTGCCAAACCCGCTGGTGACGTTCGTGAGGCGCAAAAAGCTGGAGCACTACAGACTGCCAGAGTCACCATCAGCCTCCTTTGTGCGGCTTAGGCTGAGGCCCGAGTTACTGGGTAGATGGCCAGTCACGCTGAAAGACGCTGTTCAATACGACAACCCGCTTAACAAGAGGGAAGAGTCGACGAATCCAGCGATGCAAGAGAATTCGCTAGATTCAAATAATGGCATGCCACGTTCTGGGGCTGCCACCAATGGGGCTGCACCGCCTACAGCAGTTCCAGGCTCCTTGGGAATTCAGGGTTTCACCAATAACGACACTTTCCAGCAGGCGGCAGCGCCTAGTGAGCCTGTGGTGGCAGTGGTGGCTGAGGCCCCGATTGCCACAACCCCACGACTCCCGGCGCTTGACGAAGCTGATGCACCCAATGAGCCCCCAACCACCGCGAAACCAGCGCCACAGCAAGGCAAGAACACAGTCGCGGCGGCTCCCAAAAATGCCCCAGCCAAACCCCGAAGCCGGCTGCATAGTCCAGCCCACCGGCAACCTCGTCAAGCCAAATCTATCCTCAAACCTGATCCATCTGCTGGTGTCAATAAGAGGCGTCACACATCATCCGCTGCGAAGGGCAGACGGAAGGCTGTCACGGTCAGACTAGAGCCTGACGTCCAGCACTTCTTTGACGGATCCCCTGTTTCTAATTCCCACGAAGAGAATGACCCTTCCTTGCCCTCCTGCGATCCCGGCCCTATAACCGACAACGACGGCGACGACAACGTACTCAAGATGTCGGACGCACCCCTTCCACCCCCCGACAAGGCGAAGCGCCCATCCCTAAAACTCAAGTTCCCCAGCAAACCTACAATCCCTCTCGCTGGAGGAGTACAGCCTGCGCCGTTGCAGACCCCGACGCCTCAGAGTGCAGTCCGGACACCATCCATCAAGCTCAAGCTCTCAGGCACAACCACCCCTCGCACTGGCCCTGACGATGCTGCAAAGCCAAAGAAAAAGAAGAAGGACGCAGATGCCCCGGCCGAAACTCCGGGCTCGTCCTCGAAGAAACGCAAACGCGACCCACGCGCGGGCGAGGAAGACGAAGGCAGTCGGCCAGCCCCAGCACCGCCCAAGCCTGTTACACTCCGAAAGCTCACGTTTAAGAAATCATCCCAGACCCCTGGCTCAGCATCCAAACCCTCAGGGGCAGCACACCTCGCTTTCAAAGTCAAGGGCAAGATCCCGAAACGACCCTTGGGTGTGGGATACGACTCGGAACTCGAGAGCGAATTCCAGAACGACAAGGGCGAGACGCTCGCTGGTCGTGAAGCTGATCCCGTCATACACGAAGGCTTTATCCTTCGAATGCAACCAGGAGAGGATTGTGATTACTTACGAAAAGTGATCGAGGACGGGACAGCGGGCCAGGTACTGGCGAGAGGTGCACACGTCAATCTACGAATGCTCGATACGCTAGGTCGGAGAGGTATTCTGCAGATCAAGGACCACAAGTACGCCACCACACTGGTAGATCTCCCCTGCATCATTGAAGGAATGAAATCCTGGGACAAGAAAGGGTGGATCAAAAGCATAGACATCTGCCAGATGCTTATGGTGCTTGGCCGTTGTAACAACGAAGAGGAAGCCAGGAACTATCCCCTGCCCGAAGATGTTGACCCCAAAACCTATCAGTACGCCCACGGCATCACGGCCCCCATGAAATGGGTGCGTAAGAGACGTTTTGCGAGAACCAAACGAGCTCGGGTCGATGATATTGAAGCGGTTGAACGGAGAGTCCATGCTCTCCTCGAGGCGGACAGGGCGGCCCTCAGCTCCAAGTATCAAGTTCTGGACCATGATCCGCGCCTCGACGAACATGGATACAGCACGGAGCTGGAAGAAGATGAAGATGCTGAAGCCGAACCCGAGGACTATTTCGACATACCACCCGGTGTGCACGGATCCATGGTAGAAACACCAATGCTTACCGAGACTCCTGTGCAGGAGGAAGTCGGGCAAGAAGATCTCGATGCGCTCGAGCGGATGTTCTTTGACGAGGACGCCGTGCCTTCCACAGACACAGCTGTACCCGCTCGAAATACCCTGCATCCTCCAGAAGCCGGTGGCGACTCGTCTTTCGCAGTAACTAGCACGTCAGCCTCCCCCTCCATGACGGCTGCACATACCCCGATCTCTGCCGAAGCTGTCGAAGCTTCCTCCGACGAGGACGAAGACGAAGATGCCGGTGATGAGGATGAAGACCGTGACGACGCCGAGAAGGAGGGTGACGAGAACAAGCGACAAGCCATGGAGAGGATCGAGGACATGCAGAACAAGATCGCGGAGCAGAGAGAATTGCTCAAGAAGACGACGAATGCCATTTTGAAAAAGAAATTAGCGAGAAAGATCCAAGATCTGGAGGACGATGTTGCTATGATGAGGAAGAACGCCGGGTTGGGTGGAGACGACGACGAGGACTGATTGTTCTGGGTGGGGATTGAGGAGAAGGGACCATGGAGAGCATAGGTGCCCGTCAGTCTGAGTATCCATGCGGTTTTACCAAAAAGATCTCGAAGGTGAAGGTGATCCAGAGACCTGTCCCATTCACGCCAATTCGTCCATTGAAGACACAATGGCGAATGCCACGGTGACAGCGGAATGATGCCTCTTCATGACCATGGGCGGAACTGAATTGAGCCGACCTCAATTCAAGAGCGCTTCGAGGCTCTCGGTTAGAAGTGGTTGGGTCGATTGAGTATGCATTGTATTACCACTGTGTGGCTTCAAATGTCCTGCCTTCCTGTGAGCTGTATCCCGTGAGACGCTTTTCCACCGGGGCGGACGATACGAAAAAAGAGCCCAGATCGGCAAAACCACAAAGCTACGATTGATGCAATATCTCTGATTTTGTTTGTCTCTTGCCTTGTCTTCTTCCATATTCTGAACAAATCTTGCAGCTCTCTATTAATAGCGCCAAGGCTCGCTAGTTGGCTCGATAGATCAACGTCGTGTCACGGACCTCCCTCAACGGGTCAACCTGTTCCATATCTCCCAAATCTTTTACGTATGAGCCAGCATCAAATCCCAGTGTAAGTCCAGTATGGCCCAGGATCAGCCATGTGCCGTGTCCAGGGATCGAGTGAGGTCAATATACCTTGACAGCCTCAAGTGGAAAGAGGCCAACCGACAAGGCACTCCGCCTATTTTCCTCCCTCGGCGCACCGATATCCATTCAGACAAAGACCTGCTGATGATCTTTACAAGCAAAGAGCAAAAGCGGCGGGCTCGGCAGTGGTGTCAAGCATACTACTATGCCGCACAGGACCCGGAGGGCCATATCCCTTTGCTCGACAAGACCATGGGATCTCTTCTGCGCTGCAACTTCGAGGGCACCCTTGGCGAGGACGCCATCATCACTCAGGCATGTGCTCTCCTATCACGCTTACCACGAACGCCGCACCTTCCTGCCTCGCTCTCTGAGCAGTTCAAAGACAGTACATTACCTTGGCTCTATTTTGGAGGCCTCCACTCCGGCTGCCCGACACTGAACCAGGACAGCTGGCATGAGTTACTTGTGACCAACTGGGTTGATACAAACTGTATCCGGCTGGCGTTAACGATCGTTGAGATCCGTGACGAGATGACGTTTATTGGCACAACGGGGAACTATGTGAACACCCTTGCAGAGTTGGTGGAAACAGCATTCAGCCTCGCGGCCGAAACAAACGATACAGCCGATCACAGGCATTGGCTAGTTGCCCAAAGCTTCCTCTGGACATGCTGGTGCCGATCTTTGATGCTTCATTTCCACTATCACCTGGATCTGCAACTTCGAGCCGGATACGATGCCGAGCGAAATGCGTCCTTGAATGTGCATCTACCACTACTTGGCGACGGGACAACCCTCAATTCGTCCGAGGAACTGCCACCGTACATGTGCACCTGGGCCTTTGGGCTGTTGAAATTGGACAGAGCTTCCCTTGGCCAAGATTTCCGTGGCTTTCGAAATCGATTCTGTACCATGTTTGGTGAAAGGCCAGGAAGGTGTATTCTCACGTCTTCGCAGGCTTGCAACGGACAAGGACCGGCGCACTGCCAACGTTTTACAGGCATGAAGATAGTTGATCAATCGGCACATGACTTCGGGTGTAACGGTTGTTGTGACAGAATAGTCTGGGACGAGGTCAGCTATCGTAATATTGACGGCGCGAGAGCGGTATCGATTCAAGACTCCGACCATGCCGTCATTCGATACTGTCAAGCATCTCCAAACACATTGAGCGTCTCACATGTCTGGGCTCACGGCGCTGGGGGGAGACCCAATACAGGGATGAATGCTTGCCTGCACGCACGACTCGTGCAGCTGGCCCACGAGAACGACTGTGACTCTTACTGGATGGACACGCCTTGTATTCCAGAGCACCATGACCTCCGTTCCGAGGCGATCGCTAACATCAACCGAATCTTCACCATGAGCAGAATAACGCTCATATGGGATCGGGACATAATGTCCATTGATATTAGTGACGACTCGATAGAGACGATAGAGATCTTGCTTTCCACCCTTCTCGTCTGCGATTGGAACGTCAGGTCTTGGACCTTGCTGGAGTCGATGAGAGCCCGTCACAATGTTCATCTTCTGTGCAAAGACAACCGAATCATCTCATTCAAGGAATGCCTAATGAAGGTCCACGAGAAGGGGGCAATCGCCATCTCTAACCTCTTTCTTACTCATCAGCAGCTCCTTCCGGCTCAGCCTCCGTCGCTATTCCAGCAAACTCCCCAGGGAGAAATTGTCAGGCGTCGCGATGGGTATATATCTGTGGAAGAGTCTATCTGCTTGCTAGCTTATCGGCACGCATCGCGCCCAGGGGACAGCACAGTGATCATGAGCTTGTTGCATGATACGACACCAGCATACACCACGGAGATGTTTTGGAAATCCAAGGTTAACAGCATCATTCATACAGGGATCCTGTTTTCTGCCCATCCGAGACTCCAATGTCAGGGTTTTGGTTGGGCTCCAGCTCAACCTGAGGTGTCCTGCCTGGCCATCACATCGCCCACACAAGCACCGTCACAGCACCTGGTGTATGACGGCGCAGGAACGTCCGTTGCCATTATTACCAAAGACGGCCTTGATGCTCAATTCACGACATTTGAAGTATTCACTCCTTCACAAAGCAGGTTTCCACGCGTCACAGCTTGGAAGGATGCTTTTCTCCCCGGCCAGGGCAGAGGCATTGACTTTCCAGCACGTCGAGCCCTGGAGGAATTTCAGCTGCATAAACATCGCCACGCCTTGTTCGTGCTCCCTTCCAAATCCATCTCGGGCGCTGCGGGGTATCATGTATACCGCGGACCCTGCAATGGCGCAGTCTTCGGGGTGATTGGCTCGAATGACAAGGCTCGCAAGATTTGGCACTGGCTTGGAGTCTTCGAGTGGGATTCTAAAGCTCCCTGGCCTCAATTGAGACGCGAGGTTGAGAGCATCTTCTTGGTATGAAGACAGCCTTGGCTCACAGGGGATGGAGGGTCACATTGGCTTGAGCTTTTCGATGTTTGCGTCCAGATTTTGAGGACTTACGGCTAATACCTGGAGCATGTTTCTGTTATATGGCATCCACGTTCTCATGGCAGACCAGATGCAGCTGAGTCCTGCTCCCGAAGAGGAAATGGTAGGGAACTTGCTAAGATGCTTGGGACAAGACGTTGGCATACAACCGAGGAGGAGAGATTCTCAGGAGCAGTGTTACAAGGCCCCCATCCGGCTGAAGCTACCATGTCCCGAGAGCAACTGCTCCCATTGGGTCCATTCGGTTGGATCCGTCTCAAAGGAAACAAGGTCGGGGAAGTTATAGCAGTCGAAGGTATCAAGCACTGGCAGATCCCCACCCTGCTTCCCAGTCTGAACCTTCCCCGGGATGACATCGGCTTGGTCAAGGGCTGCAGGCTTGGGCCTCGATGTCCAACCATGCCGGATCGCATTGATGTACTCGGGCACCACTGGTTCTGGGAGACCCTCAGTTCTCGTGGCGGCAACATAGTCGTTCCAAACCTCCAGAGTCCATTTACCCAGTGCAACATACACAGGTCCAGTGGACTCCTTGAAGGCCTCGGGGTACTGCGAAAGCACCACCCCGATTAGCTGCCACAATCGATCTACCTCTGGCCCTGGCTTGCGGTGTCGAGCCTCGATTAGGACACAGAGCATCGTATCCCAGAGATAGCTCGTGCCGACGCGCCATGTGTACTTCTGCAGTCCCTGGTGTCCTCGCACCAAGACTGCATATTCCAGCAACTTGGTGGCGTTCCCAAAGACGATGTCGCGTTCCGCCTGTGTGATTTTGACGCGGCGTCCCGCCAACCGTAGTCGTGGACTGTGAGCGAGGAGCCTCATCTTACATATACAGGACCTGATCATGGCGGATGCAAATATGTGCAGGGGATTGCACGGATCGCAATATCGGAGATACTTTCTCTCCCAAAGATCTTCCATCTGGCTGATTACAGCATCCTTTTTGGCAGTTGTGACATCGGGGTTCGTGAGGACCTCCCAGTGAGCACCACTGGACGACGGTGAGGCAAGCTTGCGTAGGCACCCGATGATGTCGCATCTGACAAGGCAGAGAATGATAGAGGTAATTCCACTTCGCTCAGACGGGGGTTCGACCATACCGGGGCTGAGATCTTCATCCTCGACATTCAACGCCACTTTGGTGTCTCCCGTGGACAAATCCAGGGACGGTCTCATGCCCATCATATCGGCGGCACGAAAATCTATATGCACAATGTGCCACCAGAGACGGCGCCTCATTTCTGTTTCGAAAAGCGACAGTCCCAGTGATTCGCCATCCCGATGGAGACCCATTTTGAGCGCGAGACGCACGGCCACGCCTGACAGGACATATTGGGTGTCGTGGCGATTGGACGTTCTCACGCCGATCTACTCGGGTTAGTACTGACATAACAGAAAACATTCTGGGATCCCAACTTACGAGGAATAGCGAAAAAGCTCGGAGTGTCATGAGGCTCGAGGTGTGAAGAAATCCAGCATTTATCAATGTCTGACGGGCTATCGTTCGATAGTGTGCAAGCATGGCCGGCCTCGGTCCTCCCAGCAGACTCTGGCATTCATCATCATCCAGTGCGCTGACGGTAGCGAGACAAAAGCAGAACATGGCCGCCCTTAAGCTGTTTGGCGTCTCCTGTGGATGTTGAAGCGCATTCGCCAACGAGGACCAGAAGGTCGGGATATGCAGGATTTTCATCACCGGATCGACTCGGTCCACATATATATCCTTCATCTTGCGTAGGACCTGGATGTCGGGGTAATGATCAACGATATTGGAGGTGCTGGGGGTGCTGGGATCAAGGCTTGCTTGGTCAAGCGGACCGAGAAAGAGCGGACATTCATTCACACTGGCCTCGTCCAGGAGCCCATCAGTGGCATATTCATCCGGGTGACGAAACTGCAAGCGTTCATCAGAAGGAAGGCTACTTTATATGGTCATCGGCCTCACCTTGTCTTCTAAGTTGGACCAGAGAACGCTATGCCAACACTTTAGCAGCTGTGCACCAGGAATGTCAAACTCACAACCATACCTGTCGAAATATCTTGAACTGCCTTCCCTGGTGACCAGTTTTGATCTGTTCGCACCAGGTCTGAGAGGAGTAGAGTCGACTTCCATCCGGGACTCAGCATTATGGAGGATGACCACATCCGACCTGGCGGCTGATTCCCCATCTGAGGTGTCACTATCCAAGGATGGTTCGATATTTGCGCCATAGGACTTGAGCAGTCCTTCATATCGCCTCAATTTGGCATGCAGCCCTTCTCGGGGAGGCTTTGTTCTCTTGCGCTTGCCGCGTACCGGTGGAACAAAACTGCATTCTGTCTCCGCCTTGACACAGTTGGAGCACGGAGTCTGGCGATCACATTTGATCTTGCGCTGCCGACAGCCCAAGCAGGAGTAGCCTTTGGCATTTTCATCCGCCACCACCGACTCCTCGGTCAGGGGCTGCGACATTGCTGCTGACTGACCCTTCGCCTCTCCTCAGAAAGATGCCACGGTCGTCGGAGAGATATTGTTGCAAGACGGGGCAAGGTCTATCTTTGCGGTGTTGCCCTTTAACTTCGTCGGGCTTGAGCTCGGCGCTCGGGAGTTGAAAATTGAACTTTTGAGCGCCGAGAAACGACGCGAATAGATGCGAAAGATGCGAAAAGGAGCGACTCCAGCACCGCAAGCGTCCATCAACGAGCCACTTATTTAATTAAAAGGCATGGTATCCAGGTCTGTCGAGATGAACACTCTCAGCTGCCTCTCGACGTCCGCTCATTCCTTTTCGACCAAAGTCAAAACATTCCTTCCATCATGTCGCAAACCTCTCTGCGGGACAGCGAGCCTTGTGCTGAAGACCAGACTCAACAAAAGAGTGCTGCAACAGCCGACGGGTACCCTAGCATGCACAAACGCATCGTGATCATGCTCGCTGTATATCTTTCGATATTCCTGGTGACTTTGGTAATTCCCGCTTGACAGCCTCAAACCACTACGTCTTACCTTGCTGACCAGCTACGTTGCACACCAGGACCAAAACATTATATCCACCGCCATTCCACGAATCACCGACGAGTTCCATTCTATCGACGACATCGGCTGGTATGGCAGTGCCTACCTGCTCACCATGTGCAGCTTTCAGCTCCTCATGGGCAAGGTCTACAAGTTCTACCCGGTGAAACCCGTCTTCCTCTCCGGCATTGTGCTGTTCGAAGTCGGCTCAGCGGTGTGCGGATCGGCTCCCTCTTCTACCGCCTTCATCCTAGGCCGCGCAGTTGCTGGCCTGGGAGCGTCGGGCATGTTTTCGGGCGCCATGGTCATCATGTTCCACACCATACCGTTACAGCAACGGCCGATTTGGCAGGGTGCCTTTGGAGCCATCTTTGCGGTGGCGTCCGTCATCGGCCCTCTTGTCGGAGGTGCATTCACCGATAACATTACCTGGAGATGGTGCTTCTATATCAACCTCCCCATCGGAGCGGTGGTTGTTGCTGTAGGCTTGTTCTTTCTGCGGATTTCCAACCAGAAGCTCGATGCGCGAGCTCCTGGGGTGATTGGGAAGTTGAAGCAACTCGACCCAGTGGGCAACTTGGTGTTCTTCCCCGGCATCGTGTGTCTGATTTTGGCTCTCCAGTGGGGAGGAACCAAATATGCCTGGCACAACGCTCGAATCATCGTGCTCCTGGTGCTTTGTGCCGTTCTCTGCCTCGCCTTCGTTGGGATTCAACTGTGGAAACAGGAGGATGGCACCGTCCCGCCGCGAATCGTCAAGCAGCGCAGCGTGGCGGCCGCCATCTGGTTCTCCTTTTTCAACGGTGCGGCGACCATGACCACGGTGTACTATCTCCCCATCTGGTTCCAGGCCATCAAGGGCGTCGACGCCATCAAATCCGGCATCATGCTGCTCCCGTTGGTTCTGTCCTCGGTCATCGCCTCCATTTCCTCGGGCATCATCATCAGCCGGGTGGGCTACTACACGCCGTTCTTCATTCTCAGCTCCGTCGTCACGTCCATCGGCGCGGGCCTCCTGACCACGTTTACCTCGACGACCGAGCACCCCAAGTGGATTGGCTACCAGGTGCTGGTCGGACTCGGTCTGGGGTTCGGCGCACAGCAGGGCCTGAACGTCGTGCAGACCATCCTGGGGCGGTCCGACATCGCCACTGGATCTGCCGTGATCATGTTCGTTAGGTTCCTGGGCTCCGCCATCTTCCTGCCGGTGGCCGAGAACATCTTCCTCAACCGCCTGGTCGTTAAGCTGACAAATCTGCCGGGGATCGATCCCACGGCCGTGACCAAGGCTGGTGCCACGGATCTGCGCAATCTGGCGTCGGGCGGCGACCTGCAGACCCTGTTGGGCGACTACAACGACGCCATCGTCGACGTCTTCTACCAGCTCGTGGCGACCTGCGCGGTGACCACCTTGGGAAGCGTGTTTGTCGAGTGGCGCAGCTTGAAGGCCCGCGCGGGCGAGCAGGCGAAGAAAGAGGGAGAAGCGAAAGAGACCGTAGAGAAGAAGGAGGTGGGACAAGATGTTTGAGAATGGCGAAAAAGGTCACTGAATCCAGCTGATCTGGGCTTTTTGATTCCCGAATTCTGTATTACTAGAAGATAGACGAACCCACCTAGTACATTTTTTGAAATAGAAAATCTCCCTCCCCTCAAAGAAAAGAATCTGTGAGCAAGCTGGCCAGACTTATCAAAATCTCTCTCTCCATCAGGGTCTTGCGTCATTCCGGCTACATAGGGTCATACGGCATAGGAAGTAGATTGCGTTTCTATGTAAAACAGTAGATTTCCCAAGCAAATGGGTGGTGGGAGTGTGCATTTGCATTTCTGTCTGTCCAAATATCGAGTACGCGTCTATCTAGCGATTTCCAGATGCGATTTCCAACGATGCTGGGGTTTCGAGGCGTCGTCAACTGACCGGCAGCAGAGCAGGGAGAGTAAGGGTGTGGATGAGAGAGGCAGGCAGGGCTGTTGGAGGAGAAAATCCATGCATAGACGGATACGATGTTGAGAAAGTGGTTTGTAGTAGTCGCCCACTGGGGGACACCAGGCAGGCAGGCACTCTCTCTGCCCCCTCTCCTCCTCTCCCCTCCTTTCCTGATGGTCAGGAGACGACAGATCTGAGGGGGTAAAAAGCGGAAAGCCAAAGAAACGAAAACAAATGAAACAAACAAACAGGGAGGCAGGAAGGAGGGATGCCCATCAAATCTCCACCGACTTCTCGGTCCGCTGCTCCCGTCGGCGCGGGATCGCCATGACTTGGTGGATCTTGACGTCGGCGGGTTCGAACTGTCGATTGGAATTGAGTGTCCGATTAGTAAGTCGCTCCTAGGTACATGCATCCTTTTTCTGTCCACGACAACAATGAAGAGAGAGGCTGGATGGAGGAGAGGCTGAATGAAGGGAGAAATGGGAAATAGAGAAAGAAGGGAACAACGAACAACCAAAAGAAAGAGAGAAAGAAACGAACTCACCTTGTAAATCCGCAGTAGCGTGGCCCAGATCTTGTACAGCTCTAACTGGACGATGTTCTTGCCGATGCAGCTGCGACTGCCGTGACCAAAGACCAGCATGGAGCGGTGCATGCGTAGCTTGCGGTCGCGGAACTCCTCGTCACTCTCGCGGGGCTGCTTCAGCCAGCGCTCCGGGTTGAAGGCGCGGGCGTCGCTGCCGAAGACGTGCGGCAGCATGGCCATGGACGCGGCGTTCATGGCGATGACGGTGCCAGGGGGCAGGTGCGTGCCGTTGGGCAAGGTGAGGCCGGACGCGCCGGCGACGCGCTCGAGGTTATTGGCCGGCGCGCCGAACTGGCGGTATGACTCCTGGATGACGGCGTCGAGGTAGGGCATCTTGAGGGCGAGCTCGAGCGCCGCGGGGCCTTCGGTGTCGGCCTCCTTCATGGCCGCCATGTTGACGCTGCGGATCTCGCGGTGCAGCCGCTCCTGCGCCTCCGGGTGCTCGGTCAGCCAGTGGATGGTGGCGTCCATGGCGCGGGCGCTGTTGTTGGCGCCGGCGAGCACGTTGGTCGCCGTCAGGTGCGTGATGCGCAGGTCGGTCATTAGCGGGTAGGCCTTGCGCGCGGCGATGAAGCTGCCGAGCAGGTCCTCGTGGCGCCGCGAGGACGGGGATTGCGACTGCAACTCGGGGTCCTTGGACGCCTGGGCCAGACGCTCGCTGACCACGCGCCGCGCGAACGTGAAGAACATGCTCGGCTTCTTGGTGACGAACTTGAGGAACGGGTTGCGCTTGGTCAGCGTGTCCAGCAGAGGGAAGTTGTTGGCCACGCTTATGTAGCGGAAGTTCTCGCGCTGCGCCTTGATCATGCCGTTGAAGTCGTGGCCGTGGTCGAGGAAGCCGAGCGGCTCGCCAAACGAGATCTTTGACATGACGTCGAAGGCCCCTAGATGGATTAGATACGAATGACTGAAATAAATCATGTGGATGCAAAGATGGATGGATGTGATGGGATAGGATGCGTGCCGTTCAAGGTGTGGAGGAAACTCACAGTATTGAAGCCACCGGGTCATGTTGATGGGCGTGCCGTCGGCGTCATGCTTGTCGAGCTCCTTGATCAGCTTCTCGATCGTTTCGTCAATGTACGGCTCGTAGCCCTTGAGAGATGACAGGGAATAGGCGTGGGCGATGGGCCGGCGGTAGATTCCGTGCGTCTTCTCGTCCTTGATGCTGACCAGGGCGGTTTGGTCGGTACCTATGTGAAAATGTGAGCCTGCCCACTCTCCAAGCCTTGTGTCTGCAGCGGGTTTGTTTACCAGTCATCACGAAAACTTGGTACCCGGGGCCCTGGTGATTTCGGGGTTCGAGTTAGCTTGGAAGAGGAATCTCCTTATCTGCAGCATGAACAAAACACCAAAACACTACAACCAACCGGTACTACTTGCCTTGTCAAGCCGCTCTCGAAAGCCATAGATCACATCGATTGCCTCGGGGTCATAGACAAGGACATGCTTGGGGCCGATGCGGACCACGTCGCCGTAGCGGCCGATCATGTTGATCTGGTAGTTGTTGACGCCCTCATTGTGGTGGTTGATCCGCCAGGCCTGGTACCCGCGCCACAGGTTGGTGTACTTGGCCAGCCAGGGGCCCGGGATGTGGTCGAGTCGGGCCCTCTTGCTCTGCACGAACAGGTAGAGGAGCACTGCGAAGACACTGCCCACGAGCAGGTAGACGGGGGAGACGACAGCCCCCGGCTGAGTCAGCGGTGTGGCCGAAAGCGCCATGGTATGAGAGTCGTTCGAACAAGAAATAACCAAGACAGGTCAAGGAGATGGCTTGAGTTGGTTTTCCCCAGCCAAGAAGAGCTTAAGGTAAAGGGGCGCCTGGCGGTGTGAAAACAGGCGAGAACTTTTGCTTCCAGAGATGGCTTGCTTACACCCCCCTTTTCCCTTTTCCCTTTCACCTCTCTCAAGCCACTGGGGGAACCTATTTATGCTGACCCGAGGGGCACAAGTCACCCAGAGCCTTGCCATCTTGTCTCCTCGCGACAGAATCCCAACTGCCGACCTGTCCCCAGCAGGAGGAGGGCGGGGAGATGGACTCTGGGGAAGGTCTCCCCGCAGGGGGTGGGGAAGAGCCAATCAGCGAGATGCCGAGATCGCCCGGAACGGCTAGACCGGCGTCTAAACCGACGTGGCGTTTCCGGACACGGCATGGTCAGCATGGTTTCTTGGTTCGTTTCTGTCCTTTGGTTCAGGAAACCTGCCCATGGGTGTTTGAGGCCGCCTGCGATCGTCCCCCCTGCGCGACGAGCCCCCGAGGTTGTTGTTGTCTCTGTGTATATCACTCGCTCGGCGAGCAAGCCATGAGACCAATTTGCGGGGATTCCCCGTCGAGGTGAACGTGCGAATCAGCGCCTTGGAAGATGCCCGTCGAGCAACTGCCGATGCACAACTCTTCGGCACGGTGCCGACACGTGGTAGCCTGGTCGGTTCTGGTGCCAGAGCCATATCAGCTTCGTGAGATGTTCATCTTCCCCAGATCACCCTGAAGGGTCAGACTTCTACAAGTCCACCATCCCTTTAGCCACCTCATCTTCCTCTTCTTCGATTGTGTGTTGACTCTATATCTCTCGAGTCTCTCTCCTTCTCAACCTTGCGAAGCTGTGATTATGAGCGGCGCAGTGCACGCTGGGGAGCACGAGCAGGTGGCCCCTGTCTCGATCGTGGACAAGCCGTTGGGCGAGCACCATGAGACCACCGTCGAGTATGTCAAGGAGGTCAACGACACCATTGCCCGAACCGATTCGCACCTGGACGACACGCATGTCGCGCTGGGTTGGCGGTCATGGCTCGTGGTGCTCGTCACCATGTTTGGGTGAATATCCCTTTCCCCCGAGGACTGTTTTGCTGGATCTTTAGACTAACCACTTGAGCAGCAACTTGACCCTGGTGTTTGTGGTGGTTGCTGCCGGCTCGGTCATTGCCTTTATCATCCGAGACCTGGGCCACCCCGGACTGGCCGGCTGGATAATTCAGGTCGGTATTTTCCTTGGTTGCCAATCGACTAGGACTCAAAATGCTGATACTCACGAAATTTACAGGGCCCGCTCCTGGTGCAAAGCGTCCTGTGTCCCATCATCGGCAGGCTGTCAGACGTAGTGGACCGCAAATACCTGGCCTGTATTCAGCTGTCGGTTGCCTTTGTTGGCTCCATCGTGTCCGCCACGGCCCATTCCATGAACACCTTGATAGGAGGAGGGATTCTCATCGGCGTAGGCCTGTCGTCGCTGGGCATCATCGTCGCCATCCCGGCAGAAGTGCTGCCTCTGAAGTACCGCGCCATCGCAAACGGAGCCAATTTTCTAGGAGGTGCCTTTGGAGGCCTGTAAGTGAAACCTCCCTTGTTCAGCCTGCTGAGGACTAACCTTGTAAAGTATCGGACAGCTCGGTGCGGGCGCCGTGACCAACGTCGACCAGGACGGCTGGCGGAACATCTTCTGGATGCAGGCGGCCTTTCACGGCGCCACCGTGCTCATGCTGCTGGCCTTCTACTTCCCGCCCCGCCGGTCGGACTACCCAAAGATGACCTTTATGGAAGTCCTGTGGTCTCTCGATCCCATCGGCGCGATCCTCTTTGTGGGTGGCGCCACCCTGACCATCCTGGCGTTGGATTGGACTGGTGGCTCATATCCGTGGCACGACGCCCATGTCATCGCTCCCCTTGTCGTCGGAGTCGTTCTTTTGGTGTTGTTCGGAATATATGGTGAGCTTTCACCCAATACTCTGAGGAATTTTGGTGGCTAACGGTGATGTAGAATGGAAAGGAAGAACCGATGGCATTGTTGCTCATGTGAGACATGTACCAACCTGTTTGGTTTGCATTCCTGATGCTGACGACTCTGTTTTAGGTCATGTTCAAGAGCGGCTACAATTTCCCTCTCGCGGTCTTTGCCTTTGCAGTTGAAGGGTAAGTCGTCGATGCGTGTCCCTGGGAATGTGAATTCGTCAACCGACTAATTGGTCCCAGATGGATCTTTTACAGCGCCGTCAACAGCGTGACTCCCCAGGTCATCCTCAACCTCGGATGGGAGACGACGTCCTGGCAAATCTCCATCCGCCAGCTGGCGTACCAGCTGCCTACCATCGCCTTCTCGATTCCCATGGTGTAAGTCAAGTTCCCTTCCCGCTCTGTGCCTGCCCTCCCCTATCTTCATAGATTGCTCGTCTCTGACTTCGGATCACCGTCACACAGCCTCTACTCGACCCGGTACAAAGACCTCAAGAACCCGCTCATCTTCACGTACACGGTCTTCCTGGTCGTGTGCATCTGCTACGCGACGATCAAGCCGACCGAAAACCACGCGCAGTACGCGTTCGCGGTGCTCGCGGGGATCGGGCAGGCAGGACCGCTGACGCTGATCCTGGCGCTGGTGCAGTTCGCGGCACCGCACGCCTTCATCGCCACGGCATCGGGCTTCGCGCTATCGGCCCGCGCCATCGGCGGCGCGTTCGGGTCTGCCGTGCTAGACGCCATAATCAACGGCAAGATCGCCGCGACGCTGGCGCGCGACGTCACCAAGGCTGCCACCGGCGCCGGCCTGCCCGCCAGCTCGGTGCCGGACCTGCTGGAAGCCATCGAGGCCGGGGTCGGTTTCGAGGCCGTGCGTGGGCTCAACGCCACGATCTTGGACCAGGCGCTTGACGCGCGCGACTGGGCCTACGCCCGAGCCTACCGCCTGGCCTGGTCGAGCATCATCCCCTTCGTGGTCCTGGCCATTGTGGCAGTGATCTTCATCAAGCAGGTCAAGGAGCTCATGACTGAGCACGTCGAGGCCAGTGTGGAGAGGAAGCCGGCCGGCGCGAGGGCGGATGAGGAGATGAATGAGAAGTGAGCCAGGTGCTGATGTTCCCCACCGTTGACAATCAATCTTGCTGCATGCCGTAATTGAAGACGTTGGCATTAACATAGCCCGCCATACATCAATGTTAGCAATATGAGCATCGATTGTTCTCAGTACGTACCATACTGAAAACCCCTTTCCCTCTCTGTGTATAACACAGTAGCATTGTAATTGGGTAACCTCTTGGCTGGCTTGCGGTCCCGTTGAAGTAGTGCCCGGCGTCGACCCATGTGTGTCTTCTTCCTCAGACCTCCATATCCCCGGATTTCAGGGGATCTTAGCCGTGCCGGGATGTCTTTCTTTTCTTTGGATATCTCCAAGGACCTGTGACGCAACGACAGGGATAGATTCAAGCCGGGCCTTTCTTCAGAAACAATGGATACCGACAGGTAGTCAAGTGATTGGGTATCTTGAACCGTCAGAGCAGTGCGGTGCCGTCGAGCTCCCCTCTGTACCGTGATTGGAATAATCCCAGAGTACCTGCGAGCCCGCACTTGGAGCATGTCATCTCATACGGCACAGGACTGGGTACACTTAGATCTTGTGGCTGTAAGGAACGGTTATCTGCACTCAACTCATGGTCGCACGAATGCCATGTGGTAGTTATGTATGACCGTACTTTTCCGGTCGAGCACATCCGTGACATCTGGAGGCACCATGCTCCAACGTACCTCAGTATGTAACGTGAGGACGTCTTGTGGTGGCCCTCTTGCGCTGTCGATAGCAGGGGAAAGGGGATCAAAGAAGTCTAGGTCACAACCTCTTCAGCGAAGGCATAAGAGAGAGCCATTGAGGATCCTCAACTATTGACAAGGTCGTTCTCAATGCCACCGAAGTCCATGGCCGTCCCCCTGAAGGCAATGAGTCAACCCAAAAAAAGGCCAATTCAAACACAAGAAAATAGTCCATTTTGGTCGTAGGTCCAAGTACAGTCTGGGAGACTAAAGATACAATATGCCATATAGCCAAGAAATGGAGAACGGGGGTATCACAGCCCGAGGTATCCATCCCCAAGATCCATCGCAGTTCTTGCCCACTCCTGAACGAACGCAGTGCAAGTTGTGGTGCCTGGCGGTGCCGGCCATATGCTGTAGAGACGTGAAAATGTGTGGCCCCTCACTCATGCCATGCAAACATTCCATTGCCCGGTAATTCCAGCATCATGCAGACAGAGAGTCATATGCACGCCCCCATGCATCTCCAAGACTTTTTCACCTATCCAAATGCCGGGAGAACCCAACAAAAGCCAAGAAGCCTATCGTCAGAATTATCGTAAACTCATATCATTATCGTTGCTTCTGGGTGTTTAGTTCTTGTCATCTTCCAGCTTCAAGCTGTGAAGGGGTAGGCAGAGCTTCCGGAGCCGCCGGTTGTGTTTGTGCTTGTCGACTTCGACTGGGCATTCTCAAGCCAAATCTTGATCTCCACGAGGACTGAGTGTCGGCTCCTTCTTGGCTAGCAGCTGTGTTGGAGCTCGGTAACCTGTCTCTTTGCCGCCGTCGATCTTGTTCTCGAGCAGGTTGATCTGCGCGCTCTGCACGCACCACCAGTGGGAATCCATGCCGATCACGATCGTGATACACGATACTCATGAATCGGCCCGGAATGATCATTGCAGGTCTGCGGCCTGGTCGACCATTGCCGATAATGGAAAACGCCGTTGGGGGCGGCTGCAGGTTTGTGGGATTCACTTCGGCACCTTCGGGACGGGGCTTGGGGACGTAGTAATCCGCCTTACAAAGAGGACAACAGGCTCGGCGTGATGTCAACCATGGATCAACACACGAGGCATGGAATGCGTGACCACAATGCAGCCCACGAATGTCATCGTCGTCGTCGATGTTGTCGATACAGATGGCACAGGCGTCGCCAGGATCAGGCAGCTGTTCGGCAGGAAGGGCAGTTTGGATACGCTCTTCGTCTTCGTCGTCATCATCGTGACTGCTGACTTTGTGCACGGGAGTACCGGGTGTTCCGGTCGATGGAGCAGATTTGGGACGAGAGGGCGTGACTGGCCGATTGTCCATGTCACTCTTTTCACCTTCCACGACTTCTGGTTCACCATGCTCGGGAGTTTTCTCCTCCGTCGTGGAATTTGTTTGTGCATGCGCCAATTCTTGGGCCTCAATTTCCTTCGAGTCCTTGGAATCCCGTTGGACGTTGTGTATGCTAGCCGGGCGGGAGGTCGTAGTAATCCCTCCCGCCGTGGGCAAACCCTCGTCGGCACGATTGGAACGCCATGTCTTGTATTTTGTCAAAGGGAATTTTTCGTTGACTTCCTCGATGGTCATGAGCTTCTTCTCCCGTCTGCGGCGATGTTGTCGAGGCATTGCTGCGAGATCTACGCCGTCTGGGTCTTCACCATTCATGCGCTGTCGATTGCGCTGGTTGTATCTAAAGCAGTATTTGACGCCAACGATGATCCTGGCGGGAGACACACAAGATTAGAGGAAATACCAACGCCTGATGCCGATTGAGGCTCACCATAAGTTCGTGAAGACAACCCCAAAGCCCAAAGCCACGAAAAAGAGCAGTGGCGAACTCGGACCCGAGCCTCCATTGTTTCCAGGGCTGCCAGTTGGGCTCGCTGTGGGCGACGACGTGATCGATGATGTCGAAGTGGCCATCTTAGATGAGATATGACAGCCAAGGCACCGGAGTAAGCGTAAAGATGGCGGGTGCGCAACTGGATACCGATCGCAGCATCTAAGCTGTACCGGCGACTACGGAGAAAAAGTTGATTATTGCTCGAGTCGGCCGCTGAAGGGCAGAGACATGAGCAGGAGACGAAAAGGAGAGGTTGAGCCGTGACAAAGTTGGAAAAGGGTGTGAGTGTGTGTGTAAGTGTGTGAGTGGCGCCCGACCGCGAGGCAGATCGTTATCGATGGAGGAGTGACGGAACGAATAATCGCAAGCACGGGTGAGATTAGGATTGGTCCTGCGGCGTGCTGTTTGGGTCGTGGATGGGATCCTCTTTCACACGAGGCGGATCGAGTGACAAAGGGTGTTGAGGTGAAGGGGGAGGATGTTTCAAGGGGAAGAAGCAACGCTTGCTTCGGAGGGCGGATTGGTCCAAAGTTGGATACGCAGGCTTTCAATGGGGCGGATGCGGGTGTGTAGCATTCCCGGCAGGAGAAAGGAGGAATCGATGGGTGGCTGCTTCAGAATGATAAAATTGGAGGGGGAACAATGGTAAGAGTAAAGAGGGATATATTGTAGCGATGCAGGAGCCGGAGAAGCTGAGGCTGGATGAAGGTGAAGGTGAAGGTGATGGTGAAAAGTGAAGGTGAAGATGGCCGCAGTTGGAAAGCTGGACCGAATCCTGGTTCACAAGACCAAGTCCGAGGGAAGAGGAAAGAGGGAAGCGGGAAGAGTGCGGGCGGCGGAGAAGAATATTGGGAGGGCTGGAGTGCTAAAGAGCTAGGGCTGGTCAGTACTGTAGTAGTGGTGGGCTGGGGCTGGCGGGAGGGTGCAGCCCTTGCACCTCGGGCACCTGCGGAAATCCGGTTTAGTTAAAGAAAGCTACCTACTCCAGGTATTCCCACTGGCGACTCAAGCCTAGTGGCAGCCGCGGGAAGGCCGGAGTGGCCGGATGCCTGAACGATCCATGCAGCAGCATCTGATCATGATTCATTAATCATTCATTATCATTCCTCGTCCCCTCCGGCCTGCCTGCGCCTGTACATTTCTGCCAAAATGATGCTGGTATCAGACAATCATCGCGCCATCCCTGGCAATCCTCTCGATATCCTGCTCCCCCCCTGCCGAAACATTGATCCTCCTCAATCTTAGCGTCCGTGGTGGCAAGCGAGCACAGAGGACGCCGCCGTAGTAGCGTGCCCGAACTCCTTCGTTCCTCGCAGCCTAGTGACTTGACGCCACCCGCAAACGCGGCACGGAGTTCTCCTCGACAAGAGAAGAGAGACAAACGCCATCATCCCACATCCCACATCCCACAGATCACTTGGTCTTGCGACGGCTGCACACTTGGCTTGCTTTGGTGCGAGCTTGTGTCTCTACTCCTCCAGTGCTCGGCGATGGCAGAAACTCCCTGGGATTCGTCGAGGATCACTTGACCCTGTAACTATCAGTCCCCTTGTTTCAACCGGACGCGGGGTTTGCAGCGCGTCGCTCGTCGATCGATCGATGATGCGCTACGCAAGGTGTCCATGTTACATGACATCGTTAGAGTTCTTTGTGTGACAAGCAACAACTCTCGCGGCCTTGAGCAGCCAATAATGAGGTGTGGCTATCTTTGTCCCTTGCACATGTTGCAAAGCACACCCATCACAGCCCCATGGCCAGTGGAAATTCCCCGAGCCACTGGTCTAGACGTCAACCAGCGCTTCCAACTGTTCTCGTCACAACAACTTTGGCGCACTAGGGCATTGAGTGCTCAGCTTGAGTGTATCTCGTCTCAATACGTGACCTTGCTGCCCTTACGATATCCACCTTCCTCCTCGACATCATTCTCCAACGCGTTCATTTCTTCTTCCCTCTCATTTAAGTGATGGAAAAGCACCCAGATTAAACATCCAGCGCAGAAGCTCGCGATGCAAAGTCCCACAAACATCCACAGGATGGCAGGGTCATACGCAACTGGCGTCAATGCTTCGCCGAGCGCCGATCCAAATGCGTTGGTAAGGAGGTAAACGGATTGCACGAACGACTTCATGCTGGGGGGAGCTTTCGTGTATGCGTACTCCAAACCTGTCACTGACGCGAAGATTTCGGAGATGCCGATGAGCATATACTGTGTCAGAAGGTTAGCCATTGTGGTGCACATGCTGATCTGGCGTCCACTCACCGCTGGAGCTTGAATCGCAATGTGCACGTTGTTGCCCTCGGCGACGCCATTGACAACCGACGCATCGCACAGTGGTTGCTTATAACATGGTCCAGAGCTATGAGGTACAGTCAGCGATAAACTCCGCCGCCTGTTGCCGACCGCTTACCTGTAAATCAGATGCTGCACAATTGCCGCGTACATCATAGCCAGGGCAGCTACCCAGAAGCCCAGCACGATTCGGTTGATTGGTGGGAAAGGGATGTGCATCTTTCTGAGAAGAGGATACACAAATCTGTCCAAGATTGGCACGAAGACGATGATGGCGATCTGTACGCAGACTTGTGAGCGTTTCGGTTCGATTTGATGAAAGCCATGCCTCCTCCGTGTACTCACCGGATCGAAATTCTGCATCAGGTCGTTGGGAATCCCATGCCCTCGCATTTGGCCGGCTTGGGTGACAAAGTTGCCGCTGAATTGTCCGTAGACACACCAATCTGCAACAGAGATTCAGCACCCCAATCCCCATTGTGGTCATGGCCGATCTCAAGAAGATAGGAACTCACAGATTGGGTATATCACAAAGACACGACACGCAACCAGTGCCCTCTTCAACTCCTCGATGAAGTGATCGTTCCACGGAACCGTCTTGTGGATGCCCCTTTCCGCCATCCAGCTCGGTTTCGGCGCATTCTGGTCACGATGTTTGATCATGAGCCACACTGCTTTGAACGCATCCGTGATGATAGATCCCTGAGGTGGCCGGACGACGTAGATCTTGCGCCCTAGAATGAGAACGGTGGTGCCGGCGCAGAACATGCAGAAGCACAGCAAGAAAGCGGACCAGAAACCGACGTCACGTTCCATGTACGGCGTGGCCAGGAGAGACAGGGCGCCGATGTTGATGCAGGTGTAAAAGATCATGTAGATCCGCTGGATGGTCACCGCCGGGTCGATGATGATCCGCTCACCTTTGGGGGTGGTCGACATCTTGTTTGCGTTAGTAGTCTCCTTCATGTATACCAGCGCCTGGCTATCGCGCGTTCGGCACTTACAATCATCTTCCTGCGTTTGTACTGGTCTGCAATCAGCGGGGCGACGTTCGACTTGATACCGCCGGTGCCAATCCCGATGATGATGACCGCGGTGATAAAGCCACCCAGCCCGGCCCCGTGCTGCAAGGAAACCGGCAACGAGGTCGTGAAGAGGATCAAGAGTCCGATCAAGTAGACCGAGCAGAAGTAGAGAATGGCTTTGTACTTGCCTAGGTACTGGTCGGCAACGATTGCACCCAGTATCGGAGTGACGTAGCAGAAGAAGCTGGTTTGGTGGGTTAGTTACGCAGATGAGGGTAGATGTGTTTCTCACTTGAAGAAAGTAGTCAATCCGGTTGCGCCCTGGTGGCCCAGTCCTAGCGCACCTCTTCCCTGCGACCCGTCGAGGGGGCGCTGAACATAGTTCTGTCAAGGGTCAGTCAAATCGCGAGGACCACAGGCACGGGACAGGCGGTGCAAGAGTGCTAACCTGGAAGATGCCCTGACAGCCATAGAACGTGAAGCGCTCGCACAGCTCGACGAAAGCCACCAGGAAAGTCGAAAAGGGAAGGCTCTCGCCAACGTGACGGAGGTGCTTCTTTTCGTGCTCGTTGGGTTCCATGCCATCTTCGGTCTCGCCAATCTCGGTATCCTCACTCGGGGAGCGTGGCCTCTTCTCGTCGCCGATGAAACCATGTTCAGCAGCAGTTGGAAGAGCCTTTGGGTCTGCCGTGAGTGGTCCGCCAGTGACATCGTGGATGGCCTTCACCGAATCATCGTTCTCTTTGTGTTTCTCCCCATGCAGTCTAGAGAGAAACATCAGTCAGCTTCGATGTCGACCTGTTGGATTGTCTTTGGGGGGAATCTGTACTGAGCAGCCTGAAACTCATGTTCCGCCATTCTGGGATTTCAAGGCAATGGGCGTGATAAAGTGGAAGTGAAGTGCATGCGAAGGGATGTGATGGACAGGTGAGAAAAGACGCGAGAGAACGGTGAGACCGTGAAATCCAAGCAGGTTAACAATTGCAACGAAAGATGCTAGAAACAACCAAAAGCAGCCATCTTGCGGGGTATAATTATACCTAGACCACCGTAGATATTATACTAAGAGTGCTTCGTGATAACATCCTTGGCCAGAAGCAGGGGCATGGGCAGATCGCTCCATCGTTGGCGAACCTACCAATACTGGCCATTGCAATCGTCAACATATACTACCCTCGCTGCCGAGAGGTATCAATGCACTCCATCGAGAAGCATGGACGAAGCGATAGTCGATGCAACAACGACCCAGTGATCGTCAGATCCCACGGCGGTCGTGTCATGGAACGGCCCTTGGCACGTTGCAAAGGTCCTTGACCCTCACGGCATGATGCGACCGACAGTTGGAAAGCTTCCCGTTGCTTGACGTATACCAAGAGATACCAAGAGATACCAATAGGTAGCAAGCGAGAATGTGACAAGGCTTGATGGCGGGAGACGGAAAGGTGGTTGGGTGGTGGTGCCCACGGTACGGCGATGATTTGCAACGGCGGAGAAGGACATTGATGCCAAGCCGGAAAAATAGGATCTACAAGGACTGAACGGCCGCCGCTGATGTCATTCTCCCTCTCCAGACTGATCATTGGTCCGGAGACAACAGCATCGGTGTCGCAAAGCCTCGATCGGTACTTTTCCCACGGCAGAGTGCGAGAGACAGACACAGAGATGCATGGTAGCTAGTTGTAATTTCTTCCAGAGATACCTAACAGTAAACCATCAGCTTGAATTGGCTCTGTCTTCCTGAGTCTGCAAATGGTCAAACACATTCATTACCAGTGACGTGTATACACCTGTGCAATAAACTGTTCCGACCTCCCTGTACAAAAGACCCTCCAATTTGCCATCACGACATGTCCACCCATGATATCCTCCAGCCCATGGTCATCATCAGCTCAAACCGTCTCTCTGGAGTTGCGGACTGCGGGTGTGTTGCGAATTTCTTTCAGTGGACGTCTGCACACTCTGGTGGCTCGTTCCAGTCGACCCATTGATCTCGTCGTGGAGGAAATACGCATGACGCTTGGAATCTGACCATGCAACATTCTGCTTTCTTCCAGTCATTCAGATCTTTTACCATGAGACGACCGGTATAGTCGATGGCTTCGAGCTTGAGCTCGTCGGCGAAAAAATTGAAACACTCGACTGTTGGTCGACAGCACTTAAGCGGAAGTGGCTCCAACCCCTTCCCAGAGCCTTGAGACTGGGACGTAGTGACTGATCGACGACGTTGATAGTTTGGTTGTTTGCTGACTATGACATTCACCCCAGTTTCATTGAACATGATCCTCCGCAAAGGCGTGTAGCGGGCTCGAAGCTTCACAGTGAGATTGCCCAACCCATAATTTCCGGTCTCTGAAGGCCAGTCCTTCTCGCAAATAACTGGGTCCTTACAATCGTAGTCCGGATGGCCAAGTGGTGTGCATAATTGCGGCGTCGGCGTTGGCGTTGGCGTCGCGTCCGCAGGTTCAGCAATGACTTGGTTAAGAATACCGAGCAGCATTGCTAGGGCGATAAAGGTTTGCAAAAATGCCATTGTTGTGTTGGTCTGCATGAAGGGGTTTCTGGTAATGGGGTCCCAACTGGTGGAAGTTGACGAGGTTGATTTGGATTCCTGCACAAAGCGTTGAAGCAGAACTCTTGTTGGTGGTGGTGTTGGGAGTGAGAAAGCAGTAAGCAGTAGCTTCTTAAATAATCCTGATTTTCAGAGGACCTTGGGTAAACCACTGTCAGGTCCTGAAACCCAAGATGCTCTCCAGGTTTTCTTGTTCCGTGGATTCACGGAACTTTCTGCAGAAGCAGGCTGCAAAGTGAGAGGTATCGAAAGGGACCATGGTGGTCCATAGAGCAGCATCCAGTGGCTCTATGGGATCGATTGGGGTGGTCTGAGACAAATACTGGTGGGCCAAAAGTCCTGAGGACCTTTGAGTTTTGAGAGATTTGGTTTGAGCACGGGCTTGTTTGCCGTATATTTTGGTGGATTGAGAGGAGATATTGAGTTTGAGATGTTTCGGGTTGGAGTTGTCCAACTTGTACATGCTCTGATGGAATGAGAGCTGGGACCTTGAGAGCCTTGACTTTTTGAGTGATTTTGAGTCACATTCAGTTCGAGTTCTGTATGCATTGGTGGATAGTGCATACAGCGGTTGGCAGAAGGTTGTAATGATTGAGTCACTGGCGGATGTCAGGTTGATTATGGCCTGCTCAGTATACTTTGTCTGGCTGAGAGCAGCGGTCGACAAAGCGACAATCGATATGCTCGTGTGAAGTTGCCCAAGGTTGCAGCTATCCAAGCCATCCAAGCTTTCCCTTCTTGCACGCTTTTCCTTCTTGCACGGGGGGCTCAGGTATCTTTAGCCTTGGAATAACTTCTTCAAGTTTCCACCGAGCGCCACGGGGAGGCAGAGACCACACTCGGCAGGGTATTTATGTAACAGGAGCCTGACCGTGTAACAATGTCGATATAAGAGGCGTAAGTGCCAAAACAAGGCACCCAAAAAATTAGTGAGTTGGGAACTCACTTGCAGAGGCGAACTCCGTAATCTATACCGAGTAGTAAAGTTACCATTCCGGTCGCCTTCAATATCTAATCTAATGAACTTACCTCGTCTTCGTCGTCGTCGTCTTCCTCTCCCTCTTCCGCCTCCGCCACTTCTGAGGCCACCGCCACCTCCCCAGATTCTCCTCGAGCACCTACTGGATCCAACGGCACCAGTAGGGGAGGTCCCTCTCCAATGAGGCTTTGGCGCCGCAGAAGCCGCCCTGTCCACTTGACCACCTAAGTCTTTATCTTATCTCCCCACAGGCAGGACAGGATGCCCACCAGAAGCGACAAAACACCCGTGATCACTACCCACTTCATGGGTGTGGTCCAGGGGGTTGCCGCTACTGGTGGGGGCGGAGGCGGAGGGCTCGGTATTGGCCGTAAAGGTATCTTCCTGTGGACCGCCAGTTAGATTTGTGCACATATAGCCCAATACGCGCGTTGAGAGAGGTACTTGCCTTGGTGCCATGTTTACTTCCTGAGGAAAAGGAAAAAAGGAGCGCCGGAGGGAGGTATAAGTACCCAGGTCCTGTAAAGGTAAAACTTGTCAATAACGACCCACCAGGTCCCAATGGAGTATAGGTCGAAATAAATGACGAGGAGTATTCTTGGTACAACCAATTAGAGTACGTTCCATGTACGAGCAGCCGCCGCTATCGTATTTGGTCGTAAGATATCACAATGGGGGAAGAGCGTCCACCATCGAGGCAGGCACCTCCCCAACATTGTTGTACAACAATCGGAGGAAAAGAAGACAAGATCGCATTATGAATGCTCATTGGGAGTACGATGGTTTATTGTCAAACTATTTAAGCCCGTGTTGTTCCATGCCCTGAGGTATCGACACCAGAGAATAAAACACACATTCGACGTGGGTGCATTTTCCCATCGTCAAGAAAACGCCAATGATGCTTTCACTTCCTTCTCCTCCAGCGCCTTGCAGCAAGTCATTGTGTACAAAGGAAATGAGAAAAAGCCCAGAGTCCAATCGTTCCAGCAAATATCCGTAAGTCAATCATAATCGCATATACACATGAGAAAAGGGTAGAATAAGCTAGCGCTGAGATTGTGTTGTTTCTGGCGCTGAGGGACTGCCTTGGGGCTTCGGGGTAGGCTCTTCTTCAATATTGGTCATTTTGGTCGGCACCGGAGTGATCTCCATCTCGATATCAGCAAACGTGGTTCCGGGTTTGGGGGGAAATATGACTGGGGGCGTGATCTGGCCGCTCGACGAGCAGAGAATCTCTTGATCAGGATATGAATGCTGGGAGACAGTCCTCTCAAGCGTTTTCCGCGGCTGGATCTCTGTCAACGAAGCCGTACTGGGTTCCTCGGGAATCTTGAGATTCTCCATGCGCTCTTCGAGAATTTCCAGAGACTTCCGAAGGCTGTCTGCCTCTGTTGACCTGTCGTCACCCATGGATATGACGCTTCCACGACTGTTCGTACGCATCATTTCTATCCCCAGTTTGGAGGACGGCCGTGCGGGTTTGCCGATGGGTGACCGCGCCCGCACTTGGACGTCACCCAGTTCCTCGTCTTCATCATCCCCTTCTTCAGCTGCTCCACTGGCATGGTTCATGTTTTTCTCAAGTAGTTCCCGCTTCATTCTGACAGCCTCGGATGACTTTTGCCGCCGTGGAGTTTGAAGACCATAACCGCCAGTGTCGTCGACGCAAGCACTCGGGGGTGCAGACTCGGTATGAACAAGATGAGGGTAGCCTGACTGGATGTAAGGTCTCTGTCCGAGGACTATGTCGTCGGAAATCCCTAAACCAGCCTTTGCCCAGTCATCTGTGGCAGCTCGAGACACAATGACGGGAATGTCATCGCTCTTGAACGATTCCAGATCGCTAAAAAACCCGCCACTGCCAATCGAATCCTCCCGACCCGATCCTCGATATGATGAGTCGGGCATAGTCGGCGCCAAACTTGAAGCCACAGAGCTCGGACTGTCTTGGGTGGGCATGGGTTCGAATCGTGTATTGAGATGTGGGATGGTCAACGGAACTGCCATCCGGAAGTCTTTTGGTGCGGGTTTCCAGGCACAGTATTTGGCGAGCATCTCGGTGAGCTTCTGAGTGGTCGGCGGCTTCTGCATCAGAGTATCAAAGTGGTGGACTTCGGGAAGATCTTTCAGATATCCCGTAATGCAGACAATTGGAGTACTGGTATTGGCGCTCTTTGTATCTCGAATCATGCGAGCAACGTCGACGCCACTGATCAGAGGCAGCTTGAATTCCATGAAAATAACGTCAAATTGAATCTGGCTGATAGCAAGTCGTAGAGCATCAGGGCCGTTGGTCGCGGTAATCGTCCGACAGCGTAATTTCTCAAACAGTCTCTCCATTACCATCCTCGACACCGGATGATCCTCGCAAATCAGGACATCCAAAGGTCGATATGTAGGGCCCTCAAGAAAGTTAATCTGCGATAATCTCCTCGAGCTCTGCCGCCGACGTTGCACCTTGAGTAGTGCCTTTGCTTGTGCAGACTCATTGTCCGAAGATGATGGTGAAACATCTCGGACGAGCAGTTGGCTCTTGCGCTTATGATGACCAGGGACGAAGGGTTCCCGCGGAGGGGCCTGTCCATCACTCTCCTGTGAGCCGACGGTCTGCGACCTGGTGCGCCCGTTGACTGTCGTAGCTCGTGGTGGAGGCATCGCTTTCGCGGGCGAGACAGACGGCATCCGAGCAGATTTGATGGGAGACGACGTGGCCGTTTGTCCATGTTTGATAGCGTCATGAGGGATATCGAAAAAGCTACTTGGAGCAAGAGAGCTGCTTCCTTGGGAAGAGCCAGAAGTCTTTCGTCTATCGTGATGCTGCACGGTGGAGAATTGAACCAAGAGGGGTGAAGAAGGTTGAGAAGGCCTGCTGGGAGACGAGTTGGAGGTAGCCAGGCTTGATGGAGAGCCTGGCCTGTGACCTTTGCTGATGGATAGCGCCCGTTTAACCGGCATCGGCATCATTGGACTGCCTTCAAGGGAAGGTCCAGGAGATCCCAGCGCGGGACTGTTGGTGGCAGACATTGCCTGCGAATGCGCATAGCCTCTAGCTTGAGCTTGCATTGCTTCTTTCCTCATCCTCTCGACTATGTCCTTGTTGGCCTTCTCCAGCACGGGCAGGTTCTTGAAAGTGAAGTTGCCAAAGTCGTCGGCAATTACAGGCTCGCTAAGTCGTCGACTGCGGGAATCGCGTACCACGTGGGGAGGAATGTGAAGAGGCATGAGGCCACGCTTGGCAGGATTTGCCTGTGTTCTCGCTCGGAACAGTGCATCGTGGGGACGGTTAGGATATTCTGAACCATTTGGAGTTGTGCCAGCCGGTGAGATTTGGTCTTCTAGTTCTTCAGGGAAGGATGACAAGGTAGCCCCGCGCGCATCAAAGTACTCGGTGTCTTCTGGATGCTCTGGGTTCGGAATGAATTGAGCCTCGTCTTCCAAGAGTGTATCCCAGTGGATGTCAGCGAACCAGGGATGAGCCTGAATCTCGGCGCCACCACTTGGATACTTCTCGTCCTTATTAGCACCCAGTCTTTCTCTCGGGTCGAGCTGGATGAGTTTGTCAATGAGATCTCGCGCTTCCGGGCTTACTTCGATTTCGTCGTCCTCAGGCCAGGCAATTCTCCGATTTAGAATGTTGTCAAAGACCTTTTCCGGCGTCTCTGCATTGAAAGGGGGAAAGCCATAGAGGAATTCGAACATGATACACCCCAAAGACCACCAGTCACACATTTCATCCTGCACGGTGCCGTTGATGGTTTCGGGAGCAAGATAGTCTGGAGTACCCACAAAACGACGATCACTCTCTTCGGGCTCAAATAATGGAGGAGCTAACATCTGAGAAGGTAATGGAGCGGGAGCTGCTTGAGAGATATTACTCATCGACTGTGACAGAGGGAAGAGATCAGGCGAGGCACTGCCCTGGCTGTACGCCTCTTCTTCGATCTTTCGAGGAAAGATCTGAGGAGGCGAATCCGTGTCTTCGTGCACGCCGAGCTTTTTGAAGAGTTGGTGGAGATCAAAACTGGAGCCGCTGCCACTATCACTGCGATAGCCGGAGTTTCTCAGAGACGTCTCTCGGCTTAAAGAGCTTTCTCGATTCAAGCTGAAGTAGGAAGGCTGATCAAGGCCACCAGTGAAAGCGGGTGTCATAAGGGGTGTCGGTGCTGGTGAATGAGGGCCCTGGTAATCAAAGGAGGTGGATCTGGAGGTCGGATTTGACCCCGAACCATTCTGGGTGAATGGGCCTTGCTTCAAAAGATCGGGCACGGCCTCGTCCGGTTGCTTGAGTGCACGCTTTTGTCGACCGACGAGACCCATGCGAGACAGGCCAAAATCGGTAAGCTTCAGATGACCTTTGGAGTCTATCAGAAGATTATCCGGTTTCAAGTCACGATGAACAATCCCTCGAGAGTGCAGATGTTCGACACCGAGAACGACTTCGGCGATATACTTCTTAGCCCAATCTTCACTCAACCCTCCAAGAATTTTCACGAGTGAAGCGCAGTCGCCTCCGTTCAAGTACTCCATGACCAGGTAGAGGTAATCCTTGCTGGAGAACGTCCAGTACAGTTTAGCAACAAAATCACTCTCCCCCTGCCACATCATGATGGCGCGTTCCGCCTTGACGTTTGTGACTTGATTCTTTGCGATCATGTCCGACTTGCGGAGCACTTTGATGGCAAAGTATTCGCCAGTGATTTTCTTCTTGGCCAGATACACACTTCCAAAGGCACCCCTGCTGATCGGCTTGATAATCTCAAAATCCTTTATCGAAGGTGGCTGTGCACGCTGCTGCAAATGAGAAATAGAGTTCAACCTAGGGGATGCAGGAGTCTTCAGGTCAGACGAATGCATCGATGACTGCCTTCTATGCAGAATCGGAGCATTGCTTGGAGGCACGAATTCGCCGGCCGTCAGCAATGGGGACACAACCGGTGACTGGGCTATCTCTCCACTGGGAATTCTCGACTTGGTCATTCGCAGTGGTGATGGTGGCGGTGGTGGGTACCTCCCCGGAGACTGCTGGCGGTGGGGTGAGGCCGAATTAAGGCCATGTAGATGCATGCTCCGCCGCTTCCTGTCCCGTGATTGCGCGGTTCGACCCTGATCAGATGCAGAGGCGGGAGAATCAGCCCGCCAATTGCCTGACAACATGGAGGGCGGCGGAAGACTGCTGTCGCTGTCGTTGGCATCTTCAATGTACATCGACCGTCTGTTCGAGATTGGTTGTGGTTGAGAGATGAGATTGCTCCGATGAGATTTTGGGGTGGGACATTCAATCGGGCTGCTGGAGCCTGTTGAAACCGCCTGAGATGATGATCGTCTCTTATCGGCTGCCATCGTGATCTGGGGCAAGTCTCTTGGGTTTCTGAGAGCAGAAGCCATTGACCTCAAGCCAACGTAAGATGTGCTCCGACTGGCTTCAGGCTCGAGGTGGTCAATAGGGAGCGGCTGCGACGTCGGCTCCATATCCTCGCCAGGGCTTTCGAGAATGCCTTCTAGTGTGGGCTCTTCTTCAGACTCGCTTTCACTGGAAGATAACGCTTCTCCAGCTGCCGCCCTTTCGGCCTTGATCAAAGCTTCGTTGATACATGCATCCACTTCGGCCATGTACTCTTGTCGGATCCGCTCAGAGTATTCCAAGACATTCTGATATCGGTGCACGGCCTCGACCTTGGCACGAGCCAGTTTTTCAGTATCTGCACTCAAGGCGGCCAAGCCAGGCTCGTTATCCAAGCTGCTTGGGGGCTGCCATTGGATGATTTGGGAAATTCTGGATTCTGACTGTGGGGACTGCGACTTGAAGTCATCTTCCACCAAGCTTTTGCTGTCTTTGATCGAAGGTACATTTATCTCGATGGCCGTGTCGCAGAGGTCCAGAATCAATTCCACAATGCGCACCAGAGGGCGTCGGACGACGAACGAGCGAGCTCGAGCGTGACCTAGGCCGGCCGTGGACGGACTTCGAGATCTCACAGGACTGGCACTGTGAGATCCAGAGGCGGAAGAGACACCAGTCGAAGAGGTTGGCGATGGGCCGATCGGCATACCCTTGTACTCAGGAGCTGAAGCGGGGGAGTTTTCGCCGCCTGAGCCTCGCCCTTGACGAACCTCAAAAGCGTCAAGCACCTTGACAATTGCATGCCGATGTTCCGAGAGGTTTTCCTGTATCATCTGCACATCCATTTCAGCCCTGTGTTCTTGTACGCATAGATCCGAGTGCTTCTCAAACCACCACGGAACAATGGACCGCTCGCAGACGCGACAGAGTATAGGAAGAGGCGGGGGGTGGTTCTCGGGGTCGTTAGCCCCGAACTCTGCAAGCTCGGTGAGGTATTTTGCCAGAATCTCTGCGCCCACACCGAGTGTTTCAACCAGTGCTCGAGGGAGAGCGATTTCGATACGGACGGGTTCCTGAGCGGGCTGTAACATCCACATGGTGTGCGACTCTCCTCCAGACGTCCTGTCGTAGACCATGATCCCCTGGCCTTCCAGTTCGAGGGTTGCGTTTCCACTCGCGTCAGTTTCCACATTGTTCTCACTCGGTTCCTCGCCGTCGTCTGTCTGTAACATAGTCCCCATGTCGGAAGAAGGACCAACCTTGACGGCGAATTTGACGAATTGACTCTTGGAATCATTGGACTTGAGAGCCTCGATAGCAGAATCGAAGACATGCGGATCATCACTGATGAATTCTGAAATCTTGTGACCTCGAACATGCTCGAGATCAGTGCCGACCACATCGGTCCAAGAAGGGCTGACCCAGCGAATATGGCCATCCAAACTGAGATCAAGAATGATGTTCCGGGTTTGTTCGGCCGCCTCTTTCAACTCTTGAGTGCCATCTTGAATGTCCTGGCTGAATGACCTCTCCATCGCATGCCGGCTCATTTCGCTCCCATAACCCGCATCGCTCTTGATGGCCGTAATGATCGGGGGCTCCAAATATTGTTGTTCAAGTCCATCCTGGGCCATTACTCCCGCTGCAGGAGGAACGGTCTTTCAGAGACAAGTCGTTGACGGAGCGGAGAGGGACCGGAGGAACGGGCAGTCCTTTATGACTTTTGACCCACCATGGAGCCCAAAAGTCGCCCGTTATCTTGACATCTCTGGCAGAGTCGTCAATATGGTGCCGGGGCCTTTAGAGGAGGGAGGGGGGTCTGCCGAGGATAGAGAGTTGTAACGAGTGTTCTGTGTGTGTCGAGGGACTGTAGAGGGAGCAGTTGAGATCAGGGAGGGCGGCGATCCACGTGAGGAGAGCGGCCTGCTTTTCTCTCTCTTGGGGTTTGTTGGAGGACAAAGGACCAAGACGACTACATCAGAAGTGCAATAGAGACAAGGAATCGGCCACAAATTGGCAATCGAAGTAACGAACGATGATAATAATTGACAAGGGAGAACTTTGGGCAAGTGATGATTGAAGCTGCGATGTGATGGTATTTTGGAGGAGACGCAGCACCCAAGAGAGAAAGGCTCAGTTGCTGCCGTCGCCGCTGGGCAATTATTTTTCGCAGCCAGTGATTGAAGGGGGTTCGCAGGAGAATAGTGGGACAGTTGGCAAAGGGTAAGGCAGGGCAAGGCACGGGCAGTTCGGTGGTCTGAGGGCCCCGTGAGGATGTTTCTCACTTGAGTTTGTAAGTAAACTGCGTGAAGGCGGGCAGCCCAAGCGCCTACAACCTACCACATCGCTCCCAGTGCGTGCTATTGGCTGCACCTGGGCTGCAGATGCCGGTGATCTCGTTAGGGCGGTTTAGGGGTGGGGCTCGCTTTGAAAGCATCGAGGCACCCAAGAAGTACCCCCCGAAGACAGACCCTACAGCCAAGGCGAGGGCTGACGGGGGCCTGCTGCGTGTCAACTCCAACTCCAACGTCCCCTTCCCTTTTGGCTGCGGCCAGCTAATGCACGCCAGGGCGTTATTCCTGTCGCCGTCTCACCAATAATAACAACTTCACTCGCTCTCGTCGTCGGCACATCGACAAAGATTAACTCAACATCCTTCCTAGTTCTTGCTAGGATCTCGAGTCTCCCTCGTCCAATGTCTGTTTCCGACCTCCAACCCCCCGGGCACCTGGCACAACACTTCCTCTGAATAGCTCACCTCGATGCCGGCCCTATTGCGAACCCGACAAATCTTTCGACCCCTCTCCCCCCTTCGCGAGTCCCTCTATCTGCTCTGACCTCTCATCTCTCTTTTGCTGACAGTCCCTTATTCCTTCCTGTGCATTCTCTCATCAGTCGCTGGTTCGCTCACCTCTCCCCACTTTTTCGATCCCGCCTGTTTGTTGACGGTTTGCTCGGCTACAGCATAGCTGGCTTGTTGCCTTCCTTCCCTCAGCAACGGCACAGACGGGAACTGGAGTGTCGATTGCGTCGACGCGCATGACATCTCCGAGATCATACACCCAAACAAAAATAATGTCAATGTTTCTGAAGTGATGACAACACAATGTGGGAATCCGTCAACCCCTGTCCACCTGTTGGACAGGGCTGGACTGGCTCGCGTGGTCCATCGTAAAGTGTTTGCAAGGCCCGTTCAATCCACTTCGTCATCAGATATACCCAGGAGACCGTGGCCATCCATGGATGACGCCCGTGTGCACCCCAGAAATTTGGCTGCGCTCGACTCTCTTCAGACGCTGATGAAACAAGCAGCGACCAGGTCACCGGTCCAATCAGCCTTCTTGAGCTCGAAGGATGCGTGTCATCTCCCCGGACCTGTGCTGCAGACACCATCGTGCTACCTATCCCTTCTTACGCTCCTACGGTTCAAGTCCTACACATCTTTTTCCCCCCCTCCCAACCTGGTTACGAAGGAAGGACGGTACCTCGTATCACCACCAAGCCACGCTACATAGCCTCGTCGACAATAGTTTGGGAGTACAAGGATGGTGAAAACAAGAACGTCCAGTTCGGTTCACATCCTCTACCACTACACCCTCCTCCTTTTCTTTTTCTAGAGTCGCTCGATCTCCATGTCCAATCCAGAGCTACTGCACACTCTCCACGAAAGCGGGTTTGACTTCGCAAATGAGGTTACAAGTCCCTCAGCTGACCCGTTTCCTCGGTTGGCACGGGTTCAAAAGAGGGCGCCAATCACCTCCCCCTATCTTAGGCTGCACTACTGCATGAGGCCTGCGTTCTTTTTTTTCTGCAACCGCAACCCTCGTGCTCTTCGAGTTTTGCGTTCACGGCGTTCCCTACTCGTAAAAGCGTCCTGCGAAGGATGACTTCCCCCTTGTTCCCGCTCCTGACCCGGGAATAGCAATCCTTCAATGGACAGGCCTAGAAGCATTATGGAAGTAACTCCCACGAGTTTCTCAGAACTTTACCCTGGGAATGATTTCCTGCCGAACTCCAGGTCTGTGTCCATCCGAACCCGGAATGGTTTCAGTTCTGATGTTTTGCACAACACGTGCATCGATTCCGCAACAAGTCCGAGAGGCCCCATTGTGTCGCCTGCTTACATGCCCTCTCAGTGTTTGGCGTCTTGTCTGGAAGTTGAGTTACATATCTCTCAGCAGTGAAAGCTTTTTACCAATACGGTTCGAACCAATGCTTCAAGGCTCTGGAGAAAGGTCTTGCGAAAGGAATCCTGACCCTGGCGATCTCAAGCCACGTACAAACTGTAACAATGGCTGAAGTGACACCGATGCCATCCCTTAGCTTACTTTCCAGCTTTTGGAGAAAGCCCGGTTGGAGAAATGTCTGCTACTACTAGACATTGCGTTCAAAATTCACCTCAACTCTGGGGAGCGGCCTTGCGAGTCGACCAAATCGCAGGACAATGATGGTGGGATGAAAGTGATCTCTCGGCACAAGAGGATCGTACTAATCCCCATATGTAGGGGTACATCAAGAGGGTACTCCCTGACGCCGCGCAAGCTGACCACAGGACGGAATCAGACATCCCATTCGACAGAGACAGGTCGGTGAACGCTGTTTCCATGCAGGGAGACACAGAACTGGCCGTCAAAAGTCCGAAACTATGTCCTCTCTGAATCTAGTCAGCCAAAGTTTCGGTAAATGCCGAGCAGGGAGTTTTGAGAAGCCCACATGAGTACCGGCATGATGCAGCCGAATTATGCGGATATGTGCTCTGGCCCTATCTTACCAAACACGACTTCCCAACAAGGGACTGGTTATTACACAGATGATATGCTCTCAACCACACCCGGGGAATGGGAAATGCGACAGTCGTTTCTGCGAATAACTGGATTGGTCGACGTCTTCGTGCTTTACAGATATTCTTTTCCTCTTAAGGACGGCGCTCTGGACAACAATTGTCCCGCCCAAGATACACCCAATGCACTGTCGGAGCAGGATCTTATGTTACAACCCTCGACTGCCAATCCTGTCTCGGTAAGGTGGTGCAAAGAGAGCTCACCGAACCATTTTGCTCGGTCTTGAGGCTTGCGAGGGTTGGTCAGACTCCTGTTCGAGCGACATTATTCTACGCATTAACCCAGGTCCGACCCTTATCCTCAATGTTATCTCTTACAACGTCTGGAATAAGGCCAACCCAAAGGTTCATGCTTACATGTCCACCCCGGTACTTTGTGCACTATGGCACCCGCTTGTGACCTGCCCACCTATTGTCCTGTGGTCCAAGCTGAATGCATAACCCGAAAGGCAGATGATACTGGCGGATGGTCGCTAGTGGTATCAAAGGGGCTTTTCCAAGATATTCTGTATCGAAAGCGGAAACGGGCGACTCCTTTCCCAGTGTGCGTCCGTCCTGAAGACGTCTGGCGGAAAAGTAACTCCAGAGTCACGATTGGTCTTGACTGCATGTTCGGAAAGTCAGGAGTGATCGCCTGCCAATCATCGAAGAGTGCTCAACAGGAGATCGGAGGTCTGGGCACCCATCCGTTTACGTCTTCGATGGCTCCTATGCAAACCCTGCAGCTTGCTGGGAAAGAGTGACATCAATCATGACGTTCATGCTCGAGTGCAAGGGAGAGATGTCTTACGGGCTGTCGATCCAGCTGACACATGACGCCAGGAAGGTGAGCGGATGCTGAGAGCTTGATCGGACGTGTGGTAAGGAAAAGTTTCCTCATACCGATGAGGTCTTCCCTCTACAAGTAGTAGGTCCAAGGATTGTTCTACTTGGTGCAGAGGAGCAGAGCGGATGATTAACCCCTACTGAGCCGAAACTGTACTTGTACTTCGGCCAAGTTTTGCGATGGTTGATTTTATCCTTCAGTCGTCTTAACTGGCTTTGCAGTTTAGCTTGGGCTTGTACATTGGGGTACTCGTGTCCTGGCATTGGGATGGAGACTAACAGGAGGATCTACCTAACTCCGACGACCTCCTTGGTTGCGACTCCATGCCCCAATCATCACGTAACGGTCTTGCCTCCTCCCATCGTGTGAGAAATCGGAGGGACAAACACGAGACAGGCGTTTCCGTGGGTGTCAGCAGCCTTGGAAGACAGCGACCAGGCCTGTAACGAGTTGCTGCCTGTACATACCTACTGACATGCCCCTTCTCACACCTGCCTGACCCATTTCTGTCCGGCTTACCCAATGGGCTCGAATCTCCCCATATATTGCCTGACCATCCTGGGCGCCGTGGCCTGACCAGTCTTCAGACGCGTCTGATGGGGACGATGTGCGCACCCATGCTCCTTACTTACGCTCCTACATACGACAGCAAGTGTCAGCCAGATCCGCACAGTGCAAGTACACAATGTACTTGTACATACATACCTACTCAGGTCCTTTCTCACTCCTCATTCCAGAATACGACCTGACACAGGCCTGCTTATCCTACCCCTTTGTCACGATGACTTGACAAACACGCCACTGGGGAATCTGGCTGACTGACTATATACGAGTACATACCTAAGTACCTACCTCCTTACTGTGCTTGTACATATGTACAGTACATGGCAAACAATTGAACTCCCGTCGAAGCCACTGCAAGACGGAGAGGGTGGAATAAGGACATCTGAACGTGGATACAGTAATTACACAATACACCGTACGTTCCTCCTATTGATGATCATGATGTTCATGCTGCCGGTTATTATTGGTGTATGTAGACACTGACGTACAGAGAGACAAAACTGGGGATGTATGTTTATTTCTCTTTCAAATCCAGCATAGGTACTGTACATAAACACTGCCCGGGCGGGGTCTAATTGAATATGTGAACAGACGGACACCTCGACCCTTGTTTGTACAAATTCCTATATACCCTTGATACGCACCCCCCGTGTTAAAATCTGAAATAGGTAGAGAGAACCGCAGCCACAATTCGTCGTCAGGTCCTGTAAGGTAGGGTAGAGTAGAGCAAGATAGATAGATAGATATGCTCAGTCAATCGACCCATTTGGACGAGTGAGTATTATGTCCTTGATTTCATTCATGCACGATGCATATCTGGTCCCTCCGTATATACACTGTGTTCCACCATAAACAAAGATAGTAGTGCCGCACTAAAAGAGAGAGATCCTCTAGCGTATATACTTCCTGGGGAGGAGATGCAGAGATTCTCTTTCTGAGAAGAGAGAAAGAACCACCCTGACGCCCGGAGTTTAACCTCCCTATAGGTGCCATTATCTATCTTATGTCTGTCTTAAAAAAAAGCCTGCCCTGTCTCCATTCTCAGTTTTTGGAACTGGCCCTTCACTTCCGTCTGCCCCTCCAAGTGTCCAATCTGTATTCACCGGTGCCGGGTAGTCTGGGTTGAACGAAAGTGGGGTGAAAGTGCGTCGAAAGAGGATTGAGCATGGACGCCATTCTTTTATTTTTGCTCTTGTCTCGTCTCGTCTCATCTTATGTCTACCGTTCTTTCTTCCACTCGCCTTTGTCCCTCAATTGCTGCTCTTCATCTCGCTTGAACCAGTGCACACTCCTCGCAAACCCCTCGTCGAGGCCCACCACCGGCACGTAGCCAGTCCTCTTCATGAGCTTCTCGCACGAGTAATACCTCGAGATGGTGGCGTACTTGACCGTCTGGCGATTGAGCTTGCCCTTTCTGCCCGTGAAGTGGTTGAACAGCTCCGCCGCACCGCCGACAAAAGTGGCGAAGGAAGTCGGGAGGGCCGTAATGCGATTCGGGTCAATCGTCCGGCCGTACCGCGAAAAGAGGTAGCGCGACGAGTCCCAGAAGAATGCGGGCTGGTTGTTCGTGACGTTGAATGCTTCGCCATCGACTTTGTCACTGGCCGGTGCACCCTTCCGCAACCCACCATCGAGGAGGACCTGCGCGGCGGAGAGCAGCCCGAAGCACACGTTGTAGACATAGGTGTTGTCGAACAGATTGGCATTGTCTCCCAGTTGGATATGGAGTTGCCAACTCGGAGCCACTGCTGCCGTCCTGAGAATCGCCCCCGAGAACCCCCCACGGTCACCTTCACCCACGATGCCTGCAGGACGGACTGCGCAGGTCAACATCTTGCCGCCGACACTGTAGTCCGGGTTGGCGTTGGCCTCGAGCACAATCTTCTCCGCGAGGACTTTGGTCTCGGAGTAGTATTCCTTGGGATTTGGACACACGTAGGGGTATCGTTCGTCCGCATTGATCAAGTCAGATTCACCGTCGTGCACCACACTCGCGCTGGAGACGTGCACGAAAGCCCCGACACACCCGCCCCAATCGCCGTGTTTCTTTCCGCCCGCAACCTCCAGTAGTGTCCGTGTCCCGTCAATGTTCACTTTTCTAAGGATGGCCGGAGGGGCTTCCCACGACGGAGAGGCGGTGTTAATGACCACGTTGGGTTTCACTTTCCGGAACACTTCGAGGAGCGAATTCGGGTCGGTAATGTCGGCCGAGTAGTACGTCGCACCGTCGAAGAGGTGTTGAGTACATCTCAAGTCCAGGACATGCACAGATGTGGAGGCCTGATCGACGGGAGGGTAGCGGCTGCGGAGGGATGGGAAGGAAGAGGGGAGGAGGTTGTGGAGGTCGTATTTCTCGGGATTGGGGGTCGGGATGTCAGTGGAGGAGGCTGGTTTCTTCGAAGCACCGTTGTCCCTGGCCCCGTTGGTTGCTTGACGCTGCTGGGGCGATGCTGCAATGCTCTCTGTGTCTGCTTCTTCCGAGGGGAAGTTGAGCAGCTGGTCCACGAGTCGCGAGCCCAAGAAACCGCAGCCTCCAACCACCAAAACAGTGCCGTAGGACCGCGGCGTCATATCAACCTCAAGTACCTTCCTAAGCTCCATTGTTCTAGTAGGGGGGGTAAGCAGTTCAACACGGTCTGGCCTGTACTGAGGGTAGTCGACTCATCTCGATCTCGAACTCAAATTCGAGATCCCTCTGTATGTAGGTGAATTTTTGGGACTGTGGAAGAGATGCGCATGTGTTCCTGGAAAAGTGGGTCGCAGCCCCGGAATCGACGCTCTCCTCGTGGCGTGTAGTTTTACGTAATACGAAATCACATGATATCAACTTCCTGATGGGCGGTATGCCACTGGTTAAACCCTCTCTAAAGTGACAGTGAAGAAAATGAGTTCCATTTCGCCTACATTAGAAAGAGAAAAGCCCTTTTCAGAACACCTCTTCACGTTGTCAATATCATCAGGTCATCACTCAGAGCCCTGCCGTGGTATGGTATCGGTGAACGCGAATATGGTGACTGCTGCTTCACAAACGCTCACCGAGCCCAGATTGCCCCCGTTTGCCATCCTGCTGGTCTTGGTCCTGGTCCTGGTCCTGGTCCTTTTTGAAGATACAGAGTATGCTTGTGAAGCTCCGTCCATCTCCCGACTCCCATGCTTGTGGCAAAAAAAAAAGCCAAAATGACCCATGCTCCGTATTCTTCATAGTGTTTTCCGTTCATTCTTTCATCGACTTTCACATTGTTGTGGCCTCGGCTCGGAATGTGCATTTCACACCTCCATCCCTTCCTCCGTCGTTCGCTGTGCGGATCTCCTGAGCTGCCGGTAGTACCTCTTTTTGTCATTCTCGCTGCCCCAAAGCAACTTGGACGCCTCTGGGTGCACAATCGTCCTCGGGTCATATGGTGGGCTTTCCTCCTCCAGCGCTTCGGCGATGCTCTCGACGTGATTTCGTAATTGTTCTGCTTCCTTGGGGAAATAGCAGACCACACCGTCCTTGGACACCCGATGGTGGTAGATGGGTGTTTCCATCTTGACACGGGGTTGTTCGGCGGGGAACCGAGGACTGACTGATATTCGGATTTTGAAAATTCCACCGTCCAAATGGGTGCTGGGTTTACCGAAGTAGGTCATGATCCAGACATAAGGGTTGTCATTGTCCAGCTCAACCGTTATGTTGTGCAGCTTCTTGCGCTTCAAGTGGTCTGCCAGCTGTTCGAATTGTCGTTGGATCGCTGCGGCCTTGGTCGCCTCTCGCTGCTTCAACGCCAATCCCTCGGTCGCCCAGCCGGCCGTCTCCGTGTGAAGCACCTCTTTGATTCGCACCAGTCTTCTACCCAACTCGCCGTATTTGAATTTGCCGTCCATGGTGTTTCCTCCGCCCTCGAAGGGCATCTTCACAAAGTTGGAGCCATCCTTGTTTTTGGGGGAATATTCTTCGATGGTACACATGTAATGTTCAAAGTACCACAGAAACCGCCGCTTATAGAGATCTCTAAAAGGTGCGAATTTAAGCTTGGTTTGGTCTTCAGGGGGCGGTTCTTGGATCCCATCCACGTCGTCTTCCGACGAAACCCATAGGTTTGAGGTAAACACCGGAACAGCAAGTGAGCCATCTGCCTTGATGCCCAGTGCGTCCTCAAGCTTCCGGATTACTGCTATGCGGAGAGTTTCGTGACGGATCTAGCCCCATTGTCAGTCATAGACCCATCCAGCTTTGAAGACGGAAGTTTATACACGGACCTTGGCACAGTACAGGTCATTCATCCTCTTGTCTTCTGTACTCTTCGCATTCTCGTATCCAGGCTCATTTTCGTAAGGATTGTTGCTCATCAGACTCTGAATCGACCATAATACCGACTCCAGTCCCTGTGCAGAAGACCACTCTTCACCCGGTCTCTCTCCATGCCATGTGCCCAGGATCGACAAGCATACTTTGCCATTAGCGTAGATGTTTGGGTTGAATCTCGTACGACCGCTATTCGTCGTTTTGGCCTCGACTTTGGGTGGTTTGCTAGGATACTCTGATCCAAAATTCACCGCGAAGTCGAAGAAACCGTACGCGTAGGGGCTGCCGTGGGGACCGATGATGAGGGCTCGGACGTGGCGCACGTCTCTTTCCTGACAAGCAACTGCGATGGCTGCAGAGAGGGGTTAGTTGAAGGTAGGAGCTGGAGGATGTGTGCCTGGAGCATGACTTACACAAATCACTGCCTTGTTGAATCTGAGTGATCTCCTGTGCACCGATCGTCAGTGGTGTCCTGTGGTCAATAGAAGCGACCTCTTACCCGGGATATTCTCAAAATGGGTTGATTCGACATGGTGAAAGCGGAGATGGGTTCGAGAGGAGCAGGAGGTGAGTGGTGACACGTCCAAGTTCAGGTTCACGTTCATAAGTAGCACGGAGAAGCGTTATTGCGGGGCAAAGAGTGCTGCAGGTCTGCTCATGTAGATTGTCAAGATGCATTGTTTGACAGCTGGCTCCCTTTACGAAAGAGAGGGGAGGGAGGTGAAGCCTTTCTGGTTTTGCAGTTCAAGGTGAGGCTGTGTGTCACAAGCTGCCCGGAAGCCTGAAGGTGATGTGAATACGGGCTTCCCATTTGACGATCCCAGCTTCGATGGTGCCTGTTGACTGGTACGCAACACGCTAGGCGGCTAGGCCACAGATCTGCCTCGTACACCCGTGGGTGCCATCACAAGAAAGGGAGAATGTAGCTGCGAATTACTTGGGTTAGAGTCCTAGAGGGGCGAGGGGCAGCTGCAACAGGGGAGCCTACCGGTTGCACCAGCCTAATCAGCGTTCCCCGCTGCCTGTAAGGCTGAGAAATGGGGCTTGGGTTATTGCTGCCTAACGACCACCGCAGAGTTCATCGGTGGCCCCGGTACCGCCTGAGGCTCATGTACCAAGAGACCTACCCACCTATGGCGGCACGGGGGCAGGCAGTAGTGCCTGTGGGGAATCAATTAGTGGGAGGGGGAGATGGAGATCGGGACTGGAGCCCACTAACAGCCCACTCGTAGATGGAGACTCGTGTTGCCTTCTACTAGTCCCTATGCACCTATGTATAGCCTCATCACCAGCCGGCACGGTCTGATGTATTCGTACTGCGTCGTCACCAATAGATATTTGAATACCTGAAGCCAAGTAGTAGAATACCCTCCATGATACGGGAAGCTTTATACCCTGAGACACTGATCTTAATCCCAATACGCCCATTTCGCTCCGGGTATCATCCATCTCGTTATCCTAAGTTTTTCGATTCTATCCTCTTTTCCATCTGACGACAAGCCTCATCTAGGCATTCTCGTGCGTTGTTGTGGTGCAGTTGTACATATACATGGTCGCAGCTCGTTCAGAAAGACTTTTTCTCCCTCAGATCCAACCAGGCCGCCCTCTAGTCCCATAATTTCGTTTAGTGTTTCTTCAAAGATCCAGATTTCATGATACAACGCGGTTATGTTCCTTTCATTCAGAATCGAGAGTTTGGGACTCCGTCTGCCGACATCAATATTTCCTGGCTCCGGTCAGCTTTTTCCTGGCCGTGCTGTACTCATGCTCCAATCGCTTATCCGTCGGCCGTCAGGATGTAGCCCACCCACGTCTTGTCGACTTTGAGGCCGGTCACTAGCCGGAGTTGCAGATGATGTGACATTTTCCGACGGCGGAGTCGATGACACTGCCATTCCGACAATCGACGGTACCAAGACTTCGGCGTTGGCATCGACGCCAGCCAGGTCTACTGCAGCGAGCGTCGCTTCCGGCGGCGGGCCAGGAAGTTCTGAGAGAGGATAGACTAATCCGTCAAAGCTCATCTCTGGGGACACGGTTCCCAAGGCTATAGAGCCGTGGTCCTGTGTGTTGTTGAAGCGGTACACATTCTCTTCCGTCAAAGCGAACATCGTGGAAGATCTGGCACCTCCAGCGGCCGGTTGGACAAGATCGGATGGATGAGGAGTCGGCATAAAGTCACCATCGACCATGATCGCGGGAGCGATCATAGATGGACGATGGCTTAAGTCAGTCACCGATAACAGTTTAGCGTCCCGGAGTGCCTGCGCTTTGTCTTCGGCTTCGACTCTCCTCATTGTTCGATCCCCTTCTGTCCCGCCTCCCGGGATCTCCTCAGCAAGGATGGCCCTAGAAATGCTGGACCGCAGCGCGGCAGCTTTGCCGTCTACACCAGTGGCACTGTCTCCTGAGGCACACCGGTGCCGATCTGCTGGGGCGAGCAAAATGCTTGATTGTCCATTTCGAGCAAAGAACTCGGTGGCAATGGCATCGGCTTGCCCGCAAGTCGACGAATGGTCGGTGCACGCGCTGCCGAAGGATGGTTGCTGAGATTCTGTGGGAGTTTCTGACCAATTCCGGTGCCTGAAGCCTTCGCGTGCCCTGGATATCCATTTCAGTATGGTTTTCTCCAATAGAGGCCGCTTGACTGGTTTGGCCATATAGTCGTCCATTCCCGCCATCTCGCACCTTTCTCGGTCGCCCTGAATCGCCGAAGCAGTCATGGCCACAATAGGAATTTTCGAGATTGCCTCAAACTCTGTGAATGGAGCGTGATGCCTAAGCAGGTGTGTGGCGTGGTAGCCATCCAGGACAGGCATTTGCACGTCCATTAGTATAAGTGAAGGAATCGGATACTGTTGTGATTGTGCTGGAGTAAGGTCGGGCGAAGTGGCCTTGAGAAGATACTCTAGGGCTTCTCTGCCATTCCACACGGCAATAGCAGAGAACTTCAATGCTTTGATGAATCTAAGAGCAATTTGCTGATTGACAGGATTGTCTGAGAACTTTAGCCTCGAACCGACATGTATGGGTTCTGCATTGCTTACCTTCAACGACCAAGATATGTATCTGATCTCTCTCTAGTTCAGGCATGGGAGTTCCGACTCCTGGACTTGATAGCCTCGTCCGAGCATGGTCGCCGCCCGCACTTGTGTCTCCGGATGACCTGGCTAGGGTCATAATTTTGCGATGTTTTCGAACGTCTTCGTTGGACGAGTCTTTGGAGCAAGACAAATCAGGCTGTGTCCGATCGGGTATCGTGCCGACTTCTCGCTCAGGCACAGGAGATCCAGTTTGATATTCAAGTTTCTTGAATGGAATGGTGAAAATAGCTTTGGTCCCTGCATCAAGCTTCGAATCCAGACGAATTGTCCCATGCATCAGGTCTACCAAATTTTTGGATATTGTCAAGCCGAGACCGGTCCCTCCGAACCGCCTCGCGGTGCTTGAGTCTGCTTGGGTGAATGGCCTAAACAATCTCTTCTTGACTTCTTCTTCTATGCCAATGCCGCTATCTTCAACACAAAATTCGATCGTGATCGTGTCGTTGGATTCGGAAACGATGCGAGTGCTTAGCTTGACGAAGCCCTTGGAAGTGAACTTGATGCTGTTGGTTACGAGGTTGACCAAGATTTGTCGAATTCGGCCAGGATCGCCCAATACAATAAGTTGCTCGGATGAACTGATATCAATGGCACTCTTGAACTCCAGTCCTTTACGTTGAGCTGCAAATGAAAGCATTTTGGCAACCTCGCGGAGTACGTGGTTCAAGCTGAACTGCACCTCCTCAATGTCAAGCCGGCCCGACTCGATCTTGGAGAAGTCCAAAATGTCGTTGATGACGGTAAGAAGAGAGTTGGCGGATCTCTGAATGTTTTGGGCGAACTCGCTTTGTTCCAGATCCAGGCAAGTATCCATGAGCAACTCCGACATTCCCAGTACTCCTGCGATGGGCGTCCGGATCTCATGAGACATGTTGGCGAGAAAGCTGCTTTTCATCTTGCTCGCTTCTTTAGCCGCGGTCTCCTTCGCAAGCAATATAATGTTTTCTTGCTCTTTGTGCCGCAGGGAGGTCACGTCAGATCCAATGACAATAACTCCCGCAATATAGTTTTCATCTTCCACCCTATTGGGGCCGGTTTTGCCCTTCAACGGTACCATCTTGGATCGGAACCATCTAGAATTCACCTCATTCTCGCAGATTTCCAGGTCAGAAGCTCCGGATAAGATACGAGACAGAGCCTTGCTGAATTGATCAATAGCCTTCGGCTTAAGACGAGTGCGCAAAACCTCAAGAACAGGGGCTCCGATGATCCTGTCGGTTGTCGCATCGCCCATGACGAAGGAGCCTTCATGGAAGCTGACGTTGAGCTGCCGATCGAGAATCCACATGGTCATTTGCGAGTGTTTCAGCACGTCCAGCAATTGTCGTTGAACCCTTTGCCCGGAAATCTTGGCATCGACGACTTCCTGGATATCTGTACACGTGCCGAACCATTTCACAATCTTGCCTGTCTTGTTATCACGCATAGGCAAGGCTCTCCCGAGCATCCATCTCCATTGTCCGTCAAATCTCCTGCAACGATACTCCGTAATGTACTCGTTTCCGGTCTCGAGAGAATGACGCCATCTGTTGGTGGTTTCGGGCATATCCTCCGGATGAAAAGGCAATTTCCATCCTGAACCCAGGGAAGTCGCTGGAGTCATGCCAGTGTAGTCATACCATCTTTTAGAGTAATAATCATGATAGCCATCGGCTCTCGTGGTCCAGATCATTTGTGGCATCATATCACAAATGAGGCGAAATTGCTCTTCGTTTTCTGCTGTTTGGTGTGCAATCTTTTCGGTATATTCTGTGACGTCCTTGAACGCTATCAAACCTGCAAGAAACTCTCCGGACTTTTCGTCGTAGACTGGATGTCCGCTCACGTCGAAATTGGACTTTTTGCCCGTCCTGTCGTTGATGAGGCCAATCTGCCAATTTGTAAAAGGCTGCTGAGTTCGACACAGAGCGAGGACGGGATTGGTGTCCTCTTGAAGCTCTCGGGAGAAATCTGCAGTCCATGGACGAAAGCGCGACATGAAATCGTAAGACTCGTCCGAGGTGGGATCAGTCTCAACCGCCAGTAACTTTCTGGCAGCGAGGTTTGGGAACACCGCGCTCTCATCTTTCCACATGGCAATCAGGGGGATTTCGATTGCGTTCAGCATAGCGTTCTTCATCTTCAGGACCTTCTGAAAGTCTGTCGGGACGGATGGGGCGGAGCACTGCGTTGGAGGGGCGATGGGAGGAAAAGAACCTGCTTGTGGCTGTTCTGCGGGCGACGTGACCTGAGAGGTCCCAGTGGAGGAGGCAGGTGTCTGGGAATGTGATGAACGGGAGGACCTGGCTGAATGGGACGAGGGATGACGAGTAGTGCCCGATGAGTGTGACAATGGTCTTTGGGAAGTTTGCCCTGCTGAACTTGTGAATGTCAAAGTGAAGAATTGTTGTCCCTCTAACTCCCAAATACTGATTATCATTCGACAAGTGATGTGGACAGGACGATGGGCCCTGCTAGGTTTCTGTCGACGACTGCGACATGGTTTTTGGGCACGATGACTGGAGATGATCACATCGACGACGGTGTCTCGAGTCATTTCAGTCCGATTTTGCAGCTGCGGCCTACCTCGTGCAGCGGCTTCGGCAACAGCAATGGGAGTTGTCTCTCCGCTCTGTACATCGCGCAGCAAATTCCTCGAAGGCATCTTTTCTCCTGCAACAGGGTGCAAGTCACTGGCAAGGTTGTCTAGAAATCTTTCCCAGCTGACCCATATTGGAACGCCACCATCCAAGACCATGTCAATCCCTAGTTGAGAAAGTGTCTGGCCCTTGAGAAAATCGTTATAATTGAAGTCAGGATCATCTTGATCCGCCCCCAACAGCCTTCCCACAGCAGAATTGGCCAAAAGGACCGTTTTCAAGGAGGAGAGGACGAGAATTGGTGTCGGCAGCTTCGCGAGGGCTGCCAGTGCAATCTCGGTCGCCATGGGGAGTTGAGGCAGGTCGATGAAGAAATCGTGGGCAGAAGACGCGGTGGCATTGCGTTCCTCAGCTTCAGCAGCGTGAGCGGTGATGGTGGTAGTGGTGGTGATTGTGGTGGTGGTAGCAGCAGCAGCAGCAGCAATAGCAGCAATGGATTGTGAAGAGGCTTGAGATTGTACAGAAACACCAAGGTCGGGCGGTCTGAGTTCGACATCGACATCGCCATCTCCATCTCCATCTCCACGAACCATTTCCAAAGCAGCAGGTGTGGCTGTAAGGGCGATTGGAGGAGAGGGATCAAGAATCCTTTCGGCGGGACTCGGCCACCAACAAGCGGCATGTGAGGTGACGTAGGAGGCACTGGAGACACTGGAGGCCCTGACGAAGCCAGATTCGGGCCAGTTGGTCTCAGATCATGGGCAGCTGAGAGGGCAGCGACGGCGACATCGTCCTGCACCATGTAGTAACAATGGGAGTAACAACAGCAGACATCGGCGGGATATAGGGGACTTGTATTAGGTTGGGTTCGTGCTTCTGTCCGCAGTTAGTTGAGTGTGTCAAGGAGGAGACAAGAAGCGGCTCGGAGACCCATATGTCATGGAACACGCAGGCGACCGACGTAGTGGCTGATGGTCGGTGGTGGACCGGTGGTGGTGGGTGGTGCGCACTAGGGGCAAAACAAAGATGGGAAATTGAGATTTCCCTCACTTCCCCATTTCCTGCTCTCCTTCTCCCTGCGTTTCCTGTTTCCCACTTTTCCCTCTCACTTCCTCGTGCGCCTCTGCCACGTTGCCGCGGCAGCATGTCTTCATCGTCCAATTCTCGCTGCCCTGGCCTCAGGGACAGAAACGAGACGTTGTGCAGCATCCCAACCAAGTCCCTCCCGGCGAGCCGCAGTCACTAACCTCCCACAAATGAAACCACTCCCTTGTTATTCGTCGGATTACTGATATCAGCCAATTGAGGATGTCATAAGAACCGAAGGCAATCCGTCCCTCGCCCGCTTTTCCCGACTCCCCTCCACCCAATCGTGCAACTCTACCTCCATGACCGCCAATCTTTAGCAGCTCCGGACGCCGAGGCCACCCATTCTTCACCAGTGTACGGTGGACGCAAAGCCGACCACTCCTCAATGAGCAACCGGTGTCTTTTGGGTTTGCCAGACGGGTCAAAAAAGACAAGTAAAAAGACATTGTGACTCTCATTTAATGATTTGGAGAGCAACCTGATCACAGCCCATGAGAGGCCTCGCCCATAAGGAGATGTGAGTTGTTTTCGTGTTCTCTCGAGTTCTGAGTGCTGGAAACTCGGTGTTCGCTTTTATGCTTTTGTGCTTTTGTGCTTTTGTGCGCTTTTGTGCTGTGCTCTGCTGTGGCCAACACGGTCCGCCCTCGTCGGCCGCGAGAACGACTACGGGAGACATGCAGTCTGTATGACAATCCTAGCCTCGGCTTTATTACGACGACAGAAGGCCTTAAAACGATCCTTCGACTTTACTATATAGGACCGATTTGTGGCTCATCGTAGGTGGCAGCCTTTCCCTTCCGCAACAGTTTCGTCAGAAGGCACTCTTGTCGCAAACATGGCGCCTTCTATCCCCCATGCCCTCGCCCTTGATCTATCTCAGTACCCCAGCCTGTCGTCTGCTCAGCTAGGCCATCTGCGCCATTTCTACAACCTTGCATTCCAGCCAGATGGAGAGTGGGCAAAGATGGGTGCCCAAGAACCCCTTCAAGAGTTCCTAGACGCCTATCGCTATCAACTCGCCACAATGGCCTATGCCGTCGGTGTCGCTCACTATCATCGATTACCGGCTCTTCGCACGGTCTTCAAACCACTCCTCCGCCAGCTGATCCATAAGATGTTGCGTAGGGAGGTCTGGGCCTACTGGTTCAACACCAGTCTGGGCGGCAAGCGCACCGATCCGAGTTTGCAAAAGCTCCGAGAACCGTGGGCCGACCCTGTCGTGAGAGAGAACATCATGTACAGCGGTCATCTTCTATTGATGACCAGCCTCTACGCCATGCTCTTCGACGACGATGAATTTGAGAAGCCTGAGTCTCTTGTCTTCAAATGGGACCCTATGTTCTTCGGTCTTGGCGACGAGACTTTCTCCTACGACAATCGCAGCCTTCAGGAAGCCATCATCCGGGAAATGGAGAGGAATGGATGGGTCGGCGTCTGCTGCGAGCCAAACGTGGTCTTTGTTGTCTGCAATCAATTTCCAGTACAGCCCCTCCCCTCTTCCGCCCGCCTTGGGCTGATGTGTTACATTTACTGATACTGGGCACAGATCATAGCCATGAAATACAATGACTCTCGGGACGGTACGAACAAGGTCGAGGAAGTTTTGACCAAGTACAAGGCCGCCTGGGACAAGAAGGGCATGGTGTCTCCCGATGGTCTCTTTGTTGATTTCTGGATGGTCAAACAAAATCACATCGTCCCCCCTTCAGATGTGGGATGGACCGCATGGTAGGCTTTCCACTGCCTTGACCCATTGAGGCCTAACTCACCGACTCTTAGGGCAGGTGCTTTTATGAACTCCTGGAATCCGCAACTTGTGGAGGCTCTCTATCCGAAACAGTTCCCTGGCTTCATCACGAACATCTCCGGTCGCGTCCGCTTACAACCGCCCATTGTAGCCAACCACTACCGCAAACTCTCGGCGGCGGCGTCCTCGTCTACGTCTGATGAAGAGAACTTCCGGCAAGCCACTGTTCTTGCCAAAGCTGATCTTGAGAAGAAGCCTACGCCGCCTTTCCCGTACACCAAACCCTGCTTCGGATACGTGGTCCAATGGCTCTCCGAACTCGGTCGAACAGAGATTCTCGACGGCCTTCTCGCATACGCCGACCAAAACCTCAACCCCACATGGGAGAACGGGGGCCTGTTCTACCCTCGCAACGACACACCTTTTGTCTTCACTGAGGACAACCAGGACGGCGAGGGTGTCAAATGGACACATATCTCCCCTTTCTGCGGCAATGCAGCGATCGGGTACGCACGACTCAATGTCAGAGATGGACAGCGGATCATGTACGAAAAGCCCTGGACCAGGGAGTCTCTGGCCCACACGCCGTGGATCGACCACCTCGACTTCGCAGGGAAGGAACACGGGGTTGGTGTGCTTCGCGGCGTGTGGGATGAAGATGCCCATGTGCTGATCCTGACAGTGAAAGGATGGGACTTTGAAGGACGAGGATGCCCCGAGGCCGTGACCATTGAGCCTGTGGCTCGGGGTCTGCGTCCAGGAACTTGGGCAGTCTATGTCGACGGGAAGTTACACGCCAGCAGGAAATTGCCTGATCAGGCCGGGAATGATGGGTTTGGGGTAAAATGTGAAGTCAAGAGGGGCCAGGAGGTGGACGTGGTGTTTTTGCGGGTTGATGGTGGGATGAACGGCCATGCTGGCGGTTACGCCAACGGCCATGCCTCTTGAAAAGTTGCGAACGAGAATGCCATCTGCCATTCGGCCCTTGAGATCTCAAGCATAAATAGACATGGACATGGAGGCATCATCATTATCATCTGTTCATTACATCGATCGACTAGTATTAGAGTCTCTGATCAAGGGGAGTATAACGAGAAGACGAAAATCTATCTATCTAGAGCCTGAGTCTGAGTCTGGTCTATCAATGCAGACAGACACACTCACATGCATCGAGTCATGATGTGATCGGACGTCACAGAACGCCATCGCTATGCTTCCATCCGCTCCCAACTCCACACACTGCTTCATTGGGCATACCCATCGTCATCATCAGCAGGAAAGAAATTTACAAAGCAAAGGACGAGGGGAGAAACACATTGGCACATAGAACCGTCTTTTACACCTCAGCCCAGATCAAGACTGTGACGCTGCCGGCTCTTCAAACTTGAGTTCCTGCGGGCCGTCACCGGCCATCTCTTCCTCATCTCGAGCTGCTCTCTCGCCACCACCGATTTTGTTGTTGTTGGCCTTCTTGACCGAGACAATCAGGCCCTGCTCGGTCTCGAGGCCGACGTTGAGATCGTACGCCTTGATGAATAGACTCGCGGCGAGGGAGAAACCCGCCAGGGCGGCGAGGACGATGTAGACAGTGCGCAGCGAATCGGTGTAGGCGGTGCGGAGGGCCAGTTTTCCCGGGCCGGCCGGGGTGCCCCTGATGATCTCAACGAGGGCGGCGGCGTCCTTGGCCAGCTCCGAGGCGCGCGCCGCGTAGGCCGGGTACTTCTGGAGGTTGGAGACCATCTGGTTCTGGAAGATGACGCCGCCGATGGCCACGCCCAGGGCCTGGCCGAACGAGCGGAAGAAGACGAACATGGACACGGCGAAGGCCATGTCCTTGTTCGTGCTGGCCGCTTGCACCTGGAACTGGAGGCCCGGGAACAGGATGCCCAGCCCGATGCCTGACACCAGGTTGATGAAGATCCACTGTGGGACCGTCGTGTCGACGTGCAGGATCGTCTGCAGGCCTAGCCCCAGCGTCGCAATGCCCCAGCCCGCCCAGATGGCCCAACGGTACGCCGCAAACTTGGTGATCAGCAGGCCCGTCACCACCGCCATGGGCGCCACGGTGAAGGTCTCGGGGAACAGTGCGACGCCCGACAGCACGGGTGTATAGCCCTTGACCGCCTCAAAGTACAGAGGCTGGTAGTACAGAAGACACCAGAGGGCCATGCCGTGGAGGGTCGTCGTCAGATAGGCAATGTTGGCTGTGCGGTTGCCGAACACCGAAAGTCTCAGCAAGGGCTCGGGCGCGAGGTACGCCTCGTAGAGGCAGAAGCCGATCAGACCCACGGCGCCGACAAGCAACGGCACCAGCGTCCGCCACGACGACCAGCTGTACATGACACCACCCCATGTCAAAGGGATGAGGAAGCTCGTCATGCTGCCCACGAAGATGACGGTGCCGAGCCAATCCACGCGACGCAGTTTCGCGGCAATGCTCTGTGGGATGACGTTGAGACGGAGGAACAGGGGAATCATGACAGATCCAATGCCGATGAAGGGGAGATTGAGCCAGAAAATCCACCGCCACTGCACTTGGGCAAAGGCACCACCGATGATAGGACCAGAGACGGAGCCTATGGACCACATCCCTGCGATGATGCCTGCCCATTGACCTCTGTAGCGAAGGGGGACAAGGTCGGTAACGACGATTTCGGTCATAACCATGACACCTGTTTACTGCCAGTCAGAACCAAAGTGTCTGCAGATGCGATTGAAGGAGAAGAGGAGATATGACCTACCACCTCCGCCAATTCCTTGAACTGCCCTTCCCGCTAGGAGGAGACCGAAATCGTTCGACAAGGCTGACATCATGACCCCTACGAAGAACAACGCCACAGAGACCATGATCACAGGCATCCGTCCAAAGATATGGCTGAAAGACGCAAAATTGGGTTGGAACACTGTCGAGGCGAGTAGGAAGGAGGTGCCCGCCCAGAAGGCTTCGATAGCAGTTCCATGTAGTTTTCTGGCGATGACTGGAAGGGCAACACTAATTGACGTGCCGTCAAGCGCCACCATAAGTGTCAATACCGCCAGAGCAGCAAAGGCCAGGATGAATCGGGTTGAAATGGTGAACTCGGTCGAAGCAGGGGTGCCATTGTTGTTGCTGTTGTCGACGTTCGTCTTCTCGGAAGTGATGGAGGACGAAGATGAAGTTGTTTGGGATGCTTGCGTCTCTTGAGTGGGAGGCCCATCCTTCATCTCTTCAACAGGCACAGGTGGAACATCCATTGTGGAGGAAGGTATTTCGCAGCTTGATGGCCGGGGAGTGTAAGGGATGGCAGGGCAGGGTCGGAGGTGAACAGGAGGAACTTTATGAATATTTTGAAAGAGACTTTGCGCCGATGGGATATTGTGGGTACCAACGGGATACCTGTTTATATTGGGAAGATAGCAAACAAAGGGACAGGCAAAAGTAGTCACTGCTTTGGCTTGAGCGGGTTTGTGCAGTCCAACTGCCTCGCCACGATATATACCATTTCATTGCATACTCACCCAAAAACCAGTCGGTCCGAGCGGTCTCCATACCTACAATATTGCTGACTATTTCGTCGGAATGATAGACGGTGCGTCTTGCCGTCGATGTAAAACAAGGACATCATGGTTCTGGAGCGTAGCGACGAGGCTGCCATGAATGAAGCACCACATTGGTTGTTTCGGTGCAATAATTTTCGAGAATGCCGACTTTGGCCGACGGACCAACTTCAGGCCGCCCATCGATATGTACGTACCGCGAAGGCCTCCTTTCGATGGGGAATTTTCAAGCGTCATTGATTCGGCACAGTTCGTTTGCTTTGACCCACGCCCTTGGTTTGGATGGTGATTGGGGCCGCTGCCGAATGCGACAAAATACGAAAGTCTTGTTGGCTCAAAGGCGATGCGAGGTACGACGTCTAGCTGCTATTCTCCGTACACATCTTTTAGAGCCGACTTGCCTCGACCCATGAGTCATCTCTTTACTCTCTCTTGCCCTGAGGTCTCCAGTCTCTCTGTTCTGAGGTATAGCATACCTAGGGATTGCCGGATTTGAGTCTGCCTTGGAGCCAGAAGGACTCGTGCAAAATCACGCCGGTCGAGAACCCAGTACAGGGTCATCGATCACCTCTGCCGGGTTTCGAGATGCTAGCGTCTGGACAAATCTGGCGACCGCGCGCATCACGTCATGACGGAAGATTCAGAGACCGTGTGCCTGATTATGGTTTCATTAGAAAGGGAGAAGATGGCGGAAGAGGTGGACAAAACGCCCAAGTGGACTGCGGACAAATAGTCGGGCCGACCACGTGACTGATGACAATTCAAAGGGGACGTATATCTCCCCACCAGGGGAGCGTCTCACAATCAACAACAATGGAGCAGATGTGTTTTCAGGTTTGCTATTGGCATGCCCGTATCTCCCCATAATGAATAATCCAAAAGTCAAACTCGTACTGCCAGCATATTCATCGTGACCTCGTCCCTATTGTAGGATATCTGAGTCCGCATCCAAGGAGATGCCTCCACTCAAACAGCAACCTGCTTCAAGCTCCACCAAGATAGGACAACCCCTTCTGGCCTCCTCTCGATCCAGCAATCATCCCGACGGATTGGCGGCGAAGACAGCACCTACTCCGGCGCCGTAGGCAAAAGTGTTCCAACTTGGCTTCTTCCGCCGGGGAACTGCTTCTCCGCTGTCCCTCTGGACGAGCCGCGCTGCATCGGCTTCCAAGTCAGACAGCGTTCTTGCCTTGGGCTTGACCTCTCGATCGGTGACGTCGACATATTCTGGCCGGTCTTTGTGGCTTGCTCTGCGCTCCTTCATCCTTGGGCCCTGCATGTTGCTCTCGTCGGTCATATCGACGAATTCTGGACGGTCCTTGTGGCCTCCCTTGCGCTCCTTCCTGCCTGCACTGTGCATCCTGGTCATCTCAGCGTCGTTGGATTCGGTCGTGTAGATGGGTTGTTGCGTAGGATCGTGGACCTTGTGACTCCACAGGTTGGTGGAGCGCACCGCCGGTTGGGTCGGATCGTCTATAGTTTTGCTGTTTCCGAAGCACATGTTCGCAATTGGGGAAGGGGCCCGACTAATGTTCTTGACTGTTTATCTTGGGCCACGGACAGTGCAGTCAGTTAGGGAGCAGTGAAACCGTCTGGAAGCTGTTGCGATTAGTTGGATAGGTTATTGCGTGAAACTGTAGTTTGAAAGGACTGGTGAGCACGAAGATACAGATGGGGCTGCCAGCGTCGAGTAATTCATTCAATAAAAAGGGCAACGAGCAAGTGGTGTGAAAGACTCCGAAAATAGCTCTCCCGAATACGACAACGGCCCTGGCAGTGTCAAGAGGTAGCACTGACAAGCGAGAAGCAGGGGAGATGGAAGAAACGGCAGAGCAGGCTTTCTGTAGGCGTTGGGAGGATAAAAATAGCGAACCCCATGATGGTTGTAGGAGAAGCGAGGAGGTTAGAGGCATGAGATACAGAGGACGAAGGGGTTGTGAATGGTGTGTGGCGAGTAGTGAGTATAGGGAACCAAGCACCACCCCCGCATCGTCATTGTCCTGGCATTTAGGCTGCGACTGCGCCTAGTGAGCCTCACTAGCCCCAGTAGTGAGCCCCTACCACGCCTGGGAACGCCTACGCATGTGACTGCGCTTGGAACGCTTCTCTGCCGTGTCTGCCTCAGGCCACTTCAGCCTCAATGATTCACTCATCAACGGCAATCATCCCCTCCCTTCATTGGCACTCCATCGATATTTCTGTTCTCCTGAACCTCTGAACCGTGTGAACCTCCCTCTATCGCATCGTGCCTGGATTCACATCCAGCAATCAGTCGAGGCCACTACGTTGCTTCGCCTTGAATTGAATATCCCCAGGTGTTCACACAAGCCAGGTTGAGAAGGTGATGCAGCAAAAGAAACACATAACCACACTTTCGGTTTAATACTTCACCACGGTGTCGTGCAAAGATCAACCTCACCCGCTGCATCTTCTGCGAGGTGGATCTCAAAATATAGCCATGGACAAGAACCAATGCTTACAGTCCGAGTGAAAGTGTCAAGAGTGACACCATTCTATATCTCCAGGAGCATTATGACACGAAGCACGTTGCCATATTATTATTGTCTGTGGATGTTTATACGCCAAGTGTACCACCTTATGCCTGTCTTTTGCGACTCAGTCTAATGAATGTCTGACTCGAATGCCGAGGTCTTGTTTCCGTCAATGCGGAGTCGGATACTTCAAGCATTGGGAGGCCTGGGCAAGCCTTACTCCACCTGAAGAGCTTGAGAGGAAAACGACTGTGCCTAGTGCTCCGTACACTGCCCTGTACCTTGTCACTGCCTCGGTCGAATTGGTTGGCTTCGTTGGAAGCATGGTTTCATGTTTCAGCGAGTACTTACAAAATAACAAACTCGCCTGAGACTTGCCTGCATTTGGTTCAATGTCCTCCAACAGCACATTATGGCTCAACATATCATGACGGGGCCGTTTTGCCCACCAGCGCCCAATGACAAAATCACGATCCCAGAACTAATGACGAAGTACAACCCCGATTCCGTTCCTGCAGACAAGGTGGTGCACATCGATACGATAGCCAACAAGAGTCTCACGTATGGCGGCCTTCGAGAACAAGCTGCCAGGTGTGCGTGGGGACTGCAGTACAGATTGGGCATGAAGGAACAGGATAGACTGCTGGTCATTCTTCCCAACTCGGTATGTCGCCTGCAAGAACAAGGAGTCTGCAGCTCGGTCTAATCCATCCTGTCATAGACCGACTTTGTCATCCTCGCACATGCGACATTGTGGCTGGGAGCAGTATTCTCGTATGTCTGCCCAGGTTTTTGTGGATCATAGATATCTCACGACAATGGCCCGCAGGCCCCTTAACCCGTCATCATTGGCCAAAGACATTGCCCATGCTCTGGAGCTTGTCCAGCCCAGTCATATTGCCATTGATCCTTCCAAGCTTGAAGCTGTCAATGCTGCGTTTCAACAGTTCAGTTGGGAGGAAAGTGCACGCCCGCTGGTGTTTACCGTGCTAAAAAGATCTGGTAGTCTCAAGCTGGTGAGATTTTTCCAGGTTTTGTCTAAACATCACGACCTGATACTTGGTAGTTTCCCGACGACGTCGCGGGCCAGACCCCCGACCAGTCGCTTCCAATCTTCGACCTTGGAGGGAGGAGTACCAAAGACGTGACTGGAATGATTGTGTTTTCGTCTGGGACGACCGGAAAAATCAAAGGTGTTCAGCTGTCCCATTACAATCTGGTCTCCAATATTGTCCAGACACGCATCTCAATGCCGTGGATGATGAATCACGCCTCACGCGAAGTCTTCTTTCCCCCATGTAAGGGTCCAAAGTCCGAGTGTCGCAGCATCGGTTCCACGAGTCTGACAGAATTCTCGCAGACTGCCATGTCTACGGCCTCGGTGTTGTCGTGTTCTGCGGCATGTGGGTAGGCTCGTTCACCTGTGGGATTCCGGCCTTCGACCTGGACTTGTTCTGCCGGAAGATGGAAGAGCATCAAGCGACATGGGCGCACATAGTCCCGCCTGTTGCCATCCAACTAGCGAGCTCAGATGTTGCAGCAAAGTACCAGTTGTCGTCGATGAAGATCATCCTGATCTCGGCAGCTCCGACTAAACGAGATCTCCAGATGAAACTCAAAGCAAGGTTTGGAGGGGATGTCAAGATTGTGCAGGGTCGGCCACCAGAATATCCCTCAAGCGATGTGTGCTGACTGTTTCAGGGTATGGAATGTCGGAATGTTCACCAACAGTGCTTCTGCAGAGCCCCCTTGATGACGAGAACAACATTGGGACTGCAGGAAAGCCGGTTGCCGGGACGTATGTAACTCCCTGCATTGTCTCCGCTGGTATCTGCACGCGGCTCGGATCTGATCTGTTCAATCACTCGACACAGGGAGCTTCGACTTGTCGACCCAGTAACATTGAAGGACGTTACCCCAGGCGAAGAAGGCGAACTTTGGGTCAGAGGTCCTCAGACAATGATGTCAGTTTTTGCTCGTCTGGCTGCTCTCTTTTACTGACAATTAGCTAGGGGATATTATAGAAACGAACAAGCCACACGAGAGACTTATGTCGGTGACTGGCTGCGGACCGGCGACATCATGCGGGTGGATGAGAACGGCAACTTCTGGGTCACAGATCGTCTCAAAGAGGTAAATGCAAGCTTGCACACTCTTGAGATGTCGCTAACCTGGTTTTAGCTGATAAAATATAAGGGGTAGAGGATCACCTGGACATCTTCATTCCACATTCGCTCGAATGCTGACTACCCACTAGTTTCCAAGTGCCACCCTCGGAACTCGAAGACCTGCTCTTGAAACACCCCTCGGTGGTGGACGCTGCCGTGACTTCGATCTACTCGGACGAGCAAGCCACCGAGCTCCCTATTGCATACGTGACACTTCCTGCGAAAACACCGCCGTCCCAAAAACAGAGTCTGCTTGCTGAAATCCGGACCTGGGCTGACGGGCAGGTGGCAGGGTACAAGAAGCTGCGCGGTGGAGTGTTCGAATTGAACCCTCTGCCCAAGACACCGTCGGGTAAGATTCTGAGAAGAGAGCTGCCGTGTAAAAAGGCACAATCGGAGGGACGAGCAGCGAAGATATGATCCTGGCTTATAGTTGAATTGAGATTGTCCGATAGACGTAGAGGCTGGACCATAGATTCTGTGATTCTGTGATTCTGTGATTCTGTGATTCTGTGATTCTGTGATTCTGTGATTCTGTGATTCTGTGATTCTGTAGAGAGAGAGAGAAACAACAACCTTGACTGTGCTGTACCTCATCATCATATCTCCATTGAAAGACCACCGGACAATGCCGGACATATCGTCTCTCTTCGGCCAGTTGGCTGTATATCGCCCCGTCCCCGGACCGGTCGAAAGCTGTCCGGATTCGTCCATGTGGGTCCGGCTCTTAGCATAGCATTTAATGGTATTTGATTGGTTGTAGCGACGAGCTGTCCCACATTAATGCCAGATCGCGGAGTTAAAGGACCAAACAATATCGGTACATAAGACTTCAATGCATGCATGGCATGCCAAGTACTATACCCCATGGTGGAAAGGCTATTATATAAAGATCGACGACGAGATACATTCTCTCATCCTTAAAGAGAGACATCAGACCACCACAAGAACTCGTACACACACACTTCCTCTCTCTGATCAACTAACAACTTGTTTACTTTATCTACTGTGTTCTCCTCTCCTCATCTTCAACCGAAACCATGTCTCTGACCAAACCCCTCCCCTCCCTCCCCCTCGGCAAGAATGGGCCCGAGATTCCGGCCATGGGCATTGGGATGATGTCGCTGGGCCACGCGTACGGGTCGGCGGGCGGGGACGAGGAGCGGCTGGCGTTCCTGGACGCCGTGTACGACCTGGGCGCCACGCACTGGGACGACGCCGACCTCTACGGCGACACCGAGACGCTGTTGGGGAAGTGGTTCACGGCCAACCCGGACAAGCGCAAGGACGTGTTCCTCACCACCAAATTCGGCTTCGCCGGCCAGGACGCCAACGGCGGCTACATCATCCGCAGCGACCCGGCGCACGTCAAGGCCGCCTGCGCCGCCAGCCTCGACAAGTTGAAGTCTGGCTGGATCGATCTGTACTACTGCCACCGTGTAGACGGCAAGACGCCCATCGAGGAGACGGTCAAGGCCATGGTCGAGCTGAAGAAGTAGGTAGTAGCCCATCCCTGCCTCCCAGTGTCCGGAAGAGATCCCTCGGTCTGCAGTTACATGACGAAACTAACGCATAACTATTTACCAAAACAGTGAAGGCAAGATCCGCCACCTGGGCCTCAGCGAAGTGACGGCATCCACCCTCCGACGCGCACACGCCGTGCACCCGATCGCGGCATTGCAGATCGAGTACTCGCCGTGGGCGCTGGAGATCGAGAGCAACGGGGTGCTGGCGGCGTGCCGGGAGCTGGGAATCGCGCTTGTGGCGTACTCGCCGCTAGGACGCGGGTTTTTGACGGGCACCATCAAGTCGGTGGCCGACGTGCAAGGCGACTTCCGCGCCATGCTGCCGCGGTTCCAGCCGGCCAACTTCGACAAGAACCTTGTATTGGTGCAAAAGATCGAGGCCCTCGCCGCCGCAAAGGGCGTCACCACCTCCCAGCTCGTCCTCGCCTGGCTGCGCCGCCAGTGGCCCGAGGGCGTCCACCTTCTCCCGGGCACCCGCAGCGTCGCACGTGTCAAGGAGAACCTCGCGGCCCTATACATCACCCTCACCGACGAGGAGGACCGCGCCATCCGCGCCGCCTGCGAGGAGTGCACCGTCACCGGCCTCCGATACCCTGAGGCCATGGAGTATATCCAGGCCGGGGAGACTCCGGAGTTAAAGTGAGTGAGGGATCGCCTGCAAGGAGGGCAAGGAGGATGGAAAAGGAAGCAGAAGGAGAGGGATTAGAAAAATGAAAATTGGACGGATGGCTGTTGGACAAAAGAATGGAGGAATGATGGGACACGTCGCTTCACTCACCCCCAAGAGATATATATCTCTCTGTGTATTTCCATGTGTCTTTTAAAAGTGAATTCTCCAGTATTTTCCATGTAAAAGCCACGCAGCGCATGAATGCATCCTGAGAGTCAATCCTTGGGAGACACTCTCCAGCCGCATCCCCGTGCTGCTCCTCACCAGGGACTATTGGGATCAGCCCTCTTGTGGAGATACTAACAGTACCTTACATTTGCATGAGGTACATAAGATTCAAAGACCGTGCCCGGTAGATGGATGGATGAATGGATGGATAGACGGATGAGAAGGATAGATCCTCTCCCGAGATAGTATTCATTCTGCTCATGTCATCATATCATATATCAGGATGCACTATATCCGTGCTGCTCCTGTCCGTGTACCTGGTACAGGGATTGAATCGCGGTGTCAAGTCCCGTTTGCACTCTCCTTGCCTTGCTTTACCTTACCTTGCAATCCTTTGTCTGGTCACCAAAGCAAAGACGGCGGTGACGGTCCCAATCATAATTACATAACGCTCGCTTCACAAGAGTCCCAAAACTTCAGAGGGGGTATTTGGTTTGAAAATCCATCGCTTTACTTTTCCTGTTGTTTTTTATTTGGGTTCCACGCCAAACGAGAGAGACGAAAGCCTGGTTTGCGAACAGCTGTGCAAGGCCAGAATAGCTGGCTGCTGGCAACTCGAACCAGACGGGCCTGTTGTATTCCCTATTCAATAATGCTTGAAAGGCACTCCGCCGTGGTTGTCTTCTTCATCTTCATCTGCCCTTGGGAGTCAATTGGGAGACTCCTTCCCCGTACTCGCTATGTGCAAAACCATCACCAGACTCCGATTTCCCTGAACATTTCGTGCTTCGCTTCTTCTGACGCATCACTTTCGTTGTGGTGGCAGACTCGTGTCGGACATCTCCCCGCAAGGGAAAAAGGAAAACATCGTCTAGACTTTCAGGTCCTTTTCTCTCAGACCGACACTGCCGCTGCTGTTGCCGCTGCTGGGGCTGGCGAGTTCCTTCTCCGTTGCCGTCTTGACGACACTCTTCTCGGTCATTGTCTGCGCCCCACTAACTCCGTCTTGCGGAATCTCCTCCACCACGGCACCACGGGCGTCGTCCGCGTGGATGATGTCGAGGGTGTCGAATTGATGCGTCCGCCACTTGCGCACGGGCACGTGCTTTTGGAAGAACAACTCAATCTCCAGGTGGCTGCGGCCGGTGGTCTCGCCCACGCAGAACCACACGTACGCTAGAGTGATGCACGTCGTGCCCGCATACACGAAGCCCAACATCGGGCCTAGCCCGCCGTTGTAGTAGATGTAGGGGCTGGTGAAGGCGATGACCCATACGGTGAAGAAGAACGAGACGATCGACGAGCTCATGATCTTGTTGCGGTTGCGGCCCACCGCCATTTCCGAGGCGATGGTGAACGCCAGCGGTCCGTGGCCGAAGTTGAACGCCACGATAACGATGTAGGAGATGACGACAATGGTCGTGCTGAAACTGGTCCTCGTGTACGGCCCGGCGCCGAGCCCCCCAATGATGATGTATGCGAGAAGCATCATAATGGTGGTGACCAGGAGGTTCGACCGGCGCCGCACTTTGTTGCCCAGGAGTACAGACACCCCCACCGCGATGACCTGCAGTGTGTTGGTGATGAGGGAAATTGTGAACGCTTGCTTGATGCCAATAGACTGTGCAAAGACGACACCGTACGAGTAGAAGAACTGAATGCCGTTGATTTGCTGGGCCACCATTGCGCCACACGAGTAGATGAGCTTTCGTCGTTCAATCGGGTCTCTCACCAGTGACATCCAAGACGACGTCGCCTCTCGAAGTCGTTCGGTTTCGACCATGTGCGTAAAGGCAGCGATGTCCTCCTCAGGCGTGTACCCAGGCATGCTACGGTTTGTCTTCAGGAGCGCCTTGCGGGCCTTCTCTGGCCGACCACGACGGATGTACCAGACGGGCGACTCCGGGATGAAGATCAGGCCCACGAGCATGAGGAGTGGCAGCAAAGCCAGCAACCCCATCGGGATTCGGTAGGACGCAGTAGTGCTGATGGATTCCGTGCCTTGCGTGATCCCCGAGCCAACGAGCTGCGAGCATGACTGCATGAATTGGAACATCATCAGGGCAGGGCCTCGAATGGCCTGCGGCGCGACCTCCCCAATATACAGCAGGCACGTCACCGTAAACTGGCCGATACCGAGACCGATCAGTATACGGCCCAGGCAGATGACTCCCATGGAGCCTTGGTCGGCACATTGAGTGATGGCTCCGGCAATGATGCACGCCGAAGCACAGAGAAAGACGCCCTTGCGGCCGAAGAAGTCGTTGATGGGGGCAGAGAGGAGAGCACCGACGAGTTCTCCCACGTAGATGATGGATGCCGTGAGGGAGAGGAAGGTAGTAGTCAGTGCGATGTTGCCGTGCTTGTCATGGGTAGTGCCATAGTCGTGCACGAATCTTTTCATCCCCAAAACCCCGGTGTAGTAAATCTGGTCGTACCCATAACAAAGAGCGCCGAGGCTGGAGACGGCACAGAAAAAGAGGGCCCATCTGTGGTGACCCCAGTTGATGTTGAACATGTACATCTTCATGATGGGCAGTCTCGAAGACCCGGCCGACGTGGAGACAAGGTTTCCGTGACTTTAAGATGGTGGAAGAAGGAGCTGAGAAGCTGGTACATGGACAAAAGAGAGGCCCATGGTGGGATCATCCAATGCTTTATACGACAGACAAACCATCAGACCGTCCTGCAGTACTGTTCCCTGATCGAGCAGAGAAAAGATCGACTGGTCACCGCTGAGGTAGTTAGCACATTGGTTGTCTGCCACCTGTCATGCCCCCGGACTTCTGAAGCATGGCGACGGGTAGTGGCGTCAACCCAGACTAGGGTTTTTTGAGTTGAGATAGCGGCGGGTGGGTGGTTCAGGCGTTGATAGGCACGGGAGGATATTCAGCTAGACGCAGCTTAGCTGATTTGGATGCCTTAGGACTCCTTCGGATACCCTAACAGACCTCTAAAGTACCCTAGGATAAGCGTCAGACGTCTAGCCCGTCCCGCGGGTCAACGGGTTTGGAGGATGGCTTGACAAGGGCCAGAAGGTGGTCCGAGCTCGCCTCTAATACTGCAGGCTTGCAAATGCGAAAGAATTTCTCCACTTTTTTGGGAATTTCTCTCAATTGCAGGGTTTTGATGAGGGCAAGCGATCAGCTGGTGGCACAGCGGATAGTGGCCGGCTCAGTCTTCGAATCGGCAGGACTCAGGATGTTGCAGCTTCGAGACTGTTAGGAGACTGTGCAGCGATGAATCTCCTTGCACGTGCCACGACGGCAGCGCGCCAGATAGCATCATCACCAGAGAGAGCCAGCAGTGCTGCTCCAAGGAAAACCCTTCCATCTGTTTCTCCCCTGCAGTTGGATTGAGTGCCGAAAGGAGATTGACGGGAAACCCGTCAAGCGGGACTCTCTTCAGATCCATAGGCTCATGGCCTTCACGTGCATGGAGGCTTCTCTCGGGTTTAACATGATCCAACGGACCTTCCCACACTGCGTGGAAGGGAACAGCCGTCATGCATCGAGCCATTAGAAGCGAGAGGTAGTAAAGGTCCCGAAGGTTATAGTTGTTCGACAGATTGGAGAAGGCCAAACAGCCTAGCAGGCCACAAGGAGTGTTTGCACGTTAGCATGGCTCCCCTGCCCTGTGGTTGGGCCACTCAGCTGCAATAGTCCTTTGTTCTGGACTTGCATGTTGAAAACACTCCAGGACGGGGGCCCAAGGTCCAATGCCTCCTTTCAACCAATGATTCCCAGGCTTTCCGATCCGTATTACCACTGTGTCGGGACTGTGCCGGGTCCAGGGTGAGAACTTCACTGTTGTTGCTCTCGTGTTCGAAAATTCGGAACTGACACGGCCGAAGCGACGTCGTTTTATCGGATACGAAGTCGCCTTCGTCTCGAATATGGAAAAGCTGAAAAATGTCCGGCTGCATATCTCGAGCCGAACACCCTGAAAACGAGCACCTTATCAGCCTGAGAAAAGCTAGCGGCTTACCTATCAGAGTAAGCAGGGGCTCTTCTCTCAGTGCAGTAATCAGAAGCACTTGTCCATAATGTCTTTGAAGTCAAGTAGACAGAGAGCAGAGGATAGTAATCTCACACAGATCAGGACTTAGAACCATACTTAGAAGAAATAAATACGCTTTCGACGACGAGATAATACGGCAGTGCTCGTCCAGCGGCTTAAAAAGGGCAGATCGAGGAGCGACTTGGGCGTCCCAAGCCACGGGAGGACAACAGTAAGGACAGAGGCAATGCAGGAAAAACACCCACGACTCATGTCAGAAATGCATACCAAAAGCTTTCATCTCCTGTCGCACGAGTGTCTGTCGAACATCGTGATAGTGATTGCTCAAGAGTAGAAATGGAAGGAGGAAAGGAAGGTGTAGAGTGATTTCTTCTGTAGGACGACTGTTGGTGCTGATCCGTCAGCTCGCATTCCTTGGAAGAATCTCCATCTTGGCCACGAATTATCGAACAAATGGTAAGTTCCAAGAAGCTGTCCCAGGGTGAGCTCGCTCTCTGACACAAGAGATTGGTCGACATGCTGGAAAATGGGGCCCTACGTTCGCAGTCAGCAGCAGTAGCTAGTCAATCACCGTGCTCGAGAGGCAAGCTCTGGCAAACAATAGCCAAACATATGCGGCCGTGTAGGAAACATGGTTCAATATACGCTGTCCCTATCCCACTATATAAATCATACACAGCTCGGAGCCTCCCCGTCGGGGCTCCCCCGATTGGGAGAGGACCGGATTCTCGTTATCCTCATGTTCATGAAAAACTTCCTCGGTTGTTTCAAAACTCGTTGGAGGAGCAAATCTCAGATTGTCGGCATATGGTTCGGTGTCGAGATAGCGATGCCGTAGATCCACTCCGTTCGTGAGCCGACGAACTCCCTGAAGCCACCGGGTGTTCATAAATCCTACAAATACCCGTTCCAAGTCGGTGTCTGGCTCTGCAAGCTTAAAACTACTCCCCGTGAGGAGTTTCGATCCAAAGCTTGAGGCGGACTTAACCGTGCGGAAGAGTGCCCCTCACAGCAGAAGGTTCCGGATTCCGGGTCATAAATGCTAAGATGCATTATATCATTGGGCTCAACAGTGGTTCTTCTTTCGACGGGATAGACGCTGTTCTGTGCAGCATTGATATTGCAGCAGATGGACATCCAGGTCGTCCAAAATTCATTGACGGCATCTCGGAACCGTGGCCAGAGGAGTTACAGCCCGATGTTTTACGGGCTTTCTCCAACGAGCTCTCACTCTTTGCCTTGTGCAGGCTCAACTATGCTGCCGGCGCCGCATATGCCGAGATCACAAACAAGCTGCTCGACAAGGTGGGAATGAAGCCAGAAGACATCGAGGTGGTCGGTTATGACGGCCAGACAATCTACCAAGAGCCTCCAGATAGGGAGAAGGAAAGACGATATATCGCAAGCGGGAACAAGAGCCTGGTTGATCGGTGGACAAAGGGTGGATTTGCATGCGGCCTTTTCATCGTCGAGTCAGGAGTTGTGACAGCCTTGACGGACATCACAACCGTCACACAGTTCCGCCCACTTGACCATGCATTGGGGGGTTCAGCGGCACCACTGATGCAATATCTCGATTTTTGCTCATTCAGGAATGAAGGACCCATCGTTTCATTGAATATCGGGGGTATTGCCAATCTTCAGCTTGCTGACGCAGACCGGAATGACATGATGGCCTTCGACACCGGTCCAGGCAATGTGATGATCGACCACGTGATGAAAGTTCGAGAAGGTAAACCATATGACGCTGGTGGTACACTCGCAGCCACAGGTCAAGTCATTTCCGCCCTTCTGGAGAGGCTCGAAGGACATCAATTCTTCCTCCGAAAGCCACCTCGTTCGGCATGGCGGCTCGACTTTGGGGGCCAATATGCGGATAAAATCCTGGATGATTACAAAGATGCATCAACCAAGGATCTGTTGGCGACCCTCACGCTCTTCACGGCAAAGTCAATTGAGCGATCGGTCGTTGACTTTATACTTCCCAAAGCACCTGTAAAGACCCTTATTGCCAGTGGAGGAGGGACCAAGAACGACACGCTCATGATGCACCTGAAGGAAATGCTGGCCTTGCACGGAGTGGACCTTCGCATGAGCGATGAGTATGGGCTTCCTGCCCCGTTCAAGGAGGCCATAAAATTTGCAACCTTGGCATTTGCATGCAAGAACGGGCTTGCAAACAATATTCCCGCAGCTGGCGGAGCCTCCTCCTTTGCGGTCCTAGGCAAACTGAGTTTGGCGCCCAGACTAGCAAAGATGGGTGGTGCCGTCCCGGAAAGTAACGTCTTTCCAGAACACGAAATGGACCAGAGCTGACCTACAGTAGGGGTTCGGTACCAATACGATCAGGAAGTGCTCCCTGAACGAACTCAGTGATTCTCCCACTGATCAAGTCAACAAGCGCTCACTGACGCGTTCTTGAGAGGTTTGTTTCTGCCTCTCTGAAGAGGCAAGCGTCATTTAACGGGCTCAGCAGGTCCCGATTGAGTCAATCCGTCTTTGACGAGAGGAAGCTTCCCAGGTTAGGATTTGCTTTTGGTCTAGATCGAGACAACGATAGAGCTAGCTCTGGATGCTGGGCTTGCTCTGGTGGCTCTTCACAGAGTAGACAGGTGAAGTAGCACGGCCATTGTCGGTTGATGGACTGGTTGTTGTGTTCCTCTTGAAATTTCGTCGAATGTGTTTGAGGATAGTCAACGTCTCGCGAATGTTGGGAGGCCTGTTCAAGCCATGCTCAAGCACAGCTTCGGCAATGTCAAGTAAGCGATCTGGATCTCCGTAGCCTTGGAGGAGGACGGCTATCGCTGACTCTTGAACCTGAAGTATGATTGCATAGGCGGCAACCAGGTGCTGAAGGTTGCTCCAACTCTCGAAATATTCGTGGCCTTTGGTTTCACGCGCTTTTGAGTGGAGGAGAATGATCATGGTCGCATTCTGCACGCAATTATGGCAAGATTCAGAGACCCACGGATCCAGCCTCAGATCGTGCTGAATGGGGCCGATATTGCCGGTGGTGACGGCATTTTGATATCTCACGTGTAGCACATGGTACAATATGGGGCGATTGACGAGGAATATAGTAGCATAATATCGAAATCTCAATTCGTCCTGGAAGCATGAGCAACTTGCACGGCAGACAAGGAGTCTTGGCTTACCATGATGTGCCACGAATCGTTTGATGCCAGATAGAAGGATGACGAGTGTCGTGGAAATCTCATACTCGGGGGGAGGGTCCAGTACCACATATCCAAACGCTGTCCAATCTCGGTAATGACCCCTTCAACGTCCTCTGGACGGCAATAGGCTCGATCAAGTTTGTACATATGTTCTAGAATGGTATTCATGTACGCCCTGAGCTGCAGATGCGCCTGGAGTTCAAGGCACTTATAATTATCTGCTGATGCCGTGAACGGTTCGTTCTCAAATGGATTGGGAGGGGCGATCGTTGTGCTTCGGGTCAATGCCGCAACGATGAGCGAATGCAGGCGCTCCGAGGGCACCCCGTCTACTTCGCTCAGGATATCGCTGATCGACATTAGAATAGACCCATAGCGAAGATTCAGTCCAAGATACCTTTCCAGGATATAGAACAGATACAGGTAAGCTTCATACTGAGCTTTGACAGCACTAAAGGCGTGTCAGTCGGATGCTGGACAGAAGTTTGGGTGCGCGTTCTTACGGATTTTCGTCAGGTCTTGGGGCGGTATTCCAAACGAGAGATTCAAGGTTTTGCAGGATGCTCAAGGCATGGTGAGGTTTACCATACAGATAGAGCATCATGATAACCAACAAGAATCTGAATGGTAGGGCTTGTGGGGTTTGGTGGGCTTGCACCACCCACACTTGTTGGAGTGCATGGCGGAAAGAGACATCTGCTTGATCACCTACGGTCCTCTCCCCTGTTTGAATGGCCCTATGTTTGAGAGCGAGAGCCTGCACAGCGAGCTCCTCGATGGGCTGTTTCTTGAAGGTGAGCATGATGTCGTGACCCAGAGACGCGCTCGAATATCGGCGAAACACGTCGCGGCAGACTTCGTGCGACAGTCCACCGTGCAAAAGGAGATGCCTGAAGACGAAAGGTAAACCCTCCTTGGTTGCAAACAAGGAGTCGATAGATTTGAGCACGGTGGAAACAGGGACCTCTGCAGGAATGGGGAGTTCGAAAGTCGAACTAAAAAGACCTGTATCATTGTCGTCTACCCGGCCGACGTATTTAAGCGGCTCCAAGCCAGGGATGCGGAGGTTCACGGTCAGGTGTGCCCAGTAATTGAACATTTTGTGAGCGGCAGCGTGGTGGAACGATGGTATCTTTGGCCAAGTATTGACAATCAGAGGCGTGCCGGCAGAACCCGGATCTGTTCGACCTTGGTCGAGGACTTGTAGGCGCGCCTCAATTTGTGTGAGACGAGCCAGAACGGATGCATCCCTTCGGATTCGGGTCAGTGCAATAGTTCTCTCCTCGGCCGGGGCCTGACGGGGGCACTCACGTCTCCAGGCTGGTCATTGGGGGACGATAGATACATTCTAGCGCCATGTTCTCGCAGTGGGAACATGAAGGACGACGACCATCACACCTCGACTTGCGCCTTCGACAGGTATCGCAAGCCAACTCTGTCTTGTTGCGTTTCGGCCGGTTATGACGGTCCGGCATAACCTTTGGGGACATGGGAGACGAGGGAGGCGCGCAGCACTCTACACGCGCGTTAGGATATGCGAGGGTGGTTCGATCATGTCGAGTACTTTCAGTCGGAGAGAAACAGCGCTTGACCGACGAACATATGGCTGTATAGAAGATTGTAAATGGTCTGTTCAAGACTTGAGGCCAGAAAAGAGTTGCAAAGCGGGAAGTTAGTCGATGGAGCAAGCTGGGTGGACCGGACTTCCAGAGAGTCGATGGGACGGGGAAAGCTTGTCCGGCAGACGGTGCAAAGCTTTCGACAACAGAGTTTCTACCGGTCCAGATGCAAAGGAGGGAACCTGGGGTCAGGTCCTGGCTATTCCGTAGTGCGAGTGCAGCTCTGGGGGATCGCGAACACCTGGATAAGGTACGAGTCGTGTGTTGTCGAGCTCGAAAGGCCCGAAGCGGAAACGCGGGGCGGAGGCTGCGTACTTTGCCGTAGAATCCGGCTGTGATTTTACTGCGGAGCATTCCCCTCGAGCCACAAATCCGCCAATTGGCATGCGGCCCTCATGCACCTCACCTGCAGCTTGCATCTGCACCTCGTCTGCACCTCACCTCCCATTTCGCCCCTCCCTCCCTCAGTCGATTTCCAATGTAATTCACCGCAAGTCACCTTCCCTCTCTTGTTCATTCGCAGTTAGCTCTGGCCTTCCCTGGTCTTCCAAGCACCATTCCTCTGCCGTGGTTGGGTTGGCCGTGCTCTTTCCAGCAACCACACTGCCACATGCATCGGCCAAACCCCGTGTCCTGCTATCATGCGCCTAGTCATTGGCGCTTGTCTCCAAGCCGCTGGACAAATATCTCCGTCAGTCTGGTATTTAGGCTTTGTAGAAGCCGAGGACCCTTGCCTTCCTTTCAACAAGTGTCTACCTGAAACGTATTCGTGCTTTGACGAATCTGAATCGGCGATTGTTCTGATAATTGTCGATCAAAGGCGTTCTATCGACTTGCCAGTGCCATTGAGACCATCTTCGTTTTCTCTTCCCCCTTCCCCCCCTGCAGGTCTCGAGTGGATACATGAGCTTGCAGTGTCTCCAATTTGGGGCCAGAGACCTGAACTGAGGCAGGAATGCAGTGCCAAATTGGCGGGGGGCCGAATGCCCCTCGACAGTTCCGGTCAAGGATCAGACTTAGCATCACCGTAAGTTGTAAAGATCAGCGCCGGAAGAAAATGGTGCATTAAGAGGAGCTCTTTGACCCTTGTTTCAACACCAGTCGTCACGGTTGTCCTTCTTTCTAGACTGGTGTTGGCGACCCAAAGCTGCGTGGCGGGATTGCAATTCCAAACATCAGGCATCCAGTCGTCAACCTGGTCTCATTACGTGTTTGGGGAAAAACAGTGATCTTTGGAACGACCTCGAGCAGGAACATGCAGACAACACATCCTTGCTAGTACTTGCGGAATGACATGGACAACATGAAATCTCCTGCGGAGAAGCCACTTAGAAACCCCAGCCCCCTTCAAGACTAGGGGACGTTAGCACCAACGAAGCATGGACCTCCGATGGCATTGAACACCAAGACAGAAAGCTTTCGGAACCGACAACTCTCTCGATCAGGTCGCTAGCGAGGCAAGCAGGAAAAATGCTTCAAGGGCAGGGCGGTCTTGTGGCCATTACAAGGCGAACCCTAGCTGCGGCTTTGCCTCTGAATGATCTGTCTCATGCCTTCCTGCTCCTGCTGACATGGACCCTCTCGTGAGCCTTTTCGAACTATAGCTGACGGAGGACACTTAGTGTTCAGCAAGGTGCCCTTGTGGTCTCAGCAAGCATCATATCGCAGAGAACAGTTCAAGGTTTGACATTTCCTTGGTTTTGTTATGGCCAACAATATGTGTCTCTGTTGGAACGGCTGCAACTCACGCATGTCTGACCGGATCCGGGTCCCTGTTAATTGCAAATGGGCATCTCGCAGGGTCTTACCTACGGATGGTGGCCTAGGTCTTGTGATGCGAGTTGAGTGAAGACGTCCGGCCAGAGTTCCTAGGATTGACCGCAATGGGTAACCAGGTCACCGCTGTTACAAGTGTGACTGCAATGTTTCAACCCACCGCCCTGATCGTACCCTTCGTTCCGAGAACTGGCGAATACTCTGTGAAAAGCACCTAGATCCAAGATCTCTCTTCTTCTTGGAGCTACGACTCTTTTGATTCTGGGGCGATACCTCAAGCGCAGCTTCTGCGGCTTGAGCAAGCCCGATTTGACTCGGATAATGGCTATGACAATTGAGCATAAGTTTGACAGAGCGATTTTTGATGTCGTATGAACAGCTTCACCAGGCACTCAAGGCATACCGCAAGATAAGTATGCTTCACCTCACAAACTTCCAGACAGATGGACAGATTACAATACTGGTCACCCTGCCCTACTGTCTACTGATAACATCAAAGCGTTTTCGAAGAGAAAAGACCTCCTCGATAACGACATGTCCCTCGAAAACTTTCTGCCTTGTCTTTCCCTTGGATAATACGATGGTGTAGCTGGGGACTTCGGCATCGCCGTGTCCTTTCTTCTCCGCTGTCACGAGCGTCTCACACATGTTGCGAGAGGAGCTTCTATTTCCAGGACTCGTTTACCGCTGACGACAGGAAGCAGTGGTGCGAGTTCGGTAAAGCATGGCGGATTAGTTGAGCTGAGCTGGAAGCCAAAGTGAAGAAAAATGATTGCATCTGGTCGACACCGGGGCCGACCATTCTAAGGATGTGGTTTCAGCACTTTGCGGGCGTGAAAAGGTGGTTGGATATGCAAGGGAACTAAGTGCTGAATTGGAAGACTTGATGTTCGCAACTGATGAGAGGGTGTCTTAGCATAAGTCCGACTGGGAACAGGGAACTGGAGAGAGAGATATAATTGATCGCTACAGCAAAACCGTCTGTCGAGATCAAATGGCATCACCAACCCCTAATTCGGCCTGGTGTTGGTGAGGATGGTTCATATGTCGAAGTCGATCTTGATGTTGACCCGGGAAAATCTTGTCATTGTTGTGCTCAAGTCAGATCTACGCATTTGAAAATAAAGTGATCACCCGCCACAGAAGGTCCTCGGAGCGAAGGCAGATATGTACATTGAACGCCATTGACCGCGTCAATTCTTGAAAGATCGAGGAAGCAAGTCCCCGAAAGAACAAGGCGTTTCTTGCCCTGTAGGAGAATGCGGACCAGTAGAGGACCAAGAGTGATACGGTCCAGTTGGTTAATAAACTCTAACTGCTTCCCGCACTTTTTTCTGGTACTCGGTACCTGCTTGTACGACGACGGTGCGAAGTACAGCATATATCAGTCCAGTCTCCGGAACATCTTCAGTCTGATAAGATTAGATACATCATCGAGAAGGGAGTTGACCACGCCCCACTCGAAGGCCCACATACCTCGGCCCTTGGCACACGTCTCTCTATGTATTACAGTGTCAAAAATTGTCCTGAAAATAGGGCGGTGGCATGGTGTAATGGTCAGCATGTATCGTTGTGGTTTTGTGCCTATCATTCTCTGGAATGATAATCAGCACTCCCAGCTCCGATCCGATCCCGGTTCGATTCGTACGTCTCTTGTTTTCCATTGAACTACATTCAAATAATTCTAACACATAACAGCGGGTGCCGCCACGACAGGCGGATAAGCGTCCTTTATTTTTTTCGCTTCTTAATTTTTTGTCTCTCACTCCTTCTCTTTGCGTTACTAGTTTCTTTGTAAGTCTGCCAAATCCATGGCCGAGCCCAAGAGCACCTTGCCACATAATATCACGCCAGAGCTATTATTATTCGCGTGACTGGATGCGGCAATAGCTTCGCAGGAAGTGTGGCGTCATGCCACGAGCGAGATTCAAAATAACATTACAACCTCCATTCTAGAATCTCCAAGTCAGTCTTGAGTTATTGGTACTTGTTCTTCTATGCGGCGCAGCTGAACGAGGTTCTCATGAAAATGGGATGCTCCTTCTTCCGCCACGTGACTGTCTCGACGGGTGCCGTGACTGTGTGGCGAGACGAGCTCCTCTTTGACTTCGGTGCACACCTTATTATGGGAGTCCTATTTCGAAGCCCGTAGATTTTCGTCTTTCACATGTAGGTAAGCTTCCATCTTTCTCTCACTCTCACAAGGATCCATCTGGCCCACAAAATCTTGGGAAGGAAGTAAGTTGCAGCTTGCCGCTCTACAGTATGTAATGTGCTGTTTGTCGCCAAAGAAGTCGGCCTGCGCCGTCAAGTTTTGGCCACAGGGATGGACTCACAACTCCAATGTCGTCCAGCAGAGGGTCCCCGAGAAACCAATGCGCGACGAGAGTGGGCCTGACACGATCTTTCACTTGACTCCATGAATGAAATATCTTTTTCACATTCAAAAGTGTATAGATTCCAACTCCCTTTCTCTTTTTTCGTGTTTATGTGGTGCATATTATCTGCCCACGGGCCTCATAATCCTGCGCCATTGATATCGTCTCCGAGAGGGAGGGGGGAGGTTCTTCGCTGAGTGAGGTGACTGCGGACGGCGGAGATGAGAGTATAAACTCTATGGGATAGATTCTGAACCGCGAGGGCGGATTCTCGGGTTTCACACCAGACTTGACGTGGTGCAGATCAAGGCTCCAGATTCCCCACCAGCGTCAATTCCGATCTGGACAATTGTTTTCTTTTCCTTTTCTGCCTCAATGAAGAGGATCCGTGACACCTCCCTGCATCCAGAGAGACAGAATGCACAACAGCCCAAGATATGCATTATCTCGGGAACGGGAGACATAAACCTGCGACAATCTTGGGGACACGACGCAGAACGACATCATCGAACCCTGCCTGCAGGTCATATCCTCCTTATCCGGAAAAGCTGAAACAGATTATTAACCAAGCCACCAAAGTGAAGGGCTTCTCCCCTAAGGGGCCAGTGCGCGTCGGTCCCGTTCGGGAGCTGCCATTCTGGTGCCAAATTTGGTGCCCGGCAAACCTTGCGCAGAAGTAGTCGGCCGAGCCAAACCTCGGGTTTGATCCTCAAGCTGTACAAGGGAAGTCTGACACGCCCGATCAGAACATGCTCGCCTCTCCCTGACTGGCTCTTACGCATCTGACTTACTCATCCTCTGGCGTGGATCTGGCACGACCAGCTTATGTCATTCGTTCCTAACCAGCTCCATGGGAAGCCTCACCAAAAGGACGTGCCGCGAGCGGTGCTTAGTGGATTTCAACCCTGTCAAAGCGGCCGCATTGTCCGGATGGAATACATCCTATTGGTTGTCCCTATGCCTTGATTGAATGTCTTGTGTCCCGATGAAGGCAACGTCCACCGAATCTATGAGATCTGTAATGCGGGGGGAAAACTACCTCAGCGTTTTCTGCCATCTCAATGTGTCCACGGCAGGGGTTTGGGGGTTTTGGTGAGCTGCACGGATGACGCGGCGAAGAGAGAGGTCAGTCTCGAGTCAGGATTCCAGCCCTGAGGCTGACCAGCCGCCCATGTGAAGGCCCCGTGGAAATAGCAAGCCAACATGCAAAAAAAGGGCGTGTCTCAACAGGGGAAAAAGGAGAAAAATCTGTCGCCATGAGGATGTCGCTGCGATAAGGAGGCCTGGCTGGCGACTCTCCTGCAAGTCCAGTCACCGGAGGGCCAATCGCCTGGACGACGGCCAAACGTTTGTGTGATCAGGTACCATCCGGGAAAATGTGCGCGACGCACGTTCTGTGGGCGTGCAGCCCCGCTAGGCCACATTGGGTATCCATTGGTTAGGCATGACGTTGTGGCTTGGCGCCCGACAAATCGCGCACGGCGATACGTCGGCGGAGAATTGTCGGCTCAGCCAGATCCGGAAAAATGCCCTGATTGTCTCTCGCAGCCTTGCCCGGCCATGCACACCATGAAGTATATATGACAACAGCTGGTCCGCCCTTTGCCGCTGGACTCGTTGCTGCTCATATCGCATTGACATCTGTTCAATTGCAGACTACACAAAGGACTCTTGTCCTATTTCACCGATAACACAGAATACCAGTCTCATCACACACAGTATACAAATCTCCACCATCATGTCTCGACAAGTGACACGGGAGAATCCTCCCGAGGGTGCCAACAGCCCCGAACTCGCACAACACCAGACCCTCAACCTCCAGCTCCTCCGGACGGAGACCCGACAGACGCTGGCTGAACGTGGCATTTCACAGTCACCTCCTCCCTTGGACCCCAACTACCCCGAACTCGGCCGGCCCGCAGAGCCCATCTTCCCCGAAGAATACACGCTCGAGACAGAGACCGGTCTCGTGCCGGAACGCACCCTCGAAGAGATCCGGAGCAGAGTCTCGACGGTGCCTTCCCGGAGACGGACCCGTGCCAGCACCCCCTCAGAACCGGACCTCGAGAAGGAAGGGGTGGAAGAACCGGTCGAGTTCGTGACCTTCAAGCTCAACGACCCCGAAAACCCGCACAACTGGTCGCGGCTTTTTCGGTGGTACATCACGCTCGCCGCGTCGTCTCTGGTCGTCTGCGTCGCGTTCGGCTCGTCGGTGGTTACGGGCGGCCTGGGCCTCATTGAGGACAAGTACAACGTCTCGCTCGAAGTCGCCATCCTGACCTGTTCCATCATGGTCTGCGGGTTCGCCGTGGGCCCTCTGCTCTGGAGTCCGCTGTCCGAGATCATCGGCCGTCGACCCGTCTACGTCATCTCGCTGTTCCTGTACACCATCTTCAACATCCCCTGCGCGCTGTCCCCCAACATCGGCGGGCTGCTGGTCTCGCGGTTCTTGTGCGGTGTCTTCTCCAGCTCCGGCCTGTCCCTGGCCGGCGGCACCATCGCCGATATCTGGAACATTGAAGAACGTGGCATGGCCATCGCTTACTTCGCCGCAGCACCGTACGCGGGCCCCGTCATCGGCCCCATCGTGGCCGGCTGGATCAACGTGGGCACGGGCCGGCTCAACCTGTTCTTCTGGGTCAACCTGGGCTACGCCGGCTTCATGATGGTGGTGATGGGCCTGATCCCGGAGACGTACGCGCCCGTGATCCTCAAGCGGCGCGCGGCGCGGCTACGGAAAGAGACGGGTGACCCGAACATCATCACCGAGCAGGAGAAGACCAAACTGACGCTGGCCGAGGTGGTCAAGACGTCGCTGGTGCGGCCCATCAACATGATCCTGACCGAGCCTGTGCTGGACCTGATGTGTATGTACATCGTGCTGATCTACGCCATGCTGTACGCCTTCTTCTTCGCCTACCCGGTCATCTTCGGCGAGCTGTACGGCTACAACGACGGCCAGATCGGCCTGATGTTCATCCCCATCATCATCGGCGCCGCCTTCGCCCTGGTCGCCACCCCGCAGTTCGAGAAGCAGTTCAAGCGCGTTTGTGCCCAGCGCGACCCCACCGCCGAGGACCGCCTGATGGGTGCCATGTTCGGCGCCCCCTTCATCCCCATCTCGCTGTTCATCCTGGGCGCCACCTCCTACCACGGCATCATCTGGGTCGGCCCGGCCTCCAGCGGCATCGCCTTCGGCTTCGGCATGGTGTTGTGCTACTACTCGGTCAACAACTACATTATCGACTCGTACCAAAAGTACGCTGCCAGCGCCCTGGCCGCTAAAGTCTTCCTGCGGAGCGGCGGCGGCGCGGCCTTCCCCCTGTTCACCACCCAGATGTACCACCGCCTGGGCCTGCACTGGGCCAGCTGGCTGCTCGCCTTCATCGGCGTCGGCATGGTCCTGATCCCCTTCTCCTTCTACTTCTTGGGCGCCAAGATCCGCGCCAAGTTCAACAAGGGTGCTTGAGAGGGGCGGAGACGCTCGACCCGGCACCACCGTCGGGGACCTTTTTAGAAAACCAAAGCATTTTCTTCATCAAAACGTTGGCTCGGCTCAGTTCAGCTCGACCACGAGGCGCAAAACGGCGTTGCGAATGGATGAATGAACGAACTCACATGGGACGGATGGGTGCTTTACGCTCTACGCTCTGCTGCGAGGCACTGGCATGCATGCATTAATGCGTCCTCTTTTTCTTTTCCTTCATCACTGATTTCTGCTCGGCATGTATTAATGTACTTCTGACACCACACCCTACCGAAAGGATTCCAGCTTTGCGTCGTCACATGTGATTTGATCTAGGGGAAATGGAGGGAGGACCAGATAATAGTTTCGTGTATTGAAGGGAGAGAAGGGTGGAAAAAGGAGAGAAGGGAATACGACGCGACCGGTTGCCCACTATTGGTACCACTGGCATCATCTTTCAGCTATGTAAGGGAGTTCGAGGTATTACTTGAGGACACAAGGTGATCTAACGGAGATGCTTCCCCTGTGGGATATCGGACAACGGACGAACAAAAAAACATATCATATAGAGACAAACAAGAGAGTTCAAAAAGTTGACAATCATCTCGAATTGGGCTGGTCTGGTCTGGTTTGGTCTGATGTGATCCCGTGAGAAATGCTGTACCTCTCCCTCCCCCTTTCAATAGCATCATCATCGTCGTCGCAGAATGGCCACAGCAGCTGACAGGTCGAATTGCATATTTCACTTCCACCCCGGAGATTGCATCCAATTTCGTCCACAGCTTTGCTTTGTGATTCGCCTTTACATGTCTCTGTCTCTGGCCCATGATTACCCATAAAAGTGTCTTTTGTTTTTCCAGCCTCGCTATGCTTTGATTTGCCCGGGATCATGCACACCTCCCGCTCCATGTCGTTCGAAAAAGCGCCCTTTTGTCGTGGTTTTCCATGTATTAGCTGGTCGTCGCCCTTGGAAGGCAGTAACGTAAATGGACGCCATTCGCCTGTATCCCTCAAATACAATACAGTACCCGGTGCATGCATTCATCCTCGCTAATTGCCGTGACAAGCCTCCCAGCCAGAATGCGGAATATATCCCAAAATATTGGTTGGCCCGCTGCATGATGTGTCTGCCTGAGTCGATCTCAAAAGATCCCAAATTTCTTCTTCTTTTCTCCTTCTGCTAGTATCGATGTTAGTGCTGCCGGTCTTCAGCGGCCAAAGGAGGTGGAATCTCGCTCACCCTGAGGTCCAACATTCCCGGTGCTCTTACTAGTGGTCAAGGCTCCTTTCTTGCCAGCTGCTGCCGTCATGGGATCTGCCCCAGCCCCGGCAGCCCGGATGGCGGCGATGCGATGTTTGGCTCTCTCTTCCCCTTGATCCGCTGCACGGACGTACCAGACATTCGCCTCCAGCGGGTCACGGCGACATCCAATGCCCATCTCGGTAAAATAGCCAACAGTGTATTGTGCCTTCGCCAGCCCTTGCTCTGCGGCCTTTTTAGCCCATTCATAGGCTTCGGCTTCGTCTTTCTCCAAAACATTGGGAACCCCGACCATGTACCACGCACACAGCGCCATTTGTGACAGTGCGTGACCACGTTCTGCAGCGCCGGTGTAGAAATGGATGCTGAGAGCCGGGTCTCGAGGGCAATTCAGTTGTCCATACTCGTATGCCTCGCCGAGTCGGTAGTTCGCTTCGACGTGTCCTAGATCGGCTGCTTTGGTGTACAACTGGGCAGCGTACGACTCATCTTTGAACACGTCTGGGCCAAAGCCTGTCTCATGCAGACAGCCCAGGTCGAAAGGAGCCTGGTTGTACTGGAAATCAGCCGACTCTGCAGCTCGCTTCAGCCATCGCACACCCTCTCGATATCGCTTGGTCAAGCCCATGTCACCGGTAAGACATGCTCGTCCCAGCCGAAGCATGGCACCGGGATGGTTCTTGCTCGCAGCGTGTTGATAAAATTGGACCGCTTTTGCTGCATCTACCCGTGAGCCCCAGCCAAATTCGTAGCACAATGCTGTGCGGTATCCCGCCTCCGCATGACCATGTTTTGACGCCGCCAGAAATAGAGGGAACGCACGATCCCAGTCTTCTTTGCCCTTGTTGAATAGGCCCGACGCATAGCCGTCTGCAAGATAGTACTGTGCGAATGGATAGGATCGGTCCGCCAATCTCTGTAGAATATGCTTTGCCTCCTTTAACAGATCCTCGCGGACAGACGTATGTGACTTCTCAGAAGGTGCCGCATCGGACACATCGTCAGACTCGAGACCCTCCTCTTGCGCAGCGCTGATCATGAAGATTGCAAATTCGTACTGGACGGCAGGGTCTTGCGTCTTCTTGACATTTGCCCGATACATCTCCAAAGTCTTCCTCGTGGACATTAGCGAGGCATTGGCCCCCACAACAGATCGTAGACCCGAATTGACCAGATGTTCTGCTCCGCTTGGTGCGGGCTGGGGATATGGGACGTTCAGAAGATCGACGTACGACAGCGGACGCGTATCAGGCGACCTCGAACTGCGCGAGATAGGCCGACCAGCAGGGGAGGCGTGCGGTGAGTTGGTCCGCCCACGGAAGTCGGAAGTGCTTGAGAATCCCGAATCAGGTCTTTGCATGCTTCTGCCATAAATGCTATTGCGAATGCTCTCTCCCCCAGAGCCATCCGTACCAATGGTCAACTTTGAGGCTCGCTTGTTCAACGATGTCATTTCAGCGTCGTCCGCCCATTGGTGGTGGTACCGCAATGGCTCGGAAGTGGTAGCTGAGATATCTGGGTCTATAGCAGAGGTCGATGCGTGCCGCGTGGACTTCTTTTGAAAAGGCGTCAATTCAATGCCATCTCGAGCAGAGAAATTTTCGGACGAGACTCTTCGGTGGTCAGCACCTCCTGGCTCGCCATCTCCAGACCGTCCTCGGTACATTGCCTGGGGCGTTGGAGACAGCCTGTTGGGATCGAGGTGCAATGACGGCTGAGGAGTCAGTGTCCGATTTGGAGCCACAGGATCAGGCGTTCTGGACATGGCGGTTTCAGGAGGGTGGATTTGGACTCCGGCAGCAGCGTCTGCGAGTGCGTGCACATCGTCCGTTGGTCTTGTGTCCGCCGGGGACATGGATATCGAAGGGTAGCTCATCTGTCTCGATTGAGAATGGCTTTGCTGGACGGTAGGTATATGTCCATTTCCCCGCTCTTGCATGGGTTCCACGATCCGAGGACTGTCGCTTCGCAGAGGAGGGGAGTAGATGGCAGGAGGGGGAGTAGGAGGAAGAGGATGATTTGCTAGCTCAGCCATGTTGACGCTGAGGAGAATATCCTAGAAGACCAGCATCTGGAGGGTACTCGTAGAAGGGAAAATGAGGGTAGGGCAAGCAGGATGGTTGGTTCGTTCGCCGGACAACTGAACAGATGTTTGCAGAGTGAATACGAGCCAGCTGGCGAAAGGCTAGAATGTGAATTCCCGACTGAAACGAAAGAAACGGGGTCAGGCTTCTCAGGCCCGCGCTGGTGGAAGTCTGAGAAGGAATGCTGTAGCGTTGCAGCATCAACGGCTTAATGCGCGGGCTCCAAAAGAAAGTGGTTGTCTGAACAAAAACAGAAGTCGACACAATGTCCTTAGCAGCCGGAAAGTGACAGAAATGAATCACCGATGTACGGAACAGTATGAACAAGGAAGAGAAACAACTCGGTAAGGAAGGGTGGAGGGTCGGTGGACGAAAGAGCTTCCAGTGACTGAGTGAGTGTGACCACGACTAAGAATTTCGATGGAGGAGATGCTGGCAAGGGAGCGAGAGTGGTAGAGGGCTAGAGCAAGTTAGACATCCCCACTGTTGGCACCTCTCGACTGCTACTACTACTAGGTGCTACTTACTGTCCTGTCTCCCTCGCCTTTCCTATTGAGGGCCCTTGTCTCCTTTTCCTAACAGCGGGAGCCGTCTTTATTTCTGTGGCTAAAATAGAAAAAGACTTTGTCCTGCAAACAAACCCGAAGACCTTTGAGGTGCACTTGGACTCGGTTTGTCCCTTTCAGAGCACCATTGATTATGGGAACACCAGATGTACGACACACATATGCAGGGAGAAACGAGGAAGATCTTCCCTGGCGCTGACCCAGATCTTGGGCTGGTGGGCTTCTTGGCTTACCGGGTGTCAGGCAAGGGGGCGTATGGGGGGGCGAATTAAAGTGCGGGCGTGCCCGAGATTTAGGCCATTACGAGTACTCTGGGAGGCAGGTGATGCAAACTCCAGGTACCTTTCGGCGCCTAGTACCGCCATAGGCTGACCATGTGGCGCCTGGAGAAGGAACCTGGTTCATGGTTGAATCCCTACACTACCCACCTAGGAAAGGGAGCCAGGCGACTGAAACTGAAAATTGGCTCCGGAAAGGCGCGGGAAGCCCACCAAGTCCACCAGCGTACACTACCGCTACCGACTACTGGTAATACCCATCCCCCAAACCATCCCAGTGGCTTCAACTCAGGCTGGTCGCCGTTCCGCCTGGTGCAAACAAAAAGTGGTCAGATGAGTGACGCTGTACCGACTGCATGTTCCAGATGGTACTACTAATCACCAGTTTGTTCCTGTCCGGATGACTGCAGGCCGTATTCGATCAGATAGGGGGGTTCGAACATGTACCCCATCATATGAAATGGATGCTCCATACGGGAAGTCATATTCTTTTCTCGGATGAGTGAGACATTGTCCACTGCTGCCTTGAGACTTTGTACAGGAGGGTGATCCATTCCTTCAGTTTATCTGCTCATCTGCTCACAGTCCATCACAGCAATACAGACCTGCTGCAACGAGGTACGGAGAACGGACTCAGCTCAACATCATCCCCTATGAACTCAACCGATGAAGGCAAGTACCCAGTAGTTCGATAGGCGCAGTAGTTTCAGAATTAGTCAATAACGATAGGTTGACTTGGTCAGACAAGCCGCATCTCCATGTCAGGGCAACAGGGACCAAGCGAGCAGGGTTAAAAATACTCCATCACTGGTACGGCTCAGCCACAACCGGCTGCACTGAACGATCTCACCACCGACTGCGCAAACGGTCATCGCTTTGGCGTTTATCAGTCTATCTCTAGGTTGGTGGAATCTGTGTCTGATCACAAGAGTTCGGGGTTCTCGTCCTGATACTCGTCCTCTGTATGCTCTGCTGGAGAGTACTGGTTCAGGGGATTCCCACTAGCCGTATGCTCCATAAATACGTAGTAGACTCAGGAGAAGAGGAGGCAAAAAAAAAACATTGGATTGAGTTCGGAGCATATGTTTATTTCGCCTGGGAGGTGGCCTCTTGTTTCTCCTGTATGATGCGCTAAAAGGGCCGCGTAGCCAATCCAGGCACTTGGTATAGAAACTCCATCGGACAAACAACGAATCGTTTGTTGTTACCTCTCCACAAGTAGAACGTACGGCGACACGGTGCCACAACGAGACAACCCCCAATCCTTGTCTCGTCGTTGCCCAGTTCTCCGTCTTTGCCTGTTACTCCGTTTGTCCATCTGTGTTGCTTCCTCGCTGTCAACGTTCTCCTTAGCACATGTACATTCACTTGCCATCTCTATCACTCTCGTTTGACAATCTCTGCACAAGCAAACGATCAATCTGGCGTATCTGTCTTTCGCTCGACCCGCCAAAGCAATCTGTGGCGCAGTTTCTTCGGCAACCAACTCGTCGTTTCACCACAACTGACCGCTCCGTCGAAGTGACAAATAATCTCATATGATTTTTGACAGAACATTCGATGCACGATAGACGATAGACGACATACACTTTGACACCACCCATCGCACATTTGAGAATCCAAACTAGAGACACGGCGCGGGCGCTGTTCTCTAATTCACACCCATTCCTTCATTGAGAAAAATCAAAACTGCAAGTTTTTTTTACGAGGGAGAGCGACTAGATCTCGGCGAAGGTATGTTGAGGATGCCACAATCACATTGTTATGTTTCTAGCGACTCACTAACATTCTTTCTCCCTGCAGAATTCATCATGTCCGAACCACCGCTCAGGCCACGGCCTGCCACCTCACCTACTCGCGAAAAGTCCCATTCTCCCTACAGAGACTCGCCCTCTCGACGGTTACGCGATCTCGAGACTGGAGCAAATGCTCAACGCAATTCTCCCTATTCCGCTCAACGCATTGGAAACGATCCCTATCCTCCCTCGCCCAGTTCCAGAACTGCAGACTGGGAGCCGATAATGTCCAATCCTACAAATCAAAGTGATCTCGGGCGCAAGAAATCCCTGATCCGTCCCGAACGCAGTCGAATAGACCGAGATCATCCCAATTACCACTATCGCAAACATGCGCAGAATATGGAGGTCTTCCCCTCCACCACCGGCAACGATCCTGTGGTGGAAGAGTTGGCCGAACAGAGGACAGTGAGCTCTGAAAGCACCAACCTCAACCTGCCACCCGACGAGGATTTCGGCGCCCAACCGACTGCACGCCAGCCTGGGAGACTTGAGCCCGTCGGCAAAAAGAGACAACCTCGAAAGTTGGTGAGAAAAGATACTCGCGACATGACGGCTGAAGAGAAGAGGCGGCTGAAAGAAATCGAAAAGCTCAAACCCCCCAGCGCGTGGAATGTATATTGCTCTGTGATCACTTTTTGGGCTCCCAATTTCATGCTACAGTGCTGCGGTATGCCGGGGCGGGCCCAGAAAAGAGCCTGGAGAGAGAAGGTCGGCTTAATCAGTATCATCGTTCTGATTGCCGCTTTTGTTGGTTTTCTGACCTTCGGCTTCACACGGGCGGTTTGCCCAGCTCCCGGACTGAGGTTGAAGATTAATCATGTCGACCGCGGCTACATGATATTCCACGGAGATGCCTACAACCTCGATGGCTCCATGCATCCAGCAGCTTTAGGGATTCCCCTTGACAGCAATGTCCTCTACGATCTCCCCCACAAATACGGTGGTCAAGACGGAAGTTTCATGTTTCAGAAGGTTAATGGAGAGTGCAAAGGTCTGATCAACCTCGCACCTGGCTCCGATGTGCCGACGGACGCTGATGGCGATTTGGCTTGGTATTTCCCCTGCAACGCCTTTAACCAGGATGGCTCTACGCAACCGAATCTCACCAATCCTTACTACCTGGGATACGCTTGCCATACCACTGCCAAATCTCGAACCACCTTTTACAACCTGAGAAAGGCGGGCGAAGTTTTCTTCACGTGGGACGACATTAAAAATCGCAGTCGAAATCTGGTGGTGTATTCTGGTTCCGTGGTCGATTTGGACTTGTTGAGGTGGTTCAACAAGAGTCAAGTTGCCTGGCCGAAACAATTTGATGATATGCGGGAGAGCGATGAGATCCGGGGAACCGACATCACCCATGTGCTACAGTCTTCCGCGGATAAAAAAATCGGCAAGTGTCTAACCCAGATTGCAAAAGTGGGTTCTATTGATACTGAGACGGTTGGGTGCATTGCGTCAAAGGTCGTCCTGTACGTATCGTTGGTGTTTATTCTCGCCGTGGTGGTAGTCAAATTCTTCCTCGCCCTGGCCTTTCAATGGTTCTTGGCCGGAAAGTTTGCGGCCACCAAGACATCGCAGACATCAGATCCGAAGAAGCGGGCCAAGCAGATCGAGGACTGGGCCGATGATATCTACAGACCGGCTCCCAAGATCACTGATCCCGCAAGTACGGTTTCCTCCTCCGATGCGCGAACCAGTAAGCGTGGAAGTCAGTTGTTCCCTCAGACTTCTCGGTTCACCAGTCCGTATGCCGTTGAGCGTGTTTCCAAGACGAATCGTCCACCGCCAACCACGATGACCAGCCAGTCTTCCAACGCACGACTGATTCAGCCAGGAAACGGCCTCTACAAAAACGGTTTCAACAGCAGTCAGAACACTTTGGATGTCAATTCTCGGATGAGCGTTGGTGCTAGCAGATCCAGCCTCCTCCTGTCAGGTCAGGAAGCCCGGTATTCGGCGGTGATGGACGCCCTCGAGCCGGGTGGGCCCGTGGGCTTCATTCACGAGAATGTCGTTCCTCAACCACCTCCTGAGTGGCAGCCATTCGGCTATCCCCTCGCTCACGTCATTTGCCTGGTCACTGCGTATTCGGAAGATGCAGACGGTGTCCGAACGACGCTGGACTCTGTTGCAACGACCGACTATCCGAACAGCCACAAAGCAATTCTGGTGATATGTGATGGCTTGATCAAGGGTCAAGGCAACGACTTGACGACCCCGGAAATCGTCCTTAGCATGATGGGCGACTTTGTCGTTCTTCCCGAAGACGTGCAGGCATTCTCATACGTCGCCGTATCCAGCGGCTCGAAAAGACACAACATGGCCAAGGTCTATGCTGGGTTCTACGATTATGGTCCGAACTCGAAGATCGATCCGACCAAGCAGCAACGAGTACCCATGTTAGTCGTGGTCAAATGCGGAACTCCAGATGAAGCCGGCAAGCCTAAACCTGGTAATCGAGGCAAGCGTGATAGTCAGATTATCTTGATGTCCTTCCTCCAAAAGGTCATGTTTGATGAACGTATGACTGAACTCGAATATGAAATGTTTAATGGTCTCTGGAAAGTCACAGGCATGTCTCCCGACTTTTACGAAATGGTGCTCATGGTCGACGCCGATACGAAGGTATATCCTGACAGTCTGACGCATATGGTCTCTGCCATGGTCAAGGATCCCGAGATTATGGGCCTCTGCGGCGAAACCAAGATCGCAAACAAGACCCAGTCATGGGTCTCGCGGATTCAGGTCTTTGAATACTTCATCTCGCACCACCTGTCCAAATCCTTTGAATCTGTCTTCGGCGGTGTCACCTGCTTACCCGGTTGTTTCTGCATGTACCGAATCAAATCGCCCAAGGGTGGACAAAACTACTGGGTCCCGATCCTTGCCAATCCCGATATTGTGGAGCACTATTCCGAAAACGTGGTGGACACACTGCACAAAAAGAACCTCCTCCTGCTAGGCGAAGACAGATACCTCTCGACACTGATGCTCAAGACATTTCCCAAACGCAAACAAGTCTTTGTGCCTCAGGCGGTCTGCAAAACAACAGTTCCGGACCAATTCAAAGTGCTTTTATCTCAACGACGCCGCTGGATCAATTCCACAGTCCACAATCTCATGGAGCTCGTCCTGGTGCGCGACCTCTGCGGTACATTTTGCTTCAGCATGCAATTTGTTGTCTTCATCGAACTGATCGGTACCCTTGTATTACCAGCGGCCATCGCGTTCACCTTTTACCTGATTATCATCTCCATCGTGGCCAAACCTGTCCCGGTCATTCCCCTTATCCTATTAGGACTCATTCTCGGTCTGCCGGCCGTGTTGATTGTGTTGACGGCACATAGCTGGTCATACGTTGCATGGATGGGCATTTACCTGCTTTCCCTTCCAATCTGGAATTTCGTCCTACCGGCTTACGCGTTCTGGAAGTTCGATGATTTCAGCTGGGGAGACACAAGGAAGACGGCAGGAGAGACCAAGAAATCTGGCGGACACGGAGAAGCGGAAGGTGAATTTGATAGTTCGAAGATCCTGATGAAAAGGTGGGGAGATTTCGAGAGAGGTAAGTTTTGCCCGCCCTTACACATACCGAGCCCCGTGACTAGATCGAGGACTAATGTCTGGCGTTGCAGAGCGTCGAGCACAAGCCACTGGCACGGGATGGGCACAGCATTCTCTTGCCCCAACCTCCGCGAAGGCGGCAACGGTCACGAGTGACTATGCGTCGAGCCATGGAGGGTTCGAGCCGTATCATGACTATTGACGACACCTCCGGCTGCAAGTGGCTGAAAGCAGAATGGACTGCGTTAATGTGTAACGAACCACTATAAACCAACCAAAAGAAAAGGGGAGGGACTTGCATCTGGCGTTTTTGCAGAAGGGTTCTGCTTTTCTTAGAGCAGCAGGGGCAAGGCTGTGACGCGACATGACTGGGGGAGAGGATCTGCAAAAGGTAGAGTTAATAACTGGATCTGGAGAGTCTGATCGGGAGCATCGCATCTTGTCTGGGGTGGCATTTTCATTACAGCTTGGGGGGATCTCAATGGTTTCTGCCGGGGGACAGTGGGCGGGTTTTTGTCGAAGATCGATTCTACCGATACTCTCAGTACACTAATTATAGCGGCATTGTTCATCCTTGATTCTCCGATGATGATTTGCTGGGAGAATATCGCAAGCGACCACGTGGCACCACAATGCAGCAGGTAGCCTCTCTCGCAATCATCCATCACCATTATCAATCATCATCCCATCCTCGTACATCGGTGGTCACATTTGTTCGACTGGTGATCCAACCTAAGTACCTGGCTACTGTAAGGACGGAGCCACGGATGCCTGACGGAATCACCCACTCTGTCGTTGGCGCTTCGCTCTTCAGCCTCATCGCCTCTCCTCTTTCTTTCCACGTAACTACTCTTGCCTCGTCAATCATACCAAGCTTCAGTCATTATCATCTTGATTTTATAAGCACCTAAACCCATCAATTAGATGCCGTTCTGCCTGTCCTCTCCTCGTCCGTTCGCAGCCTCCCTCGTCTAGTTATTGACAACCACCTAGGAGGTCTTGGAGCCCGGGCTCTTATCTCTCAAATCAAACACTAGACCATTCTAAGCAGAAGTCTGCGTTTCGCCATCGCGCCATGGGTCACCGCCTTGATTACAATCACTATACTGTCGCTTGGATTGCTGTTCTTCCTGTCGAAGCCGAGGCAGCTCTCGGGGTGCTGGACAAAATACATGAAGGCCACTTTGAGTCACTAACCAACGACGACTACATCTACATTGGGGGCGAGATCAACGATCACAATGTCGTTATTGCTACCTGGCCTGCTGGTCAAAACTACGGGCCTAGCTCTGCCGCTGCATTGGCAAACCAGGTCAAGCTCCGCTTCCCGCGCCTCTGGTTTTCGTTGCTTGTTGGCGTTGCGGCAGGTCTCCCAAATCTCTCTCCGAAAGACCCAAGCAAACGCCGGGATATTCGTCTGGGTGATGTCCTTGTGAGTGTACCCGACCAGCGAAACACGGGAGTCTTCTACTATGATCTTGGCAAAGCCGCCGCGGAAGGCTTTCTATGTATCGGCCGGCAAGCTGAGACCATGGCGATTGTCCGATCCGCCATCAGGCGCATCCAACTCCTCCACAAGAGGCCATTCAAGAAGGGGAACCAATTCGCGAGGTACCTGGCTGACCTCCAGGCGTCCAGCGAAGATGGTAAATTCTCCTGTCCGAGCCAAGAACAGGATATCCTCTGTGACAGTCATGCCAAAGGAAGCCTGTCTTCACTACCCGTTCGTGTCAAAAGACCACCGCGGGACGAGTCTGAACGCACGTTAGTGTGGCATGGCACGATTGGCTCGGGGAGCAGTTTGATGAAGGATGCTGTGCGTAGAGATTGGCTCAGAGACGAGCATGATCTGATTGGCCTAGAAATGGAAGCAGCGGGAGTTATGAACACTCTTGCACCAGGAGTGATCCTAGGCGTCTGCAACTACGGGGACGCTCAGAAGAACGACGACTGGAAACCATACGCTGCCGCCGTGGCTGCTGTTTACGCAAAAGGCGTCCTCTGTGCGATCGCTCCAAAGATTGATTCCGTCAGCAACATGGTTGCAACCGCCGACCTCAGAATTGCAGAACACACGCCGCTGTACGTAGTACCATCGGCATCTAAAGATGAGTTCTTGGGATGTGCATCCCAGCTGACCAACTAGCAGAAATTATTTCCCCAAAGTATGGCTACGGTAAGGCTGCTATCAGTAGCCTGGGACAGGGAGGGGAGAGCCGACTAGCCCTGGAGATGGCGTAGTGGAACAGATACCACCGCCCATCGTGCTCGGGGGGGTTTGGGATCTAAAGAACGGATCCCTCAAGATTCCAACAAGACTGTTGGCAAATCGGTCAAGAAACTGAAGATTTCGCAGGTTAACGGCGTAAAGGAGGACGCGAAACAGCTCCTGAAGCTGTACTTCAACTCCAAAAGAGCCAATAAGTGGCTTTCGATCATCGACAAGGCCGAGGACATGTATCTTTGGGCGTCTCGCACTACTAATGATGGTAGGTCAACGACAGCTCCGGTGGATTACTCTCTTGGTGGGCAGGTACGAAAGCAAAATCCTTCGGGCACGACGAAATTGCTTTACTGTCTAGCATGCAGAAGAATTACAACTAAGAGTGGAAGAACGTTGCAAAAAGTTATTCGAGGATGAACGCTCTCGAACAACGATCAGTATGAACGGAATTGGGTAATTTATCACGCACAACGGCAGCTGGAGGAAGCGAGAGATTTCCATCCTCTCGTGCTCGCAACGAGCAGCGAGAATCATCCCCATATATTCATTTATACACGAATCTTGCATACACCTTTGGGAAATTAGGATGCAAATCTCCAAAAAAGAAAAAGAAAAGTTACCTCCAGCTTCAACAACAGAACTTGGGAGATGATCATACTGACGCGCTTCTGGCTATATATCTTCTTACCATGTTTCGATATAAGACTGGCAGCCTTGTGGAAGCGGTGCCCTTGACGTCAGGATACGTCGAGGTCAAAAGACAGAAATATGGCGGCGATTTTCCTCAAGATGGATCCGAGTCTATGCAATGTCTCACATCACTCTTGCATTAGACGGGACGCTGCGAAAAGGTGACTACACTGATGGAGGAATGCGTCAAAGTTGCGCTAGAGGCCCACGGAAAATATCATACTGAGACCATCAACGCACGAAGATGACTCAAACAATGGGACGAGGAGTAGGACGAAGAGGAGAAGGATGGTTAGGCTCTGTCCGATGATATTATAGGTGCTTTAAGAAGACGCAGAGGGCAAGCCGCTGGATGATTAATCCACCCGAAGGCGCTCTCGTTTCGAGCACTCTCTCCCCAGAGATTTGCGTGGGACTCCTACCCACGCGCAAAACGAAGTGAATCAGAGATAAATCGAGCTCAGCATCCGAGGAGATTACGCGGGAAAGATACGCCACGAACAGGAGGTTCAATATAAGGCCACAAACTAAGGGGTGGAAACGAATGATAGATCGTGGGAACAATTCACCGCGGCCTCGACCCATATACGCATACTTATATGTTATATATCGTTACCACATGCAATCCTCTTCCATACCACCAGCACGCCTTGCAAATGCAACGACGCAGTCAAGACACAATCCGGAGCACGAATGCTTGCCACACCCGTTGTTCATTGACGCCCAGGTTAACACGCCAAGCCCGGTGGAGCGACGTTAAAGATGATGGTGATACCGCTCCCATCGTTCGAGGTCAGGATGGTCGACCCGCCACTGCCGGTGGTGAAGCCGATTTCCAGAAAGCATTGGGAGAAGATGGCGGCGGCGGCGCCCTGGACATCGCTTATGGCGATGCTGGCGATGCGGAGGAGGAAATTGTTGCTGATGCAGGCAGACGCCTGGCCGATATCCGGTGAGGGCTGCTGCTGGGTCGACCCCCACTTGATCATGTCTGGGAATGGCAGGTTGAAGGAGTCGCTCAGGACGTCGTTAGACAGCGTCTCGTAGTCGGTTATCGACACCTGCGGAGCCTGCGCATCATCGACCTGCCCTGCAAAGGCCACGCTGAAGGACGACGCAGCACCATCGGAGCGGCATAGGACGAGGAGAGTTACGGCCACGACCACCGCGGCGGAGAGGAGGAGTCGGGAGAGATTGGCGATGCGCGTTGTTCCGTTTCTTGCTTTGCTTCTCTTTTTCTCTCCCACCAGCTGGAGTCTTTGGTCAAGGTGATCGAGATATAGGCGAGGGGGAGGGCTGATGCGTCGAATGGTAGCAGGGAGAACAAATCTGTCCTTACCGCATGATGGAAAGGAGAAAACAGTCATTTCTGATGCGCTGGGGACCGCGCCACCCACTGCTGCTCGGGCTAAACGCTCCTGCATCACCTCTCCGTCTGTTTCGCGCCCTGCTGAAGGCTGAAGTGCAGAGGCCTGGTCTGGTATGGTTAGGGTTGGTTTGAGCTGGGGACGCAGGGCACAGCTCGAATATCTGATTGAGTGCCTCGCATGTGCATGGACGCCGTGCATTAATAATAATCCTAGTACGAGGTACAAGAAGGTACCCGGGGGTGAGTGATTAGCATACGCAGTAGCAGAACTCACTGACCTTACCCGGTACCTTCTGCGCGTTCGAGGATAGCCACTACCACATGCAGTAACGATGAAGCAGAGAACTAAAGACAGCGCCGAGATTACACACGTCCGAGACATGTACCTCGTCCTCGGTGGTGTCAGAGCTGCATACAAGCATCGGCTTACCCGTACTTTAAGAAAAGCTTGACATAGCTTAAACTACGCGTGAGCCCTGTCTTCCCCTTGGCTGTTAGTGATCACTCGTTGACATAATGTTTATCTACCCCAACCCAGCAGCCGCCACAGCTCATAAATGAAGAGTGGCCCCCAAAAGCCGCTTCCATTAGATTCGGATCACCATAGTCCGCAACCCGAGCCCCTTTTTGTTGAACAGCCATAGGTTGCCCCCACTGACGCCACTGCCTGATAAATCAACAACTAATGAATTATCCGAGATGTGATTGGACAGAAGGGTGCCCAGACTAACCCGATGCAGAATAGAATTAGTCGAAATGTCAGTCAGCCTTGTTCTTCTCCCGAACCAGAATTTCAATGTCTTGTTGTGACACACATGTCTCCATCTATGACGCCCCAGCTCACGGATGGCGGAGACTTATGGGGACGACACAATGCTGCTCATCATCCGCAAATAACCAAGTGCCCGCTGCTTTGGCTGACATTTCGTCCTCATGACAAATCGGTTTCCCCCGAGCACTCGTCGTTGGATGAGTTTCCAAGAATGAGAATCAAAATGGAGACAATACCAGCTCTTCATATAGAACTGTTAGATCTCCACATCCATGAGTATTCACTTACCGCTTCCATTTCGAAATCCCGAGTTCAAGGGTCCAACATCTACCACGAGAGTCAATTGATCAGTATCAACAAGGCTTCAAACCGCCCTCCATGCCGAATGCTCAAGAGTCGCCATCTGAGGGCAGCTCCGTCGATGTCGACGATACGTCCTCTTCTCCGACGCCTAAAGAGGTCGAAGCGACCATAAGTGTTGGGGTGACCACCACGACCAAGGAACCCCTTCAAGTGCGCCCGATCCACGGCTGGAAATGGATCCTGACCTGCGTCGCCATCTACCTCACGGGGCTGCTCTACGGGTTAGACACCACCATCGCGGCAGACGTGCAGCCCAACATCGTCAAGTCACTCGGCCACGTGGAGGACCTGACCTGGGTGGGCGCCGGCTTCCCGCTCGGCGGTGTGGCCGTCATCCTCCCACTCGGATCCGCGTTCGGCTTGTTCGAGATCAAACGCCTCTACCTTGCGTCCATCGTTGTGTTCGAAGTTGGCAGCGCCGTCTGTGGAGCAGCGCCGAACATCGACGCTCTCATTGTCGGCAGGGTCATCGCCGGGGCAGGCGGGGCAGGCATGTACCTCGGCGTGCTCAACTACATAGGGACCTTCACGACGCTAGAAGAGCGCAGTTTGTACAACGCAATCATTGGCATGGTCTGGTGAGTTTGAATGCCGAGGCGAGCTATATGTCAAAGGGCAAGAATCTAACCACATATCCGTTTTAGGGGCCTGGGTGCCATCCTCGGACCGCTGGTGGGAGGCGGCTTTGCAACGTCGTCGGCCACGTGGAGAGTAAGTCGATTGAGTCCCCAGCCTGTGACCAAGATATACGGTACTGATCTAATTCTACTTACCTAGTGGGCGTTCTACATCAACTTGGTCATTGCCGGCGTCATGGCTCCAGCGTTCATTTTCCTCCTGCCCACCCACCAGCCTGCTCCCGACAAGAAGCTGTGGGACAAGTTGCGCCACATGGACTGGCTGGGTATCATCCTCATTGCCTCTATCTACACGACATACACGCTGGCCTTAACGTTTGGCGGCGCCCAATGGGCCTGGGACAACTACCGGTTCATCCTCACCATGACGCTGTGCGGGATCATTCTTGTGACGTTTGTGGTGACGCAGTACTTTGCGGTGTTGACGACCAAGGAACGGCGCGTGTTTCCCGGACACTTCCTGCGGTCGCGGACGCTGATTCTCAGCTTCGTCTGCACGTCGACCACGGTGACCTGCCTGTTCCTGGGGGCGTACTACATCCCGCTGATCTTCCAGTTCGCGCGGGATGACTCGGCCATCAAGGCGGCGGTGCGGCTGCTGCCGTTCATCGTGCTGACCATAGTCTGCGTCCTGCTCAACGGCATCTTCATGCCCAAGCTCGGCTACTACATGCCGTGGTACGTGGCTAGCGGCGCCTTCTGCCTCGTCGGCGCCAGCCTCATGCACACCATCGATCCGGACACGTCCCCTGCCCGCATCTACGGCTACAGCCTGCTGCTCGGCATCGGCACCGGCTGCGGCATGCAGGCCGGCTACAGCGTCGCCGCGACGAAAGTGAAGCCGGAAGACACCCCCGCCGCCATCGGCTTCATCAATGTCGCGCAGATCGGCACCACCGTCATCGCCCTGACCATCGCGGGCGCCGTGTTCCAGAACGGGGCCTTCGACGACCTCAAGCGCGGGCTCGCCCAGGTCGCCGCCTCGGCAGAGGGAGGAAGCGGAAACTCGGCAACCCTACTATACTCGGACGCTGAGATCCGCAACGCCATCTCCGGCACTCAGTCGCTGATCTTCCAGCAGGGCGACGCCGCCGTCCGGGACGCCGCCGTGCGCGCCATCATCAAGGCCATCGACAGCGTCTACATCATGGGCATTGCCGCGGGCGCCGTCACGCTGGTGTCGGCCTTGTTGATGAGGAGAGAGAGATTGATCATGAACGTCGTTGCTGGTGGCTGAGCCATTATGGTAACCTACCCTTCTCCCCCGATGTTAGACGCTCCGGCAAGGGGGGAGCCTGGCATGGACACTTCACCTATTAGACATCTGGCAAAACCTGTACCGCCCTGGTGTTACTTGCTTGCGCTGCATGGAGAGCACCGGTAGAAATATAGACAAGAAACTAGTCACTAGAGAGTTAGAATTTGTATTCTAATCAATCTGTGTCCAACTCCTCACTCTCACTCTGGACCCTCCTCACCACCATATGCAGACCAGTACCAGGAACCGAGGGCGTCGACCACGATGGAATCTACGTCGTCCTTGCGAAACACCGGCGTGTCGACACAGACCGCTCGCTGCGTCAAGGTGTCCACCATGAGGTCGAGGTCCATGTTGACGACGACCATGTGGGGGCGACGGAACCGAGGTTGCGTCGGTTGTTGCAGCTCTGGTATAGTAGGCGGCGGCGTCTTCTTCATGAAGCCACGCAGCACCATGTTCTCCAGAGCATCGCTCGAAACCAGCCACGGCACCGTCATGCTGGAGGGTTTGTCCTGGATCGGCATGCCCAGGCTCTGGAGGTACATGGCCACGGCGTCGGGGCCGAGCCACGTGCCTTCATAGCCCGAGACATGGATCTCGGACACGGTCGTGGAGGGAGCATCGTCGCCCTCGAGCAGGACACCTCCACCTAAGTCCCCGTCATCCAGCGGGGGTCTCGAGACCAGCAGCGACCTCAGCGGCCGACGGGAGCTGCTCACGATCCGCCGCATTGCCCACGATATGCCGGCATTGTCGTGCAGCGCTTCTTGGTAATGCAGGCTCTGGTCCGTGCCGCGGAGGAGGAGCTCCCGGGCACGACGGCGCAGTTCGTCGATGCTGAGGTGGGCGGCGAGCGGAAACTTCAGCGTGCGCAGCAGCTCGGCGCGGCGTGTGCTGTGCGACGACAGCAGCCGGTAGCAGTGTTCGATGCACGAGCGATGCAGACGTCGCGAGAAGCTGGTCTCGTGGATGCTGTAGGTCCACAGCGGGGTGATCGTCGTGGTGAGAGGGAAGGACACTCCGCCGCCGGAAGAGGTGGATGGCGTTTGCTGGTGTGGTGACTGATGACAGGGGGGAGAGTTTAGCTTGTGATCAAGAGGGTTGCGTGGATGAGAGTGGTAAAATGATGGAAGAATGGCGGGGGGTGGAAGTGCAGAATGGGTCTTTATAAGGGATATACACACTCGTAAAACAGTGGAGCTGGACAGCTTCATAGGCGCCGGTACCTCCTCCTCTCTCGGTCCTGCCGCTGATGTGAGTCTGTGTGCGTGTGCTGCGTGGCCATGGCGTAGAAGGGGCTGAAAATCAACACCTTCGACGATGTCCTGTCCCACCTCCTCGTAGGTCAGACCGTGCTCGCTCTGCATTGTCCCTTCGTCGAGGCTGGCACGGGCAGTGTTGCCGCCATCCGCCACACCAGCACGCACAGAATCTGCCCCCGGATACATAGCAAGATGCACCAGCTGATCCGGCACCATCGACGCTATACTACCCGCCTCAGTCCACCCCGCCGTTCCACTGCTCTTCTCACTACCACTTGCGTTTGCACTTCCAATGCCGCTTCCGCTTCCGACGCCCGTGTCCACGCTCCGGACCAAAGACACGCACCGGAACACCTCAGTCGCGAATCGGGGCATTTTCTCCACGACCTTGTTCTGCACCGCGAGACGCTCCAAGCGCAAGACCGCGGCACGGATGTCGGTGATGATGGCCTCTTGAGATGCGAGCTTTTGTCTTTGGCGGTCGCGCCACGCACGCTGCGAGAGGCGGGTGTAGAGGCGGCGACGCTGTCAAAGAAGGATCGGGTTTAGCCATATTCGCTGCGTAGCGAGGGCGTTGATGTAGGTCGAGATAAAGCTAGGAACTCGCTCGGGAGTGGAACATAGACGGAGGCGCTGGACATACTGCAAGTGGTTCTTCGGCTGAGCCTGCTAGCTGGCGGTCCGCCAGCCGAGGACGACCTCGCCGTCGTCTTGTGGCTGGACTTGGGTTACTCAGGCCAGTGCTGGTGGTTGCGGGTGCGATTGTCGCCATTCTGGACAGGCTGTGCGTGGTATCAACGTCGCACCGATATTTCCCCTAACACCTCGTAAAGAGAAGGAGAAGGTCTTGATGTGTCTGAATCGATGGCAGGGGAAGCTGGAAAATGTCGTCAGGGCAGAAGAGTCTGTACTCGCCGCTTGAATTCTGTATAGCCAGCAGGTCGGTAACTATTCCTCTGTTTGTCGCGTTGATGCATAATATAGGACCGGCGTGATTACTATACGTTGAACCTCAGACGAGGAGTGTGGAGTCATCACTAATTCTAAAACATGTGATTGGCCCGCTAAGTACACTTCGAACCGCGCTAACCATGTTAGGTCGTCAAACCCCGATCCAGTCTCTGACCCAGCGAATTGAAAACTTCCTCGTGCCTTGGATTTGAAGATCTCCGAACAAGCTGCACGATTTTGGAGCGGTGCATGGGGCTCGAAAGAGGACTTGGTTCTTCGAAACCATTTAGAAAATTCGAGCACAGAGGTTGGAGGCTGACAAAGTCTATGGACAGGCGAGCGATCTCGGTGGTCATTGAGGGATGAGATTCTCCAAAAGCAGCAGCTGCTGACGACAATTTCGGCGATTCCCCATTTTTCTCAGACTGGCTAGATGTGAACAAGTGTGTAGTAAGTCTTGAAAGTTCCATCGGCCCCGCAACTGGGGCGTAAGCGGTCCAAGACAGGGCTTGGTCAAGTTTTTGTAAGAGAAATACACACTAGTGGGGACAGCACCGGCGATTTACACAGCGTTCACGGTATTCATAGGAATATGCTCAGTTCTACGAGGATGAGAACGTGCCGGGCCTGGTATCTTCGGTTTGAGCTTCGTCTACGTGTTACAGACACATCTGAACTGGCTTACTTGGGTGTGTCTGCTAAGGTGCGAACAGCTAGGGATGGGCGAAGGGCGGGGCGTATGCGTCAGCAGACGGACCCGGGTCCCTGGCCCTGGGTTAATAGACGCCAGGGCCCTGTCAGTTGTTGACCAAGCACTAATTACAGGGCAAGATGAGAGATCCTCAGGTTGGGGGCCAGGAGATCCCTGACACCAAGGATATCGAGGCGAGGAATCCTGTCCCAGCAGCAGTATTCTACCCGCTCATCCCTGTACAAACACTGTCCTAACAAGAGCTGGATGAGTGCCAGTTTCCCACAAGGACTTTGCCGGCTCCTGGGGGATTGACACTCTCCCAGGCGCATGGTTCAGACAAGGCGTCGCACGACCATCCGGGGCAAAGGAGTGCAGCTGGATAAGTATAGCTAGATTCCTGTCGCCATACATGCTTGTATGTCTTGACGTGAAAAGACACTTGGGCGAGACACAGGCTATAGGAAGTATGTGCCATTGACAGGCATTCTGCTATAAATATAATGGTATATCATTTATACAAGAGCCTAAATCCAAAAGACCGTCTTGCCTCCTTTCTATTCATAGCAAGTTTCATCCACGTAGCCCAGATCAATCCGTCCACCAACGCCTGCGCTTTTGGTTCAACAATTCTACCTCCCATCAATGGTCTCTTTAACCCCCATATGCCATTGAGCCCACGGCTACCTGCGGCTGCCCCCGGAGATGTTTCACGACTCATACACCATGAGCTATAATGATGTGCCAACACATCACCATCAACTCACCACGCCAGTGAAAAGTGCCGCCAGCAGTGTTGTAACGAAGAGCAATGAGCGCAGACTTGGCTTCCTCTCCTCAATCGCGGCATTCGTACTCGTCACACTGCCAGCCTTGACTTGCGTATTCACAAACCCGCTTCCACAGCTCTGATCTACCTGGTTCGCGCAGGGCAAATACGTCTTGGCCAGTGGCTGCGCCGCGTTCTCTGCATAGCCAGCAAAGATCTGTAGGGTCTCCTTGAGACACTGGCTACAGGTGGGTCGCGCCGTTTGCGGCATTGACAACCCGAGGGCAGTGTAGTAAGGGTAGGAATCGGCCGCATTGGACGAGTTCGTGATTGCTTCGCTGAAACAGTAGTTCCCGGTGCCTTGGTCTCTCAGGCATGTCGCACGGTAAATCGGTTCATAGGCAAGGAATCCCGCATAGGCTTGTGACACGAGCGGATTTTGTTTCTTGTAGTCTTGCCCACAATTTGCATTGTCGATCAACTGTGAGGCAAGGTTGCCCAGCAAGGGCGAACAAATCGCCAAGGGGGCATTGCACGCTGCGTCGAGAGTTTGCGTAAGAAGCGTGAACGACCGTTGAGCGCGAAAGAACGAATTGGAGTTTTGTAAGAGGAGCGAGATAGGCACACACGATTGGAAGGTCGAGTTATTGAGGAAGCTGGAGAAGAACTCAGGGCAGGACGAGCTGGTGAAGTTGCTGCCGAGCGACGTATCGAAGGGTGTAGGTAATGGTGTGGTGACGACCGTTACACTGGGTGCGGTGAGCGTCGACAGGGCCGGTGTCGACAGAGGAGTTTTGGTTTCTGTGGTAATCGCTGAAGTTAGGTCGGCGGAAGGAGTGACGGTAGGTTCTGAGGACGAGGATGAAGATGTTGAGGCAGAGGTAGACCCAGCCACTGTTGTCGGCACGACACCGTCCCCGTCTTGTCTCCCTTCCAGATAAACATTCCGGCGAGGCGGTGGATCTCGATGGTCGATATGTATTTCACCCCTTGCAGCTAGCTCTTGGTAGAAACTTGATTCGTAAACGAGTGCATCCAATTCCATTACTTGGGCACGCGTCGGTGTCGCCATCACAATTAGGGCTATCATCAATGAGATAACTGTTGTCGTAATTTTTGTGTAACCGTGAAGATGCCGTCGCCGCTCCAGCTGTCGCGGCTGTGTAGAATAGACTGACATGGCTGCCGGTATTGATTTAAGGGCCAGATGATTGTAAAGAGTGTGAGTGAAGCTGGTGCTTTATGGTAAAGAACGGACGCCCGGAGTTGTCTCCAAGGCATGCACTATAGCTGGGAGTCGTATGTCCTGAGCGAAGCGATCACATCGAATTTCGAACAAGTACTGGAGTCTGTCCGACGTTGTAACTGCCCCTCCTCTCTCAGGATTCCGAGTCTCAGAGTGTCACAAGAGGTTTTTCCTCAGTGATATTCAGTTGATCTCACCCGATTTGCACTCTGGGGAAGGTTGTCGCACGTGTTGTACCCTGGGCGTTGATCCTGCTGATCTGCCGCGGAACAGAACGTTGTGCCGTTTTGGGAATAGAAGGTTTCAAGGTGGACAAGCGAGGAGTCGGTTCAAAGACTTGTCTGAGTCGCAGAGACCTCGTGCAGCAGTTGTCGTAGGAAGACTGGAACAAAAACAATCAATGGTAACAACACTCAGAGCACAAGCCTGAAGAAAAGAAAAAACCACGATGAGACCTGTCGCAAACCGGCAGGTTAGTCAACACACACCCTCCCAGGATGTTTATTCCCATGTTTTTCTCTGGAGATTGAGTTCGCCGAAAGCATCTGAGCGCTATCTTTACCAGTCAGCGTTAGCAGAAGCCGGCCATTGGAATGTGTGCAATTTTTGCACCATGGGGAACCCGAATTGATGCCTCCACTGGGCGTTAGGGAGGCGTTCCAAAGCGGAACGCCTCACATTCCTTCTGGTAAGCGGCCGAACGCGTGGACGGCTTGTCTGGCTAGGAACGCGCTTTGCGGCGCTCTCGTGGCGCTTCTTTCCCCAAAGGCGTTGGTGCCAGAGATGGTCGGCCACGAGGGGACGTTCATTTCCGCCAACGTAGCTTGGATTCTGGGCCCCTTTTCGAGGTCCAGAACCGTGCGACTGTCGATCATTCACCTGGTCTAACCAACATCAAGTGCCCCATTCCCCCATCTAGCACGAGCAGACGCTGTCCAGCAACCGAAAGACAAGGTCCGTGCGATGGACGGGAGACGGAAAAGGCTGACGCCGGGTTTGCGCTAGGACGTTAACCGTACGGGAGGATCAGAAGCGGACGTGGTTTGCGTCCAGGGCTCGACATCTCCGACTCCAGTGAGAAAGAATAATTCGCCCCGAGAGAGCTCCAGCCAGTTGGGGAGACAGAGTTGTACTTGCACGGCACATCTTGGTGTGCAGTTTCTAGGGGATCAGTCGAGTCGAGCACGGAACCAAAGCGACGAATTGGCCGGCTACTCGCTTGAAATTGCCAAGATTCAATAGTCGCTGAAGCCACCACCGACGCGAGGATGACGAGAATCAGGGGGCCGACGAGAAAGTGGAATCTCAACATCTGCCCATCTGCCCATCTGCCCATCTGAGAGTCGCCGGCTGCGCCTCAAATTCGTCATTCCGACGATTGCTGGCCTTGATTACATTCATTATTGCATGGAAGAAGTCGTGCTGTTTTGGCTCGTCGTCATCTCATTGGTCTGTCTATATAATTGGCCATTACCGCCTCGGCCTCAAGCATCGGCCAATGCAAATGCTTCATCCCGTGTTTACAGACACGGTCTCATGTCATAACATCTTCTCGGCGTGCTCCAGAACAATCATTCGTCCCCCCACAACCACCGCCCTCCACGTCAACTTCGTCTCAGGTCGGCGTCGAGGGCGAGCGAACCCAGCTCAACATCATGTTGCTGGAAACGTAATCTGGTCTCCTTCTCCTGGAGACGTCTGTTGAAGCCCATGGTAGCCCAACCACCCAGTCGGCTGAAAAACACTCGGCCCGCGGGGTGTTGTCTGATTCGGTCCAGGAGACTCGTCACGGCTTCTCGAACTCTCCAATCCTCGTGCCAAAGGCCCAAGGCGACGTAGAAGAGTCCGGCCTCTGAGATGGGAGCCAACTCCAGCAGCTCCAGGATACTCTCGTAATCAGTGCAATATGCTTCGAGAGCCAGGTAGATAGCCCCGGCCTCAGTGGGAGTCAGGTGGAGAGTCCGTAGCTTGGACAACGAATGATATAGATCCACGTACGGCTTGGTCGGTGCTCGTGCCAGCATCTTGGTCATGCTGACCGGGGACGTGGGAGAAATTGGGTCTTGCGCATGTGCCGCCAGGTCGGAGATGAATGCGTAGTAGGATCGTGTGTTGCGCCACCCTTCAATTCTGGCTGCGGACGCTGCCAGTTCGCGGGTTTTGGCCTCCTCGCTCGGCCAGACGTACCCATGGCCTTTCAGGTTCTTACTGGAAGTTTTGAGCGACATCGGCCGTGTCGGCGGTGCTGGCGTGGTAGCAGTCGCATCCACGTTGTTGTCAACCTCTGTTGGGGGTATCACCGTAAGATTGCTGGCTCCATACACAGTCTCTTCAAACGCCGCCGCGATGCGGGTGAATTTTGTGATATAGGCTCGAAATTTGGCTCGGATGATGGACTCGCCGGCTCGAGATGTAATGCTTCGGCTGATATCTTCCATGAAGAGTCCATCTCCTGTAGCATCTGAGTGATGGAGATCTTTGTGGGTCAGTACTGCATGCCCGTGCTGCTGGAAATATGTCGTTCCCTCTGTGACTGGCGCAGCCTCAATGCATGATGAGATTTTCATTCTGCCCGACGGCAAATCACAAAGCAGGTCCCACCACTCGGGGTGGTAGGAGAAGGCTGGGTTTGTGACGCCCGCAATAAATCCAGGCACTTTGAGAAGCTCGTCGATCTTGGTCAGATCGGTGTAGGGGAATGCGTGGCGGGTAAACCCTCTTAACACACCTCCTGAGGCCAATGCACATGCCGCAAGAACAGCTTCCGCAACTTCCCCGGATGGTCGATTGTGGCCCAAGAATATTACTCGCTTCTGTGTAAGCATAGCATTGATGAGAACGATAATAGGATGCGTGAACGCGCCAGAAGTTGTGAGATGGGGATGCAGAGCAAAAGGCTGAGGTTGAGAAAGATGTGGATTGCCAAAAATTTGGACAAGCTTGATGAGCGAGAAGTCACCCACTGTCTCGGGCGACAAAGCGGTAGGGATCTTAACTGGGATGGGGATGCCGTTGTAGACAATCTTTGATTCGAACTCATGCGTGTCTCGAGGCACCAAAAACTTCTGCTCTGGTTTCGTGGGCGACTCTGGGGCGTCGGGAGTCTTCGCAAGGGCCTCATCTGCTAGACGTTGGGCAATCATCTGTTCGAACTTCTCCACAAACATGTCCTTGACGTCGCTTGCCTGCAGAATGTGTCGCTCTAGCAGTGACAATCGCGGCATCAGAGATAGATCCATGGCGTTGAGAGCATTGTATAAGAGTTCCAAGGTGTCTGGTTTCGGTGACTTGAAGTAGTCCTCGAGCGCGAGCAACAGGAGCGGCTTGTATATGTGGAGAAAGGAGTGTCTTGTACAAATGGCCATGGCCTTGACAATGGCGCCTCTTTTCACCGTGCTGTCCTGCTTCGTATTGACCAGGTTCAGAACATACATTAAGGGAGGGCTGTCCATGTCATCTGGGTCACTTTCGTCGCTACTGCTGTCGTCCGCGGAATCTTCTCCTTCAATCTCAACGGCCTCACCGGCTTCTCTTGCGCGCCTTCTTGCCTCCCTCTGGTGCCTTCGAGCTTCTCGCTCAGCAGCCTCCTCCTCACTTGTGCCGGCGTCTTTGTGTAAGAAGAACATGGTCCAGTCTTGTTGCCGGACATGTGTCTGATCGGGGAGCATAAGCTCGGCCAACATGTTCTCATCCGGACTAATTGCGCCGGGAAACTGATGTTCCATGATGGGACCCCGATCAATGTCGAACGAGGCGACCAGGATGTATTCCACATGAGGTTCGCTCGAATGTAAGGGGTATTGCGATCTTAATCTTTTCGAGGGACGAAAAGGTCCATCTTCGTAGACCGTGGATACTCTTTGGGAAGAGCGGTAGGAACCTCTGGGTGACGGCGGGACGAGGGAGCTTTGTGAGGACACCTTGTAGTGGGAGAAGGAGGACTTGTGAGAGCCCGAGTTGGAAGAGGTAGATCTTGGTCGGTCATGGTGCCCGCTGCTCATATTCACCGGGTGAGGTCGATAAACAAGCGTTTCGGTCATGGCTTCGTAAATGTCGTTGTCGTCGTCGGATGTTCTGGGTTGGGTACTGACAGTGTTTTGGGTCGTTATCATTAGCCCTCTTCGGGGGAGAGCATGCTATAACAGAGAAAATGCGATTGACGGGCAAAGACGAGCGCTCAGTAGGATATTGTGCACAATGTCCAGCAAAATGGGTCAGAGATCCGACATGCAGGGCCTGAGATAATGTCCAAAGTTTGCTTTCAGTTGTGGCTTGAGGGAATGCATGTTGAAGGGGATCTGGGATCCCCTGCGCTGCAGAGGGCTCTCCATAAATTCACCCCTGTGATCGCTTGCTCAAAAGCCCCTGAGATCGGCATGTTAGCGCCCAAGACCGGATTCATGGTGCTGATTGGGGGGGGGG